CGGCAGTGCACCGACACCTGTTGCTATGCCGAATTATAATCGTATATTCGAGTTTTCAGCATAGGAAATTTCCCGAATTTGCTACATTGTTTTGTTTTTAACATAAATATCCGGGAGCTTATACTTCTCCCACTTTTGAATTCCGCTTTCAACTGTTTCAATCCCGAACAGTACACTATATATCTTAATTCAGAGTTAAAACAAGTCCCATATGTTTGTTTTATGCAAATATTGAAGATCACACAAGAGTAATCTTCAAACTAAGTAAATTTGATAGCGCTGATATTAAAACACTTTTATATTGATATAATATTAGAAAACATTAGAAGTCAGTAAACGACATTTATAATGCAATATTTGTTGTTAATTAAGTTTTTAAATAAAAATAGTTTCTTACTCTCCTTCCCTTCTATATAAGCAGAGCGTCGAATTTGAATTTCCAATAATAGAAGCAAATTGGACAAAAAGATTATAAAATTAAACGATTTTTTGAAGAAATTAATCGGAAACTATTTAATAAGAAAAATAAAATTATTTATCAAAATTGTTCATTTTAAAAATTTATATAAAGTTTACAAATCAATTTGGTCTTAAAGAATATTTTAATAATAGGATATAGAAAAGCGCAGTTTGTGGATGAGATTTTCTGGGTCTGCAGTGAACTTAAGATGAATTAAGTCTATAAATAGGGATAAAATAGATTGGTCCAAAGATTCTGACATTTAAAATTATTCATGAGTATTGATATATCGCCATAAATATATTTGTGTTTTAAGAACCAAAAACTTTGTATAAGCACAGATCATAGTTTCGAATGCGCGGCAGGTGCCACAAAGACATTATTATTATTTATTATTATGGTTTCGATACCTATGAAAATTTTTTTATAGGCGTAGTATTTGCATATTAAAGAGTTTTCAGAAATGATCGGAATAAATTTAATGTATTACAACTTACAGGTTTTTGCAAAATCTTAAACAATGAAAAAACAAATAGTAAAATGGATAAAACATCTGGATGGTATAATTTATTATAGTAAAGAAAGTTAAGTATTATATATTTTACTCTGTTATTATTTAATATCTTAAAGAATTGATGCTGATTGTGTGAAAATATTTTATTTCCTTTCTGTCTATATTTAACTTAAGGTTTTTCTATGTAGTATTTCCAGAGCGATAGACAAAGTACCATGTAGCATACTAAATAGTGTTTATAAGTAGAACTTATATATTTTTACTTTATAAACATATTAGAGAAAATATTAAACTCTAACAAAAATTGGTAAACGAATCAATAGAATTAAAAAGCAAATATTTGTTGCAATATTTATTATTACATATTGTTATTTCAAATTTATTATTTATGTATAATAATTTATGATTAAGAGATGCATTTAATAAAATTAATTCGTAGAACAATATCGGAGATTACAGCATTTGTACTATTTAGAACTAAAATGTTTAAAAGATATCGTATGGAATATAGAATGAAATCATCAGAGTAGATGATATAGATATTGAATTATTTATTAAAACAAACGATTAGAAGAATAGTAATTATAAACTTATTAGAAATTTGTTTAAAACTTACACATTCTTCGATGTTGGCAATTTTTGAAAGAACATAATACATCTATATTAACATTAAAAGAGCAATTTTAATTAATATATGTTTCATTGCAATAATAGAGAAATCACACAATTAATTATAATATAAGTAAATAACGTATTTATAAATTGTGCTTCAGTACAATAAATTACAAGAGAAAAACTAATACGATTAAAATTTTATTGATTAATAGTGATATAAATTATATTCTTATAAGGATTTCAACAATGAGAATAAAAGATAATTTATTTAAAAAACATATAACATGTATTTAAAATAAATAAATATGATTAAATATCGTTATCGAAAAAAAGGATTTAAATTAAAATGAATTTTTTTAACTATTTTTTTATTGAAAATTATAAAATCATTTTATATACTTTTTATTTAATTATATTAAATTAAGTTTTAAATAAAATTCTTAATTAAGAAATATTATAATATTAAGTAAATTTAATCTAAAATTTTTGTAAATTAAATTCAGTAAATTTTAAAATATGAAGTTAAAAAAATAATTACAAATTTTTTAAATTGATATCTTAACTATGAAAAGTAAAATTAAAAAGAACATTAATTCAAATTAAAATTTATATTAATTATATTTTTCCCTAAAAATAATATATATAATATTCCGTAGGTTTTTAATAAATTAAAGTATCTGAATAAATATTAATATACGTATATTAAAAACAATAATGAAGATAATTGATGGTTACTATTTGTGATATGCTTATTTTTTTAAAAATCATTGTTATTTTTCCCTTGCCAATAAAATTCTCTAAAATTTTTAATATTGTTATGAACAAAAATATTAGATATATTCTAATATTTATCTGTAATTATGAAAAATATTTTGAATTTCTTAGGAGTTATAAAATTAAAATTTACATATGAAATTTATTATTTAGACGAAAATTAATTTTGCTATAAGATTTCAATAACTTATAATACGTGTAACAATTGTATTGAGTGGCCATTATTGTATAGTACAATATGAAATTCTTATCTCTTTTTTAGAATAACATTATTAGAATAAAAGTAATTAAAATTTACTAATTAAGGTATTTAAATAAAATAAATTCTATTTTTTGAAATTAGAATGGCTTTAAATTAATATTTTACCAAATTTATTTCATATATTATTTTATAAAAAGTATTCTTAAATTTAATGATTCCTGTTTGTTTAAAATTTTGAATCTAATATTAATTATCTTTATTTACATTATAAACTATTTTATTCTAATTCAATTGATAATAATAAGAATATGTAGATCTATCCTTCTAGATCTGTATTTATAGTGTTTGCAACTTTAATAAAAATACAACTATAAAAATTAATATTAATAATGTTAAGAGCTTCACATAAACCTTTATGGAAAATTGATACCTATCAGAAATTTAAAAAACTTGCAGAAAAATATAATAATCAGAGTCTAGAGATATAAAATTTAATAACATTAGAAAATAATTCAAACGTAGAGGAAGAAATAGCTATAAAATAATTTATTCGATTTATTTTCTTGTTAGTATTAAAGAAAATAACGTTTGTTCACTGATAAGAAAAAACCATTCATAGATTTAAACACAATAAGTTTCTACAAGTTATGTACGTTTTTGTACATAATGTATAATCACCGAGCATATCAAATTGAAAATTAAATGTAAATGACTTAATATTTATATGCAAGTTACACGATGGTATTGATAAGCTAAAATTTATACAGTAATGAAGCATTAAAAGAAAGCATTTTTTAAAGTAAATATACATATATTTAAAAACTTAGAGATCTATGGAATTTCATTATATAAAATAGACGCAAGTTATTAATCGGTTATGAATTATACATATTAATTATTAGAGTCCACTAATAAAAATAAATAAGTTTAAAGTAATAAATGAAGTTAATAAATTAAAAAAAAATTTTCTTACAAATTTGTTACAATAAACACAAATATTAAATATTTTCATAAGTTTAGTTGAAAATATTATATTCCGAATAGAAATATAAATAGTTCTAGAATTGGAATTTATTTGAAATATGTTTACAATATTTTAAAAAAGAAATTGCTATGAAGCCTAATTTTTATTTATATTTAATGCATTATATTAATATAATATAAAAATATATAGATATTCTATAAATTTAAATAGTTTATAACAAAATATTTTAATTATTCCAAACAGTCTATGCATACGAATAAATATCAGAGTGTACATTTTTATGTGCATATGCAACACCGTCTGAATCTTACAATTGCTGTAAACGCTTTCTCTAATTATTTAATTAATACAGATTTTATACCACATTTGATCCAGTGAATATCTGGATGAAGACCTACGGACTTCTATTTTTTAATCAATATCTATCATATCGCTTTTGTTTGTCTATTTATTTTTCGAATTTATATGTATTCTTATTTTTATTTTATTACATGAATTGATTTGAAACTTTTAAAAATTAATATATTTATTATTATATTTTTATCTTTAAAGTTTAAAAACTTTATATATAATACATACTGCACGTCCTTTGTTATACAATTATATATGCAATAATTATAATTATTTCAAAAAGTTTTCATTTCATTCGATTTTTCATCAAATTAAAATATGTATTGTCGCTTTATTTATGCTTATATATTTATACTTAGTGTAGAGAGATCTTTGTCTCTTTGTGGATTTTATTTCATATTGAACGAGAATACTAGACTCCATTATAATTTGCAGTTGTCTAAAACTTCTTTTACCGATTGTTTTCTGTACTCATAAAATTTATAGCGAAACTGCAATATATCATGCCATCATGGACATTATATTAAATTAGAATTTGTAAATTTATAAATATTATAAATACACCTACTAGAAAATATTTATCCAGGTGTATTCTTTTTTTTCAATACAAACTTCCTTGGAGAAAAATAAAAATATCTTTCTTTAATAAAATTTTAATCCTGAAACAAAACACGATCTTATAATCGTTTTATAAAACATGAATATACAATATTCTGTTCATTTTTTAATTAAAATTTTATAAAAATTAATTTACAATTTTATAATATTAAAATAAAATATAAATTTTTTAAAATAATTTTATTCTATTCAATCATTACCTAAAGGAAGCATAAAACCGCAGGCAAAAAAAGTTAAAAAATCTTTAAATTACATTACTTACGTGGCTCATCATAAATCGCATTATTATAATTTATAAATTTCTAAAATATGATTCATAAAATAATGAAGTACGTATTAAAGTATTTATTGAATTTCATATTAAAAAATTTTGTTCGGGCTGTGTCCGTTATTATTATGTTTATAATAAAATAATTAACTTTATATAGGATTTTATATTAAATAAATAAAAATATCATTAAATAAGACTATTATATTTTTATTAATATTTAAAAATTGTATTATATAATTTTTTCATAATTCCATTTTTTTTTTATGCATACCTAAAAGATATTGTGATATGTGTTCATAAATTACGAAAGTTATCACTGTGGCTGGTGTCACTTTCATCAGATTGATACTCAATCCTTTGTAATAACCTCTCCAACTTTCATATCTGTAAATAATGATTAATGATGACGTTTTATTTTATTATGATTTAATTAAAAATTAGTAAATATTAATTTATAATAGCGCAATAATTTATATAAAAAGATTTTTAATGTACATAAATAGTAAGAATAATTTTTATATTATACTGTTCTAATAATCAGTTTTTCAACATAATTTACAATTTTTTATTTTAAATATAATAATGTGTATACTTTTCAATGTTTGAATGATTAGTAGTAGATTGATTGGATCAGCATATCATTCGATATTAAACATATTGAAAATATAAAATCAGTGATCACCAATTATAATTAAAGTAGAGACGATTTATTGAATAGAGAAAGCTGAGTTATGAGTGTCATTATTTATTGTCTTTTATATACGTGAAATTATAGCGCTTAGTTATCATTCGCCTTGGCAGTATTCACATATATATGAATCTCATATCATGGCATAAGATCTAGTAACATATTATTATTATACTTTATCGTAGTTCTTTGATCTAAAATTTGTTAATAGGAATTCATTAAAAAGCAGTATTATTATAATTTGTTGGTTAAGAATCGTGCGTCAGAATGTTTTAGTTGAAATATTTTCCTTGCATTTTTTGAGTTAACAAACTCTAATACTTTTTTATTTTCTGTTTTATGCTTCTAATTTCCTTTATATCGTCTTAGAATATATATTATCGTTTCTCTTTCAGCTAAAATTGCTTCTGAAGAAGTTATTTCTTTAAATCTTATTTGCAAAATTCCTAATATACAACGCCACTATTTTGATTAATTAATTTATCAAAAAATTATTGTACAATGTTATTCAAAATTTATTCGATGTGTCAAATTATATTGCTTATTATATAAGTATAGTAATAATAATTAGTTTTAATTTAATATACTTATTAAAAAACAACAATAAAAATTCAACATAAGGCTTATCTACTTCTAAAAAGTAATAGAAGTTATTTGGTAAATGAAAATGCAATAGAAAATGCATAATAGAGTAAGATAATATACTTAAAAATTTTATATGTATTTTTCTATATACTATAAATTTTTAATCAAGTATATGAAAAAGTTTAATAATTGTTATTTAATATACTTTCAATTCTAACTGCAATTTTACTTATTAAATTTGATTATTAGTTATCCATAATAATTATTGCTTTCTTTAATCCATAGGGGCACATTAGTCACTAAATTGTATTACTAAGCTACCTTCGAAAGGAATTATAAGCGCAAATATCATTGCACAAAGTCAGTTATTGCTATTGATGTAACTTCTTAATAAATTGGAGAATGAATCTAAGATAACGATCATAATTTTAGGGACATATCATTTATGGACTCACTCTCGAAATTTACCTAAAACTTTTAAAATTTTTTTAGTTTAAATCCTTAAAATGCATAGTTGTATAGAAGTATTATACTCACTATATAATTAGTGAGCGTAAACAAGACTGTATAGGTAGTGTTGATTAAAAAATATTTCAAATAAATGTTTTTAAAGATAAAACTTACTACATTTAGCCATTAATCAAAGGTAAATAAAAATTGAATCATTTTTGTTCATGAGTCTAACATAACTTTTTCATATAAATCTTCTCAAAAAGTATTCGTAACTAAACAATCAACTTTACAATATAAAATTTCAATATATTAAATAAATATTTTAAAAGACCTGTAGAAGTAATCCTGAAAATTGATATTTTATTTTAAAATATATTCTTATTCCCATTTTAATCTACTGCCAGTTACAATTATCAGAATATATTTTATAACAAATTTTGTATTTTAAGAGTTAAAATCATATAAATAATGTTTTTATTATTTTATTATTTTTCTGAAGCTATTTATGACGAAAATCCCTTTTTAAATGATAAATAACTTAAAATTTGTTTTCACAGTATTTTTTTTTAATTTTGAATAAAATACGTAAACAAAATATTTATTACGTTAGGATACTTATTTGAGACTTCATAAAAATTCATATACTATAGTTACATTCGAATGATCATCAAAATATTTACAGATTTAATTTTTATTTTTATTATTTTTTTAATTATATATTTTTATTATTTCATATTTTTTTAAACCTCGAAAAATGAAAATTTACAAATAATAAAGTAAAAAAATAATCGAAATATTTTATAATTCTTTATTATTCCTTATTTCAATAATATACAATTTTGTTATGAATAAACGAAGATAATTAAAAAATTTGAATTTTGTGTTGAATCCGTATTACTCATATAACTTTTTTATTACATATTAACAATGAGATTTTTACTTATTTTTATAAATCCACTTAAATTGATAAATAATTGTTCAACTAACTTTATAAGATTAATTCATATTAGTTCTTGCATATAAAGGAAATATAAAGGGTTAATATAATATGTATGGCTTATGATTTGTTCAGATAGAAAACGTAAAAACGTTGGAAATTAACGCTTTGAAAGCATAATGATATATTTTTACGTTTTTATAAAATATTATTATTTTTTGTATTAAACTTTAGATAAAATGTGAGATTTCTGTTTCTGATATGGAATCAAGCCACAAATCAAACAAAGAAAATAAAGTTACTATTGTTTAACTTAAATTTATTTAATACGATGAAATATTGATTTATACTTACTCGCAGTTATTATGATGTTCAAATAGTAAAATCATATTATAATTAAATTATAATTAATATTTCAAATAGGATCAGAAAATTAAATTTTATGTATGAAAAAGTATTAAGACAATTTTTTTTTAAATTTAACTTTTTTTTCAAAATTATGTTTTTGTTCTGTGGTTAATATTGCAGTATAACATTTTTTTTTTGTTTGTTTTTCTATCTGAACAAATGTTTTTTCCTTCAGGATTTTTAGTATCCACAGATTTAATTATTTAATTATTTAAAAGTATATTTTTTAATTGATACGGATAGTTTATGAATGCTTAAATTTTCGTATCATCTGAATCAAAGTGCAAATAACATCGACATATATTGGTAGTTCGATATTAATTTCTGTGTTAAAAATTAAACTTTAATTATACTTTTGACATTATAGCCTATTAATGGTCGAATATATAATGTACTCTTTAAGGTTGAGGGAACATGTATTAAAGTAAAAATATCGATGAATGAAAATGATTATATTACACTCAATTAATGTGAACACGTAGACAAATTAAGTAAAACATATATATCGAGGCAAATTGAATATTTTATAATATTCAAAATAATCAAAATATTTTACCTTATTAAGAGAATTTTTCATGAAATAAGAAAAATTTTCAAAAAATAAATCTTTACAATAGATATATATATAAGATAAAAAATGTACATTCACAAGTACCATATCATATAATACCAAATAACTTTCTCAATTATTAAAAAACTATTAGTTATTTATCACCTTTAAAGAGTTGTCGATATTATAAACTTTACGTTTTAACTATTTGAGAAATTAATATCTTTAAAGTGAATATTGTAAATAATATGTATATGATCTGTTAATTATATGTGTTCTTAATTTCAAAATATAATTATATGTATTTTTATATAGACGATAAAAAAATATTTTATTTAAAATAGAGCTAAAGAATTTATATTTCAAATAAAAAATAACTATGCTCAAATGAATGAACAACTATTTTTAATATACATATATTTGTGTATAGTTTTTTTTTTTTTTTTTATTATGATATCAGAAAAACGTATATATATATATGTATATATAAGGCTAATTAATACGCTCATGCATTATTGGAATTATACATTATTATTTATCATTCTTAAGAATTATGCATCAATACTTAATAACAACAGATTTCACTTACTTTAAGACGAGGTAGTATTTTGAATCTCTGCTGTGATTATGAGGAAGAAGCGTTTTTAACTAATTTTATACTCCTAATATTTATTATTTTAGAACATTTTCTGTATATCATACAATTGTAATTATATATTATTTTATCCACCAGAGCACTTCTACTAATAGGTTTTATTTTATTTAAATGATCTTTTTTAAAATAGTACCAGTTAATTGTTTTAAATACTTTTCGTTTTGACAGCGATGAATTATTATAAAATATGCATATCCTAAAATATCCCCTTTTGACGACATAATACTGTGCAATGTAATATCAAATATAAATAATTTTATTGCATACAATTAACGCGGTAGCTTAAGCAACAAAAAAGAGATTACATTTGCAATATCTATAATAGAGACTTTATCTTATTGATTATCAAGGGATACAATACGCAATCCGAATGAGACTAGTATTTAGAAGAAACAGATAAAAATAAGAAATAAGAATGAAACAGCTAAAATCTATTTAATTATAAATATATACATTCAATTATTATTTAAAGTAACAAAAAAGAAACTTTTATTTATAAAAAAAAAATAAAATAGTTCTATGGAAAAATATTTTTGAACAATTTAAATGGCAGTTATAAACAAAAAACAAACACAAATAAATGAAATTTGGAATACATACAAAATTTTAAAAAATGATAATGTTTTGACTGATATGTAAGAATAAGGGGTTAATTGTAACATTGATATCATATAATACAAGACAGTTTAAGAAATATTACATGAACCAGTATATTACATTATTACTACAATCGATAAGTACCACGAAATGAAGAGAATTTTCAGTGATAAAGTAGGAATAATACGATATACAATGTAACATAGTTAATAAAAATAATAGTAGGAGTTTACAGGCTAATTCAAATAAACTGAGAAATGTCAAAGATTATTCTAGTGGTTAAGGTTCTGATGCATTCTCTTTTCTTATATCTTATCAATTACTTGTCTGTACCTTCACTTCATTACGCAAGGCATTTTTTTAGGCCTATAATGACTAATTTGTCTATTCACTTTTTATTGCAACGGGTGCAACCTAGCACATAATGAATGTATGTTTAGTAAATTTTTATTTCATTTGAAATAAAAAATACATTTTTTTAAATTTTCAATATAAATTTTAAATAATATGTAAGTTATTTTCAATGTTTTCTTACTTGTTGATAAAAAAAATAATGTATACATATATATTTATAAATACAAATTATATTATATCAAAATTCGTTTTATATATAAGAATAGGGTTAATGAAATTATAGCCTATAGTGAAATTTTAAAATTGTCAATTTTTAGAAATTTTAAATAAATTTTATTTTAATAAATTTCAAACTAAAGCAAGTTTTTCTTTACGATGTAATATATTATTGTCATTGGCATTTCTTGAAAAACTCTATAGAGCTTTATATGAAAACAGTTCACTTTTGTAAGTCAATAAATTTATATCTTCATTGCTATTTTCATTGATTTAAGAATATTAAGTTTATAAAGAATTAAAGAAAGCTATATTGCAAAAAATTCATATTTATTATAGAAATAAATGTTCATTCCTTTGTAATTAAAATTTATATAATCGAATTTCTGAAGAAAAAAGTTATATAATAAAAAATACTAAATTTGTTCCATTTTTAATCAACTATTGTGAAATGCATTTTATAACAAGAGATTGCTAATATTAAATAAATTAATTATAATATATATTTTGTATTCAATTTATAATGTTTTGGCAATCTCATCTTTATTATTAAGCTATTTGTCAATGATTATAAGAAACATACATTTTTAAATTAAAATAATTTAAAATATTTTAAGTTCAAAATACAGTCTTTAAGTGAAGTTAGCAAATAAATTAAAATATGAAACAAGTTGTTTAAATAAACAAATTTCTAATACATTATTTTTTTATATCACTATGCAAATTACTGTAAATACAAATATGCCATTTTTAAAGATTGTAGCAAGAATTTACACATTGCTGCATGTAATTATAAAAAGACTGTACAATTAATTTTGTGTCTATATAAGTTTGTAATATGATAATATATTATTAAAAGAATATTTTGTTCAATTAAATTATTTTTAATATAATTCATATATAGATTTTGCATATGCAAATTCTTTTGTCACAAAATCTAATACTAAATCAGATCAATGTTATACTTTTTTTAGTAACTTCATTTTAACAATAAGAGTTTTATATACAATTGCTGACATATTCATACACAATATAAACTAAACAGACATTTGGCATTACATGCATAAGATATGGCGATAACCCTTTATAAAAACCCCTAAGTCCTTCTAACCTCCAAATACTTTCAATGCAGTGAAGAGTTCCTTGATAATTGTGGTGATGATCCTGTAGTCGAGCTCTCAACACTTGATAAGGATAAGTTATTGCTGCTGCAATTAGTTTTGAAATAGCTGCACAAGCGATATATTCCATTGTATCCTACAAATAATTGATTATCATTAATTATATGTTTACTTTTACATAGTAATTATATTTCATAATACAAACATATACATACAAGTTTTGCATTGGTTGACTTATTTCTATACAAATTATATTTAATTTTCATTTCTTCATATGTCATAAATTGTATAGCACCATGAGAAACACCAAACAAACCTGGCACAAATCCCTATGTAAGAAATATATATTAAATATATAAATAGGATAATAATAATTTTACAAGATAAAATAAACAAGAATAAAAACCTTATACAATCCTATAATTCCTTCAGTCATACTAATTTTTTTCAAAGCATCTATCATGCCAGAGTATCTTTTTGATTCGGAAAGGTCTATATCTTCAGTATATTGCAGACATAATCTTGTTTTTACTACCCAAATTGGATTTGTTACCAATAGTGTAAGAATGCCAGCATCTGCAGCAGCTATCATATGCATCCATGGACCTAAAGGTTCACCTGTATTCCCATCTTGTATCCAAGTTTTTATACAATTATATCTATAGAAATATAAAATTACTACTTCTACTACTATTATTATCATTACTACTGCTACTACAACTACACAACTACTACTAATAATAATAATAACAAATAAACTCACAAAAGAAAATAGGAACCCCAAGATGTTCCTGACCCTAAAATATTAGGAATAATTCCTCTATATAACCCAATATATCCTTCTGATTTTACAATTTTACCAAAAGCATTGATTGATCCACTATAGTATGGAGTTGATTTGGAAAGACCATCATTAACTAAAAAAAAAAACTGTTTTCTTTTTAAAAAATAAAAGATAAATCTATTTATTTAATAAAACTTGTATTAAATAAATAATTGAAAATTCTTAATACAGATAAATTCTGTATATTATATGTTTTGAGATTACGAATTAAATTTGTATTATATATTTTTTTAAAATTAATATTAATATTTTTAAATAATTATCTACAAAATAACATATTAGATAATAGTCCAGTTCAATAATTTTTTTTAAATATTATAAATAATAATGCTTTATTATTCTACATCAAATATTTTATATTTAATATTTAGATATATCAATTGTACTGTATAAATATATATACTAATGTACAATATTTTGGCCTAATTTTTGGGACAAAAAAAATTATTATATGAGATTTTTACTATTTGATTCATGATTAAATACAATTAATAGTTTATTAGTCATGTTAAATAATACAAAGTACAAAATGATATTTCGTATATCTAAGTATGCAGATAAAAATTAAGATGTGTGTGATTCTTAAAATATTAAAACAATATAAAAATCTACCAAATAAATTATTTAAATACTAATCAAATTAAATTATATAAATACTTCAAATTAATATCTATTTTTTTTATTTTAACTTAAATTATCTAATAGTAATTTTAGTTATAATCTTTACATAAATGAATATTAGTTTAGTCATAACAAAATAAAATTAATTATACTAAACAATTTATCCAATATATCATTATAGATATAAAAACATATTTTGTGAAATTTAATTGCAAATATAATATATTTATGAAACAGACCTATTATACTATACAAAATATTATTTTGTTTTAGAAGAAATATTTATTAATATTCACAAAATAAATATTAATGTTACATAATAATTAATTAGTATATTTAAATAAACTTGAGAACAGATAATACTTGTAAAATACATTTATATTTTGTAATTATTTTAAATATTTAGGTACAAAAATGTTATTAAAACTTACCAGCAAATCGAACTTTTATTAGATCTAATGGATGCAATACTAAGGTTGAAATAGTTCCTCCTGCAACACCAGCTACAAGATACTCATACTTCAGATGACTAAATACTGGAAAGAATTTATTGTTGGAGTTTGATGAATTAATTGTACTCATGTTTTTATATTTAAGTTCTTGTTTTAGCTTTTTTGGGTTTCCAATCAATGCCTAATTTTTTCTACTCTAATTGGATTAATGGCCTCATCCAGTGTTTGTATAGTCATCTTTATCCAAGGCATCAGTTACTTTAACATCACTGTATTATAAACGATTATGAACTTTTAAAATATTGTTACAGATAATACATAACCTTAAATTATTTTAATATATCAATCTATTATTGAAGTAGTTATGTAATTTTAATAAATGATTGTTTTGAATTAGAAGTATATACTTTATTGAACTTATTATAGATATTACTACTTAAAATAAATTAATTGTACCATGTAATTGGTAAAACGAGTTAAGTTTATACAAAAAACTAATATTAATCTTAAATATAATATTTATTTCTGATTGACCTACGCAAAAAATGTAAATATATAAAGATGAGTAAAGAAAATACATATAAAATCTATAAATATTATTTGTTTGAAAATAGAATAGTTCTAAAATAATTTTTAACCATAAAAATATTAGTGCTTCTACCAGGTTTAGTATCTACAATTATAAAAATAAACAACCATTTAAGAATATTGTTGATTCTTTCCAATATTTATGGATAATCAATGAAAGATTACTAAAATTTTTAAGAGAATGTTTCGTTTAATAAAAGTTGTTTCCAATATAAAGTTTTTTATTTATTGCTTCGACAATGAAAAAAAAAATTAAAATTATTTTATTATTTTTTATAAAAATTTCTTTATTTTAAAATTAAATTTTTAAAGTAAAAATATCGCTTACATTGTGTAAATTTTATTTTATCAATTTTCATTTGTGATAAAATTTTTTCTTATAATACACGATTTTAGTTGTAAATTTATTATTGTAAGCAGACTTTCTTACAGGTCCTACAACCTACAAAATAGTCAAAGTAAATAATATTAAAATCTAACTAAAATATAAAATAAAAAGCACGAACATGAATTCATATATTATTATAAATAATAACTGAAACAGTATTAATAAATATTTTCAGTTTTATTATATTATTACGTATTCTCTGGTTTTCCGAATGCTGGAGCCAATCAAGTTCATCACGAAACGCGGTGATACATCCAAATGCATGAATATTATAAAAATGAAAATATACAAGATTTTAGTAATAAGAATATTATAAATTCTAAACAGAACATCTTTTTTATTAATAAGTAATAACAAATGATTGATCGTCATCTATTATGGAAACTTCATAAATAATAAATATTCTACACGCACTTTCAATGATTACAAATAAACTACTGCTACCTTAAGCAAATTAGTTTCTTTTTATTTTATGAAAACTAATTTTTTTTATTATTAGTTAAAATGTTTAAATTTACAATTTTTATTCAAACAAATTGTTACCACAAGAAAAAAGTAAAACGTGATATTTTGGAAGTATATAAGCAGTCTAATAAAATTATTAAAAATCATAAAACATGTAGTTTTTATACCTTAAATAAAAAAAATGTATTACACTATTAATTTTATCATTAATTTTTCTAGAAAATTAATTTTTTGGTAGAACATAATTATAAACAGTACAGTGAATTTTATTAATTGGTGTTTTATATATATATATATTTATTTTTTTTAATTGTTTTTCTAATACTACTCTATTTCGGTATTAAATTTGCTTTTCATTAATTTTACTGATTTAACTCTTCGAATATTTAAGTGTTGGTATGTAAATGGATAGTACTTGTCAAATTTGTATTTGCATTGTAGGCGTTTAAATAAAATTTCAAATATATTAAATAAATTTGACTTTTAAATATACGTAAACTTTTATTTTATTAAAATTAAAGAATTGTATAAATTAGTTTAATTAAGTATATATTAATATGGAATTATTCAAACTTTCAATTATTTATAAATACGAAAATAAAAATAGGCAATTATTATTTAAAAGATTCAGACAGTTTACATGTTACATTAAAAACTTTTTATCTCTTTAGTTTTATAATAATATTTGAATATTCATGTTTTTCTGAACATTAGTATGCCGTTTTTCAATTTTAATTAGTTACTAGTTGTATAATCACTTCTTATTTATCATTATTGCTTATTTTCTCACTGTGAAGGTATTCCTTTTTTCAATGTTCTTATTTTCTTCAGTAGTCATAGTTCAGTAGTTAATATATTTTATAAATTCTTATTAATTGATATACTGATATACATTGCACTTAATTACTTTGATTACTTATTAAATTAATTTAAATTACTCATGATATTTTATTTAGAATTAGTTCAACAACTCTAAAATATTATTTAGTATATGATGAATATACTGACATAGATTGTTTTTAATTAGATATAATTTTACTATAATATAATATAATTCACCGTGTATTTTATTACTTTTTTTTATTTTTACAATTTATTTTAATATGTAAGAATCTCATATTATTTTTATTTATATCTTATTTTTAAGTTAACCAAACATTTTTTAAGTTTGCGATCTGACATTAGATCAATGTAATTTTTTTGCTACTGTATTTTTTTATAGTACTTTTAATTTGATGTCTAAATTATTTTAAATTTTTATATGCAAGAATTTAGTATTTTTAATTATTGGATGAAATTATTATTTAAAAAAAATTCACAAATAGGCCAAAACGAGATTGAAACCAATGAACGTAAATCGTTTTCAAAATAAGATTATTTGAGATAAAATTTTTAATAATAAAATTTATTTGATTGTATGGTGAACTTATAAATTTCATCCTTACGTCTAGGAAGTATGATCATACGTATGAATTAAGAACGTATTATATTACAGGAACTGCGTTTTTTAAGTTTAATTTTAATGTAACTTTTTACTCTTAGTTATTATTCTAGTCTAATATATAATGATTTTGCAGTAATTTAAAATTATGATAAAGCAAATATACCACTATTAATTTTCTCTTTAATATATTTAATGTTAGTTATATAATGATTTTTACTATTGTTTAAATGCAAAATTTAATTTAGAACGAATAAGTATACTAAAATTTATTCATTACCATTTCAAAATTGATTACTTAATAGTGCTGAAATTGTCAGTCATTAGTAATTATAAGTTACATACTTTAACTGTCCAAACATTTTATATACGTATTAATTGATCCTTATTTTTTATTAATGACGCATCAATTTTTTATTATTAAAATAATTTTGACTTGTATTTAATTAATATATTATTTTTAACGAATAAGGCATTAATTTTAGTAGCAGTAGTATTATATATGTAATAATATACTGAGATATCATCTAGTTTTTATTATGTAAAATTCATAATCATGTCGATGCAGTTAACTATAGATTTATATTTACTGTAACGACTATTTCCACTGAAAAATGTTATTTAATTTATACTTAAAATAAATTTTTTGTAATTTATAATATTCGTAATACTTGGATGAATTGACAATATATGCAGCTACATTGTTTTTTTTTATGCAAAGAAAATTATTTGTTAGTATATCATATATTTATTGACAAAATTGAATTTACAAATTTGCTTGTTTTTACAGCATTTTAAAATCTAAACTTTAGACGAATAACCTACGAATAACCTTAAAATAAACATGCAATTTACAGTCTAGTAGGGAACCAATACACTGAGTTATATTCTTCATTTGAATGATTGGTAATGTGTATAAACTGTAGAAAAAACAAAAACTGATTTAATCGCTCAAGTGTTGTTATGTTGGTAATTTATTGACATAAGAAATGATACAATACTTTCAACTTTATCATTAATCATACCACAGTTCGGTGGCTTAAAAAGTTAAAAAATTATATTAATTTTTTGTCAAAATAATTTATTTGACCATGTCCACAATTTAATGTTAGTCACATATATTAATCGTTTTGTTATTTACATATATTTATTAGTAAAACTAAAGAGATAATGTAATCAATTTCAATCAATTCTTCTTTTTACAGTATTTTATTACTTTTGCACAACAGACAGTTCTTAGAGATAAATTTAAATGTAAAAAAGTTAATAGCTATAAGTTATATTAAAAAAAAAAATTTTTCATGATTTTCTCATAAATTCCACTGCGATTCAGATCTAATTTAAGTTATTAATCGTTAACACTATTGAAAAAGATTCAGTATATTATTATTGCTCTTTTTTCTTATAAATTGTAGCATATTTTTCACATATTAATAATTAGTATGTTTTATCAAGATCTAAAACAGTACAGATAATTAGATAATAAATAGATAATTTTCAATATATATTTTTCATCTATAATTTAATAAAACTGATTAGTGATTGGTTTTTATTTCTATAAAAAAATTTTGAATAATATTTACTTTACTGATATTTCAGTTAACTTGTACAGAGTAAATTTTACTTATCTATTGATGTTTTAGACTGCAGCTAGTTTATAAATTTGATTGTTTAAAGCTCCTGTAAAAATTAATGATAAGTTTGAAATAACTGAATCTTATTAATGAAACTAGATGATTAACTAAATATTTATTTTTTTGGTATTTAATTTGGTATAGCAAAAGAATAACAAAGTGATTCTATCAAATGCCAATGGTTGATTGAGAAGAGATATTAAAATAGAATATAGTAAACAGTTCATTTATAAAACCTGTGTATATGTTTCAAAAAAGAAAATCAATTTCAGTTATTTGATTGTATTAAGTGTATTAAACATAAAAGATTATTGAGTGTTTTCTTTTTAAAAGATTAAAAAAAAAATAATAAAACTATTACATTTATTATCTTTATATTGAAAGAATGAGTGTATTGGATGTTAGCACATAGTTACATTATTTCTTATCTTTTTGCTTATATGTTCTTATAACCTATTTTAATAAAAAAATATATTATGTAGGTTACGAACAGAACTTTGAATAAAAATTTTTTTTGTTCTTACCACCATACAATATAGATAGTATAAATTTATTATAAATTTCCCAAAATATCATAATGGTGTTCATGATATACAGATCATTCATTAATTCTCTTTTTTGATTTAAGAAATAAAATTATGAAATCATTTCAAAGTATAAATAAAAGAAATTAATATAAGTAAAAAAAGATTAAATTTAAAACTTAAATAATAAACTGCTGCATTATTTCCCAATTTAAAAAATATTTCTGATATATCTATAAAATATTTATAAGAGGGTAATAAATTCATAGTATAAAGGTATAACAAGAAAATGCATATACAAGTAATTATAGTACAATGTAACTATTACATATATATTTCAAGAATTTGAGAAATACAAAAATTAATAAAAGAACTAAATAAATTTAATCTCAGATCATAGTTATTTATTTTTAAATACTAAATCATTGTAGATGAAACAAGTACTTAGGAATATAGTACACACGAATATTTATTTATTATTTTAAGGATAAATAGAAAAATTATGTATAATTTAAATAAAAATAAATTATACAAAAAATATGTGAATTAGAAATTTTAAAAAAGAAAATATGATTACTATTTAAGCATATTATTATTACTTATCTGTACTGGAACCTAAAAAGATATTAATAAAAGTATAAATTTAGATTAAAAATACAAAAATATAATACAGTTATTAATTTATTAAAAAAATTTAATGTATGAAACAATAGTTTTTACACAGAAAAAAAACAAAAATCGAAATAAGATTATAAAAAAAATAAGTTGATGAGCATGAAAGAGAAAAAGGTGGTAATTAAAAATACAATATTAAAAATAAAATGTTTATAAAAGATATTACAAGATCGAAATGTTAATATATATAAAATACTAATAAAAAATATAGATTCATATAATGTAAAGGTATAGATTTATGATAAAATATTTCGATGTAATAACAAAACATATGTAAAATTAATATTAGAGCTTTATTTAATAAGAATAAATAATCATGAATTGAGTAAAATATAAAAAGCATAGTATAAATGAAAAATGATTCAAAATTATAGGATGTCTTAATAATTATATATGCTTAAAAATCTAAATGATATAGAATATGCAATAATAGTAAATAATGAATAATAATGAAGTTGAAATATTGGAGTTATTTTAAGGTAAAAGAGAGAAAAAACAAGAATTAAATATAAAATGGCAAGTTTTATTACAGAATTAATCTACTGGTGTAATTTTGCTTATACAAGTAATAGATTCTGTTTATGAAAAATTGAAAATTAAATAAATATAATTTATTAAGTTTTAACAGATTGTTAAATATAAATTTAGGTTTTTTAAAACCATATGTGTATTTATATTTTTAACCATTATTAAAATAAATATTAACCATGTTGTGGCAGAATAATTAGAAAAGTAGTTGTTACTATCTTCATATTATGGTTCTGTTGCTTTATTATAAATTTAATATCATGTCAATCTTGTAATGGATGGTTGAAGGCTTGTTATCCAAGGCCTAATACATATTTGGGTAAGTTGTAAGCAAACCTTGGAATAGCCATAACAACAGACATCCTGTAAATGTTTTAAAAAATATCATTAATCATTTCTATGCTATTAGAATTGATTTGGTAAATTTTCATATTTAAATAATTTAATTTAATATATTTCAAATACTTGAATGTACAAAAAAATGTAGAAGAAAATATTTAAGAACTTAAAGTAATAATTTAGTTATAGATCTGTAGATATAATGTTTCTATTTAATTTACAAACTGAAGAAAAATTTATTTTAAGAAAATTGGATGGTTATACTACATATTATTATAAGTTTTCTTATTTGATAGTATTTAATTATGATTTAAGTTCTCAAATAATATAATAATAAGATTTGTTAATAAAATAATAACAATATATAATTTTTTTATCCTTATCTGTTAAATATATTTTAATTATAAAAATTATAAAATTATTATTTATAGCATTATATGTACAATTACTTACAATAAGATGATTTGTATTTTGAAGAATCAGCCACAAAAGTCTAAAGCCCCAAATCAAAATATACAATACAATGTAATTAGTAAAATATGTTAATTATCTATAATACCCATTCTTGAAGATTTCACACAGATATAATGATATATTTACATATGATAAAAATATATAAATATAAAATGGTTGTTTTAATTTTTAATAAAAATTATATCTGTATCAAATCATTAAAAACACTTAAAGATAGATAAGAAATGTATTTTATTTACAATAGAGGTAGTAAATTCAATCTTATTTACTATTTATTTTATTTATAAAGTAATTTTATATATACATAATGTTGTTATATTAGATCCCTGAGTGTAATACTATATACTATAAGTGCCATCAAAGAATGTACGTTTGAATACTTATACAACTTGAAGTTGTTATCTTGTAATTAAAAATAATTGCATACTTTACTCTTAGTGTAAATTATTTTAGTTTGATTTATTACTATATATCAACTGAATTTTTAATTTATACTTCTGAAACATAGGAAAGGACACATACTTTAACGTAGACTATGAGTTTTAATAGTTACAATCATAATTTAAAATAAATAAAACAATTTATACTTTTATTAAAAAGTCAGAAAATAAAATTAAAATGTTCAAAGTTTTAATGTATTGGTCATAAATAATTAGTTAAATCATAATAAGATTTTTTTTTAAAATATTTTATATAAATTTCTTAATATAAATTTATATTAATCATCACTTATTTAAATTATATTAATAAGCTTATGGTGAATTAAAATATACAATTTGCAGTTAGAAATATATTTTACTTAAATTGATGAAAATTCTAAATTTATTTTTTGACTCATAATGAAAAATAAATTTTGTCTGATGATTTTTCATTCCTGAATGTTTATTGTTAAACAAATAAATGTAGGAATTTTTGAAGAATAAATTGGTAAATTAGCATGAAAATTTCATTCATTTTTTATTTTAGATTAGAAAGAAGTGCATAAAAAACGAAATTGAATTTTAAAATAATAAAAATAGCAATTTGAATTTATTTTACAGTTAATAGAAACACAAGAACAAATTTCCTACCTATAAATACAAATTCATATTGAAAAAATATTGGAGATAAACAAAATCAAGCCAAGTTACTTATTTAATGCTATTTTAGTGTTTTATGTATTTGATGTATTCTACTTTTAAAATTTGAAGATATTAAGTTTATTTTTATATTTTTATATTCCTTAGAATCTTTAATATGCAAAAATTCAAATAATTTAATGTATTATAAGAGTTATTTTTGTAGCAATTTTAAATTTTTACTAAATTCTGTAAACCCAAATACTTGTATATAGTTGTAACATAATGATTTTGGTTAAATCTTTAAATTTGTAAATAAAAGCTTCTTTTTTTAGTTTGCTAATTCACAGTCAAAGTATTAAAATAAATAAAATAATTCAGTTGTATACGATATAGTATTGGATTGATAAGTCTGCTAATATAAATAAAATAAAATAAATGATTTATTTATTCTTTGCAAAAATCCATATATATCATGTTATTTTTTGTTATTAATTGCAAGCTGATAAATTTTTTTTATCAAATATAAAATAAATAAATTAGATTATTAGTTAAGCATATTTTTCAATTTATTTATGTAACACATTTCAATATTTTATAAAAATTTTGAAAAATAGCGAAAATCACAATCACCAAATTATACAATATTAAATATGTAACATAGTTTTCATTAGGAATTTTAGCTTAAAATTAATATCAATTATTTATTTTAATTAAAAAATTGTATTATCACCTCAACCTCTATAATATATAATATATAACGTCAACAATAACTTAAATATAATTGATAGATATAAAACATGCAAAATAAAGAACTAAAAATATAAAGTAATAATCATAATACAATTGATCAAATAGAAAAAATAAAAAAAAATCTTTTGAATATCAATAAAAATATGGATTATAACATTAATTAAGAAGTAATTTAAATATCGTTGACATTTTGTATAATAAGCCTGTAATTATTGTATTACATGTACAAATACAATAATCATGTTATTTAATTACCATTACAAGATATTTTTTACGAGAATATTTTCTTTGATACTTTTTAATATATACGTTGGTTTAAGTACTAATAAGAAAATTAACTATACTGATAAAAGGTATACCACATATTTCGTACGTACGACAAAGCTAATCCATTATAAATCCATGCTCGCCATCCAGTTTTAGTATCAGCGTCAATTTTTGCCTCTAAACTATGGCACAGTGCTTTACGGTCGTGACTTCTTCCACTTCGCAAATCACATAATAACCTCTTCCGACATTCATCATTACAAAGTGGCCTTACTGGTGAATTTTTGTAATAGTGTCTACAAATGATTATACATCGCATAAATAAAACAATTAAAAAATTTATATATATTCAAAGTCATTCCACTGTGATACAGTATAAAATGATGGACTTGAGATTTCTTTTACTATAAAAGACAAATATCTATTTTCTTTTTTAATATATCAGTGTAACTTATTTTATAAATTCAATTATATTTTTTTCTAAAATAGTAAATTAACAATATATTTTATGAAATTATACATTTAAGATATAATTTATCATAAAAGCTTATATTTCAAACAAAAATTAAATACATTTAGTAAAACTAGAGTAGACAACTACTTAAGTACATCTAGTAAAACTAAATAAACAAATCTACTTCGAATTGTTATTAAACATTTACACATTTGTTAAAATATACATTCAAAAATATAAAAAATATTTTTCGGAGTTAGTTCAAGAATATCATAGTGGATACACTCATTAAAATAAAGATTTGAAATAAGAATAATTCACATACTTGTAGTATATATCAAAAACATTAGGTTCGTTAGTCATTTTATCAATAAGTGAATCCCAATCTTTTGGTAAAAGTGATGGCATTTGGAAAATCTGTCTAGCACTATATAATTTATACCAAACGGGATAATCATAAAGATTCGCTTCTTTTAGATTCATCACCCAACTTTCATGATCAACCACCATCTAAAAATAAGTATGTATAATAAAAGAAGTTCTAATTATATCCTTGTTAGATGTTTTATTAATAAATCTTATAAACTTTATTTCTGATTTATAGTTATATCGATAAATCGATCTTCATTTTCATAAATGATAAAAGAGAATACGTCATTAATATTTTTTAAAATTAATAATTTACATGAAATGCAAATCCATAATTTTATCGTGAAATGATTTGAATAAATAAGAAAGTAAATAATGTAAAAAAATAAGATTTTTAAAATCGAATATCAAGGATATTAATTTCAACAACAACAGTCCATCTTTTAATGGAGCTGATACGATCTTTGACATTACTAAACTAATTAAAAACTATGTGGCTGTTTTGGAAATTATAGTAACTAAATAATCTTTATTTCATTAGTAGTTTCACATGTTAACAGAAACTTTTTGTTAAGAAGTTTAGACCATATATCTAATAAGGTTTCTGGAAATATTACTTTATTGTTATAGAAGTAATTTTAATAATTTGCATGGAACTCTATCTCGACTTTAAACAATTAAAATTTTCAATTTTAATTAAATTATCTAATATAGTAAACTTTATTGCCTCGACGACCTTACTCGAACCGTTACAACGTAAATATAAGATTTGAGACTTGAATATGAATTCCTTCTTTATATTTTTGACTTGATGAAACATTTCAGATGTAGATGACACTTATGATTTATAAGCTATCAGTATCTCTAAAATCCGTTCTAGTATGGATCTACGAAATTCATAAAGGCCATATTTTGGAAATGGTGTTACGATTAAAAATTTCTATTTCTAATAATCTATGTGTTAGCTGTTGTAAATAATAATAACATATGAATGATATATACGAACACATACTGTTATTTTATTTAGTTTTATTTAATTTAGACAGCAAATTACTTTAGTTCTGTCTTTAGTTCGCTTTACTGTAGTTCTGCAGTTCTAAGGAGTATTTTATCTATCCAGTTCATTTACGCATGTAGAATTTTAAGTCTTTCTACGTTTGAGCTCTCTTTTGTTGGGCATTTTTAATGAAAAGAATACTTTTTTACCCACCTATTATAATAAAGTATGTGGTATTACCGTTTGAAATTATATTTCTTTTTATTTGTAGAAACTTTGTACTAGGAGGTATATGAGACACACCGACAGTTACATTTAAAGTATTTATCTGTGTATAATAAAAATCGTCATCTTCGACATAATTATAGACATTTTGATTTCAATCAATTTTTATTAAATAGTTTAAATAATTAATATTGTTTCTTGTTCATTTTATATAGACACTCAAACGTGTAACTATTTTTACAACAACGAATTAAGGTCGTTTTTAAAAAATTAAAAATAATAAAAATATTTATATATAAAAATGTTTTAATTACTGTTTATGTATATATTTTTTTAAATAATTTTATTTACAACCAATTTAAGAAATTCGTTTAAATTCGAAATTTGGCTTATAACTTTCTTTTCAAGAATGTAAGAATACTCCCAGCTCATTAAACATCTGGAAAAATCGAGATAAGAGTTCCGAAAAAGGCAACTCTCGGCTACGCGAGTAATAACATTCAAAAACGCGCCTCGGATTAACTAAATCTAAACAATTCAGCAAAACTTCGAATATCTTAAGAAAATAAACTTCATAAACACATCTGGCGAGAACAAGGCTCCAAGTGTCCAGCAAAACAAGTCATAAAACTAATGCTACGAGATATTTGACACGGCCTCGCCATAAAGCATCTATCGACGACAAATCATAAAACATCTGGCGTGCACAAATCATAAAATTAGCCTGAAAAACACAAGCCAGATGATACACTCAAAAACAATGCTACACCTAACCTTCACAACACTGACCGATCGCAACGCGCATGATTATAAGAAATGCATGCAACAATGCTAGGATGGAGAGGGAAAAGCGTGGCATCAAGACCCCCCATCATGGAAGAGAGTTGAACAAGGCCCACTCTCATTGGAGCCCCCATCTTGGAAAGACTCACTGGTGGGAGACCCCACCACTCGAAAGGCGCCGTGATTAGAATTACCATAAACTAAAGAAGAATTCTGATTGGGCACACTAATAAGACTAAATCTCATTGGCAACGCCATGATCGACAAGACAGCTCTGATTGGCAATACGAAAAGAGAGGGAATTCTCACCGACCACCGCGTGGTCGAGAGAAGGCTTTAAAAAAGGCAACGCCGTCATGGCACAATCACTTATCTTATCTTATCTAACAGAAAAAGAACAAGTCAATTAAACGCAAAAGTCCAAGATTAATCTATTCAACACAAGTACAGTTCTTCCTGTGTATGCGACTTACGTGATAGCTTAGTGGCAATAAACATACAAATCAAGAAAAGCCAAAAAAATCAATTATAAAAATAAAAGTAATTATAATCAACTAGTGCAATTATATAAATAAAAAAAAACTAATTAACAAAACTACTCTTTATTGAATACGTGTACTATCTTGTCCACTAGCCTGCAATCCTCCTATTAACATCGGGAGCTCACACCTAATCTTAGATACTTGACCCTCCTCGCCGGGTACACTATTTTTAAATACTTTCATATGCTGAAAGAATTATTTACCTTATTTAATGCACATATAGTTTTAGATTTATTCAAAATAAAATATAGTATACATTAAAAGCAAAATATTGTAATATTATAAAAATATATATATTTAAAACTTAATAATTTTAGACAAAAAGCGTTAAATTATATTGTGAAAGAAGTATAGATATAACTATTAATTCCACTTAGTACATATTTATAGCAATGATATACTCTTTCTTTGTATTTTAAATTGTTTTTCTACTTACTCTTGTTGTGTCTGGATGATCACCATCCACATAATATATACGATAACCGGGATTCAAATCATAATAAGGTGAAACTGATGGACCTACGTATGCGATACTTAAGGTGTCATAAAATATTTCAAATTCATCATAATGTGTGTGGCCGAAAAATTGTGCTGTTATAGTTGACTCGTACCTATTAGAAAAAATTACATTATTGTATAGTTTAAACTTCTCAATATTTAAAATATAATATTAACATAAAATTTAAAAAATGCATAAAAAATATTTATATAATTTAATAGTACAATTATATAATTTTATAAAAAAAAAGTTGTGGCAAAATATACATATTATTGTAACTTCATGAATGAATCAACTTAATGAATAATGTTATTTATTAAAAAAAACTTATTATATATAATCGTTGATAATAAGTATAAATTGGTATGATTTATAAATTATAGAAAATTCATATATAATAAAATGACAAATATAAATATAAAAATAACATTTTTCTAAAATTAAAAAAATTCGTACCATAAAATAAGGATGAAACACATTCTGAAAATTATTTACGAACGTATAAATGTACAATAAAATTATTTAAATAAATAGAAATTATTATTATTCGTAATTAATAAAAAGTTTATCAAATACAATAAATTAGACATTAAACTTCGAAGGTTAGCTATACAAACAGATGATAAATTTTTTTCATAGTTGCAAGAAAAATTTTAAAATAAGTTTACAAAACGATTTTTTTTTATCAAAACTCCGGGACAAAGCGTTCAAGAGAAAATCTATAAATTTTTAAATAAAATTAACAACACAATTGTAAAAAAGGAAAAAATACTAGATTTCAATTAAAACTACATATTATTCAATTATTATATATTTATAGTAGTATTGCGATGTATCTATAGTGTATTGCAATTTTTTCTTAATTAATCACATATGATGTGAAGAAATTTAAGAACATTTTTTAAATTGTATAATTTTTAAAAGTTATTTGATATTCTAATATTTGTGTTATTTTAATTATGAAGTATTAAATTTAATAAATGTAAAGCTGTTCATAAATTTGGTATTTGTAAAATAAAATAATGAACTTTGTATTTATAACATACTTATTGTACTTCAAATCCTCATTCAGTGTATTTATAATGTAAACATTTTTTTTATATAAATAAGTTTTAGAAATTGAATTGGTGCAACTTGATATTTAGTATTTCACTGAACTTGGTATTGTAATATTTAAATTGTAATTATTTATACTTAACTGGTATTAAAAAACTATGAGGCTTCATTGTAACATAAGTAATATATTTACTTTATTTCTACGGTTTATTTGAGTTCTCTAGGATTAGACTAAAAAACTACCAGTGATGTTCGATGGGAGGATTGCTGGTAAGTGGAAGGGGATGGCGCATTTATTCGATATTTAACACATAGCGTATCTTAGTATTGTTTCTCTTTATTTATTTACAAAATACACAATAAATATTATTCTAAGATGGTGTTGAGAATCTGTGAGATTTCCGTTCCTTAATGGTTTCACGAGATAGCGTATATTGCAAATCGAGATTCAAGGTTGTAAAGCTCCGGGTCCTCTTGGTGGAAATTACTACACTGAGAAATGCAAGGGCGTAAATCCTTGACACTACTTATATAATGGCACGTATGATGTTTAATCTGGAGTACAGTTCCGATCAGTAACGTCTTAGTGCTTGAATACAGGGAATAAACCCGAATACAGCGACGTTTAATACCGAAATTTTTATATCTTAGAAATTGCTCCAATCCCGAACATGAATAGTTGCTATATTTTTTTTAACAAGACACTCTGATTAAAAATTTTTTTCTTCAAAGTTTCCTTACTAGTAAATTATTTAAAAGCAAACTCTTTTCTATTTATAAATGCATAAAAGTATGATAAGCAGCAGATAGTTAATTTAATCAACGTTTATTCTGAGTCTATTATGGGGAAAATTTGGAGTTTTTTTGCAGAGAAAAAAAAGTTTGAATTTCAATATTTCATATATTTATTAATTTGATAAATATGGTACGACGAGTTAACATCAAATTAAATTACATTGTTATCTAATTTAACATTGAACTAGCTCAATTATTATAATTCTTGTTGACAATCACATTATTTTCAATTAGTTTGGCTTACATTGGGTTGCTACAAGAAATACAAAATTATAATAGAATATTCTTTGAATTTCATTAAAATAATTAATAGTAATTAATTGAAATATATTAGAAAATTATATATAATATTATTAAATACCTATTTAGTATTTCATCAAGCGTAAGTTTAATTTACAATAAAAAATACTAGTGAAATAAGTTCGAACTAAAATCGATGTAATATATATTATGTCACTGGTTATTTTTAATAAAGTTTAGAGAGAGACAATGAAGACAATTGGTCGAATTTTAATTAACAACTTTCTAAAACCATAAATGTTACGGATTGAAGCAGTTAAAAGCGGAATACAAAAGTGGGAGAGGTATAAGCTCCTGGACATTTACGTTTATAAACACAATTCAGCAAATTTGGGAAATTTCCTACGCCAAAAACTCAAATTTACAATTATAATTCCGACTAGCAATGCCGATGAACCTTTCAAGGTTCTATCCTATTGACGTCACGATAATGATCGGTATAGTAACAGACACCGGTGCGCTACCGGCGTCGCAAGGTCTTACGAGAATATTTAAGAGCAGCCCTTGACGCTCATCTTCCTTGTGCTAGTACTAATCACGCAGTCTTTACGACGATCTCACTATTCTACCTTCAAGCATTACCACTGCAGGCATCATTCACTGTAACTATTCACGTATGTAAGCATCAAGGAGTTCAAAAAACCAATAGTGACGCCACACCAATACCGGCTCTCACGCCCGCGTAAGCAACGCAACACAGATGTTCCTTACTACCACATCAACAGCAACGGCGCTCACGCTCACACCGGCGGCTAAGGCAGTATCGTCTCATTCGCCCCCTTGGTGAGCGACTGATACTACAGCGACTCGTCTCGTAAATGGAAGGAAACGCGCCACACACTGCCGAGAGTACACACACTCTCACCATCGCGTAAAACAATTGAGGAAGCTTCATCACATAATTCACGCACGCTATCCATGCATACACTTTATGACTATTAACTAATTGTTTTATTATTATATTTAATAAAGGAAAGACAAGATATACTGTGTGTAGAATTGAATTATTGCATTTGCCTCCTCCACTTGCCCGCAACACCTCCACCCACATTAAAGGGAGGTTTTTCAGTCTGATCCCAGACAATAAATAAATTAAAATTTTTATTCGTTCCTATTTTTTTTAATAAATAGTGAATGGATCAATTTATTATACTATTTTTATATATGATAAATTAATTCTTACCTATTTATAATATGATAGTAATTTCTAGACCAAACTTTCAAACAATCTGAATGACCAGGTGGAATGTGTCCAATGATGTGAACTTTTTCACTATTTATCTCAGCTCCTTGTAGTTCATAAATTAACCATTGCAGCTCGCTTACTGGATCTGTACTATTTATAAGAAGCCACCAATTCTTATTGTTGCAATAATTAGTGTTGACTGATAATATTCTAAAACCTGGTCTTACAAGTACAGAATAGAACGCACCTCGTCTAATGGTGTGTGAGGTGCCAGTTGGTAACCAACGTCGCCACTGCTTATCTAATTCATCATAAAGCCAAGAAATATTGTTTTCTTTGGGAGCAAACGATGGTGGATAACTATAAAATTAAATAGAAATTTCATTTTTTGATAAATATTATATTTTTTTTTTATTAAAGTAATAATATAAATTCATATAAATATAGATATTAAAAAGCATACACAATTGATATATAGAGTTCTCAAGTTCTCTCTCTCTTTTTTTAAATATGAAATAAATAATAATTACTAAATATTAAATTATTATATTTTAATATCTAAATTTACTAAAAAGAATAATCATAATAAAAGAATATTAACTAAAATATAGCTTAATGAACAAAAATTACGTCCATCATACGTATTAATATCTAAAACACTTACATCCTTATATCTGGATCTAAAATTGAAAAGTTTATTTTTTGACCGTGTAAATTACATATAATTAAAAAAATAGAGTAACATAAATTTAATAACATAATTAGTAACATAAAAGTAATTAAAATAATATAGGTTTGAATTAAAATTAATAAAATTAACTCTGATATTCGTACATCTACATCTTATATTTTGATGATACGTAAAATGAACTAAACAAATTTAAAAATATGTATCATTGAGTATTTGGTGTAGATTGTAGAAATTGAGTTTCAATACAAATCAAATGTTTAATATTTTAATCATTAATACAAACAAAGGTAGTGATTCTTTTGTAATTATTTTCAAAGTTCAGTCGGTATACCCAAAACGAGTACACAATCACCTTATTGTTTCACGCACCATAGTCGAACCCATTATTCTAGTGCTGTGATCGGCCCATTTATCTTCAGATAACACAGCAGCCGCGTAGATATTTAAGACAAGCACAACATGAGACAAGTCGCTGTTGAGATGAGACGCATGAGACAAACCGAGTCGAGGGAAGAAATCGCAAACCGTTCGAATACTAGCGAGGCCATCGCACACTAAGTGGAGACACAACACAAGATAAGAAGCGATTGGAGCCGCCAAGAAAGTACGGATTCGATTGGAGACGCGAAGAAAAAGGTGCTCTGATTGGAGAAACCAAGAAAGAAGCAATTCGTAAATGACGACGCGGTGGTCAAGAGAGCGCTCTCAAGGGAGACAACAAGACACAGAGGCTTCACTTACAAGGAACGCCAAAAAACATGGACGTATTCTATAAGAGTGGAGATGCCAAAGAACTGCTCATATCCTTTCCATAATAAGTGCAAGATAGGTGAACTATACACACTATCAGAAAAGCCAAGGAAAGGAAGTAAGAAACTACAAGGAGCCGTACGAGGCAATATCTGCAGAGAGATCAAGTGCAAACAATCTACAGAAGCAACAAGCTATGAGCTCAGTTTCTTACAAAACAAAAAACCTACAAGGTGCCACAAGAGGCAACAATCTGCAGACAAGTATTAAGATGCCACCAAGAGCATTCAGATCTGCAGTACCTACAAGGTTTAAGTTCAGTTTCTACTAACGGGACGTACTTACAAAGAGCCATACGAGGCAACATGACTTCGCATGTCCTTCCCATAATAAGAGCAGGATAGGTGCAATACACACACTATCAGAAAAGCCAAGGAAAAAAGTAAGAAACTACAAGGAATCGTACGAGGCAATATCTGCCGAGTAACTACAGATGCAAAATAAGCTCAGAGGAAAGCAATACTCAAGCTACCACCACGTGCCACTACACGAAGAAGTGCTGAGATTTACGACCTCACAGTTCTGCGTGTACACCGACACCGCCAAGTGTACCACATTAAGGGGGTCTGGGGATTTACGACCTCCTACCTCTACATGTAATGCACGTTTCCACCACGTAGCAGACATCAAGGAACAGCAAGATATATACGATTTCCATCATCAAATTAGAATTGTTATAGTGTAGTTTATAAAGTACAATGCAATAAAAAGCACGAAAATCGAATGTATTAAATATTGAATCCCTGCACTATCCGTTCCATTTGCCCGCATTCCCCAATCAGACGATCGGTGGTTTTGGTTTAATTCTAGACAAATTAGTAATTACGATAAATGAATTACAACAGCATAAATTTTCGTCGAGCTCTGAGATGCATTTTTGAAACTAACATTTTTACTACTGGTTCCTTAATAGTTATGGTCATACCATAGTATTGATAAGTAATTAAATAATATTTTTTATACATTTTTAGAAGTATATGAACGCTGGCCAATACAAATATTAATTACATTCACGCGTGTTAGATATTATTTTATAATATTTATTACAATTATTATTACAAAAGCGCCATTGATTAGTCATAATTTTATTTCGACTGTATTAAATTTATTCGAAACAATTTTTTTACTTTTTTCAAATAATTTAAGATTTTTCGTCCTTAGTAAATATTATAATGTAATATTTAGCATATACGTCTAAAATTTAATTTTTTAAAATCTTTTTTTCTTTACTTTAATAACTTAATTACCTTAAAACATAAATATAACATTTAAAAGTTGTTTTTTTAGATATGAATTAATAGCGATCGTAATATTTCAATTATTTAAAGGTTAATTTAAAAATTTTAATTCTTATATTTACACATATTCAGTTAAAATACGATTTAATAAATATATACTCAATTTTTTAAAACAAATGTGGAATATTACAATATAATATGACGAGTACTTAATTATTTGCATAGTTTATTAATGTTACATTTGTATAATATACCTATTCACTGGAGCACTCTCGTGATTGCCAAGCGATGGAAAAATAGGAATACCCGGAAATGTAGTCACCATCTGCTCTACAGTTTCTCGTAGAATTTTCAAATTTTCTTCTCTTGTTTGATTCCACACGTCATGTGGTGGAAGATCGCCCGTCCATAGTATATAATCAATATCCTACAATTGTTTTGATTAATAACTAAAACGGTATTTTTTAATAAATAATTTAGATATATATTGTTACTTTGATATTAATTTTTCTCTATCGCAATTTAATATATTTACACTTGCATATATTAAAATTTCATACAAAAAGATTATCTATAAGTATGATTATTTCAATAAATTTCTTTAATTCAAATAAAATCTAAATATGATAAATAATTATTCTAATTTGTATTCTAATTGAATATTTACATAATATTTCAATTTCAATTTTTCACATTTGAAAATTATTTAAGGTATTCTTGCTACATTTTTTACTAGTATTGCAGAATCCAGTGTTAATATAAAAAATATTAATCATGTAGAATGAGTAATATAAAAATGAAATCGTTATTGGAAGTGTAACATTTTTATAGGAATTTTAATTTGCTAAGTAGCTGATAATCGTCATGATGAGAATAAAAATTAATTTATAAGTCCACAAATTCAAATATTAAAAATAATTCCAGAATCGATCGAATATTGGAGATTAAAAAATTAAGTTAGTATGATAAAACATGAATTTACAGACTTGTTAAGATATATGAATGCTTAGAATCTTAAAAATACAATGAGTTAATTACTTATATAGAAAATTTTTTTAACTTTCAATAAATTCATTTACCAATATAAATAAATTATCAATACCACAAACGAAATTCACCTATATTATATTTATTTACAAGAGCCTTAAAAATATTTAAAATAATTAATAGTAGTTGAAAAAAGTAGTAAACATTCAAGTTCTTAAACATTTTTTCAAATACGATATAATAAGATCAATTTAATAAAAATTACTAAATTGACCAATAATAACAATAAATGTTTGAAAAAAATTATTAACAAAAGGTGAATGAGAGAAAATAGGGTGTACATTATCTTTTTCATTATTATGAAAATAAGTGAAATTAAATAAATACTATGATTAATGCATAGATATTAATAGGTGAAATACAGTTTCGATTAAACGTATTATTTTTATAATTTCATATATCTTTTTCTCTATTTCTTATTTTATATAATTATAAATATTACATATGTAATATTTATTTGAGGCAACGTATTTGTAAAATTGTAACTATACTTTATAAGATCCTAATAGTTAAAACAAACCCATAACTTAAAATTAATTGATTCATTTTCAATCAAATACATTTGTAAATATTGAAAAGAATCTTCTATTATATAACAGAGTTTTTAGTAATAATTTTTCATATAAAAAATTAAATATTAAGGAAAATAATTCGATCTATATATTGTCAGAAATTTAGAAATTAGCTCAGATTTTTATAAGTATTAAATGATTAATTTAAATTAAAGAGAATTATTTGTTAGAATATTAAACAGCAGAATATGAAATCTTAGCCTATGATAGAATTTGAATTAATATTTGTTGAATAATTCAGAGTAGAATATTTTGGATTTAAACATCTGTTAAAGTTTTTTTAATGAAATTCAATAAATATTATTTAAGTAAAAAAAACAATAAATATTATGTATACTGCAATACAGTAGATATTCAGATATCTGCACAAAGATTTAAAATTGAGAATAAACGAAGTAGTTGTTTCGCAAAATAAAGTATAAAATGAATAAGAAGGATTTTTTATTGAAGGAATATTTGAAATTTAATTATTATACAGCAACAAAAGTAGATATATTAGAATATTAAATGATATATACACATTTATGAATGTGTAAAAATGTATTACAAATATGTACAATCTAATTTCTTTTGTTCTTTGTAAATCTTTATCATACCACTTTTTATTAGAACACATATACATTATAAATTTAGTTTGTATCAATATAAAAATAATAGTATTATTATAGTAAAGTTTAATAATATATATCATATCATTTAACATAAATAGCTGATATATAGCTAATACTTCACTACAAATGATAACAAATCTCCTACATACATTTATATTAACAAAAATAATATAATAGTTCAATAAACAGTAATTATATCTAAAAATAGTATATATTATTGTTTATTGTTAATTACCAGTTGCAATGGTCATTATAGCTGATCACATGGACGGATTACATAGGAGTCCTTGTTTGAATTTAGAGAAATCCTGTTGGTCAAAATTCAGCAGTATTATCCACTATAATACTCGCATCAGTTGGCGATAACAGATGATTATAACAAACGTAAATTATCTATTATAATTTAAATTGACTAACGTGAAATCTATTACGCCGAAGCCATATATATACTCTACAATGAAAAAAGCTAACTATTAGTAAGTAAAGAAATTACTAGCTTATGGTTTTATCAAGGCCGTTTCGTCACCACACTTGTCATCACTCGTAATAATAAAACATAATACTATACTTGCGTACTATTATTAAAGTTTAGCCCTATTATAAAACATTCCGTTTATCTTCCGTTAGTGGCCTATTGTATTCTCAGTATTGAACGAATACCATAAAATTCTAACGAATTATATAGGACTTGTGGTATTTTAAGTAAATAATAAAAACGAATAAGATAAATTATGCTTTAAAATTTTTTTTGCTTTTTTACTTTTCCAGAATTTGGAAGATATAGTCGTAACATGACGAGACAATTTAATACGATGTTTTGTGTATAGATACAAAGAACTAAATCAGCTCAGTTTATCGGGGAACGTTAAAGTTACTGACATATATTTTAAGTACTTACATTATGTATTATTGAATAAGAATATTCAAATTATTTAAATTAACTTTAAATGAAGTTAAAAATGTGTTGAAAAACTAGTTAAAAGGTAAAAACAGAAATAGTTTCAGTTAAAGTCAATTTGATGTATATAAAATTGAATTATTACTCTTTGTTAATAAGTTGTATATTCAGAAAAAATTAAGTGAATCAATATTCTTCTACAAATTACATGCATTATTTTCAAATAGTGCGATATCCATAAAAAATGTATAGATGCTGATGTTGTTTATATATCCTAATAAAAATGAACAAAACATACAATTGAACAAAATTATTAAATATATAAGATGTATTATTAAATTTAATCTAATATTTTAATTTGTAAATGAATTAATTAACAAAGTTTTATTTATTATACATTGTTAAATTTAAATTAATATACTAAGAACCTAATAATAAAGTATAGAATCGATGAGTAATAAGTGATAGAGGTATGGATGATACACGCAATTTACTTCTAAAACAGCGGTAGGAATATACACAAAATTTATACAGTTGGGTTACTGTGAATACGGTTTTTATTTAAATAACTCTTATACATCACAAATTGAAATGATGTAAAAGGTGTCACTAAATTAGGTGATTTTATATCTCAACCACTAAACTATATTGAATTTCATTCCTAAAAATAGGAATGAAAAATAGGTAGAATATTGTAATTACAAAATATAGCTATATTTTTTAAACATTCAACAATTTTAGAAGATAAATTTTTCTACATAATATGATGCAATCAAAATATCTCTGCCTTTAACATCAATAAATAATATAAAAAAATAGCATTGCCAATTTTTTTTAACTATTTACTTTATTATTCTTCACATACTTATAATCATAATATTATACGGATGTGTATTGAATTTTATTACTATTTACAAACATTAAAAATCTAAAAAAACTTCAAGTCAATCCTCTACAAATCTTAAAAAATTCAATTTCATTCGATTTTTTGTTCATGTTTAACTCTAAAATCATTAATTACGTGTTTTTTAAATAAAATAATTATATATTTTTTATTAATATAAATTGTGTTTAATATGATTTACTAATCTTGTTCAGTTTTTTAAAACTTATTTATATATTACATAAATTTTTATGTCGATCACTTAAAACAATATATGTGAGCTTAGATAATTTAAAAGTTACACATTTTTAAAAGGGAGAAAGAGAGAAAATAAAAATTAAATTTTGAAAGATATTTTTGCCATGAAGAGGAAACAGGTGCAATAAATTATAAAATAATGACTTGATTGTTATAATGATTTACGTTATTTATATATTTTGCGACATTTGATTCTTTTCTTGTTCACTACACAGGCAAAGTAAACTATAGCAATTTAAGTAATACGGGATAAGGGTTTAAGTTTATGGATATATACACATATATACAATGTTAACGTGGAATTATTTAGATCATTTTTAATATGGTGTTATATAGTGTCCAAATAAATACCAATAATAATGACACATTATGCGAAATTTAATTAAACTTATTATCTAAATCATTTGAATTATTTATTTTTATTAATAGGGCATTTTAAATAATTTCCTTATTATTTTAATTTCATTGATAATTTATACAGTTTTTATAACTTATTTAAATATTAATATTTAAAATAATTTCCATTTTTATATTAAATCAAATAGATTGTTATTGTTAATTATAACAAATTTAATGAAAATATAAAAATTTTCTCTTGATAATTAATAAAACTCTGTATTAATTTTTTTTAATACCATTAAAATAAGTAACATTATTTTTATGCATTTATAGTTTATATTTCATATTGAGCAATTGCTGCTGATAAATAAATCTAGACTTTGATTTTTTATAAATGATTGAAATGTGATTTATATTTAGGTTTCATACTAATATAAATGCTAATTATTACAAATAATCGGTTGAAAACTATTGTTTTAAAATAATCAAATTATATTAAATCAATCAAGATATAAGTCAAATAAATAATATCTAAGTTATTATTTTGTTAATTTATTTTTATTTTATTTATTTTATTTTATTTGATATATTTGTTAAAACATTTTTTAAATAATACTATATATAAATAGTTACAATATATGATTGGATGTATAAAATAAACTTTTGAATAAATTATATTAATTATTAAATGAAAATATTGATTTAAAACTTGATATAAAATTTTAGATAAATGTATAATTTAATTCTTAAAATATGAAAATATTTTTCATTTTCAACTTTAATAGATCGATAGAAGCAAGCGAGTATTTATTGTAAAAAATCTTATTTGAATGTTTCTTATATTGTAATAATTTTTTTAAGTAACATAAAAATATATATTATAAATAATTATATAATTTCGGTATATTAATGTAATTATATAACTATTAGTGAATGCATTTGGATTATATGGATACAAATATACGTGGATATTAAAATTTTGAAAATATATATTTTTCTAGAAATTTAAAATAATAAAACAGTAAGAAAAATGGCTTACCGGGTGAGTTTTTGCAATATGTTTTAGCATATGATCAACAGTGCGCTTAGGAGTATCGCATTTTCTATAATCTCCCCATCGACCTGCAGCAGCTGTAGGTGTTAATGGTGGACCATTGGTATAGCGACAACATAGTGGCTCATTACATTCAGCATTTGAACCTTCTTGGTAATATGGATCATAATGTGTATCAGAGATATGTAGTACTTTAAAACTTGGAACATTTTCAAGTGGTGTTACTGGAGGTTTTACAGCTGGTTTATTTACTGGTGGAAAGGCTACTTCCCAATCATGAAGTGGATTGTAAACATCTTCACATGCATCTCCTATTACAAAACTGCAAACCTGCGCTGGACTCATCTCTATTTGTTTCAGTACATATATTACTTCACCCTGCAATAATCTCCTCCATTTTGATTTAAACTTTTTTTACATTTGTTTAATATATTGTACATTTAAATAATATTTAAATATTGTTTCTTTTTAAATGATATATAGTTTATGTGACTAGTACGAGCATTTATTATTTATTATAATTATTATTTTATAAAAAGATATGAATAAAGATAAAATATGTGTTTATTTTTTTATGTTTAATGAATATATTTGCACAATGAAAACATTGTATATTTATGATTCATAAATTTTTATATACAAAATATTATAATATATAATAAAACAGAAGTATTTTTATAAGTTTAATTGAAAATTGAATATTATTATTATATTAAAAATTAAATAACAAATTTTAATTTGTAATATAACTTTATTTTTAGGTTTTAGAATGTAAATAAGGAATTAATCAATTGTATCAATAGAAATCAATATTAAATAAATTTTATTAGCTATACCAGTTTCTTTTAATAACAAAAATTGAACATTAATTTTTTTTTATCAAGAAATAATAGTAAAATTTGTTTTGTTATCTGTATTAATAGATATATACTATTATTTATATAAAATATAACTTGATATTTAATTATATTGGACACCAATATAATAAATCGAAAAACTAGTAATTACGAATTAAAAATTCATATTTTCGTGTGGGTATCTATTATCTAAATATTAATTTTGATATGTTAATAATTTTACTGCATTCAAGTATTTGCTTGATCATGTCATTTTCGAGAAAATGATAACATACATTGAGTTATATAAGGTTATGTAAGAATGAAGAATATTGTTGAAAATGAAAGTAAAAAAGCAGGTAGAATAATATAAATCTTCTTATAAGCATATGATTATAAAATGATTATTTTTTTGTTTTCATAGAAATCAAAAATTTTCCAAGTTTTAATATTATAAAAGATATTAAAGTTTAAAAGAATTACTTCAATTAATTTGGTTGATCAATATGTTTTTTAATTCTTTTGGACTTCTAGTTTTTTTTGTCTGATATGTAAAACATTTTTGGAATTTGTTCAGCTTACTTCTTTGAGGTAATTAGGGATAACTACTGTTAATGCTATAGGCTCTGAGTAAATAGTTTACATTTAATGTCTTTCTGTTCAATTACTTTGAAAAGTGTAATTTGACTATTTTTACAAGGGGGGTGAAAATAACAGAAAGTACTAAAAATTTGGCGTGTATTTTTGAGTTTATAATAAAACTTTGAGTTGTTAAAAAAAGAGAAAATTTTTTTCAATAAGTACATTAATTGCTTCTGTGTTCTAAGTACAATTAATTGCTGTGGTATTTTTAATGTTTATATCAATTGTTCGATTTAAAATATCCGCTTATAATATTTGTGTCTCCTTTTAATTCCTTTTAACAACATTGCTGAAAGATTCGATACTTTCTCTCAATTGTGATCTACGATTGGGATGATTGGGTACTACGATAAATGCACTTATACGTTGTTCTTCCAGCAGAATCATTGTATTGCTATATTGCGGAAGTCATATTATATTGCGTTATATCATTATATTGCGGAAATAGTCAGTCCTGATATACCAGCCTCCTTTTATTTTTATCTCTATTTTCTGTTTAGCTTTAGGAACATAACTTCAATTTTGTTTTTAAAAAATTCAAGTACAGATACACAAAACGGAAAAGGTGACCATAACAAATGATAAATTATCATGGTAAAATTTGTATTAATATTATTAAACGACTATAATGTTATCATCAAACGTTTTTACATAGATAATCTAAGAACTAAAATAATAGGTCTTAAATCTTATCAGTATTCATATTTCCTTTTCTGTATATTAATACACTTATTATTATTGGTATATACATTAATATTTTATCATAATTTATAAAAAATTTTTCTTTATTTTCAACGGTAATTTGTTATTGTATTAATTATTTCCTATTTTAATCTTCATTAAATTACAGGTTCTTTAAATACTACAAGTAACTATTTTTAACGTAACTTATATTTATCATAAATATCGTTAATCTTTTAATTATATCAGAAACATATGAAAATATTTGTATAATAATATTATTTCTATACTTAATAAAATGATACGTACTTTAATACTTATTGTCAAGTGAATTTTATAATTTAAGGATTCACAAATTAATTAATAATTATAATTAAGATATAAAAAAAGAATTTACAAATTATTAAAATGGATAGCTGAGGTCCACCTTATCAACGTTGAACTCATTTAATATATTATCTATTTAGCGAATTTTATGTATACATCATGCTCTAAAAGTTTTATTAAAACACAAGAATATTATGCAGAAATCAATTGTATAAACAGTAAAGTTTTGGCCTAGAATCATTTTTAAATACTCGAATATTATATACTATTAAACAGAGCAAGTATTTTTACTAAATGAATTATGATGTAATTTATTAATAAGTATAAAAAATAAAGTTAAATTAAATCATAACATTAAAAAATTTCATTAATATAATAATATGATTTCACCTTGCATTTAATAATATTCATTATTTCTATTGTACTTAACTAAACTATAAATCCCATTGATAATTTATAAAGTTATATTTTTAAAACATTAAAATGCTGGGGTATTATAACTAATATTATTTCTTAATTTTATAAAATATTTTATTATAAATATAACTTACACCCATAAGTAAAGTTATTCCTTGGCAAACTCTTGCACTTTGAATTTTAAGAGAAACACAAAATCGATAAATACTGTTCATAATTTCTTCTTCACTTTTTCGAGCTTTAATAAAGTGTTTCAGTAAGCCAGTTCCAACTTTACATGCCGTACATGATACTTTTGACATTACAGATGTTTCAACTTCCATCATAACTTGACGTAAATCTAAAAGCTTCATAGCTTTATCGACAAAGAGAGATAAATGTCCGGTTTGTTGACTAGTTTCCATGTCCCATAGGATACGTGAGTAATTCATCTAATTAAAAAAATCTAGTGATTAGTTTTCCTATATTTATATTAAGTAATATATTTTATTATAAAATGCATAAATATTTTTAAATTATATCGTCAATTATTAAATAATGAATGCAAAAATTATATTTACTAAATAAATAAAAATGATTTATAGTTGTTCAATTATCATTACTAGTACAATATATTTAATATTTTTCCATATATTATAACTGTATTTCTGTTTCTTAGCAGTCATTTTCGATTTTCTTGTCAATAAACTTTTTTTTACATAAGTACAACTTGTAACTAAATCGGTTTCATTATATGACAGAAAAAAGATTTATGTGCAAGTAGTTTTAAACGAAATACACTATTGCTAATTCCTATTATGTTTGATTGAAATATCTTTCGCGAATAAGAAAACACGTAAAATTTTTTCTATTCAATTAGATTACAAGTGATTTTCATTTTTCATATGAAGTTATATAAAATTGTGTTGTAGCAAAAAATCGCAATATTTATTTTAAGTTTATGTTTTTTAGTGCTTTAGATTATATGTTAGTTGATCACAATCACATATATAAACTTAATTTATACAATATTAGTAATATTTGTATATATTACAAGTAGTATAATAATGATGATACCTGCCACATTAGATACAATATTGCAAATCTTTGAAACTATAATACTTTATTTTCTATTTTTGCACATCTTGTTAATATTTAAATCTAATTGATCAATTGATCATATATTTAAAAAAATATAATTTGTATGAATTTAAAAATTTCTTATGAATTTATTCGTAATCATACTTTTATAAATTTTGATAGACAAAATGATGATTTATTTCAATTTTATATTAATTTAAAAACTCCTAATTTATATTTTATGTCACCTTATAAATAATATAGAAGAAAATAATTCAATATTTACAGGTTTAATAAAAGACAGAAAAGAGGGAGAAAATGAAAATATAAGAAAATTTTATATGGTTGCAGTAAAAATTTTTAGTAAAAAATTTGTATATATTATATATATTTTCTCACATGTATTTTACAATATAAAAATCATCTATATTATAATAATTATAAATACATTAAACTATGCACATTACTATAAAAATATTTTTGATTCTACTAATAGCATTGTTTAATATTCTGTAACTTGTTAAATAACTCAATTATATTTTCATGAGATAAAAAATATATTGATTATTTTTATTATTCAGTTATCTAGTATTCTTTAAAGTCTCCGTCATTAGGGAAGATGCTCTAGCTATTCAACCTATGATATATTGTCATAGTAAATATTTGAATGGCTTCATAAAAAATAGTAAAAGAATAAAAATTATGAAAATTAGTACTAAAAATATTGTTTAAAAAATATTTTGATTTAAGAAGTAAAGCAAATAAAACAAAAAATTTTGAAATTTAATATCGATCTAATACAGATTTATCCATTAGTTATGCTATGACTATAGATAGAAGCTGTTGAAAAATAAATTGAGAGAGATTTAAATTTGGCTTATTAATAAATATTAGTTGAAATAGCTTTTAACATAGCAGTGATGATAATTAAAAACTAAAAAATAATGTGTATTTAAGATCGAATGCTAATAGAAAAAGCATGGTGTGAATTTAAATTTGGAAGGGTATCAGACAAAAATTTATACACAATGTAAATAAAATTGACCTAAGAAAATACAAAACAGAAATGCTTAATTTAGGAATAAAAAAAAATTAATAATTTAATTATTGATAAACGAAAAGTTCCTCTGATTTAGTATAATAATGAATTTGAAATCTAAAAATTAGAGATATTATAGATGTATCATAATTAAAATAAAAGGGTACAAATTATTATAAAAAGAAAATTAATATACAAATATACTTCATATTTATATTATACATACAAGAAATGATTTTACTTTTAAATGTATTATATTAAAAAATAAATAGAAATTATAAAACAATAAATCATACAAAGGTGTAAAAGTTATAAGAAGAAGTTAGTTACGATTTCTTTTTCTGTATTCGCTATTCTTATAAAGTTTGTTACAGGAATATCCATGTATAAATATTTTTGAGTAATAAATATTTGAAATTGTTTGGTATAGGTAACCTTCATACATAATTTTATGTCATTAAGATATTTTTTCGTCATGGTCCTAATAAATATCTCATTTTATTAAGTTCATTTTAACCATATTATATACTTTCGAACTGTTGAAAACCAAGGCGATATCCTTTTTGAAAACATTTCTATTTATAGTAAAAAAAAATTTTTCTAGTATTGCAATAGATCAAATACTAATTGCCACAAAAATCAATCAAAATAATAAAAAGTATGTGAAATTTATATTTGACTTATTTTTGTTATTGCAATTTTTGTTTAAATTAATTATTATATTAAAATAAATTATAATGAATTAATTATATTAAAATTTTTAAGAATCTTATTGTTACATAATCTTATCTATTATTATTAATATATACTAATAAATTATTAATAAATATTATAGAATATATTAGTTACAGAATAGAATGATATTGTTTATTTAATGTATTATAACAATAGAATTTTTATTCAGTTTTATTAAAATATTATCACTTCCGGTAAAAATATTATTTAACCGAAGAAATTTTATCTAAATATTTAAGAACAATTTGATTTTTGTTTTTTGCCGGTACTTAAAAATGAATATAAAAAATATAAGAAACGGTATACAATAAAGAAGTCTGATTGAGAATAATAAAATGATTCTCTTATTCATCTGAATTCTATTTTTAATTGGAAAAATACATACACGCATTAGTTGTTTTGACTTTAATTCATCTATGATAATGCTAGTAGATGTTGGGGGCAATTTATGAATTTTATCTGTATAAGGCAAAAGTGTTACACTAATTCTTTCAAAGATGCGTTCTCTTGCTCTTATCCATTCATCCGCCAGTTCGGTCCAATTGGTTCCTTCGATTTCTCGTTCTTTTTTCATCCTCATCGGCGAGCCTGTATTATATGTCAAGAAGTTTACATAAGTATAAAATACATTGAAACTAATTTGAAGTACAATGAAATGTTATTTCTTCATAAATGTACTCTTACCAAGAATAACTTGCCATAAGATTACGACTAAAGAAAATAGAAAAATAATATTTTTTGTAATCCATATTTGATTTAACATACTATTTCTGAATATTTAAGAAGTTTCCTAAAAAGAAAATAAATAAATTAGTTTTAATTAATTTTTACAAATAATATAATATTAAATTAGAAATTTAAAAAATCAGAAATTAAAAAATCTAAATATAAATGTTATTAGTTGAATATTATATTTATAAGTATATTTATATGTGCTTTTTAACTCAACTCTTATTTCAATATTAATATATAGAAAAAAAATTACAAATGTTATTCAGCATAATAATTTGTACGCAATATTTTAAGATAATTTAATATTCTTATGAAGATTCTTTTAAATATTTATAACAATCAACTTTCTAAGTAGGTATTTATTATAAATAATATGAAGCCGTTGTTAATAAAATAAAATAAAACTATTGTTAATTAAATAATCAGGATAAAAACAAAGTTAAGTGAGTAATAAATCGATATATTGATATTATAACACATTCAATTAATTGTAAATTTTACAATTTTTTATGTATGAATATAAAAAATGTGATTAGATAATCAATCATAATTTATAAATTTTTATATATGTAATAATTTAGTAAAAAAAACATGAATTAAAAAATAAGTTTCTGTATTTCTTATATAATGAATACAAAAATTATAAAATATTTGAATAAATAAGAGTAAAAAAGTTTTGTTAAAATTTATAAAATTAATTTATTAAATGTACATTTATATAATTACCGTTTCAACAAATAATTCGATTACTTGTATAATTATATTTTATAATTTACTATAAGGAAGCATCAGGTATTTTAATGTTCGTCTAAATAAAAAAAAATTAATAAATATTATTAAATTATTATATATATATATATATATATATATATATATATATATATATATGACTAATTATTATGATTCCTGAATTTTTTAAATAAATGTTGACATTAAAGTTATAAATTTTTTTTTTGATAGTAAGTAAAATAATTAAAATACAATCTTAATACCGAATTCGTATGAAATTATTTATTTTTCTTGATAGATAATTGTTTCTTTCTATAATTTTCATAGTTTACGTATATTGAATATCTTCAATGTTCGTATATTCTATTTTTTCATATATAAATGTTTGTTATCATTGTACTTTTATTTAAAATAGTTTTAAAAAATTGCTATTCTATAGTTTTTGTTTTCAGTTTTTTGTAATTATTTCATATTTTTATCTTTCATTATACTATTTGTTAATTTTTTTTAGTGTATTTATAAATAATTTCCATCTAACACTGATTCACACTAATACTCTTGATATGATATTTAAATATTTTCACTCTGATATATAAATGTACATTGTATATTGGATCAAATATATAAAAAAAAAACAAATATATAATAATCAAATAAATATACAAATAATATTAAATATATAAATTACAATTAAAAATTCGTTTGATAAAAACCTTTAAGCTAATTAATTTTAAATACTTTTATATAATGAATTTATCTTAAAAGTTGTGTTTTCCTGTGAAATTATTCTTCGATGTAGAATATACCTAACATTATTAATAATATATAATAAATAATTTAAGTATATATATAAAAAACATTAAATTTAAAAAGTATATTAATTTACAAAATAAATATATTAAAGTTGGAAATATATCTCATTAAAATCGTTTTAATTTTAACCAGGAATTTCATTATTTACAGAAATGTATTACTCACTTTTTCAGATTGCGTAACTTTTATATGGTAAATATTTATCTTGTTACTTAAATAATTTTCAGAAATATTATACTTGATATAATTATTTATTACTTCTAATTATAATGCTTGTATTTTTTCTTGCATACCCTACAAATAATGTAGTATAAAGAAATAAATTCATTTTAATATTTGTTTTAAAAAATACTTTTCAAGAAATCAGTGTACATTTCTAATTTAAAAATGACAGAACAAGAAATACGTCTATTCAGAAACTTTCATTTCTACAACTACAAATATTAATTTTTTATTTTCTTAGATTAATAAGAGTTTATTAACCTTAGGAATTTTACGTATTAAAAAAATTGTATGTATTAAAATATTCTTTCAATATACCAAATAAGTCATATATATATCATAAATATAATAAAAAGTCAATTATAAAAAATTTGAAACGGACTAGTTTGATGAAGTCCGCAATTTGTTCACAAAGTAAAGAAAATAAAAATTTACATTTATTTTAATACCCAATGAATTAAAGTATAAAAAATTTATATTTTAATAAATAAAGTTCAGATATATAAAAACTACATATAAAATTCTTTAAAGTGTTCAGTAAATAAATAATCAATTATCGGTAACTAATAACAATCTAATTTAATATGCTAAATACGATGAATGTAATAATTTGTTTTTCAAAAAATTAATTTTGTTTTATTTCCTCTAGTTTATGAGTTTATCTTATTTAGTATAATTCTGTGAATCAGTTAGCCCATATAATTGCGTAAACATTTGGCATTTTTATTTCACATAATAAAATATTATTATACAGGCAATCATAAATTTAAAGAGTGTATTATTTAATATTTAGTTAAATAATACTAAGATGCGTTTTGAGTTTCATTAGATCTTTATCTTTAGAGATTTTAGTTTGTGTCTCCAACATCGTAACTCCATCATTTTCATAGTTTTTTATATGATATATGAAATAATGTTCCTTACACAATATAGTTGAATATAGGAATACAGACTAGAATTAATATAGATATTATTCACATAGAGATATTTTGGATCAATTTACAAGAAAATATTTCATTAATCAAACACATTTAAAAAATATCATATAGTTTTGATTGATTTTCGACCATTCTTGCCTGTGCTCTTGATTTTACTATGTAAATTTATTTGCATTTTAAACATTTGATTTTTAAATCATATGTACTATTATCTAGTGTATTACTTATCAAGTAAACAAAATTTAACGACTTTGTTGAAAAATTTGGAACTAAATATATTATACGTCTACATTTAATTATTTTGTATTTCTCAAATGGAGAAATCAGTATATATCGTTAATTTAAGTATTTTTTAGATTGCATAGCGATGCTGTAAGCAATCGATATTAATTTGCATGCATTTATTAGCGTTACAATAATTTATGGTTTAGTAGGTTTCTATCTTGCAAAAAAATTAATTTTGTAGTTTTTTAATACATGTTTTTTATGATATAATGATTTATTCATGTCTGGAATTGATTACAGCTGACAATTAATATGTAAAATAAAGAGTAAAATAAAACAGAGTTACACTGTTATTACTATGAATAATTTTATTTATGAAATTACATACATATTTAAAAATATAAAATATGAAAGGTTCTTAGATAGCAGAAAGAATGGTCAGCTATGAATGGTGTTTGTACATTTGTTAAATACTGTATTATTGAATTAACAATAACAAAATTAATTTTTCCATCCAGTAATATATATGATGAATAATAAATAAAACAATCCATTTAAATTAATTTGTTTTAAATCGTTCAAATTTAAAATACGCACAAATAGGAACTAATTCTATATTTGCAATTACACTTTTATCTAAATGATTTTCTGTTATATGCGTCTTTATAATATAGCTCAAAATGTACAACTAGTATAAATATTACAATCTTTTATTAATTAAAAGATATTTTTTAAATAATGAATAATAATAATAAATTTGTGAATAAAAACAATGTTAATTAAAAGATTAACATTCAATTTTTATAAATGGTTTATCTAATCTAATTAAATATATCTAATATACAAATATGTTATTTTTACTAATATATTCATGCGTTCATGTGTGTTTGATATATATATATATATATATATTAAAATAAAACTCAAGTATTTCGTTTTCATTTTAGGAAAAATTATTTTATAAAAAAAATGATACCGACCAGAACTTAGACGATTAAATATGTTACAATCCATTATTTTTTATATTTATAATAATCATTTATAATGCACAATTTTGTCTTTATGTAATTATAATACATTTTGATATAAGTTATCAGAATCATTTTCAATGTTTAAATGGAGCAAGCTAATTATTATAAATTTTTCCTTTCTGAGAAAAAAACATTGATGAATCAAACATTCTTTAATTAAATAGTCAACAAAACAGTAAATACAAAATAAACTATAAAGATCAAATTAAATTGTTACGAACTCTTAAAATATCACAATATGTACATTATGTTCGAAGATTTGCTAATGTAATTTTTATATATCATTTCTTTTTCTTAACAAAATATTATTGTTCAAGAAAGTTTAATCAATCATTTTTTATTTATGAATTCTATTGCTTAATTTAATTTTTGATTACACTCTTAAAGATATAAGAAATAAATATACATTCAGTGTAATTTGTACGATAAAATACTAATTTTAAAAACGCATATAGGTGAAATACTATTAAGAGGGAAATAATAGGAATTTGCCCAGCTATAAAATCAAATACAATTCCAATTGTTGCAATAGTTATTGTTTAAATAAAATAAATTTTTTTTAATTTATTACAAATTACAGATTTTTTGGTATATATGCAAAGTATTATATAAATATTAAAATGAATATGAGAAAAATTATTATTTAATAGTATCCGACAATTAAACTTTATTACAACAAATCAAAAATGCGATTAGGTTTACAAATATCAACTCATAATTTATCATAATGATATTATATATAATTTAAACGAAATTTATAAATTAGAATTGGTAGAAAATATATTATATTATAATTGTGTTTTAACATTTTTTTTGTTATTGTAATATATAATACTAGTATATAACAGTCAAAGAAAGTAATTTTTATTAATTTATGTAAAATAACAAACAATTTACTTTAAATAAACAAGAAACTATCTCTACGTGTTTTCCTTCTGATCTGTAAGATAATAAACCTACTAATGAAAAATCTTTAAACGTATTTTTTTAATTGTTAATTAAAAATAATTTTTTATCATTGTTTTATTTTCATACTTTAATTTTTTAAATGTCAAATAATCATGAAAAATATTTTTAAATGAATATTTTTTGTTAAAAATAAATCGTTTTCTTAATATTATAAACTCATTGATAATATCCATTTCATACGAAACAGGGTAATCCATATAAATACGGAAAGGGTTAATGTAATCGACATAAAAAGTACGAAGGTATTGATAATCACTCAGATAAAGCATTGAATATTGTAAGGAATCCGTTAGATTAATACCAGTTAAAATTATCGAAATATATAAAATGTAGTCAATTGAAAGAATAACTAATTGTAAATCTTTCTATAATATTGCATAGACTAATTAATATAGATGAGTAATATAGACACAATTAAAACTTGATTGCGTCGATCGTTAAGTAAAGGATTTGATAAGGATTAAGAGATTACTGCTTATTTATACGTGGATTAGAAAGCCAAGAAATATTATCATTACAAAAACTACTGCAAGTATTAAATAAAACTAATCATAGTTATAAGTATTTATACCTATTTTCATGTTATAAAATGAATTTCTTTTACTATGTACTTTAAGAACTTTAACTATTTAAGAAAAGTTTATTCAGTTAAACAGCATAATGAAAAAATATTGATTTTTGAATAAAAACTTATAAGTGTTTTTTTTTTCAATTAACTAACGATATATGATTATTTAACCTATCAAAATTATATATTTTTTCAAATGCATTCCCTAATAATTTCTAGTTATCTTAATGTTACAATAAATTAAATAGATTTATAATTTATATAATTTGTTTTGGTAATTAAAACTAATAAATAAATTATTAAGTTAGTAGTAACAAAGACATAACTTAGTATAAATTAGTTTCACTTCTGATAAATCTAATAGAACCATAACTATAAATAATTATAAAATGTATATGTGATTAGAATTTATTTTTCACTATTTATTACTATTATAAATCTATGTGATTTTTATAATAATCACTGTTATAAAACAACAAAATTTATTTACTTGCAATTATATTAATATAATAGTAATATAATAATAAAAATTATTTAAGAAAATATTATTTGACTAAATATTTGACTAAATTATTACTATAATAGTTAAATGATAATATATAAACCTTTTTTAAATTGAAATTATTTTATTATATCTATTTATTTTAATAAATTTACTATTCTTTCATTCAAAAATATATTTACATTTAATAAATATTAAAATACAAGTTGAAAATAATTAAGTTGTAAGGATTTAATTCTGCAGCATTATTAAATTAAATATATTTCAATCTATAATTTCAATATAAAAAGAGTTTTAGATATTTTATTTTTAAACTTTCATGGTAGAAAATTCAATAACTCGCTTTATGCTCATCTGTAATTCAATAAATAAATTTTAAATCAATTTGGCTTGATAATTATTCGATTTCAAACTAAAAAACATTATTTTGTGTATGTAAAAGCATGTACGTGTGTATGTGTGTATATTTAACTTTTGTATTTTTTAATCAAATTCAATTGTAGTTACAATGTACTACAACAATGCAGTATAAGAAATACTTCAATATTTATTATTAAAATTAATAAAAATTAATATTATTGAAAAAAAACATATTTATCTTAAACACTAAATGTATTTCTTGTATAAAAATATAGGTATATGTATTTTTAATAGAATAAAATCCTGCATAATTCAACTTTATATACGGCTGTTAAGACTACAGAAAGCAAGAAGCGAAAAGTAGAGTTCAGCTGTAGGTATGACGAAGTTTTGGTGCGGAATGTGACCTACATGACAAGAGGAATCACTCTGCTATAGAACTGATATTAAATACGGTTGTCAGAACGTGCGTAAAATACAGGATTGAGATTTATAGAAAATAAAATATTTCAAATTTATAATTTTTTAACAATCAATTTAATTTCTCGATTACTTTTGATTATTAAATTGAAATAAACCAAAATATACTGATAAAATGATTACTTTTAATAATGTCGAATTATCATAATAGTGTTTCGTATTATAAAGATATTAAAAAATATTCTAATGATCGTATATTTTAATATACGATTCAGTGAATATTATACAATATATAGCTCTTATAGAATAACATTATTCAATATACATAATAACAAGCTATTTATATAATCATTTATATAATATTATTGAAAAACCTATTCTAATTGTTTGTCATTCAGAATTGATAAGTGATAATGATAAATGTATCAACTGTATTGATAAAAACGATTTTTTATATTATTTTTATTTATTTTAAATTAAAATTATATTTCATGAAGTTTTTGTTTTCTTTTTATTATTTTTGTACATTACTATATTAATAGGATTATTTATTTCTACTCTTAAAAATCTAATTTTTACACATTACAATATAAGTAAAAATAAAATAAATTATTGAGTAATTTTAAAAATTAATTCTTTATTATATTAAATGTAGTATTAGTTATAAAATGATATTAATTGAATACTTTCGTATACTGCTAATTATATACTTTTTAACAAAGATATTTTGAAAAAGAAGCTATTTACTAAAGCTACGAAATAAATTATGTTATATATTTTACACAATCAAAATAGATGATTATGGTATTCAAATCAAATATTTATATTTTTATTGGGGGCTGAATTTAAGATGGGATAGTTTTTAAGTTCTTTACTTTTTTAAATTTATATATATATTATACAGATCCTCATTTTAATACTACTTCTAATATTGAATAATATCTTGTCAATGTTTTGATATATGGGTATATGATCGTAAGCATATACATGCAGCTGTATAACCTACTTTAATCCTGTTTCTTTTTATCTCCTCTCCCCCATTCTTTATTTATAAAGTCACAAGACATTGTAACCGACCAGTGTTTATTTATTAATAAGGCAATTTCATTCTTCAGCAACTTTGACTTCAATCTGTATATATCTACGTTTGTAAAATTTGTATTTTAATAATTTCAGAATTTACAAAATATAATAAATATTAGTTAATAATTTATTTTAATGAATTTAAGCAATATAAGTAAATAAAAGAGATAAAAATAAATGTTGGAATAGTAAAAAGTGATAAAAAGAAACAATCATACCTTCTAATTTTATGTAGTGGAAGATTTATTCATATTACAATTTAGTAATATTCGTAATAAATAGCATAATTCGTGATGGGAAAATTAATATAAGTTTAATAAAAATTTACTTACGTAATGTAGTATTTAGTTGATTGAATTAGCACAAAATAAACTATTCATTGAATTAGATATTTTCCCGGTCTCGTAAAAAACATAAATTTATGACGAACAAATAATATAATAAATTATAGGAGATATTTTGCTTTAATACATTTATAATTAAATTAAAACGTTCGTTTTATAAGTATCATTATTATGAGAAATGTAATCTTTTATTTTTTTTTAGTCTTCTGTTTTTTTCTATTTTTCGATTATTAATTATCTGTTCATTCCACGAACCGATGTACTCATGGCGGCTTGGCGAATACTACTGCTTCTTCTATGTTGCTTGTTGCCACTGTTAACTATACTGGTGGAAATTCCTACTCTTCCTAACGTTGATTCCATTTTTAATATTTTAAATTCTAAGATTTTAAATATTTTTAACCGATACTTAAATGGATTGTGCTCATATATTTATAAATTCCGCGTTATTATATGCAAAATCTTAAATGAATTAATTTAAATAAACATTTAATTATAATATTCATTCGAAGTAATTTTAATGTTTTCGTCGATGTTAATGATTATTAATAAATAAATATACTACAATGATAAATTCAATAAGCTGAATTCAAATTATATGAATTTAAGAAAAATATCTTAAAAATTTTATTTTATTATTTATTTGTGATAATTTTCTTTTTTATATGAGAAGCGGGAAAATATTCAAATTTAATGAACATATTACTTCCTTTATATTTAATCAATAACATTTAAAATAACCAAACATTTTTTAATTAAATCTATTAAAATAAATTATAAATTATTAGATTTATAAGGTTAATTTATTTTCTTAAAAATCCATAAGCTACTCAAGTTTTGAAAAGTGTAATTTTCATTATTTTCAAAATAAATTTTTATTCCTATTTAAATTTTTTTTTTTCTTTAGATATAATATTTTACAATATTATTTTGTACGATATTATATTTTGTATATATTAACATTAATTATAAATTTATTAATAAAAAATATTTATTGAATTTAGGAATTACTAATTTCTAAAAGCTGTTATAAATTTATAAAAAAATAAAACAATTTAATTATAATATATAGTTTAAAACTTTTTATTGTGATTCCTTTAATGAATTTTTAAAAAATATTTAAAATGTTATAAATTAAATTAAGCAGTTTATTTTAAAACTTTAAAAAGAACAATTTATTTCATTATTAAAAGCAAATATTCAAAATTCTATGAATTTAATATAATTAAATTTGTATTGCATGAACAGATAAAAAATTGTATCTACGATACTTGTTACATTGAAATAAAGAATCGGCTTGATTTAAAAACTAATTTCACTCAATAACAAGTATTTTTTTGTAAAATTTAAATAGAAATATAAAAAATATTTAATAAATAAATATATTAAATGCTATTAAATAAATATAACTGATAAACATAAAACTTTATTTGTAAAAAACGAAAAAATAAGAATATGAAATTTTATGTAACTAAGATTATTTGATGACATGAGATATATATTGAATAACATTTTTTATTTATTTTAATTGTTAGAGATTCCTTTATTTTCGAAATAATAACAAAAAATATAAATTTTTTTAAAAATGTATATATGTTACATTATAAAGATTGAAAAATATAAAGATTGATTTTTGAATATGTGAGTTGACATTAATTAGCTAGATAGCTAATTAGAATATATGTTTTGAATAATATATACTGTTAATAAATTTTTATTCCTTACTTTATGCTTGAAAAAACTTTCATTAAATATGTATAAAATATTAGTACATCATACAAGATTTAATTAGATGAAAAGAAATTATATAAAAGCTACAGTGCAGCATTTTTAAAATTAAAATGTAAAATAGTGTATGTATGTAGTGTATTAAAACATTATTTGCAAACGAAAATAATAAAAAACTATTTTGATAAAATTTATTTTATGTGTATCTTTTTCAATATATAGGGATTTTTTATAATTATATAACAATAATTGTTGTTAAATGTATCAGTTTACGCGATTATATATTCACCAATGTGTGTTTTCTATTTTTGAAATTCATTTTCTTAATTAATTAAATATTTTATTATATTGATTATATTTTTAATTATGGCACTTATTTATGATTATTAAACATAAAATAATCACCTCATATAGAAGAGTAATCATTAATTATTTAACAATTAATTTTAATAATATAATAGATCTTGAATGTTAATTTTATAATAATTACATTACTTTATCATTATATTATAATTACATTAACTAATGCTTATATTATTTTATTTATGCACTAATTTATTAATACAAATTTATGTTAATACAATTGAAAATGATTCTTCAAATTTATTTATTATATTATTTATATTCATTTTTTTAATGAATTTAATTTTGTTGTAAGATTCTTATATGAGTTAAATATATTAAAATAAATTAACCTTATAGATATATTATAATAAAAAAGAAAGATACATGTGTACGTCGTGGATTATCATTTGTTTATTAAATAGTTGTTAGCTATAATTTTTTGCATTAATTATTTAATTGATAAAACAATTACTGTAACTAAAAGAAATAACGTTATAGTACAATGTACAAAAAGGTTTATAAAGAAATATCTTTAATAGTTGAGGTATGCTAAGTGACAACGCCATTAGAATAAATCCTAATAGCATACGAGTTAGTCAAAAAGTATTAATGTAGATGTCGATATTTTAAAATATTTGCACTTGGATTCAGTAATTTTGAATGGAAAAAATTTTCACTGAAATTATTCTTAAGGAATTTAAGGAATACGTATTCAGAGAATTTAACGAATAGAACCTCAAAAATATTCCTGGAAAGCTTCATTGATTTGATGAGCTATGGATAAAATAAACTTTTGTTGAAATCGGTAATACACTTTATAACAGTGAATGCAATCATATTAAATAATGGGAAAGAATAAAAGTAATTTAAGCTTTGCAATCTATAATTGATTATCTGACTGTTGAATTTGAAAAAGAGTATATCACTATCAGTTATCTGAGACTTTTAAAACGAATTTGTCAATTATTTCAATTTAGGGATCATATCTTTTTATTTTAAAAACTATTTACACTTTTAGACAAAATATTTTATTTATACTCGACTATAAATTAAGTAATAAATTACATGCACTGCGATATGATAAATTTATATTTCTGATAAAATCTGAGATATTCGAATATTTATTTGTGAAACGATGTTGATTAATTGGCTATGTAAATGATTTGAAAAGATTATATACTTTGATATCTCGATTTTTTTTATTTCCATGTTTAAGGAATTTGAATAAAGTAATTATTATTAAACTTATTTATTGTTTCTTCTTGATTACTGATTACATATTGTATTTTACTTTTTTCTTTACATTCAATAATGAGTAACATTTACTAATGATGATATATATAAATGTATTTTGATATATCTTTACATAATATATTTATTACAATGTTATTTTTATAAAATCGTTAATTTTATGTCTCTGTTCTATAAATAGTCTTCATAATTATGAAAAATTATAATGAGGTAGAGAGCTAATTAAAGTGTTATAAAAAGGATTTTTAGGATTATTACAATTATAGAATGTCAAATTATGTCGTTTTGACAAAAACTTTGATCCATTCAATATACCTTCGCTCCTATTTAATGACAATGAAAATAGAATCAAGACTGCGGAAGATATGATGAGTTCGAATAAAAATGCATCTCTGTATTGTGTGCCTGTTGCGGCGCAAAATGGGAAGCAAACATAAATCGAAATTTCGTGCATAAGTTTACCGGTATATTAACTCATAACATATACTCTTTGATTTATTATCGGTAACTAACTTTATTGTTTTTCAACCATAAGTATACACAATTTATATTCCTTCCATTGAAATTTATATTGCTTTTATTACTTTTTTTTAATTGAATTTTTCTCTAATTTTTTAAAAGAATCCCCCCACCCCCCTCCTACATTATATTACAAAGTAATAATATATTTCAATTAATTTATAAAATAGACAGTTTAAATATTAAAAAAGTTTATATTTTATTATAATGCATTTGAATTCATTTGAAATTTTTTTATAAATATTAAAAATGAATAAGAACTATTATTGTTTTAAAACTTATTTTAATAAAATTCTACAGTAAAACTAAAAATATAATAGTAACTAGTTAATAGTTGAATTTATCATTGATAATGGTAATTTTTAATCGAACTGCGAATAATACGATATTTGTTATTTTATTAGTTTTCTAAATATTAAAAATAACTACTTTTGCTTTCTTTGGAAACATTATTATTTATATAAAAATTATTTAAAAATTAAAAATTTGAATATTAATTCAGTATGTAGAATGGTATTTACAATTGTTTAATTGATTTTTTAATAATCATATTAGAATACTTAGATATTAAACTTTTTGAACGGCTGAATAAAATCACTTGTTTATAACCATGCATTTGTTTATTATGTCGTCCATCTTGACATTTGAGTAAAAACGAATAATATTAAAGAAATTGTACAAAATAAAGTTAAATAAAAATATGTTAATATTTTATTAATGTTGTTTATATTTTAATTTATTTTTCCTATATTTTTTGTTTAATTTATGCTGTACTTATAAAACTTATATATTTTAATTTTTTTATTAATTGTATTATTTAATCTCTAATTAATTATAATTAAAAAAATACTTTATTTATGTTCTATTTGAAATTATGGTTTGTGTTTTCATCAATAATTAAAATATCTACTAAATAGTACTGCTTATAATAAATACACATCATTGTCAATGCTGTTTTTTTAGATTATTAATAAATATTAGTGATTTTAAAATACTATGATACAGTAAATAAAGTTGAATATGTTCGATATTTAAATAAAAAGTAAAATAAAATAAACATAAAAAATAAAGAATGTTAATAATAATAATTTAAAATTAGGTGAAGTAAATAATATTTTAATTTTTGAAAATTTTCGTTTTAAAATATTAAAACTTACATATTAATAAAATCTTATTCTTGAGAAATATATATTTATTACATATATTTTTTGAGTAGTTCCATATTTTGCATCATCCAAGGACTTTTATAATTCTTACTTGTCACTTGTATGTATGTCAAATAGATCATGACTAAATTTCTTTTGTATAAAATAGGCATCAATTGAAATAAAAATTTAATTTTTTAAAAATTATTTTATTTTTTCATTTATATAATAATATCATAATAATCATAATAATCACAATTATAATGATTATTACCACCCGGGCTTTACATATGCTTCAAATTGACCCCGCTACTGGAATTCATACGATATAATAACCATTTTATACTAATATAAATACTAATTTAGTCGTAACAGTTGTATTGATTTATTTGGGTGAATTGAAAATGCAATTGTTTTCATTTTTACAAATCAGTATGTAGCTTGCATTGTTAAGCCAATATTATCGTTTTAATTCATATTTTTTTTTAAAACATTAAAAATTGCAAATAATTATGCATTAAATTATTTTCATTTATCTAAATGTGGATAAGTTTCTTACATCTGTAATTTAATATACATATTATTATTTATTTACAGAGTACAAATCTAGTGTGTCATATATAAATTGGTTTACTTGCATGAATAATAATTATAGAAAAGTTTAAAACAATTTTAGTAAAATAATATATTCTATGGAAATCTTATTTTTTTAAGAATTAGTAAAGAATTTCTTTAATTTAAGTAAATATTAAGATTGGTTGATTACATAACCGGATCTAATGTTCGTTAAATTAATTATTATAAATAATGTATGTCTTAGTATGTAATAAATGAAGAATTAAAAAATATATTAGAGTTTATTAATATGTAAAAATTTACAATAAAGCTCATTGGGAGAGTAATGTCGAGAATGTTTGGTGCATGTGGGTACGTGTTGTAGGGGGGATCAATAATTTAGTACAAGGCATTATTTTCTCTTACGTGCATAAAAAATTAATATTTATTATTAATATTTTGGAAAACAAATAGTAAAAAAAATAGTTTTTAAAAGATGATCGAAATAGTTATATTATTTATAAATTAATATTTGTAAAATTAAAATATATATGAATAAAAACATTTTAAAACGAATTATAAAGGAATACATTAATTAAAAAAGCGATTAACTATTTAATATTTAAAATTTTAAATCAAGTACTACTTTTACAACGACCATAGCTTTAAAATAATTTACCTACTAAATAATTAGTTGATTTTTAGTAATCATATCTTTGTTAACTATCAATTGGATCGTACAGACTCGAACTTCATTGATTTTGTTTTTCTATACGTAAACGTGATTGAATATACATATTTATAATCAAGTACATTTAATGAATATTTATTTTTTTTTTGTAAGTTTAAACTACAAATATAGAGAACATATATTACTATGGCTTCGAAATATAGAAATATATATATATATATATATATATTACACATATACCTGCCTGAGTTTGGTATTATTTTAACATAATCTTTTTAAATATTTATCGTGACATTCTTTAAAATTTTTATAAATTTTAGTACAATATATAATGTTAAAAATAAATATTTCACTAAGAAAAAATATTATATTGGTCTTATTTCTTTAAATAATAGTATAAACGAAAATCGTATTCCAAAATGAAATACAAAATGCAAGAACATAGAGTCAGCACAATATATAGAAAGAGATATATAGGTAGCGAACAAGTGTGACCGAAATGTAAAAATAAATCAAGAAAGAGTCACAAAAATACACATTCCTTACTGAAAGTTATTAGATTATAATCATTTGTATATACGTGCAATTTTTGTTTTGATAATTAAAATTTAAAACATTTCTAATTTTCAAAAAAGAAAATTCCAATAATGATATAAAAATATGATCCATAACATGAATACGCTGCGAGAAATATAGTATTTTAAAGTATAATGTAAAAAATACATATGTACGCAAAATGCAATAATAAAATATATAATTTTGTATATAATAATATATCTACCTCTTTATATAGTTAAAGAAATATATAGGATATATATAATACAGAAAAATAAATATATAAATTACATTAATATATTTTGTTCCAGTTTCAGATAACGACCTTAGAAAATTTACTTATTTAATTTTAATATTTGAAATACTATTTAATTATATTATTTTAATATTAATTAAAACCAAAGATTTGAATATACTAACGGTCTAACGTGTATAGATGTGTTATTTTATTTAAATATTTATGTAATTTAATATTTTTATATTATATTGTAATGGCTTAGAAAAACATTAATTTTTTAGAAAAATAAGCATTTATTATAAGATTATTGTTTTAAACACCATTTAAAATAATTAATATTATATCTACATACAGTTCAGATTTCATAATGTGTACATTATTGATAGCCAATAAACTTTGATCACTACTACGCATGCCTGAAATCGTTACACTCTTTACTTTTGATAATTTCAAGGAAGTTGAATACTTCCGCATTTACCGTATATTTGATTTAATTGATTTTACTGTTTCCCGCGTGCGCGCAATTCTCGCGCTTGTTTATACCGCGATATTTTGGTCGTTTTAATTTTTTTTATATTTTTTATTTTTTGTTTATTTACTTTGAATTATTTTCTACGTAAATATATTTTTTACATAAATTACTTTTGTTTGTTTACTATATTGCATGAATTGCCTCCTATTATGCTACAAGTATAGTATGGTAGCATAAAGTGTTAAAATGCAGTGTTGTGTACAATTACTAGACCATTTGATGCATGTACTTGAAATGCCATAATAGTTTTACCTTTTATTATTTAAATTAAATTGTAAAAATGTTGAAATTAAAAAGGCAAATATGGTTATTGTGTAGATGGTAACAAATATTTCAATTCAAAGAAGTTAAAATTGGTACAAAAACAATGCCACGAAATATAGAGGAAATTAGTGATACTCCACGTACTGGAAGAAATAATTATAGTCACAAATTTAATTCATTTAATAGTACAGATAGTGGTTATCTTAGTTTTAATACTCAGTCCAGTAATTATGGATTAAGTAATCGTTCTAAATCACTACTTTTATCTTCAAGAAAGTTACCAAGCTTACGGATTGAACCGTATCCATCTAAATTTAATCGAAAATTTAGTATTTCTGAGTCAAATGTATGCAGTTCTGACTCTCAAGATCATTTGGAAAATATTCAAAGTAATTCATCCATTAATTTTGCAAATACTCAAGTAACCTTTAACAATTTAAAAATAAAAAATTCAAATGGTTCATATAGAATGGAATTGAGAAGCCATAGTAAAAAACAATTTGAATCATTAACTTCTTTTGTTGCAGTAACATCTTGTAAACGTAGTTTGCATGATGTTTTACCTTTGTCACCTTTACCTACATTACCATCACCACCATTTGTATATGAACCCAGAAATAATGATACAGAAATAAAACTAGTCATACCACAAAGCACGCCTTGCTTTGTTAGTTCACCAAAATTACCTACTCCATTACATAACATTGCTTTCTCTCCTATAAGTTATAAACCTAGTCCTTTTATAAACACTGTAAACAGTAAAAAGTTTAGTAATTTGTCTATATCAGAATATACTTTTATAAACACAAAAAGTAGACCGAAAAGACTAGATTTTAGTAAGCGAGCTATTTTTGAAAGCTTCCAAAAACATAGATCAACTGATGATTATACTGGCAAAGAAACTATAGATATTTTTAAACTTCTTGGTGAAAAAAGTAATCATCCAAGGATAGTTTCTAAAATTTTAAGTTATTTAAGTCCGCAAGATCTTTGTTCTATAAGTATGGTATCAAAATCATGGCAGAAAATATGTAGCAATGATTCAAAAGCTCAAGAGAGAAGACTGAAATATATAATAATCAGACAATGCTCCAAAGAAAATTTGGTATCATTAAATAAATACAAATTTCAAGAAGATGTTCAAATAAGTCCTCGAACTAGATTTCCAAAAAGAGGATTTTTAACTGCTGTACCTACGAATATGTTACAGGCACCAAAAATTCATTTAACACCAAGTAGTCCACCAGTTTCTCCAAGCAAGGTTATATTTCATTCATTTATCAAGGTAAATAACTTGGAAATACATTTTCATTGTATATATTCATTATGAATTGTATAATTTTGAAGGTCTCATTCGACTATATATATGTATATATATATATATATATATATATATATATATATATATATTATAAAATCAATATAAATATGTTGTTTTAATATAATAATGAAATAAAACATAATTTATTAAACAATAATTTTTAGTTAAAAAAAACAATAATTTTATAATTTTACTACTATCTAATTAATATCAATAAAAATGTTCATATTATTTGACAAAGGTAAATCGATTATACGCGGAATTGTAGATATAGAATTTTATTAATTTCATCATTGTCTTTCTTTCTTTTGATGAAAATTTAGTTTGAAATTTTTATAAGTTCTTGATTTAAAGTTAGTTAAATTTTGATGAAATATAGTTAAAACTTATTTTCTAAGATATTTTTTACTGTTTTTGCTTATAAATAATTTTTTATTATTTTTATATTTATTTGATAGAAATTAGAAAGTATATGTGTTTGAAAAATAATGAGAATTGTAAAAGATTTGGGTTTATCTTAATAAGAAAAAAAGCATTCTTTTATTTAAAATATGAAAATGTATAAATATTTTTTTGACTCTAAAAGCAGATAGTTATATATATTAATACGTTATATTGTTTTAATATTAGTTTTAAGCAGTTGCAGTTAGAATATGCATGTAAGCACAAATTTTTATAAAAAATTTATTCATCAGAGATTGATCACTTAGTTTATTTTTTTCGATTATATAAAAATAAACATAAAGATAATATAAAAATGAACATAAAAATAACCTTATAATTATACAAATTTTTATGAAATTGTTTAAGTATATTTGTTTACATATGTAAAAGTATATTTTAGTATATCTAGATTAAAGATAACATGATACAATTGTGAGTGTTTCTTATTAAATAAATAAAAAACAAAGATTGTTTTTTATTCAAACGTTTTATTACTAATATAATTTATTAATTTATTTTCAAAATTCTTTACATATTTGTTTTCCATATATTATATTCTTTGTAATTAACAACCTGGAATAGTGTAAAAAGTTTATTATTTATTAATACTTAATAATTAATTTAAAAATTTGCTAATCAAATTGAATGAATAATGTTCAATAGGAATGATATATTATTTATATTTGAAAAGAATTTAAGTCTCCATCGCAATATAATTTTTTCATGTACTAAATGGTTTATTATTTAGTTTTTCATTTAACTTTCATATTTAAAATTGCGTCACATGAAATTTTTAAATGTATTTGTATACATAAAATATTTTTAAATGTCTTATTATTTTTTGTGTATTTACATACTTTGTTTTAATAATACTATTTGAAAATACGTTATACTTCTTGTAAAGTTTGAGTACGGAATTCGGGCGTCAATATTAAAACATTATTTTTATTTGTATAAAACACCACATGCTTCGTGTTATACAAAATTTAAATAAAATGTACGTATTAATGACTAAATAATAAGCATCTAGAATTCATTGTTCATATGCTTTTAAATATTATGAATATGCGAATTGAATATTTGAACATTTATTCTTGATAGAATAATATCATTTTGTACTATCTTTATTTAATTTTTTGGAATTTAAGACTAATCACAATTTTCATTAAATATGTCATCATAATAAATTTTCAGTGTAGATTTAAGTTTATATTTACGTTTAGAGAGGGCGCTCAGATTACAGTAATTATATACATTTTTTAAATAGTCAGTAAGATGTAATTATAGAAAATTTAACTATCATTTGTTCTTAATCATATTGAATAATATATATTTCAATATATCTACATATTATAATAGAATACATATAAACTATTGAAACGATTAAAATAATAAAAAGGTAAAATATCAGATTTTTTTTTTTTAAATAATTAAACAAGTATTATTAACATTAAATATAATATTTGGTAAAATTTTTCTATTATCTCGACTATAATCTATTATATTTATTATTTATATCCGATAATCATATAATTAATAAAGCGAATTATGTAATTTGTGAATAAATATGTAATTTTGATATCTAAATAATTCATGTAATAAATTAATTAAAAAAACTTGTAAGCCAATAAAATATTTATAATTAATAAACATTTTTAATAAGTTCTATATAATTTGTGCGTTCTTCTCGACTATTGACTTAATGATTCCTAATAGAGAGAATAATTTAAATTAATTGAACATTCGTGTATTGAATGACGTATGAGCATGTTCCATAATATATTACCGAAAAGATTACATTATAAAGATGGTATATATTAATATATATTTTACATTTTTCTTAATAGTGTTATGTATCTTATAAATGATATAATTTATTATATTATTTAAATATTTTCAAGTTTATAAGTATACTAATAAATATAAACCTTAACAAAAATTTAAAAGAATTAAAAAAAACCTTTTAAAACTAATCTTTTTCATATTTAAATAAAAATATAATTTTTTTTAATGAAAACTGAGGTGAATTAAAAGAATATTATAATTAATAGTAAAGTAAAAATGTAAATTTGAATTAATTAAATGCTTTCTGATAGGTTTGATGAACATAAGAAATTGATTTTTTGTAAATAAATTGTGAGCAGTTAATTTTTAGTATCTGTTGAATTTCATTTGTATCAAATCCATTTGAAAATAAAATAAAATATTAAAGATAAAGTTTAATGTATTTTTACTATATCCTGCATAAAAAAGTAGATATTTCTATTTAGTAAAATTAATTATTTATTTAAAATTTTTTCGGATACGCTAATATTTACAAATTTAAATTATATTATTTTAAATATTTATAAATAAAATTTTGTAAAGTACAAATTTACTTACTAGTTACTTTTATATGCTCCCTGTAAGTTTTAGATTATTTAAAATATTACATATTAACTAAATATTCCTTGGTTTTGTTATTCTCCTTAAAGCGTTTATTATAAATTATACAGAATAATCAAGTACATTTTTCGTGCTTTTTATTGGAAAATTTTATTGGATACATTTTATTGGAAAAAAGATAGCAAATTGAACACTATGTTTTAATGTAGTAATTCGTTTATGAATAATATAATATAAAGAAATAAGATATTATTAATGAATTTTGAGTTGTATAAACTATTACAATTATATATAAATTACGAATGGTTAAGCATTACATAGTCGTGGGCAACAATTTGGAAAATAAATATGTATGATATTTATTTATATATATTATTATATAGAAACAAGGAGCATTGCAACTTTCAAATTTTATTTGGAATTTTAAAATCATTAAAATGTTTATCAATATGTAATATTAAAATAAAAAATGGTTTATAATATTGCTTTAAAAAATTTTATTTGAGCAAGCATAAAACTCATTTATAATTATATAAATTTTTCTATTATATATATTTCTAGTTTTTTACAAATTAAAAATAAAATGAAAATTATTTAAGAAATCATTAAATTATTAATATTTTCTTAAGAATTAATCCTAGGCAGAAATAAAAATTTAAGATATGTACCAGGAATTAATTAAAAAAATAACTTGATTATTCATTTTGAATCAAAACGAAAAACTAATTTACTCTTCTGTGCTGTATTTAATGTATGTAATAAAAATATAAATTAAAATCATACAATACATGCTTATTATATTACATAGTATATTGAGTTATTATATACAAATTTCTAACTATGAAGTGAAATAATACATATTAAATAACGAAACATTACGAAATGAATTTAGCATTAGGAACATGCATATGTAATCGTTAGTAAATATATCCGTATGCAACATGCGTATATGGATGGTACTTACTATTTTTAAAGAACTAAACACATGTACAGAATTTTATATTTTTTGTTATTTAAATGAAATATGTGCATTAATAAAAATTAATATAGTGTGTTTTATGAAAATATTTTATCCTATAGTTACCAATGGAGCACTTTTATTTTATGTATTTATTTATTTATTTCAAAAAATAAATTTGAGAATATATGTATGTATACTGATTGGTATCGAACTTCTTAATTGAAAATACTTTTAAATTTATAATTTTTTAAAAAATTAATAAATATAAGTGTTTCAAATTTCAACTTTTATAATATAAACTTTTTTAAAAATAGAAGTACTGGATTTAATCAAATATTGACTCTCCGTTTAGCGTATTCTTATTTGTATCAATTGTTGTATAGTTATTACTATATTAATGGATTGTTTTGTATTTTGTATAAAAGATTTTTCAGAAATTTCAAATCACTTTAAAATTTGACAATGAATTATTATTTTATAAAGTAATTAAATATGATTCCCCTTCCAAATATTTCTGTGTAGATATCTTCTATTTCCATTTGAAATATATTATTTTAATTGTGTTATTAATAATCACGATTACATTATTTTTCAGTGTACGGTTAATATTAAGATAGCATTTTATTATTGGTTTATCATAGAATTTTAGTTTTGTTAAAAAAAACAATTCATATAACATTTTTTCATATTGTATCAATATGTTCAGTATGAATTTTACTATTATTAGTATAAATACAATATATGAGAAGATAAATCAATAAATTTATTCAGTTGAATTTGGATTTCCTATTTTTCTTTCCTTAAAACTAATGTATAGTACTTTAATTTTACCAAAAACAAAATATTTGTTAAATTTCGGTTTTTTATGTTTTCTTTTACATAAATAAAAACTGTATTTGATATTTTTATTTTTATTAATTTAAGATTTCTATTTAATATATATAGTGGTTTAATACGAGTTTTTGGAATTATAACAGAAATAAAATATTTAATAACATTCAGCAACAGTAAAGTAAATTTTTAAGAAGATAATTTTTATAATAAAGTATTAAAATCACAATTTTTTAATGTATTAATATTAATTAAAATTTAAGAAACAAAAAGATTCAGATGAGAGGTAAGCTAATTAGAAACATGAGCGAACTGAAGAAAATAGAAAATGATTTTTAATATATTCATTATGTTTGGATCAATAAATATTCAATTACGGTAGCGGCAAATATTTGTAATATTCTGAATTAGAATATGGTTATATTTTAGTACGTATGAATATTATAACTGTTAGTAAAGTAACCGAACACATGGTCGGATAGGAAATAATGTTTTGCTACCAACAAAATATTTAATGTACCGTATGTTTTCTCTTTCAAAATGAATATTTATCTGAAATAACTGAATTGATATAGTTATTATTTTATGATATTAATATTCTCAATAAATTTAATACAAGTTAAGAATTACTTTTAATGAGTTTAAAAAGTACAATTTCGTCAAATTCAGAAATATATTTAAAAATTTTAAATTCTTTTACTTTTATTCCAGACAATATAGATGTTTTTCTGTTGTGTTCTTTTTAGTTGTTTAAGACGATGTAGCGGATAACTACAATTTTGACGTAAGACCTGTAAGCGTACGCTCAGCAACTTTTATTCACTACTCGTCAATTATTTCACAATAATTATAGCAGCCTAATCCAATACTAATTCATATCAGTTTCATAATACTCATATTAAATAAGCCATAATTGAAAACCATAATATTGTTGGAGGCTGTTTCGAGTGTTATTACAAACGATTAAATAGATTATTATACATTAAATCTTTCTAGCTTTATGCTTTTTTATCGAAAAGCATTTTTATTGAGCTAATCTTAAATTTATTTATATTTTTTTTGTTTACAAGCTGTATCAATTAACATTGGATCAACACTTTTTTTAATGAATATAGTCTAAGAAAATCAATAAATTAATAAACTAAAGCTATACGTAATTATGGGTTTAAAAGATATCGAAATCTGTTAGTAAATTAAAACTTTTATATATCTGCTAAATGTAAATGCTATAGGTATAATTTAATTATATAAAATAAGAGTGAACGCTTGATTTCTTTGAAATATAAATATACATTATGTGAACGTACTTAAACATATATAATAAAACTGAAAAAGATATAACATAAGTATGGGTACAGTTGATATTTATTATCTAGAAAGTAATCATTTTCTTCTATCATTATTAAGGAAAATTGAAAAAAACTTAATACAACATTATTATAAGTGTATATTAATGTTAAATAAGTCTGGTAAAAAAAATGTTATCTTATAACAATTATGTATTTTTTATCGCATAAGATTTTAATGTTATTTATTAATGACATAAAACTCTAATTTAAAAAAAATAAAAAGTATATAAATGTAAATTATTTTTAGTTTATTAAATTATAAATAGACTTATTATTGATTATTAACTTATCATTATTAGTATTAATTGATTATCAACGAAAATGAATTAGTTTCAAACTTTTAATTTCTTAAACAAGTTGTAATTGATACTTGACGTTTAATCGTACTTTTTCACATTATAAAGTATTTTAAAATTAATTACTTTGCAGTAAATAATGTAAAAATATATTTGTTTATTTACACTAAAATATGATTTAATAATAATCCGATTAGCTAAATTATTTATAGATATTCTTAAAATACGCTTAATAGTCTTTATAAGAATTATAAAAATACAAAGCTATTAAGAAATTTTAAATGCGTGGTGATACAACAAAAATTTCAATGTATACAAGATAGTAATGTAGTTTTTAGAAGAATAAGAAATATGAATATGACATTACATTATATTTGCGAGCAATATTGTAATATTACTCCAGTAATTATATCAGTTTTCAAAAAAAAAATTAAAAAAAAAACAAAATAAAATAAAAAATTACTTATTAAAGACTAATTTGAAAATTTATTTAGGAGGTGATTAAATTTGATGATGCAAGGATTATTGTAAAATGTTCGAAAATTTCGAGAATCAAATATGGCGTTAAATAGGTACATTTATATCTTATTTTCTGTAAGAAAATATACTCTACAGTTTGATGGAGCATTCTATAAACTAATCCACAGTTTAATTAGTAGTCTAAAAAAAAATTTTAGACTGAGAGCAGACACGAAAAATGTTGAAAATTTAACCTTAGAAAAAATTTAGAAAAAATAAATAGTAAATAATGAAGTTTATTAATTTTTAGTAAACTCAATTAAAACAAAGTATAAAATTATAAAATAAACTATTTTAGATTTATGTACAATTAAATTCTTGAATATTAAAAATTACAAACACGAATAATAGTAATATAATGTTTGAGCAGTTTAGATATTTATAATCTAAATATTATATGTTTTCTGTTAAGTTTTTAAGTTTAGAGTTACGATATACATACTAATTATAGTAATTAGTTTACGTATAGTATTTTTATTAATAAAAAAATGAAAGAAATACTATGACTATCTAAAGTTAATTCGTTTGAATAAATTAAAAAAAAATATATCATTTTAAATTGAAAGTGTTTATAAAACATTCCTGAAAAAATATATCTTCAAATTGTTTAAATTGATGATTTATTTTCTGATCCATTTTAGGCGGGACGAAGTCTGGCACCTCGAGATCAATTGGTACCATGTCCACAATGTAAATTTGCCTGCCGCGTTGAAAATAAAAAAAATGTGGGTATTTGTTCACGCCAAAGCTGTCCAATGGAGGAATTCTGTGTATTTTGCTCATCAAAGTTGCATGTTGGTGAACCCTGTAAAATGCCGCTTCTGGCAACACCTACAAAACGTGGAAAACAACAACAACCTATCGTTGGGACCAGGCAGTGTAAAAGGAACTTACGCCGAATATCACGCCTTATTTGATGTATCGGTTGTTTCTTTGTGTGCCATGTTTATACATCTTAACTTATGTATTATTTTATTTATTTAATTTATTTATTTTTCCGTTGCATTAAATATTGTTTTTATTCAGTAAATTCATTTTTATTTTCATTCAAAATTCGATTATCGAGCTATTTATTGTTCGAAACTATTTTGAGTAATAATTATCGTAATTTTCAAATATGATTGTTAATTTTTTTAGTTATATATATTATAAAGCTCAATTTTTGTATTTATAATCATATTAGCCAATAAATCTTTGTTTATAAATAAAGCTTAATTGTACGTTAGTCAAAAACAGGTTTGTATGGTGTTTTTTTTTAATTGATCAACAAAATTAAACGTGTTTAAATTTGAAGATATTTATTTTATCACATGTAATTAACGAGTCTATATAACAGTTATTAACTTGTAAAATATTAAATTAAATATATAACGAATAAAATATGTAATATTATAGTTTTAAAGTGTTTATAATTTAAAGTGGAAAAATTATTATTTCATCGTTTATTTTGCTATATCTGTATATTTATATATTTTTTTATTGGTTTATAAATAAGAGTAATTAATATTAAACTCATTCGACTATGTACATATATTTTTTATTATATTGAAATATCTGAAAGTATAATGTAACATTTGGAAATGAAAGTTCTATTATATTTAGTTAAATTAATAAGACAGGACAGATATAAAACATTTTACAAAATTTTTTCATAAAAATGTTTAATTAAAATTTGATTTGATTAAAACAACGAATGTAAAAAAAAACAATTTATCAGTTATTGTAATAATTTGCAATAGCTGAACATATATAACGAACTGACCTTTTTGAAAGAATGAAAATTGAAGATAATCATTATAAATAGGCGTATTTTGTACTTTGTATAGTAAATTTTAACTGAATAATTATAAAAAATAAATTAAAATATTTTTGTATACATATATTATATCTATTTGTATGTAAGAGTTATTAATGAAATGTATATTCAATCGATTTATAATATTAGCTTCTTGATTATATATAATCAGGAGTAGTCATTTGTGAATTTACTATATCAATATATAATTTTATGAAAGATATATTTAATTTGTATCTATATTATTTTTTATTAACATTCAATATTATAATTACGATGATTATAAATACTCAAAAGTGTTAACACAGATAATTAATAAATTGTGTAGTCCTATATTTTTGTATAGCGAGTTAAATTTAAAAATGAAACCAAATAAAGTTATTTAAAATATGTAATGAATTAAATTGTTTACAATTAATCTAATTATATTTATTCTAATAATACCTAATAAAGAAATACTCACCATAAGATTTATAAATCGAATTTGTCCAGATTACTGAGATTCGTTTTTTAAACATTTTATACAAATTCAGTAGAGGGAATTAAGATAAATATATAGTTGAAATTATGAAAAAAATTTGAGTAGCATCTTTTTATCTTATATTAAAAATTGAAAAACAAACATATTATAAAAATAATTTTTTTAAATAAAAAATATTTAATACTGTAGTCTATTAAATATATTTGATATGTAAATATAGTAATATATGTTTTGATGAATATTTTTGTTTTTATAATTATTTTTTTCAATATAATATAATAAGTATATAATAATATATAATGGTTTGCAAATGAAATATTTAGGTATTGTTTAATAATGCATAATATAACACTTAACTGTTATATATACTATTCGTACTTATTTTATTGTACAATTCTGTATTGAAATTATGTTCAGTTAGAAGGGCTACAAATTTTCAATTTCGATTATGTACAGTTTAATTTCTAAACATTTCAAACATACTTCTTTATAAACATGTAGCTAAATGTACATGCTTTTTACTGAATGACATTTTATTGCATAATAAATTGAAAAAAATTACAATGATTTTTAATTAATCAAAGGCAAGTAAATACACATACAAATATTTTATTTTAATACATTTATTTATACAACTAAACATTTCCATAACAATCTTCCAATAATAGCAAAGAAAATCACCATAATAGGAAGTACAGGTATTGGTTTTATATTTGAATGCTTTCCAGAAACTAATCCCTCTTTAAAAGATCGGTTTATAGCTGGTGAAATACCTTTGCTTAATGGTTCTCCTTTCATGGAATATTTTGACGCTGATATAATTTTCACTTTCACAAGTTTTCCCATTAATTCATATTTCTTTGGAATTAATACTTGCTCATAATATGAATTATGTGCAACATAATGTTTTTTATCATGAGCTACTTCTGTTACAAGAACATCCTGTACTTCACCAATTGCATTACTATAAGGTTCATAAGACTGGAAGAATTCAGATAATATTTTAGTTCTCTTTTTTATTTCAATTGTAGGAACTTGTATCATTAAAGCAGCTGGAGTTCCTGGTCTAGAAAAAAATTGATTGATAAATAAACTAGAAAATTTGTATTTTTTACATAAATTTAAAGTATCTTCAAAATCTTCTTCCGTTTCATTTGGGAAACCACAAATAATATCAGTTGCTATAGTTATTCTTGGAATTCGTGCTTTAAGATAATCAACAATATATTCAAAATCACTCCTTACATATTCTCTTTTCATAGCAGAAAGGATTTTATCACTACCAGATTGTACAGGTATATGTAAGAAACTGTAAACTTTTGGATGTTGTAAGATTTTAGATATATCTTCTAAATATTCTAAAATATATGGTGGATTGGCCATTCCAATTCTCATTCTACATCCATCAGGTATAACTTCGATCAATTCCCAAAGTAATTTTGGTAAAGTTGTTCCAATATCTTTGCCATAAGTTCCAGTATCTTCAGAGGTTAACCACAGTTCATTCACTCCTTCTTCAAAAGCCTGTTTAGCACGCTCTATAATTTCTTTAGGTCTGTAACTTCCAAGCTCACCTCTTGCATGTTTTGTTTTACAATATGTACACTGATTAAGGCAACCAGTATTGATTGCAATAATTTCAATAAGTGGATTTCTCCGAACTTTTGGTAAAGAAAGAGATGCTCCACCTATTTTTCTACCTGCATCTTTTTTTTGACTTAATAATTTTACTGTATTTCCTTTTAATGTTTCTTCAACAACTTCAACTACTCTATCAATTTGATGAACTCCAATAATACTTAGACCTTGTAAATAACTAGATTTTGGAGCTCCTTGTGATACACATCTTAAAAAATTAATATATTGTCAAAATTAATAATTTAAAATCAATTTTAAATATTTAAAAAATATTTTAAATACCCAGCTACAACAATATGTTTTCCTAATTTTCTTCCAGTCTCTATTTCATTTTTAAAATGAGCTTCGGATGGATTCTTTACTGTACAAGAATTTAGAAGCCATAAATCTGCTACATGCTTATCTTCGGTTAAATTATAACCATAAGCAGCAAGTTGTCCTGCCATATATTCACTATCCGAGTTATTATGTGTACATCCCCAAGTTCTGATATAAATTATTTGTGTACCTGGAATTATACTGGAATAAATTTGTAATTCAGGTAGGACAAGATCTTTTTTCTTTCTATTAGCACGTATAATATTTTTTTTAAAACTATATCGTGTTTTTGGTGTAATGTTTTGTGATGATATTAAATCTTCGATATCTCCAATAATTTCACTGCATGGAGCTGACATGTCTAAAAAAATAATTAAATAAAGAATGAATTTTTTTCATTATATAATAATAATAAAAAATAGTTAAATAAGTATTATGGAATAATAATAAATTATATTAGATTTAAAAAATTTTAAGAAGTTATTTTTTAAGTTTTTCTTAATTTAAGTTATTCTTAAATTTTAAGAAGTTATATTTTATACTAACATTATTCTATTTTGATGATTACTTTTAACTTTTCTATTGTATTCAATAATAGAAGAATGTTTAAATTACATTTACTAGGTCTTCAATATATCATTACTAATAGTATATATTTCATTAATAATTTACAAATTATTTATTATTACCAAATATTCTTATTAAGCATATTTTAAAATAACTAGTCCTAATAAACTAAATTCAAAATATACTTATTGCAACAAGAAATCTAAAATATTTCTTTATAAACCCTTTCAATTCTTTAGTTTATTCAGCATTTTGCACAAATATGCTCCAAATACAATATAATTTATTCATTCTGTATATTAAGCTTGTTCTATTTTTACATAATTTCTAATCATATAATTAATTTTTTTTAATTTTATTAAAAATAACTTTATTAAAAATAAAAATATAAACTTATAGAAAGCTATTTTATTAGTACTTCATTATGTTTGATTATAGGGTATTTAAAATTCATTAGGATTTTCAAATAATTTATATGATAATTTATTCATATTTCAATTAGAATTATAAAATTGATTTCAATATAGTTTAAATAAAAATATTTTTAAATCATTTCATTTCAATTTCAATTAAACTTAATTTATACTAATAATCATTATTTTCTAAAAATTATATTCACTTCATTTAATAAACTTTATTCATTGATAAATTAATAAAGATCCTGTTTTTGAAAGCTACTGATTTAAATGTAAATTAAGAAATTTATATTTCTATAAAATTTTAAATATCTTCAATATTGGAATTTTTAATAAACAAAGTTAAACTGCAATTAGTAAAATTTTGAGTGACAAGATGAATTTTTATATTCTTATGGATTTGAATATACAACAAAAATTCTAAAAAATTTAATTGAAAAGAAGTATATAAAAATAGATTTTTTATTTATTTTATAAGATTTATTATATTCAATAATAAAATATGAATGTGTGATATAAAGAATAATTTAAAAGTTAAAATTAATCAAATTATATATACCTTCAAAGCTTTTTATGAAATTATGATTATTGTTAATTCGTATATCTAATTGACCGAATAATTATTGTATTTCTTAGCATACTGAAATTTTTTAAAATAAAAGAATCTGATATTTCTAAAAATAGCATTTCATAAATGAACATATAAGTTAAAGTTTTAAAATACTAATAAAGATCAATAATACTATAATAAAATATCGATAGTATCCTATATAAAAGATATATAATCATAGATTAAATTAGCATAAAATTACCCCCAAAAATTATATTATATATTGATTTGAGTTTTATATTCTCCAACACTTAGCTGAATATCAAAAAATTACATTAGTAAGCTGTAGTTACAAAATTCTTGGTTATAATTTTCAATTTCATTTACCAAATCCATAAAAATGATTTATTTAATTAAATATTTATAAATGTTCAAGTTAAATGTATCTTAACAAAGATAAAATTTATTGAATAATTTTTTGTTAATATTTAAATATAATTGAAATATATTATAAATATTATTTAAAACATTTTTCATTAACTTATTAATAAGTTGAAACAACAAACTTAAATTCCTTTAATTTATAAATATTTTAGCAATTCATGAAATTTCATTGTTTTGATCATAATCTTTACAAAGTTATACTTAGAGAATTATTATTATTCTTTTATGTATTTCTGTTATAATTTTATACTAAATTTAATATTTAAAAACACAAAAAACTGTATAATTAAAAATAAATTTAATTGATTTCTATATATTAACCATTTAAAATATATCATTAATTGTAAATAATCTATGACTACAAATAAAATATTACAATTTGAAAAATAATTATTAAAAGTAAAATATAATTTATAATAATTTTTAAAATAATTTAATAAAATTAGGATTATTTTTAATGGCTTGGATTTGTTATTATTTATATACTAAATAACACATATCAAACAAGGTTTATATTTCGTTAATTGGTTTACATAAAATTTAGTATATTCATTACAAATAATATTGAAAATATATTATCTGACAACATAATTTGGATATTTTAACGAGTTTCTTTTAACAAAAAATTTTTTTACAAATATATATAATGTTATGTATTAATCTTACTAATTTGCTTTTGTATTTAATGTACGTTGTTTGTGTTATGTATTTAAGTGCAAAATGTATACAATTATACACAATTTCATTAACAAATAACAAGATGAAGATATCAGTAATAGAATTTGATTAGAAGTATATTTATTAAAACATATGCGCGCCCGTCCATGGGTACATATACGCCAGTGTGTATGTAGGAGCAAACTAATTCTTATGCGAACAAAATGGCTGAAAGTGTAGAAGCACGAGGTTGTTCTTTGTATTTCTAAACGGTTATTATAAGATACTGAAACGTTATTGATACTAATACAGTACATAAAATCAAAAGTGAAAAAAAATAATTGTAAATTTAATGATTTATAACCGAGAATATTCATAATTTGAAAATGGTAAGTACATATTCCATTTCTAATAATACATTTTTAAAATTTCGCGCGCTTAATGTCATGGCGCTAGAGTTTATTTTTTTTAATTAATTTTTACAATTATATTAAGTAAAAAATTTAATTTTTGTTTTCAATTATAATAATTGCTACTTAATTGTAAGCATTAGTTTTACTTTATAGCTGATACATTATCAATTGTTCAGTGGTGTCATATGATAACTCAATGAGATAAGCTAGTTGTATGTAACATGCAAGTTTTATATCATTACATTAGTAATCAAAGTTACAGATCGTTAAGAGACAAATGGAAAATACCATGCTGCATAGTATTATATACAACTAAATAACATGATAATTAATTTATTGTATCGTTGTATATACGTTATAAAATCATTATTTTTAGTATAATCAGAAAATCAAAAGAAGTTATAAATGTTGCTCGTTATTGATTTCAAATTAAAATTAATAATATTGTTCATTTAATTTACTTATAACTTATATATATTTTGTATTTTAAATTTCTTGGTAATTAAAAATAAAATATTTTTACTAAATTATAAGAAATAAGTTATTTTTTAACTTACAGAAAACATTTTAAAAAATTTAAGGATTTTTACAAATTTAATAATTGAAAATTATGTATAACTAGTTATTATTATCAATATAATCTACAAAATATTTAATTGTTCATTTAGACTGATATTAATATTTATTTTTTATTTTTCTGAGTTTAATAACTATGCCAACGATTTTATATCCACTATCATTTTCATATGCGCGGTAGTATTTTCATCTTATGGTATTCATCAAGCAATAAATTTGCATAATCATGTGTTCTATATAGTATATTAAAGGTATTATAACCATAGTAAATTATTAAGATAAAGTGGAGAAGACAAATATATTTAAAAAATATAATTTTTATTATTTTTAAATTTGCAATAAAGAATTTTTATGTTATATAAAAGAAAGTTATTTGGTTTTACAATTATAAATATTAATACATGTAAAAAATTAATTATTTTTAATTGATTCCATATCAATTTATAGAATTTTAATTTAAAATATTTTGTTTTTAATGCCACAATATACTTTACATCATACACAAACTTATAGAAAAATTAAAATCAAATGTTCTCGTTATTTCTTATATTTATTATTCTTATAATTTATATAAATAGTATTTGACTTATTGCATCAAATATTTTAATAATTTAGTGTAGTTTTTAGTATTTTATTGACAGATTTTCTGACATTGACGAATACTAATAAAATTATATCTGTATTAAATTAAAATAATTATTTACATTTTTTAATGAATTATTAGATTCCGTAAGTATTAAAATTGCTACTTGTATAGATATCTTAAAAATTAATTAGTTAATTTTTTTATACGTTTCAATTTATTAATGATGTCATACAGTGAACTTTTTGCTATGCGTAAAAATAAATATCACATGATTAATTTTAAATAAATGTTAATGTTATCTTTATATGAAATATAAATTTTAATGTTATTTTTTATATGACACTATATTTATTATATCATTTTATAAATCTATCGGAAAGTAATAATTTTTTATTTTGAGCTACAATTAATGTTTTCTATAAAAGTTTCATCTGCAAAGTTATTTGAAATTTCATAGATTTAAAATGTATTTATTGATAACTGTATTTATAATATTATTGATAATGATTATATTAGTTATGATTATCAACATATTACATTGTTATTTTATAATTTTATAATAAAATCAGTTTTGAAAAATAGACAATTTTTTCAATAATTTTATTCAACGCGTTATGAACAACGACGACAATGGATGTAATTTATATTTTTTAAGATTCATTAAATGTATTTAAGCACGATAATTAATATACTATTGGCACTAGTGTATATTGTTTAAAATATAAAATTTTCTTATTGGTAAAGAAAATTAAAATATAAAGAAAACGTATGATACAAACTACTTATTGAGAAGGCTTGTTTTAATTGAACGAGTGATAATGTACAACATTCCTAATTTTTAAATTAGCATATGTACAAGTTTTCCCAAATTAAATAAATTACACTATGATACAATACTTCAAACTTTTAAATATAATGTTTTATTATGACTACACTATATTTATTTTAAGTCTGAATAAATGCGGATAAAAATGTCATAATTAAGAATATTTTTCTTAAGTTTAAAAAGGAAAATTATCACTATTATTTTAGTTTTCATTTTGTTTTAAAAGTGAAATTGTTTAGTTTACAGGATAATTATTGAAATAATAATTAAGTTGCGTAGTTTAAATATTTTTACTTTAGTTTCGGTATAAATAATGTTTAGAATACAATTATTAATTTATTTATTTTAATACTTAATTTCAATAACGATATTTTATTTTACAAATAACGTATTCTCTTAAATGCATCATACTGAACAAAAGTACAAGACGTATTCTATTATTGTATTTCGTATTCTGCAAATGGAATAAACAAGTATATAAATCAATAGGTATGAATAAATAGAATAAATAGCTAACTGCAAAGTAAGTATATTATACATATTAAACACGTGAAGCTTGAATTCATGAGAAAGAGACAGAAATAGGAAGAGAGGCTTAAAATCTGTGAAAATGGAGTTGTCTCTGGTATATTTCAACAGGTTCTTTTCCTCAAAAGTTGCTTTTTCGAGGAGAAAAAAGAAGTAAAAAATTTTTTCAACAGTTATATATGAATTGTTAGACGCTCCTAGTGACAATCGGATGAGTATTTTGTTTCATTTTTTGTGAGTAATACATATTACTCAGTATAAAAGATGAGTGATATGAACATATATCGATGATAGCGTAAAGAACTATTAATATTATTTGATTCCGTCATCAAAACCATACATAATACATTATTTTAGGATAAAGTAAAATTTCAATCATTTCATTCATTCCAGTCGTTTTTAAAACAATCCCATAATCCACCTATCTGTTTAGAGTGCAAAAATAACATAAAACAATTAAAATGCTCTTTGTAGGTACTTAATATACTCTTTATAGGGACAGTAAATGCAATACAGCTGACATAGTTTCAGTTGAAGTGTCTCTTCAACGCTTTAGAAGGTTACTTGAACCTTGAAAAAGAAAAATTGTACAATTATTTTATTAAATGCATGAAAATTAAAGAATCATATTCAACAATGTATGTTATTTATGATAAATAAATATAACTAACATATAATAATTTATTCGTATACAATTACTCTAATATTAATAAAAAACTTGTCATTAATATAAAAAAATTTAGTATCTAGACAATGTATATATAAGTTTATTTTATGTTTTATAAGTTTATATACATTAGTGGATTATATTTTGTAATTGTTTGTTAAAAGAATTAACTGAAAGATTTAAAATATTAAATTGAAGTATAATAATAATATAATATAATAATATATATATAATACTCTAATATTTAACTATATTAGAGTCCTAATATAGTTACTAAAAGAGAATTTTAAATTATATTTTATAAGGTAAGGCGGTATGATAAATTAGAGAAATAAATGTAAAAGAAGTTTTAGTTTACCTCATTTTAAAGAACAAATTCTTCATGATTTGATTAATTGCCAAAAATTAATTTTATAGCATCTATTGTTAACTAAAAACTTTATAGTATATAACTTAATTTAATTAAAATTAACAAAATATAAAATTTTATCCAAATAAATTATATGCATGAAAATATAATCTGTTCATTCATGATTTTTAATTATTAACAAGAATCTGGTCGATATTAATGAAAATGATTAAATGTAACACTGCAAGTGCATTAAAAATACGTTAGAAGTCAATTAAAATAAAATTATATAAAATAAAATAATAAAATTAATTAAGTTGAATTTATCTATTTATTAGTATTTAAATTTGAAAATATAAAAGAATGAAGTTACACTTGTTTTCTAGAATATGGATATATATATATTATATTATATTGTTTTAATGAATAAAAGCTCTGTTTATCAGTGAAACTTTTTTAAATTTTTTCAATAAATATAATTCAATAATGTTTTATAATATTTTTCTGTAACTTTTTTTCTAAACATCTATAAATATTATATAGACTATGTGCATTTACAAATAATGGTAACAAACATAAACTATTGTCGCTTCTTTAATTGATTTGTGTAATTTTTAAAAATTTTTTAAAGATTTTATAGGGTTTTATAAATACTTGATATATTTGATCTCCCAATGACTTCTATTCTATTGTTCAGTTTATGTCAATTAATTAAAATAATTATATGATAGAATACTTATTACTATATATGGGCTTTAAATAGAATAATTAATGTAGATAATAATAACAATTCTATAATATATACTATATACTGTAATTTAAATTTTTTTGTATATATTGTCGATAAAATTGTCAACATTTTGTTAATGAATATAATTATATATAATGAGATTAATGAACAATACGTAATGTTTACTAATATTTAATAGAACGTTATTTTTATAACGTTATAATTAAGAAATGTATAATCTTTTTTAATTCTTTATATAAATAAAATTATTAATATTATTTTTATGGGTTAAAATAACAATCCACTTCTTATGTTTCTTACCTTATTATTATGTTTATTACCCTTATTAATTAAAAATTTATTGATTTGTTGAATTTTAATAATTAAATTATTTATGTTTTATATTTTAATATATATCATTTTTTAATTTATTATTAAGTAAATTTATTATTAAGTAAAATGTATTTCACACTTTCCAATCAATTTTACATTTTACATCATATTAATTTTTTAAAGAAAGTTGTAAATGCTCTATATATTATAGAAGTTATAAACAAAGAATAATATAGAATAGAACACATAAATAATAACATAAAATTACAGGTTAGAGATTTTACAAATTAATGAACGATTTATAACAAAAAATTTAACTCAAATATTCTTTTTAGCTTATTAAATATTAGCGGTTTATTAATGATTTATATCATTAAAAAATAATTTATAAGTATATGCACTTTTATAAATATTTTTATAAAAGATGTTTTAATGTCCCCATTTTTTATTCTTTGTAAAATAACATCCATTATGATATTTGTAATATAATATATTAAGATAATTATTATGTACTGGGAAACAATAATAAAAAGCTACGAATAATTGAATACTTAAACTGTAAATCGAATACAAAAGAAAATCTAAATAAAACTTATTTATACAATACAATTACTCACAATTTTCATATTAAGATCAACACACTTAATAAAATTTTATTTTTGTGATGAACTCACCTAATAATTGAAATACATTCTCATTTAATACTGTACAGTAAAAAATGAAATTCATAAATGCATTTGAACTTTTATATTATAAAAGTCAACTTATTACATTTGAAATTTGATTTAATATATTAATATAATATAGTTTTTAAAAAGTTTCAATTAAACAATGCATTTTTTGTATGTGAATTGATTTATATATTCTTAGAAAGTTATTGATTTACTATTCACAAGTTCTTATATTGTATATTAAAAGTATTCAATTAATAATAATTAGTATAATTTAAAATGTGCAAGGGAATAAGAATATTATAAATTTTAATTAAGAATATAAAATAAACAATGTATATATTCTATAACAATTTATATTGTTAATTAGTAAGACATACAAAAAATATAAATAATTTTATTTAAAAAGTACTATAAAGATAATAATTTGATTATTAATTAAATGTTTTTTGAATTTATTAAACTTTAAAAAATGTAATGAAATTATTAATTTACGATTAACAAAATATGTATAAGAGTTTATTTTTTAGTAAAAATTAAAGAAAAAAAATTTGCTTGAAAAAACAATCTTACAATCTGTTTTACAACAATTTTATAATAAACTTTTTAATAATTTACATATTAACAAGAAATATTGAAAGAAAATATTTTTTTAAAATATATTAATATTATTATATATAAAATTAGGGGGCAGAAAAATTATATTGAGAAATTGGGTGATTTTCGAAATTTCATAATAATTTAATATTAATAATATTTATTATTTTATGTTTATTTATATCAAAACTTGTTAAAACATTCATGAAATCAATAGAGCACTAGTAAATTATTATATTAATTTATAACAATATTATTAAATAATCATATGGATAATAATATCATTAATTTGCAAGTAAAAAATAAAGAAATTTTAATTAATTTTTTTTAGATACATTAGATATACGATTCTATAGTAAATAATGTATATTGCAATAAAATTATTGTCATTTTCATTTTATAAATATTAACTGAAATATTGATTTAAAATGTGATTGGTTATATTACAGAGATCAAAGATAATCATATATATGTTGATAATATTGGAAAATATTAAATGCTTAGATAAATGGGGAATCAATATTAAGTTATTATTAGGATATCATATATGCAGATGTACTAATTATTTCGTATAAAAAACAGTATATGTATGTATTAAAGTATGTCAAACAATAATGTAAAATAATATAACAATAATTTGTATAATAATAATATAATAGATTTTATTTAATATATTTATTTACATATTATTCATCACTTACATAATATAAATTTTGTAATTTACACCTTCGCTTAATGGATTTTAAATAAGTAAATAATATTTATTGTAACAAAAATCATCCAAAATGATCTAAATTCCCATCTTTTCTCAATTTTTTCTTACATTTTAAAAAAATTTCATTATTTATTAATTCAGTATGTATACCGTTTTTACGCGATAAGTCCTTGTATCTGAAAGGTTTTCTTGGCTTTACAATTCTATATTGAATATAGATAAAGTCAATGACCAGCTTATCCAAAGCTATTGTGCTTCTAAGGTTGCTTCTTTGTTTTTTTTTTATTTACTAAGAAGCCATATCATTTTTTATCAGATAAACACTTAAACATTCAACTAAGAGTCGAAATTGATGAAAACAATTTAGGTATAAATAAGTTTTCGATATAATATAATAATTCGTAATATACTTATATAGTAATTATAATACATAAATTAAATTATATTTTATTTTGGAAAGAGGTCTCTCGCAAGTTCTAATCATAACAATAATGTTACGTTAAAAAATTCATTTAAATTTAGCAAAGTAAGAATACATCATTTACAATAATATTAGTAAATAAATTTTAGGACACAATATTATTGTACACACATAAATTAATATTTAATTATGAATAACGTAATAATAATGAAAAACGAGTATTGCTCATATATTAAGTTAGCTCGATCAGATTTCGTGAACCAGTTGATCAATAAATCATCATTTGAAAGTGACAATATTGCTCGGTTAAGCGACCAATCATCATTCAAACAGTCGCTCGGTTAGCCGTGGGACGACAAATTACTGGTGTGAGCGGAGAAGGGGGTCGCGTCTCTGCTGCAGCTATTTAACACTGTTACAATAGTCCGACACTAGTCACCGTAGTTGACTATCAGTCGCATGCCCTAGCAATCAGTATTAACAGCAACCATTAATTCACTGTATTTATTTAGCTACAACGAAAGCTGTATATATAAGCAAACTAAAGCTATATATGCTTAAAAAGTGACGTGCATTTTTTAACAATAAAAGGTTTGTTTTATTTTGAACGTCATCCTAATTTAAACTCAATTTTATTATGTCTCGATTATTTTAAAAATATCGTAATCACTGTTAAATTTAGATTAAAGATTGAGTTACCAGAGGTCAAATAATCAGCAATTTTAGTACTTTTCCACTTGTTAAAGAATTTTTGAAGAAGTTACTAGTTTTGACTATTTTACTGGTGTCGAAGGAACCCGTATCGAAAATTGTCAAGATATCGGTATGCCAACTACAGATTTTAATCAGGAGAGCACGGTGATAACATAAATAATTTAATAATTATAATTCAAATTTAGCAAGATCTGTTAATACATTATAATCAATTCAATAGAGAAACTAATAATAGTAAAGTGATTGCAAATAAAAATAATTAAAATTATTATTTTAACATGTAGAATAATTATTTAATATAATAATATAATAATAATTATAACCAAAGACATTATAAAATAATGATTTAAATTTTAGATATAAGAAAACTTCAAAGAAATTTTCTCTTTTAAATCTTGATCATTCAAAACGTAATGAATGTTAAATATTTGTATGAAGTTATTGATTATAATATAATCACGTATTATGTATATATATGTACACATTAATGATAGATAAATTAGTATTAATTCTATTTAATCATTTAAAAGATCTTTTTTTTTAAAGTAATTATTTAATATTTAAATTTTACTCATATTGAAATAAAGTAATTTGCAACAGCAATTTATGTTTACTGAAATTTGAACATTGCAAATCTGATAATAGATACTTGTGATGCATAATAAGTTTCTATGGTTCAATTTTCATGATCATCTTTCTGTAATTTCAAGTATGCGGTCACGCTATAATAAAATCAGATCGATTGACCTTCCTCGATCTCAAATTACAGTATGTTTGCAACATGAGATATTGTAAAATATCTTTCATAATATATTAAAATTCTTTAAAAAATCTATTTTTTTAATATTAAAAAACCGGTTTAATTTTAGTTTCAATTTAGTGTATGAATGATAAATGATAAATATTCATTATTTTTCATGGTAATAAGTTACTACAAGAGATACATAATTATTGCGAATTATTTTAGTATTTTTACAATAATTTTAATAATTATTATTAGTTTCATTGGTATTATTAGTATTATTATTATCATAGTTTAGTATAGTATTATTATTATTATTGAGTTATTTGTATTAATATATAGTAAATATATAGTAAAATTTATTTTTCAAAAAATTTTTTTTCATTATTAAAATATATTTATATGGGAATGATTTTTTTATTATAAATTTTTATTTTTTTGTCTTATTGTAAATAAGATTTTCAATACTAATACTAGCTATTTTACATTTTTACGAAATTTTACAAATAGATGATCCTGTAATCATTAATAATAAGAATGTTTACTTATCGTTATAATAAATGAGTTCATTCGCTTATATAAATTCCATAAAAATATAGCATATAGTATTTGCAATAACAAAGTGTAGTTAAAATAATTGATATTCAGAGAACACTATTTTTTAGGTTTATATATAAATTATTTAGTTTATAAATACATACATAAATCATTGCATAATTTGAATATATATTTTCATTGTAAGTAGAATTAATAAATTGAATATATATTCTTTTATGAATATTATTGAAGTCTGTAAGCGTAAAATTGATAATTAAAATAAAAATAAAATTGATCAAATAACTAGTATATTGATATTAAGATTTTTTTATAATATTTTATTAACGATTTAGAAAGTAGATAAAAAATATTTTTTAATTCAATTTTTTACATAATTACGTTATTTATATAATTTTTCGACATTGGTATTTAAAAGTTATATTTATTTTTAGATTATAATATATTATATAGAATATAGTTGAGAGATTAACGTAAAAAATTTTTATTTTGAAATGATAAAGTTAAATATATTCATACTTTTGGGAGTAGAAAATTACAAAACTGTAAATTACATTATTTTAATTTAAGTAAATAAATAAATAAATATTAGGCAATAAAATTTGTAAGTATGAATATAAAAAAAAAATATGAAAAAGAAAAATAATTAGAATATTATGCAATATTGGGCATTAAAAATTTATGCTTAAGAAAAATAAATATTATACGAATAACAGAAATTAAAAATTAAATAGTGATAATTAATACAAAGAATATATTCAGAAAATACTTAAAAAAATAACGTCTATCGAAAAAATAGATTTATGAACTTCCCCTATTGAAGAAGACCTATTAAATTGAAGCCGTATTAGTTAAAAATATTAATTACAGACTATAGATAAATTTACAGGTGCTATTATTTTTTTATTTTTCGTAGCTTTTACAAGTAAACAAATATTGCTCTAATCTTTATTCTCGGTTAAATATTATATTAGTTCAAAGATGTCTGCATCCTTGTAGGCATGGAGTAATTAACATTGCATAAACGATTTTAAAATCATATTATAGATTTAGAAAAAAGTCATATATTAATTACAGTACTGTGTGTAGTGCATTAATTTGTGTCAATTTGAATCATAATACATAAATTTAATTTTTTTATTTTGATATAGAAATCATACGTAAGCAGATTTGTCAAGTAATTAGAAATGTAATTGAATACTTCTTTTCTGAAAGTATATAATACTATGATTTACTAATTATTTGTAAAAAAATTATTTGATAACAGAAGGAGAATAATGATATTATTGTAACTGTATTGTAATTGTTGAACTATAATTCTTGACCTCGTTCGTATTTAAGATATCTTATTCGATATTTTCTTTTATAGATTGATATGTAAGAATTTTTATAGTCTTAAAGTCTCTATCACTTATGTGTTTAGAATATTTCACATTGCTGTCTTAATCGATGTATTATCTATCTTAGTAATTTTCTGGTGATTGCGTAATACTTTTCTCTACAATTTGTAAATTAATCAAATTATGTATTTTGTGAAGAAATTGATAATTTCATATCCAAATTTTATCATATTACTCCGCCATAGTTAAAATAAATTTTGTCACTACATTTACTAGTTTTTGCTTTCAGCAATGATTATTTTTTAGAGTATTCAAATTTTTAATTGATTAATATATATATATATTGGATATTTCTATTCTGTATATATAATTTCAATTACATGGCTATGTCATTTCTACTAAACAATCTCTAAAAATGTTATATATGTCCATACTTTATAAATCTCTATATTTTCTTTTGTTTTGTAGTAACTAAAATAGTTGTCAAATTTTAACTCCAGAATATTTGTTTTTTAAAGTTTTCCATTTGTTGTTATTTACTCATAATATTAACAAACTAAAATTGATTTCTTTTATGTAATGTACCTGCAACAGCGCTTATTATATTTATAGAATCTCTTCATTTTTATTTCATTATTTCATTCTATTTCTTTATAAATCTGAATGCATTAATTATGTTGTGAAATTTGAAATATTATTATTTAAAGATTCGAAGCATTTTTTAATTAAACTTTTCCCTTCAAAAGGTTTTTCCAAAATAACGTTAAAACAATTGTAATATAATATTTTCCTTTACGGAAACACAGCTTATTGCTTTAAGTATTTAAAAATATCATTCTCTTTTTCAATATTTATATTTTATATAATTAAAATCAATATTATATTATCCATATTTTAGATATGTGAATATGATAGATAATATAATTTTAATTAATTTTTTTTATCCCTTTTAATCTTTTTAATCTTTTATTTTATATTATTATATCATTACTTTTATTTCAATAGTATTCCGTTAATATATTATCATAATATTAATATGTATATCATAGAATTAGTTTTATATTTATGCACCGTATTCAATATTGGATATATCAGGTAATATACAATAAATTACACCTAGTATTCAATATTGTATATATTTAGGTAAAATAAAATATATACTCTTGCATATCATACCTTACATGTATTTTTTTATGATTATTTTATATGTAAATATTACACATACATACTTATTTTAATACTAATTTTATAAATAAATTTATCTATATTATTATCTTCGTTTTTGTATATATGCTTGATTGAATCCATTATTAATTAATAATACAATTTTATTGTTGTCACAATTGTACGAATAGGCGTAAGTAGCTTAAATTTCTCTTAATCAATTTTAATATTATATCTCATATTAAACTATAATGAATGAAGAATAATGAATAGAATATAATAATACAATAATACAATAATACAATAAAATCAAATCTACAAAATTTAATACAATTATAAAAATTCTCGAATATGTGAGCTAAGAAAATCATACGAACATTTTAATATAAATAAAGTATTCTCTAAGACTTGTATTAAAATTATTTTATACATTACTAATATATACAAAACTATCGCTGTATATATCAAAATTATAATATGTTATCAAAATATAAATAAATAAATATAAATTGAATTTATCTTAAATGTTAATTAATTATATGATGCTTTTATATCTGTAATATATATTATTATTTTCAAAAGTGATATAAGTATTTTTTATAATTGCATTTATGTATAAAAAGGCGTAATGCAGAGGATTTAAATCGTATAAATAATATATTTTTAATAAATAAATATGTGAGATACATTCACATAAAACAAGAAAAAGTTAGAGTATAGAATGATATAGAAAAGAAACAGTCAAGTTATAATATTACAAAGGCATAGAAATAAAAATAAAAATTAGATAATACAATAAATTAAAAAGATTGTAAAAAAAAGAAAAATATATTTTCATTAAAAATGAAATATTTTATTTAAACATTGTAACATGCAATTATATATATATATATATATATATATATATATAATTATTGAAATGAGAAAATTAAAAATTTTTTAAAATAAAGATATGAGAATAGAAATACAGTATAATAGAAAAATAATTAATTACCTTTGAATCTTGATATATTTTCATTTCGGATATGCTTTCATTTAGAATATGAAATATTGTGAACCTGAAATATATCACAATTTTGACTGTAAAAATCGAAAAGGGAACTATATCTCATGTACAACTACAATAAGTAAGTTCTATTAAGTTAATAATTAAAACAGGATAATATCAAAATTGGATTATATTAATGAAGAAGAAAGTCATATCGATTCTATTCTTTATAGCAAGACAAAAGAAAAATTTATCGAGGAAGGATATAACTACATCGGATTTAGTTGGTATTTTATTTTTAAAAAATAATATAAAGAGAAAAAGACGCTTTGTACAAGATTTACACAAAATTTCCCAGCTTATAATCTCATGGACTATTAAAATTGTAAAGAAAAAAGGAATTTTTTAAAATTATATACTTGAAATGAATTTTCAGAATTTTATTGAAAAATTAATATTTTTCTTAAGATATAGTGTTTAATATTGGTAAATAATAAATATTTTGTATATACAAAGTATATAGAAGGTAATTCAAAATATATTTTTAAATTATACAAATCAAAATGTAGTAATTTTTTAGTTCTAAATGAAATAAAACTATACCTAAATAAACAAAATATCAATATGAAAGAAGAGATAGTATATAAATATTCTACCCATAATTATAAAACAAGAAATAAATTTGCTTTATTTTGTTTTAATAAATGTACATTATTTTGTTATATTAACGTGAAAAATAAAACTAACCTACATTAATAAAAGAGAAAAAAGAAAATATTGACTTCATCGTTATATTATCAAGTTATTGTATTGAAAATTGAAATTTATAACGTATTGGAAGTTTTATCAATCATTCTTCAAATTTCTAGTTAAAAATGCTTTTATACTACACTACAAATAATATTAAGGTTATTGAACATAAAATAATAATAATATATTTATAATTTGTACTATTTATTATTTCCTCTATAGTTTAGTGTTAGTTAACAAATGTCATATTTTAAATAAATGTCTATATATTTATAAACATTTATATATTTTTAAAATTGATGACTAAGTAAAATTTTTTTTTAAGTGAATCATTCTTAAAGAACAATCAATAATTTAAGCCTGAATATTTTAATCTATTACACAAGTAGTAATTGGATTAATATTTTTACTTTGATACTGAGATATTCTAGATATACTGTACAATTACTTTCTTATTAATTTATGATTAATTTTATAGTTTATCACGAATATTTTCTATAAAAGTAAAATGTCGTGATCGATAAAAAAATAGCTTGTAATTAGACAAATATAATATTTATTTATGATTGTAAAATATTTTATTTCCATGAAACTGATTAAACAAATTTAACCTTATAAACATTTTTAATATATTCAACAGTATAATATTATGTATTGATTAATTTCAAAATGTGAATATATTTAATTATAATTGCTTATTAATTATTTTGTCAAGATTTTAATACAATTATTTATGTTGAAAATTTCAATAGACTTCACAAAGCAATTCAACTAATGCTATTATAAATGAGAAAAAAGAACATCTGTACAAAATCCTTGTAATTGGCGAACTTGGAGCTGGTAAGACTTCTATTATCAAGCGTTATGTGCATCAATTCTTTTCGCAGCATTATCGTGCAACTATTGGTGTCGATTTTGCTCTTAAAGTATTAAACTGGGATCCTCAAACTATAATTCGGCTGCAATTATGGGATATTGCAGGTTAGTTACACTTTTATAGTTAATTCTTGTTTATAGCATATTTTTTTTTTAACATAAACGAAACTTTATAATATATGGTATTTTACTGGATTTTCTTGATTAGAAACGTTTTCCTGCACAAAATTTCTTGAATCCGTGAATTTATTCATAATGTAGAGTATATTTATGCTTTTTCTTTCTAATTTGCGTATTTATCGATTATGTAAAATATAGACTAAAATTTTGATTTTAAGAAGTGATGCTATAATAACAAAACAATAATGATATTATACGACAAATTCTTTTTCACATATAACAAAGTCAATAGTTTATAAGAGAAATTATGAAGCAATTTTAATAAATAATAATGATTAAGTATAATTGCTTATGGAACCCTATAATTGAACTAGTCTAAAATTCTTTATCTAGTTTCCTTACTTACAAAAATTGTCTTTGAGTATTATCATCATTGCAATATTTTTTCTTGACAATTTTTATTTTTAATTTTTCCAACATTCTATTTTAAAATTTTTCTTAACTTTTGATGTATTATCAATTTTTCCATCCGCTTTTTATATTAATAATTTTTTTTTATAATTTGGTATATAAGTCGAATAAATTCGGGTATGATCTTGCTATACATTTTCTTAGTAAATTAATCAGTTTATCTTTCAACCAGATAAAAAATTACAAAGATAGCTGAATTACTTTAAATATATTTTTATTTGATTAAAACTGTTATTGAAAACAAAATACAAACAAAAATACAAAAAAAAGTATGTACGAAAAATTAGTTGAGGAAGATAGATGAAAAAGGATGTTCAATGTAGAAGAAAATTGAATAATAGCAAGAACATTATAAAGAGAGAGAGAGAGAGAGAGAAAGAGAGATAAAACTAATTATTTGTTTCATTAAAGTACTTTTTAGATTTTTTTATAGATTGTAGATATTCTGATAATTCAAATTGTCAATTATTGAATATTTCATTGAATTTTTACACATAAATAAAGAAAATAAGGAGTAAAAATATATAAATAAAAATGTGAAAGTTATGAAACTTCGAAAAATCTATGTTGAGCTGTTCAGAAAAATGTTTTGATAAATGTCGAATACTTTTTATGGATTGTATATATTAGGATCTATTTTTATGTACATTTTCCGATTTCTTTTTAATAGATATTAATAGATGTATAGGCTAGACATTGATACAAAGAAACAAACAACACTGTAAATATGTAATTAAATTAAACAAGAAAAGACTTCTTATCCTTTTAGAAGGTCTTCTAATTCTCAAAATAATGTAAAATTATGAAAATTGATTAATATATAAATATGCAAAGGAATCAAATTGAAGATATAGATATGAGTATATTAGAGATTTATTTCAATAAATTATATTGGAAATCTAATAATAAAGGAATTACTCAAAATTTGCAGATGAATAAGGTATAATTTTTAATAAAGCGTATTAAAAAAAATCAATGAAAAATAAAAAAAAATACAATGACTGATTTTCACAATAATATTATTTAATAGTAACATATAAATAATTGAGTATTAAGAATAATTACAGTTGATTCAATTTTAAAAGAGTAACGAAGAAAAAATCGTATATAAAATAATAGAAAGTATAATAGAAAAGAAATAATAGAAATAATATATAAAATTATATCTTCGGTTCTTAAATATGTAAAAATTATTTTAAGTGGAAATCTATCAATAATTTAAGAAGAAATAAAAAATTATAGATTCAGCTAAGACGATGTTAAAATTAGTTCTTATGATAACTATACAAAAAGATGTGAAATACTAACTTTATGTGCTAAGTATTGCAGTTATCTATAAAAAAATATTAAATGTAAATGGTATAACAATAATAGATTAAAAATGAATTTTTATTAAATTGCATACAAAATACCTATGAATAAAAATAAATATTTACTACTTGTATAAAAGTTAAATATAAAATATTGGTTTTTAATATTTAACATTATTTAGATTATACCCATTAATATTTATATATTGCTATTTAATATTATATTACAGTATTGATAAATTCATAATCGCAATAGATAATAAATGATGAACTATGATTTAGCGTTTGATATAATAGTGATCGGGAATTTGTGATCAGCGCTTACAATCAGTAACTAGTAGTAATTAATAGTAGGCAGGCTTAAAAGATAGAAAAATATAATGCATTATTGTATATAATACACTGGGTATTTATAGAAATTTATATTACCATAGTGTGTCAAATATACATTGAAAGAATTTTGAATAAAATGAAAGGATATGATATAATAATATTAATTAATATATTAATATTAATATATCAATAATAATAATAATGGTAATAATGAAAATAATAATGATATATTAATCACATATATTAATGAAAAATTCGTTAAATATATATAATAAAAATATTATTTAATAAAAGTTTTATTACAAATTATATCTTTATTCAATTTATCTTATAAAAGAATAATACATTTAATTTTTATTCATTTAAGGCGTTTCTTATATTTTATATTGTAATAATATTTTAATGGTTAACTCATTATTAATCTTTTATAATTATTTTCAAAATAAATATTTTATATTATAATATTTAAATATATTATAGGTCAGGAGCGGTTTGGCAATATGACTCGAGTTTATTATAAAGAGGCAGTTGGTGCGTTTATAGTGTTTGATGTAACAAGAAATGCTACACTGGATGCAGTAATTAAATGGAAGCAAGATCTTGATTCTAAAGTTCAACTTTGCGATGGATCGCCAATTCCATGTGTTTTGTTAGCTAATAAATGTGATCAACCGAAGGAAGGTGTTGTTAATTTCCCGAATAAAATAGATGAATATTGCAAAGATAAGAATTTTGCGGGTTGGTTCGAAACATCTGCCAAAGAAAATGTTAATATTGAAGAAGCTACCAAATTTTTGGTTAATAAAGTATGTTTTATAATAATAATTTATATATTATTTTATTCTGTAATTTTTATAATAATTTCAATATTAGCAAACTACTTTTATTAGATTTCTTTATATTAATATGAATTTTATTAAAAAATAATTTAATTTTTAATTTAAAGAATATTTACATAATTTTCATAAATTTTTCAGATAATTTTCATTTTTGTTTTAGATATATTTGAACAAAAAATATATTTAAATATTACATGTACCTTAAAATTCAAGGTAATTTAAGAAAATTTTAATTTGATGCTTCTGCAAGCTTTATATAATTATTTTATAATTAATTGTTCTTTAAGTGACCATATCTATTTCCCTTAATTTATTTTCACTTATTTGTCCACTCCTTATGGCTTTTTATCTTTCATTTTTGTCATATAAACACATATATATTAGTATTGCTTATGGTTTGATCGACCATTTCAGAGCTGTTCATAATTTAAATTCATTCAAAATAAAAAGATAGTAACAAAAATTTTATATATAAAATTCAATTGTTTTCTGAAATTATTTTTATTTTCACTGTACAAAATTTACTATTTGTCATGGCATAATACACGAAAAATATTATTTAGTAGAAAGCCTTCTTTCATTTTTTATTTGTGTCTTTTTAGTGATATATTACTTGTATATTTGTGATGGTACTAATTTAGGAAAACAGTCATAAATGATTTATTTTATCGAAAAGTTATACTCACGTTGATATAGTTTGATTCATAGAAATTGCATTTTTTTTCAAATTACATAGTGCAATATGAAAAACAAAACCATGTGAGAAAATATATTAATTTTACTCATTGTGAGATAATAATCATATTGAAAATGAATTATAAACAGCTATAATTTATGCGAATAAGATATTGAAAAGAATGTAAAAAAATATCGACTGAAAAATATTAATTTTCAAACAATTACTCAAATATTTATAACATCTGTTTAGATTAAAATTATGACTGTATTGAACAATAACTACATACTTACCAAGTAATAATTATTGACGATAATTATAAGTAGGAATATTTCAATATTAGTGTGTATAATTAATTTAACATACTTCCTATAAAATTCATGATTATTGTTACATAAAATTATATAAAATTAGTCTTATGTTACTTTTTTATATAAGTATAAGGGATTCCGGAAAGAGTTAATTTATCAAACAATTAATTAAATTATAATTACCACCTTTCTTATGTATTAATAAAAAAAGATCGAGTCTTTTTAAGTTTGATCTTTTATTTCTTTATCTATATTATTTATGTATAAAATTTTATGTCAAAATTAGAATTACGAAATCTCAGAACGGACATCGTAAATAAACGATAACTATCACGTTACATAACATATAACAGTTAGAATCCTAGTTGTTGGTACTTATAAGTATTAAATATATTATAATAAATAATTTCAATTTCATGTGTATTAGTATTTTTTACAATTATAGATTTTTCTATTTTTTAAATTTGTTTATATTTTTAACAGTCTCGGCTATTGATTCTGCAGTAATTGATTATTTTAATAGCTAATTTGAAAAATTTACTTGACTTAATTATACAAATTATTCAAGGTAAATTTGGACGATTTATTGATAAAAGAGAACATTTAGTTTTAAATTATCATTATGTAATATTTATTATAAATATAACTTTTCATTTATTTTTAAAATGATTACTTAATAGTTATAATATTTATGATAGTTCAACTACTTGTATAATTAAATTTTATATTTTTATTTTTATTTTTTCAATATATAAAATATTATTTAATAAACTATTTACATTTTTTCTTTTAATTTATTCCTAAATATTTATATCAACATATATGTTTAACTATTATATTTATCTAAAAAATATATCAATATATAAAGAACTATAAGAATAAAATATTAATAAATTGTGTAATTAAATAGAAAAATTAAAAAAAAATTTTAAACTTAAATACTACATAATTTTTCGCAAGAAAATAATTTAAGTTACAATAATAAATAAATAATCTTGTAATTTTAAAATTATTCTTGCATAATTACAATCTAAATCAATATTAAAACTTTCATTCATACACGTTAACTGCATTTTAGTTTAAAAATTGTATATCTAGTTAAAAGATTGAGAACCAGTTTGTTAAAAATTATTTTTATCGTAATATTTTAGCTGCATTATATGTGATATGTACCAATGAAGTATGAGGAGTTGCAAAATGGGTTTACCGTATTATTCCTTATAACCTGATTCAAATTTATAAAATCTTTATTGCAGTATATGCAACCGTAGTAGCAAATGTAGATTTATAACCACTGATTTGGGTAAAAAATCCATTCTATTAAACATATTAAAATTTATATCTGTTTGATTTATACCTTAAATCACGAGTTAAACTAATTGTAGAAACGGATCTAGAAATAAATTTATGATATATGACTACTTGAAATATTAAATACTCGTATTATGAACTTAAGACTAGTAAAGAAAAGAGTTGGAACATATTACAAGAGTGCCATTTTTATATATTTTGAAAATATATTAATTTTTTTTAATTTTGAATACAGTGATTCTCTCCGAGCGAATAAATGTATTCGAAACTTTCTCATATTGGATAAATGTAACAATTTTTAAATTTCTAAATTATTATTATGCATTTTAGTATTAATTAGTATTATGCAAATATAATTACGTTAAAATGTAATTAATTTATAAACGAAGAAAAAATAAATCTAGTAAATTTTAGGGAAAAAGATGTGCTTATAACGTATACTAACAACAATTAATATGGAGTAATTCAATATTTATATGTAATCAGTTTTATACTGACAGCATATGAAATATAATGATAAAAAATGTATCATTATTCATGAAGTTTTTAAATTATATTTTCTATTTTTTATCACTTTCAGGTATTATAGATATATTCTTTTTATTTATTATATATATGTATGTTAATAATTACTATAAACAGTGATAAAAAAACAATAACAAATCTTTTGCTATAAAAACAAAAACAATATAATTCTAAAAATTGTTGGAATTAATTAATAAAGGAAATGAAATGATGAATGAAATAAATCGGATAATAAAGTAGTTTAGAAAGAAAATAATCAATAATAAATGTAAGTATTTTATAGGAAGATAATTCGTTATTAAATTAAATTGTATGATTCTATTTTTGGAGATAATTACATTAATTAATTAAATAAAAAATAAGAAAATAAATAAGCATTTTTCTTATAAACTGCACTCAATTACTAATCCAATAAATAAATTGTTATGATTACAATAATTATAACAAAGTTTTAAATAATGGTAATTAATTAGACAATACTGTCAATAGCTGTCTTAAATATTCAACAAGGCTTAAATATTTTTTAAATTAAAAAAATAATTTATTATGTTTGAAGTCTAATCAATTTACTTTACAACTTACATTATACTTCCCTTTTACATATTAATTTTAATTATTTTCAAACTGGTACCTATTACATTACAAAATAGTTTTTTACAAAATCATTTTTTGCATACGGTACATCAGTACAATACAAATTAAAAATCAAATTCTTCAAATATGATCGATACAAAGAGTTATAAACCGCTATATTAACCATATCTTTGGCAAGATTATCATTCTTTATTTGTTATCAATCTTTATGTTGACATGAGTCATCAAATCTAAAATAATTAATGAAATCATTGTAAACTATGGTTATACAAACATTTTTACATTCACTACAGGTTTACAATTTATAACATACATTTTATGCGTACATGTGAATTATCTAATAGCGAAATACGACGAAGTAATAAAAAAAAGAGTATCAAAAAATCGAAAATAATTAAGTTTAGGATTTCCCTTTTTAACTTTAATAAAGAACAAAATAATAAAATTATTAAGTTACCTATCATGATTGCTGAAATTCATTAGGCATTTTAAATAATTATAATGTAAAGTAACTTAAAATGTAAAGTATTTAAATTTTCTATTAAATTATATATATATATATATATATATATATAATAGTATATGATATTAATCAACGTTAAATATAATTGAATTCATAATATATTGGTATGGCACAATTTCACTAATTCACAACTTAAATGCAACGTATATATACGTTATATTTAACACAGGACTTATCACTCATTTTAAATTAACATAAGGCCAATTACTATATATGAATTAACAGAAAATAATCAAAGAAGATAATTGAATAATACTTAACTTTATTCCGTATAGCCAAACGAAGAAAATTCTCCATTCTGATTATATGAAATTTAAAATAAAATAGATATATCGATTTATGTACTAATTCTTTTCATATTACTCATATTTTGAGTCACGCATAGCACAAGCAAATAATGGATATTCTATAATAATATTAATTGTCATAACAGCAACTATTTTATATTCTGTTTAATATAAAAACAAAAATTTATATTTTATATTACAATAATTTAATAGTTTATTTTTATTAACTGCATGATGCGTCATAATATTGCAACGATAAAGATATATCATTTCGATATTTTGAAATTATAATGTACCCCTTATCATAATAATTGAGCAATAAAAATATATCATTCTGATATTTTGAAATTGAAATATTAAATTTTTCACCATTAATAGGTGCATGTTTTAATTCGAATCAATAAAAACAGTTTAATTATAAAAACTATCAATAATATAAAACGTAATATTATTAATTAACTAATGAAAATGTTTTGCTTTTTCTACTCCAGATACTTCAAAATGATCAAATATTAAAAGGTGGTAGTGCACAAGATCAACTTGACAGTGATAAATTAATTCTTGATGAATCTTCAATGAGTTCTAAAAAATTATGCACTTGCTGACATCTTCAAATTGGAATTGATTATTTAAGTTAAATAGAAACTTTTGTAAATATTTTGAATACAAATCGCAAATGTTAATTTTTTCAATTATAATGTCTATTCAGATCCACAAATGTTATATTCATTTATTATTTCGAATTTCTTTTTGTAATTTTTCTTAATCGTATTATACAGAATTCTTTATGCATATCAATTGCTTAGATATAATTAATTTTGCAAAAATTCTATTAAATATGGCCATAATTGTTCCTTTATATCATTGAGTTATATTATATGTTTATATAATAACCTGACAGATATACATGTAATTCAAATTTAAATATTTATAAAATTGAATTAAAAATTAAAATATATTTTTTATGACTGAATATTTAGTAACATAGTATTAATTTACAAAAAAAATTAACATCAAACTTGTTTCGTCATCTGAAAAAATCATGACAAAATTAAAATTGTAAGTAACTATTTATATTATCTTAACTTTCTTTTAATAAATAATTCTGCATATATAATTTGTACATTATATATATATATATATAAATGATTTACTATATCTGCCTCATCAATATTTCAAGATAAAGTCTCTTATTTTCAACAAGGTAGAAAAGTAGAAAAGGGTAGCATTTCCAATTAAATTTTCAGAAAGCGATATTTTTAGTTTTGCTATTTAACATTCAGTTTGTCATATAATAAGATCACCTTGAAACAACCAGAAAGTTATTACATTTAATTTTAACAATTTTTTATACAAAATGAATTATCCATGTGTTATTTTTTTAATAATTATTATAAATTTAGTGAAATAGAATTTACTTTTTATGTCTTATACACATTGATCAAATTATATATGATAATCTAATTATATAATGTATTATTAATAACTATACAACATTATACAACTCTTAAATGAGTAGCTAGAAAGGTAGATGGCTTTTAAATAAGCGAGTAAAATGAAAATAGGATTACAGTTTATTACAATAAGTATAACAGTCAAAACAGGACTATGAGTATTATGACGAAAAAAAAATTAAATTTATTTTATATTAATTAAAATAATATTATATATATATATAATAAAATAAAATAATATCAATTAAAAAATTAATATTCTATATTAATTTCATTTTTAACGTTTTATACGCGAAATATAGTTGTGACATATGGAAATAACAATAAATAGACCCAAAGTCAACTTCCTAGAAATTCCCTACTCTTCCTAGAGATTACTGATATCATAACAATTGAACAAGGGAATAATCGTCCTTTTATATTCTTTTCTAAGGGTTTTTTAGTTTATGATATTTGACATTCAAAGTAATAAAAGGAAAAATTTTAACCGATTGATTATATTTTTAAAATAATGGAACAGCCAACATTTTCCCTTTAAAACTAAACAAATTAAAAAATTTTATAGTGATAGCACCACTGGCTACCTTCATAATATGTCGATAATTAAAGCAAATCAAAGAATCTCCGAATCGTGATAGTCGATACGTTTAATTAACAAATTTTCAAATGATATATATAAGTCAATAAGAGAAAATGCAGATTAGTAATTAGTAATTTCTTATGCCTGTAAGTAATTTCAATTTTTCGTTTTCCAGGCTTATCAACTTATCACAGGCTCACAAACTTATCAAAGTTTGCGGTGAAGTAGTTCTACATTTTAAATTAATATGAAGTTCTATAGTAAATTAGTAGGTGAAATTGAATCTACTACATTACGATTGGTAGGTAGAATATGTTTCGAATTACAACATATATATAGATTTAAAAAAATTATATCGACAAATTGTAATAATATTGAGTATAAATTTTATTTAGACATACGTAAATATATACTTAAATATCATACAATTAACAAGTACAATAGCAAAATATTTAATATTTACTTATATTTTATTCATATAAGACAATATTTTATAAAAATTCAAAATTCCTATGATTAGAGTAATATTATTTTTATGATTATCAATTAAGGTACGCAACGAAATTCGCACTGAATAATTATGAAATAATTTATTATTTATCATTAAAAATATATATTAACAATATTTATATATTTTTGCGTTGCTTTTAATATATTCATAGAAAAAGTAAAGAATTTATGCAGAATATATAATGTAATTAATAATATAACACTATGAAGTTTTATAAAAGTCAAGTACTTATTTTATACAATATAAAATTAAAAAAATATAATAAAATAATTCATAGAATAGTTAATGAGTTTATATTTAAAAAATTTATCCATTAATATCAGTTAACAAAAATGATTAATTTAAAATTAACCCAATATAAACAAATATTTTCTTAAAATTTAATAATTAATACTATTTAATCATGAACTTTACTATATTTAATCAAGGTTTAATAATAATTAAAAAACAATACCCTTATTTATTATTTCACTAATTATTTCATATTAATTTAATTTCCTAATAAATATTTTCAACGTATTTCAATTTCATTCATAAATTTTTTAGATTGTTTTCATTATTATTCTAATTATATGGAATCTGATCAAATATCTATACAGAATATATTACACTTACCGAATGTTTTTAAACATGCTTATAATTTCAATCGTGTTGCTTTTAATCAAGTCAATTTATGTATCTTGTAAATGTTTATATTTTATTAACGATTTTTTTATAGTTGATTATATTTAATTTTTCATTAAATTTTATTCAACACACTTACTTTTGCGATATTTTTTGTTTGATTCCATAATTATAATATATTTGTTTCAGTTTTCATTTGCCTTGATTTTTACTTATATTACAATTACAATTATTATTTAATAATATATTGTTATTAAGGTACAGCGAAATAGTGTAGTGTACAATTTGATTTTATATTGTCAATATAAAAGTAGATCAATAAAAAAATTTAAAACTATGGGAAAATACCAGCTTAACTTGTATTCATGAAAATAGAAGATTATTGATTTCAGTAACATTTACGATAACATCCAAAATATATGATGCACAACTCAAAAATAATTTAGAAAAGTTAACTTTTGAATAAAATTGAAATTGATTATAAAAAAAATTTATCAATATGTGTAGAATAATTAAATAATTTTTAACTTTTCAAAAATATTACTAATATTTATTGAATTATTACATAAAAAATAATTGAATCAATCATATTTTTAATATTGAACTTTTGAAATTTAATATTTATTATTTTCCATTATTTTCCCATGATAATATATGATACGTGCTTATCAATACAAATAATGTATAAATACTAAAAAATACTCAAAGAATGAATAATGAGATGAGATATTCGTGATGTTATAAAAAATATGTGCTTGAATTGATTCTGAAAACATTATTATCACTATTCATTATACTGTGTATTATATACATATGAATTTACTGTGACTCCAATATTTTTTTTTTTAAATTTACAAGTAGATTATGTCGTAATTGTGACTATTATTAAAATAATTTGAACACTTATTTAATAAATCTATTAAATTATTTTAATTAAAAATTATTGTAATGAAAAACGTTAAGATAAATACAACAAGAAATTAAATTCAGTTGTTATAAATATTAAGATGCACTTGAAATACATTTTTAATTCAAATAAAGATAAAGCTATCATAACAATTGTTTTTTCTGTTTATCCTAAATTTCTCTTTGTTCCATAGATTATATTTCCTAATATTTAACTAATAAATAATAAGTACATGATTTTATTCATTTATTCATATTAGTCAACTGTAGAGAATAAACGTCATATCTAGTTAATCTTCTGAGTAGAAGATTAAAAGAGTTTGATAGTCTAGTTCAGAAGATTTGTGTTAGACATTATTATATCATTCTATTATGATCCTGGCATAAGCGTATTTAAATAACATTTCATTAATAAGTCTAACTTATTTATTTTTGTTTTATTAAATAAGAACTTTCAGTATCGCAAATTCCGTTTAAACATTCTTTTAATTTCATGTTATATTCTTATTATTATAATAACTTAAAACATATCGTGAAAAATATTGCTTAACATAATTTAAAAATAAGACATATAAAAAATGAGTTTTCAAAGATATCACCATATTTTGAAATTTTAAAACTTTTTTTATAAAAACTAAAAATTATGTACATGGTTTCTATTATATAAATACTATTACTTAAAAATGTAATTTATAAATGAAATATAATGTTTTCTAAAGTGGCATATTAATTAGACTTAATTTTTAACTTTTTTTTACTTATTAATAGTAAAACCATATTAAAAAAACTTTTTATTAAAATATTATATGTAACAGTTTTTATAGAATTTATCGAAACGATTTTTACGTGATATTTTAAATAAGTTTATATTACTGTTTTCATATAACTCATTAATAATATCTAATAAATAGGTTGCTTATTACTTCTTATTCGAATCGCAAGAAATCCAATGATATGACTAATAGAAAATATTACGATTAGTCCTAAACAGTCAATGAAATAATGATCAGATTTATAGCCATATTTTTCAAGGACCATGATGCCGGTTGAAACACATGGTTCTTCCGGATCTGCAGGACAATCTATAAAAAAATAATATTAATTGTTTTTATATATAATAAATATTTTTCGGTTTACCTATTTTATCAACTTCTCGCCACTGAGTTAACGATATAGCTTCAATTCCATAATAAAAATGTGATGTGTACTTTAACCATTCTATGTGAGGAGCCAAATTTCTAGAAAAAAAATAATTCCATAGCTATTTAAATTAATATAAAAAGTATCTGCTTATTAAATTACTCGAAAATCGATTATAATCGATTATTAAATAAATCAAGTTAATATAATATACATTACAATGAGATTAATACATTAATCTCATAACTAGTAAACAATTTTTTAAAACGTTGCAATAAATGTAATATCATATAAAATACATAAAGACCCATTGAGCAAACCAATAAATGCAACGATAAATCGTGGTACATAAATAAAAATATATAAAAACGAAAATAGCTTATATCATATTTTATTTACCCGAGCTGAAGAAATAGTCCGCTAAAAATTAAAGTAATGAAGTCAATTGGTACGGAAAATAGAGATGCTGTAGTGATTGATTTAAATATTGCAGACATTAGATAACCTGAAATAATAATCGATTTAATGTATGTGTTATTATTTGATAACACATACATTTAAATGTCAACTTACCAACTGCTGATGCAGACATGGCACTAAGAACTACAGGCAAAAGAAATAAAAAAAAATTGTAGTCATTTATATTTAAGCCAACAATTGTGTATATGATGCTTATGAACATAAGTGGTTGTATGATGGCTCCTGGAATCTGATATTATATTTATTTTATTAAATAAAATATATTTATAAATATTTAATACTAATATAAAAATAAATAATTATTATAAATTTTTTTGTTAATATTAAATGAACAAAACGCTCAATTACGATGATACTATTTTTTATTATATGAATAAGATAACTTACTTGTTATAACTTGTTTAATTATATAGCTGATTTCATAAAAAAAGTACATACAAATGGAATATTTAATATTTTAGATTTAATAAGAAAAAAATTAAAATCAATAAAATAATATTAATATAAAACAGATCATTGAAAGAATTTTAATATTACTATTATAATATACTAATTTTTGTTATATTATGTACAAAACACCTCAACGTATAGAATTATGTTGTCAAATTTACAATTCAAGATAAGTATAATATCTTTAATCTGATAAAATTCAGAATATACGTAACTCGTATAAAGATTATACGAGTTTAGACGTTATAAAGATACTAAGATTGTACACATCGGATAATTTCGTGTAGTTAGGATGTAATAATTGTTTTGTAAACTATTCGTAATACGTAATTTCATGAATTTTATAACCATCAAATTTATATATCAGTTGCTTAGTTGAGGCAACGTTATGTAACTATAAAAAAATAATTGACCGTATTGAATTTGTATGAAGTTATAAAAATATATAATTAAACGATATGAAAAATATTTTTCATTACAACTTTATAACTTCTGAAGAAGTATATGCAAAGTTATTAATGAATAATAATATAAATAAAAAAGTACGATAAGTTAATGTATTAAATGTAGTAGAAATAAATATCTTCAAAATATTACTTTTATTTTTACTAATGCAATTTCATCATTAAATCCAATGAAGTTGTGATAAAGAAACTATTCTGCACTCTATCAACATTAGACAAATAGTAATCGTTTTTTATTAGAAACAGAAACATTGCAAATGTATATACTAATGTATTAATAAAGTTCGTATTTTTAGCTAAGAGTTCATTGAAGTTTTTTTTAAAATTTTTAAAATAAAAAGAAAAAAAAGTGCATAAAATAGTTACATTTGATCGAAATTAATATATAGAACTAGATATGAAGTAACAATTTATTATTTTACGATATTTTAAAAAATCTTTAAAAAGAAAATAAATAAATGTTTGAGTAATGTTCTGGTTTTATATTATACAATATTAAAATAATATTTTTGTTTTGTACTTTAAAAATAAATAAGCTATTTTTCTATTATAAAAAAGTATGTTTATTATTAAACATAATTTTTTATTAAACAAAAAGAACAGTTTATTATTTCACGATATTTTAAAAGTAGTTAGTTAACAGTGCAACTCAAAATTAAGAACAGTCTAGTTACGAATTTTCAGTTAGAAAATAAAAGAGCAAGATTCTGTAGCAAAATAAGAGTGTACTAAATATGTATAGTATGATAATCAAGAAACTTAATTGTTGAAATGTTTTCGAATTATGTTTAATAAAACTTTAAATATTAAAGAAAACTTTATAAATATTTATTAACTAAAAATTATATTTGTTTATATATCAAGTATTTTTTTATAGTATTGTATCTATTTAGATAATTCTAAAATAATTATAAAATAATTTATTTCAGTTATAACGTAAGTGCATTGATGTATACTTGTTTTTTCATATTTCTTATATATTGATAAGTTTCATATATTTATTATATAGCTACATAAAATACTATGTGAAAAAAACTTTCTGTGCTTAGTGAAAAAGATTGATTATAATTTAAAGATATATAAGAGTTCAATATAATTTATGATTTATTAATTAATAAATTAATATGAAACTAATATACGCGTTATATTATTATTATAGGTTTACAAATTTATTTGTTGTAAAAACATTGATTTTTTATATCTAAATCATGCTTTTTAATAATGCTTTTTTAATATCACTTATCTATCTCTTCTAAATTTTACTACTTAAATTTATTTTCCGCACTCTATTATTGAAAACTCGCGACACCATATTTCAAATATACTTTTATACATTTTTAACAATGTTAATTACATTATTATAAAATAAAATGTTCGATATAATTAATAATAATTAATTATGATCAAATTATTATTTATATTTTAAAAATTAATTATAGATATATAATTCGTATTTTATGCACACAATATATATGAAATTGAATAAAAAATATTTACTTTTTTTTATTAAATTATTAATTTCTAAATATATTAAAATTACATTACATACCGTTATTATAATTTTACTTAAATAATAAGGAGCTGGATTGTAAAGACCATTAGAAATATCTCTTAATAATAGAGGTAGCTCATTTGAAAAAGTATAGAATACCGAATAGTTAAATGTAAATATTGTTTCAGTAATTATGAGATACATAAGACCCTGTATGCTTTGTATACCATTTTGATCAATATTTTTCATAATTCCAATGTATGGTGTACTTAAAAGAATACCAATAAACTGAAATTGAAGTATTTAATGTTATCAATGAAAATTAATAATGTTAACATTCTAATATTTTTAACTAACCATGTACAAAGAAAATCTGAAACATATTGATGATAAATTCCTTTTATAATCGATGTAAATTCTCCACATAAGCCAGTGAAGTTGTGTAATATTTCCAATTTTTTTTAATTTACTTTGTGCTAAAAAATTTACAGAAAATACTTTATGTTGTGAATTAGCTGATAATGTTTCTGTAACTGATTTACTGATTATTTTTACAAGTTGTTGGCCATAAATCGATTCTTCAAATTTATCACAAATCCATTTTACCTAAAATGAATATAATTTTTATTAAAATTAAAATAAAATATTTTTAAAAAGATTAATATTTAGCCTACCTTCTTTAAATTTTCAGATTCTCTCTCTCGATTAATTGAAAGTTGCTTTACCAAAAATTCAGCAATGTTAAATGTAGTAGGGCATTCAAAATTCAAACTATAAATTGAAATGTTCTAATATAATTCTATTTTAATTACATAATTTCAATATATTATTAATTAATAATTGGTTAAGTTACCTTTGTAAAAATCTTAAGGCCTCTAAGGTATTTCCTTGAAATGCCAATCTTCCACTCGAAAGTATAATAATTTCATGGAAAAGCTCTAAAAGCCCTGATGCAGGTTGATGAATGGAACAGATAACTATACATCCTCGATTAGCTAAGTCTCGTAATGTTTTAATTACAGTCAATGCTGCAAAACTATCTAGACCTGTTGTCGGTTCATCGCAGAATATTATTCTTGGTTCATTAAGTAGCTATCATACACACATATACATATACATATATATATATATATATATATATATATATATATATATATATATACACATATAAATATTGAAAAATTCACACGCATATGCATTGCATGCGCGTGTGTACGAACGAGTGTAAACGCACAACATATCAGCATAATTGTAATAGTATAAAATAGGAAAAATGGATAAATTAATTAATAATTTATATAAATCCATTATCGTTATAATTTTGATTTTTACCGAGCTTATTGATTTATGAATTAATTTACAAATAATAAAACTTCTATTTGAATATAAACTTTCAGCATTGAATAGAATTAGATGGAAATAAAACAAATAGAAACTTTTTTAGAATTAACAGAATTAATCAGGAAAATAAAAAATTAAATAAAAAGAAGAGAGATTTCAATAAAAATATAGAAATTTTAACTTTGGCTCCAGTTGACATACATTACTTAATTGGAATGATCTTGTAATATCCATTCAATTACACGTCCTCTCAAAGATAACAAACGAAGGAAACTGGATTGTATTGTAATTTTAAATTAAAAATTAATAAAATATAATTTTATTATTTATTTTAAAGTCTTTGAAAAGGATATTATACTATTTTCTTAATATATAGATGGTTAAAAAAATAAAAAATTCAATATAATTGAAGTATTACTATATTTACAATAATATAGTATTTATATAATATATACTATAATATAGTATACTATAATATAGTAATATACTATTACTATAAAATAATTACTATAAAATTTTATTAAATATTAGATAAAATTTGATGAACACAAATGATTTTTTAGTATTTTATCACATTAACACAATTCTTTCTTAAAAAAAAGTAATTAAGATACGAAATAAAAATTTGTTTGCTTTCTTTTTATGAAATATTAAACTTTCATTTCTAAGCTAATTAGATACAAATAATTAAATCGTTTTTACGATTCCTCAATCTACTTTTTTAAATTATATTAATTTTATTAAAAATAAGTCAATATTTATAAATTTGTAAATTTAATTAATTTCTAGTTAAATAAATTAATAGAAAAAATCAGTTTTCTATTTATATTACCTCAACTGCCAATGATATTCTTTTTCTTTCTCCACAAGATAATTGTGAAAGTTTTGTCGAACAACATTTTACTAAACCTAATTGTGTAAGTAAAACTGAAATACGTTGTTTCCGTAGCGGTGATTGATATTCTCGATCCATTTTCATTCGTGCCTGTAAATTATTGATTATTGAATTACAGACTCATAAAAAAAATATTTAAATTCAAGTTTCATAAGTTAAAAAGATAAAACTAATGAAATTATTACACAATTATGAAATAAACTATATAAAATATTATATGATATGATTAATGTTTTCTTATAACTTAATTAACCTTGTATTAACTACTATTTAAAATAAAATAAGTTTGTACAACCGTTGTAAGCAAATATGGATTAAAACAATTATGATTCTCTTTAGATGAAATTCTTATTCGTATCATTATATTTTGAAAGTATTTATGAGCACATTTAATTTATTATACATAAACTAAATTTTTATCGGTTTAATGGATATTCGTTTGAACTGAAAATGAATTTTCTTTAATACAAAAATGTTTCTTATCGAAATAGCAAATAAAAATAATTTCTGTTTCTAAAACGTTGCTAAATTAAAAACTATGCTATATGAATTATTTATTTGAAATGTATATCAGTGAGTCACAATTTCTTATTTTTATGTTGATGTTTATATTTTGCAATATTTATCTCCAGATGTTAATATTATAAAATATTATGGATTCCATGATTTATCACAGCAATTGCGTATTTTCTCTTACATCAAATATCATACAATGGATATTAGTTTGCCTAGCGACGGTATATACCTGATTTATTTGCTGATTATTTTCGCTTGTATAAATTATATTTTAATATAAAGTGAAAATTATTTACAATTAATTTATACAAAGAGATATGATATTTAGATCTATTATATAATTTTCAATATTAATGTTTAGTTAATGGTAAAGTAAGATTCATAGAATGTAATTGTAGTTTGTGTGATGATATTTTACATACACAGCATGCACTTGTAGATATATGCTAATTGTATAGTGAATACTTGTTTCGAGTAAATATAAAATATGAAGAGTAAATAGTTGATATGAAAAAGCCTATTAAATATTAATGATTAAAACAATCTATAAGATCTATCGGATCGTATGCTTTTAATTAATAAAGTAACTACTTATGTCAGCATTTCCTTTTTAGAATAATTATCATTTGTGGATTATTGTTATTTATATATTATTGACTTATATATTATTATTATTGTGACTATGATGTTCACTATCATATGCACTAGTGTGGAAAAAACAATTCGGAAACCATACCTCGTAAGTGTAAAACGACAAAGCATACAATATAATAAAAAAATGTATATAGTATGATAGTAAAAAAGATTTATCTAATCAAAATTTTTTTATAGAATATTTTTAAATTTTAGTTTTTAATAATTTTAATGAAAATGTATAAATAGGAAAATTCTATATTTTTATCATTGAACAGTTAAGTACTTATATTAAAATGAACGGTCTTTGGTTTTTAAATCAATTTGAATAGTCTTATATTAAAAATATAAACAATAATGTTTTATATACTTTTAAAATTAAAAATAAAAATGATTTAATTAATTAATCAAATTTACAGAATTAAATATTCTGTAATGTATATATATATATATATAAAAGGATTTATATTTATCGTGTATTTTAATAAAGTGGTTAATGATTAATTTTTGGTAAGTATAAATTTTTGTAATTTGTATGATAAAATTTAGGTTATTAAACAGAAATTAATTGTTTTACTTATTTATTTAAGTTATTTTATAATTAAATTTTCATACTGTTTAAACTTCAAATGATTTCATTGTTTAATATTTTGAATGAAATTATAAAAAGAGCTGCCTGGGGATTGATTAAAAACATATCGATCTGTTATCTCTTGTGTTGTGGAATTTTTGGCAATTTTTTGCATTTCAAGTGTGAACCACAAAGACTAACGTCGTGATGATATAAGCAATTCACGCAGAGTCGTCTCTCTGCTACCAGTCTTCGTCTGTCTACGTCGGGCTTACTCCTAAATTGATCACAAAAGAAGATTGGGTGTTCTCTATCGTAATAGGAGCAGCTTTTTTTTATCTCGATCTGAAGAAGGACTGGACGGAGGTTTCTTTACAGATAATTGGTAACAGTTGGAGGACCTTTTTTTGAGGACAAGGATTGTATCGATCGAGATTCCATCGGTGCAGGTTACGGTGATCGTGCAAGAGGTTGAGTCACCTCTTCACCTTTTCGTAGTGACCTCCCCCTGTTTGTGAGGAACGTTTTTAATTGGTCTAATCGCGGATAGGTAGTGGATGTCCCGATTGAAGCTTCCCATAGCTCCATGGTGACGTGGTCAAAGTAGAGTGAAATTTGATGTACCAGGATGTAATTCCACAAGTCTGGCAGGCTATTCAAGGAGAGGAGATGCTTAATTTCCTCTTCTGATCTTTTGGCCAGATTCTGTAGGGTGTCTGCGTCACCTTTTACTGGTTTTGCGGGGGGGGGGGGATACTTTAAGAAGGCCGGAACGGATTGAAAGACGTTGGTTTTTCTACTGCTCATTAAGCAGCTCTCATGCTAGCATTAGTGTCCCTTTATTAATGACAGAGTTGACTCGTCTAATGAGGTGTAGAGGTAATGTAATTTTTCCACCTGAGTGATGTCTTTGTTGTCCAAGACGAGTGTCGTGAAGAGGTCGCTGAATCCATCCCAGTCTTCTTGTTTTCCAGAGAATTTGGGGAGTTTTAGCACTGGTAGACGGCTCCCGGTTATTTTTATTAGAGGTACTGAGGCCTGGTGCTCGTTGCATCCGACCATGTATCGTTGGCGAAGCGTGCTGATGATACCTAGCGTGGTAGTGTATTGAGCGGTTTCTCTTTTGAAGGGATCTGATGAAAGATATTCATGATCTTTTTGATCCGCTAGCCAGATGATCTCTAAGTACACGTGTTTCTTGGCAAAGGCCTTGTGAATCTCCTCTGGTACTGAGTAGGAGTCCGAGAGTTCCTCTACTGTGACGTTGGGTCCAGATTTGGCATATTGTTCAGCGAGGGTCTGTAATAGTTCAAAACACTTAAGCTGTGTTTTTATTTTCATTGAAAATTCATTGTTTCTATGTGGGGATGAGATGCTGCGAAAAATTGCAGCCCTCGCTGATTTGGTGGCCATGGGTGTTTTGGTGCCCTTGACATCCATTGTGACCCTTTTTTTGTATCTTACTTATTCGTCATGAACTGAAGGAGAGGGAGTTCCGAATCTCCCTTTTGAGATCGAACGGTCAACGATTCGTAAAGTAGTACCACGTGTTATGTGAATATGACGTTTCCCACTATGTCCGACAGACCCGATGTTTGCAGGTCCGGCTTGTTTCCTTGAATCTGCTATCTGGCAATGTGATAATCCGGCTCGAAGGGCCAAATGTTTGAAATTTAATGTTTATTTTATTGCTCGAACTGCCAATTCAATAGTTCAGTGGATTAATCTCTCGCCATAGCGATTAGGAAGAAAGTGTGACCTGTTCGAGCGTATTGCGTCACCGACTTTAGTGGGGATGAGTTCTAGTCCCGACAACGTAAGTACATGTAGAAGATAGTTTTTACGGTCTCAGCCCTGTGTGGTATTTGAGAGAGTATTGTCTGGGTTTGTAAGTGTTGTGCGCAGCTTGATTCGAGCGGGAGTGACTAATTTTGTACAATTAATAGAGAGGAGGTACCTTATGAACTACCGTACTGGCCCGCTGGTTTGGAGGCGTGTTTGGCGCACCTTATTGATTACGATCCCAATGACTTCACTGTTCGATTGCTACCCTAGTTGCAATATATTCTTATAACGTGGCACGTATGCCTTTTAGATCGATTGTCGGAGATTTAGGTTGAACTTCGTGCTTGCGCAAGTGATCCTGATGTATGAACCGCACTAACTAATAATACTAATAAATCAATGAACGAGGTGTAGAATTACAACAAGCCATAACTGAGTTGATGGTAAAAACACCGTCGAACAGTGGTTCGGTGCGTGGCGCGCTGCTCTTAAATATTCGCGACATGGCTTGCGACACCGGCAACAGCACCGTAGCCTCTGGAATATTTTAGAAGCTTCATCGACGTTGCTATGCATAAATATTGTTGTATATTAGACGTTATGGTGTAGGAAAATTCCTGGAATCACTGAATCATGTTTACAAACAAACGTTTGTAACTCTCCCAATTTTAAATTTGAATTAAGCTGCCTCAAACCCGAACACGATCAAAAATACTAAACAATGCATATCAATTAATTTAAATTAGATGATAATATATGCCAAAAAATTTATTTAATGAAAATCTGTTCCAGGCAAAGAAAATAATTACTAATATATATATATATATGTTGATGCATATATGAATATAAACGTAAAATTTATATCTCATTTATCACTCTGCAAATCTAATTAAATAAATTTGTGATAAATGTATATATCTCATTAAAATAAATATTTATATCTTTTCGTATTTATAATTTTAGTATACACTTACCATCCATCTACAACGAAGTAGTAAACAATCTTTTCTGTTAATATATAAATGATAAATGAGATAATCTGGATTTAATGGACAAACGGAGAATATAGTGAATACAATATATTCTTTTTGGTATACTGTATTTATAATTACCATAAATTCCATGTGTTCCTGTACAGTTAATGATTCTATTGTAATATCTTGTTGAGGAACAAAACCAGATATTCGTGACATTGTTTCAGTGTCCGCAGATTTACCATTGAGTAATACTTCACCGCATACTGTTCCTAAATAATTGAACTAATTACAAATACAGATTATACAAATTTATTATATGTATATTTATTATATTATTATTTATTTAATTGTTATACATATATATTATATAAATGTAATATGTATATCATGCAATAATTATATTTATAAGTACAGCTGATCATTCAGTAAAGAATATACAATTATTTTTTTACTTAAATATCTATAAAACAAATTTAATACATTATAATAAATTATAGTAAAAAAATTAAATTCATTATAATTAATATCGTAATAAGAGCTACAGGAAAGACTATTCAAGCAGTCTGAAATAAGTATATTGAATCAAATATATGTTTGGGAAAAAAGAAAATCAATCGAATTATAATTTAACTAATCAATAATACAGAGTAAATGATGTCAAATATCCGTTATAGAAAAATTTTTTAAAAAAAATTTTTTAATAAATTAATTCCTACTCTCATTCTTGTATTTAATATACTTGATATAACTATACTGTTAACTATACTATACTACTTTAATATAATTTTTATTTATAGAATATATAATTAATATGAATAAAAATGAAAAAAAAATTGTAAATTATATTATTACTTAGTGATCACAAATAAAACTTAAAAAAATAAATATCAATTAAAAATCGATATTTTTAAGAAATTAAAGTAGTTTGTTTTTATTGGTCCAAAAAATTTTCAATTTTTTAAGATTTATATACTATATTTCATTGAATCTATGTTTAGGTTTAATTTAAAATATTTTCATGCTTAATATTATAATTTATTTTCTAATATTAATATATTCACAATATTTATTACAATATTTTGTAAACCTAGTAATTCCCATATTTAGTATTCAGTTATCCTTATAAAACCAATGTATCTTTACTTATTATTTTTGCATAAATTATGAAACGTAATTGAATTATTAATAAATTTCATTAACGCCATCAGATGTACTTCATTAGATATAAAAATCTGCAGATAGATCAAAGCAAAAAAATTTATTATCGGTTGAGTCAATCTTTCTGATTTAATCTTTTAGTTTTTGTTTCTAAAAAAATTACTACTGATTTACTTTATCTTTACTCTCATCGTTACATTAATTATTTTTATGAATAACTCCTTAATATATATTAAAATATACTTTAAAAATCCTACAATTACATAAATTCGTAATAATTGAAATATACAGTATAAAATATTTAATACACAATCTCCTAATAGATGAAGTTTTGACACACTTTATACAAATGCTGCTATTTGGTATATCTATAAATTTTAAAGGTATTTCATTTCTACGTATAATTTCTGTTACATCGTATTCATATAGACTTACTTGTACTTTTATATTTAAAATTTAAAAATAATAGCGTATATGCATTTGTTCAGGATTAAGTACTTTATTTTGCAATTGGGGAGCCGTATTTATAAAAGTGTAAACACAGTAATACTAGCATCGTATCACAAAAATGTTAGAAGTAATATTTAATCAGATACGAATATAATATAGTATTAAAATATAATTAAACGAACATTTTTTAAATAATATTTTATTAAATCATAAATAAACTATATCGAATAAATTATAACGAATAAATTGTAATAAATAATCTATAAAATACAAATATATATACATCAGATTAATAATAAAATTAATTAAAATTTTATATCTATAATTAAAGTATTTTATTATATATTTTATTGTATATTTTATTCTAAATTATATTTTTCATTATAGCCACAGACATACTATGAACTATTAATAAACGTTTGTTCAAAATAATACATTATTTGATTACATAAACAATCAACCATATTTTTATCTTGTTAACTGTATTTGCGAGTTTCTTTAAATAATAATTTTTTCAATATTTATATTATCCAATTTTTCAAATTTGAGTTTAAATGTAGTTAAATAATTAATCTTCCGAAGTAGCTTAGCATATACGTTTCTGATATAACAATTTATTAATATGTAAACATCATACTTGCGCTGTATTTTTCTAAATATAGTTTCAACTTTATATCTATTAATACTATGTTCTTTACATATAAATATTAAGTATAATTTCATATCAAAATATATGGTAAAATTACATAATTTATTCCATGGAGATATCTTCACAATAAGTTTTTTTTTAACTCTAAAGAATATTTATACTACATGTTTGAAGATTTATATTTCATGTTTCATTATTAATTATATATTTATTTATAAAAGAACTTTTACCTTTAATTCGCAGACTTATTCTTGCTAGTAGACTTGTTTTTCCAGCGCCACTAAGTAAAACAGAATCAATTTATAAAAGAATTTGAAAACAAAATTAAAAGAAGTTAAATAAAGTAATTACCTTGGACCCATTATAGCCATTAAAGTTCCTGATTTCACGATACCATGAACTAATTAGTATTAATATACCAAATAAAATTATAATTATTATTAATTTTTTTTAATTATTTTTGGAAGTAAAATTTTAATTTGCATGTTAATTAATTCTTATTAATTAATCTAGATTACCTCCATTTAATAATTTGACATATTCAATTTGTTTTCCAATAAAAAAATCTCGTAAATAATTTCCACCTCTTCTTCTTTCAACTTTATAAGATATATTCCTCCACGAAAGACTTATTTCGTTTGGCAAACAAAACTTTGTTAATTGGGATATTGATACATCGTTCTGGTTCTAAAAATTATGTTATTTATTCATTAATTTTACTTATTTTTGTATCTTGCGTATAATGAATCTATGGAAATCTATAATATTATTGATTTCATATTAAAATTAATATGCATTACCAAAGTATACAATATATATTACTAATAACATTTTTATTTAATATTATCTCTTATAAAAATTCATATCGTTTTTCTGAAAATTATAATTCTGTTTATGAATAATATTCAATTTTCTACATATTAAATATATATCATTAATTTATATACTACAAATTTATATGAATTTAGAAACGAATACTTTTATTTCAATTATTAAAGTAATTTTTAAAAACAAAGTTAAATAAAAATTAATAGTGATTTAATAGCTAGGCAGCAATAGATTAATGCTACAGATAAATTATCTATTTTGACACTTTTATAGTTATACTTTATGACAATTAAATAATATTAATGATAATAAAACCTTTAAAGTTAGCTAATGGGTTAATATTTAAAGTTAATTAAAGAATATATTTTTTATAATACATTGTAGAAAGGAATAGGAATCTCTATAATTTATTACACATTATATACATCTTTGTAGCATCTATTTCAGCATATACATAATAAGCTTTTCAATATATTCATAACTCCTCTAAATCAGAAAGAAATGATTTAAAAAAAATTTGGTATTTATTATTCTTGACTTTTAAATTGTGTCTATATATATTTAATTAAATTTCTTCATTCAATTAAAAAATATACATTATACAAATTACTACATGAATTTATTAATCATTTAAATAAAAAATTACTTTACATATACTTATTTTATAAAATATAAAAATATTAATATTATTCTAAAAGAAATTACTTTCAATATAAAAATATCATTTTTTAAAGTTATTAGAATTGAATATGCTAAAAACATAATGATTCCAATTTTATTTCATATTTTTAATTTTATTCTAAATTGTACAATTATAAGAAGTTAAGTGAAAATAACGATATGTGAATAAAGACAATTCTACTAGCAAAATAACAGACAATGCATATAATTATTTATTATACTACTAAGTATACTTATTGAATAATTATTCAATCTTTACACGCTCAGTCACTTTATAAGAAATCATTAATTATTAATCAAATTCAAACAAATATAATCATTTATTGAAAAGTTTGTATAATTTAACTAGCTATCAAAATTAAACATTAAAATTTTTGTGTGATTAATAAAAAAATTAAAACTATCCATTCTTATTTAATATTCTTATTTAATAGTCTTCATAAATTATTTTAAAATCTATAAAATTAAAAATAATGATTTATATTTGTCATAATTTGATATAATAATATATACATAACTTTAAAAATTAAAAAACTCAATAAAAATTTAAAACTTTTCTTTTTATTTGAAAATTAATTGAAATAAATAATTACTTGAATATATTAAATTAATGTTATCATAACGCAATAAGTTATAGTTATATACTATACGCCTTATTGCGACAGTATGGTCAATAACAACTTTGTCAACATGTATCCAGTGTAGGTTTATATTTCATATTTCTCATTAAACCAGTCGAGACTGTGGGATCGGAATTGTGATTATATAAAATTTAATTTGATTAAATAAAATTAAATAACAGATAAGTTTAATTAAAAATATTTTTAAATTATATAAATGTATGTAATATAAAATAAACTTGGAATAAGAATAGTTTTATTGAAAATATACTAAAATTTATTAGCAATTTCATATAAAATAGTTTAAATAAATATTAGAAGCATTTCAGTTAAAATTTATAATTAATTTAGATAATATTGAGTTATTAATAATCAAATTACTTGATATCATACAAAAATAATACGATCAATATATATAAATATAAAATTAATATAATTGAAAAATTTCTTTAAAATATCAATAATATTCTATACTTTCTAATTATCAATTAATTACACAAATGCATAAGAAATGTTTAAATCAGAAGATTATTTATTAATATATGAAAATGTTATAGGGGTTTATCACCTTCTAAATATAATCAAAATTTATATTAAAACTATATTACAATTTAATAAATTAAGATAGATTTTATTATGTTTGATCTTCCTTCATCGATGTCTAGTTAATATGCTAATTAACAATAATCGTCGATCCAATTAAATTTAATATTATATTCAACAAATCAAATTGTTAACATGGACGAATAAAATTTTTAATTATTTTCTTAAAATATTATTTCAATTAATAATGTATCAATCAGTTTATATATTTATATATATATATATATATATATATATATACATTGAAATTGTTAAGCAAAATTAATTTTTTATAAAAAAGCTGATTTTTAATTATTTAAAATATATTTTATATCCTTTGTTTTTTAAAACTTATTATTTTGAAATCCTTACTGATTATTATTCATTATTAGAGAATGTTAAGTACATTATATTAATAACTTAATATGTGTTTATTTGAAACAAAAAAGACGTTATAAAAGACATTTTCTAAATTTATTTGGAATTAAAGTTTTTGATAATTTTGGGTTAATATTTTAAATGCATGTATGCATGATATGTATATGCATCTAATTTAAATTATGCATACAAACAAAATGATCAAATTATTAACAGTATTAAACGGCGTAATATTTAAATATATAGAGTTACTTCATTTATAAGCGAATAATAAAGCAAAAATGAAAACGTTACCCGGGTGAATACAAAAGTCGCCATTATCTTGATACATCGTTTATTTTCTCATTTTATTTCTAATATTTAATAATTTATATATCAAAGCATTCATATTTGTATTTAAATTAATATATTTAAAAAACTGACTGTCGTTATTTTAATTACTTTCATACTATATTTATTATTAATATTATTTATTATTATTTTATTAATGATTGCATAAAATTTATCAAATTAAGATCGTTGTAATAATATTTTAGTTAATAAAACGAAAATTATCAAGTGTTGGAACTGCATTTTGTTAAAAATGGATGTAAACATAATATAATAAAAACAATATATTTAAGAAGAATTTTTTATATAAAAACTTTAAAATATTGAAATTTTATTTTCTTATTATAAATAAAATTATGGCCTATCCTAAAAATTAAAGTAAATAAAATTTACTATATAAATTATATTAACTAGTAGAACTATATTAACTAGTAGAATAACATAATTTTAATATATTATTAAACTATCACCAATTGTTAATAATTGAAAACTTATGATTAGTACAAAAATATCATTATATACATATTACTATATATTAAAATGCATAGTACATATGAATAACAAAAGAACTAAATACAATATTATAATAATGTTAATATAATGGTTATGATTGATTACAAAAATATTCATTCAATTTATAAATAAAATCCTGTTATAATCATATAATTTGCATGAAATTACGGAGTTATAACTTTAATATTATTAATAATTCGAAAAAAATAATATTTTGGAAAATTTAACATGCATTATATTATTTAAAGTATAAAATTAAAAACTAAATTTTTTTCGTGTCATAAGTATGTTTGTATTGTGTATTATTTTATTTTACGAGTGTATTATTTTATTTTACAATTAACATAAGCAAGAAAAATATATTCTTTTAATATTTATAATTTTATTAAATAAATTAATTCTCATTTTAAATTTTAATAATTTGTCAACGAATTCCCTTTATGTAAATTAATGATATTTGTGCATATTATATTTATGGATGAATATATTACTTAAAGTTTATTATTATTTTTTAAATAATATTTATTGAATTTGTTGATTGATTATATTAAACACTATTAAAAAAATAGAGAATATCAGATTCTCATTTACAATAATAAAGTAAATACTCATAAAATAATAGAAGAGTTTTTTTTAATAGGACTACAAAATCTTAACGAATTATTTAATCAAATATAAATTAAAATATATTAAAATGTAATTTTGAATCTATTGTTTATTAAATTTGGTAATTGATTTCATTTAGAACTTGTTTATATTATTATTTTCATTTATTCTTTTAAAAATTATTAATTAATATAATTAATTATTTTATTAGATTATTCTATTTTATATTAAAAACAATGCTTTAAATTAATATTTTAATGTATAAAAATAATTTTTAATTTATCATAATAACATAAAAACATGAAAAGATCTTTAAATATATATGAACTGTCTTTTTTTTAAATCTATTTGAAAAATCAATAACAATAATACAAATAAAAAACAAATAAAAACGGATTAAATTAAAAATTAGTTAATTAAATTTCAATATTTTATTCTTTTATTCACGAATAAAATTAATAATTTATATTCATATATTATTTATTAAAATAACAAAATATTATAAATACTTGATATGTATTTTACTATTAAATGACAAAAAGAAATTATAAATATTGAAATAGTTTTATATTAAAATAAGTTATTGAAATATTAAAATATTTTTATATAAAATTTTTTTCGAATACATAAGCTTTATTGAAAAATTACTTTTTTAAAATATGTAATTTTAATAAAATGTAATTTCCTATATGAATTGAATTGGAAAACCAAGTCTCTGTTATGTAAGAAATTGTTTAATTATATCAGTACGGTCTTTAATTAAGAGTTTATACAATAATTTTGTATAAAGAATCAATATAAATATTGCAATCTTTTAATGCATATACACAAGTTATATGGCAAAACATTTAAGTTTTTGTTTAAGTTGCACATAAACAAATAATAAGTATCGTAAATTTTTTCTAATTAGAATAATTGTCATTCATAAAAATATTTTTCTAAATATTTCATTTTGTATATAATGTTTTTTATTTTATGCAAATATTTTAATTTATGAAAATTATAGCAATAAATTGAATATTTAGAATTTCAATATAAATAAATTTAATTTACTTACTTTACTAAAACCAAATAATAACATGGTTGCTTCGATAAAGAACTGAATTTTAGTAGAGTTATAAGAAAAAAGAACGAGAATCATTCATCAATATAATTCAAACATGTAGATTTAGAGAATCGAAAGAAAATATGCGTTATGTAAGATTTAATAACTGAAACTCAAGTAGGTGTACCTAATGTTTATTCTACGTTGTTATGAAACGAAGATTGAAATGGACCAATGTATCACTCAGTAACAAAACTACAGAATTACCAGAGGTTTCACCTTGTGAGAGAATACTCTCGTTTTACAACTATTCACTTATTCCCTCTACTTACATGAATAAAGATTTTTATATACTTACTTATATAATCTTAAAAATGAGTAGATTTTTTTTATAAATTATTGTATTAAACGTATAATAAATAATAATTTTTTTAATTTTATATTATTTTATAATTTACTTCATTTAAATATAAATTGAATTATTCGATTTTATAGAAAGAAAAAAATATATATCTATAAAAAAAATTATATTTTTACTTTATTGAAGCGGATGATATATATATGAAGAAATATATTCTGAATACAAATATGTATAACAAACTTATAAATTAACATTATTGATTACGGAATAAGGGTATTACTTTATAGTATACAAATAAAATAAATTATATACGACCTAATTTAATATTGTATTTATACATAACTGTCAATGATAATATTACTTACTATTGTTTTTATGCATAATTTATATACATAATTTTATATGTATAATTTTTAAATTTTATATTTTATCATTAATAATTAATTTTATTTTCCAAAAATTATTTATAGTATTTTATTCTAAACATATAACATTTATTTCATGTTTTGTTTAGCTTTTGAAAAGTCGAGCTATCCTGCATATATATAAATTACATAAGTTATACATATATATAAACCAAAGAGCCAAATTATATTTGTATTTATATAAATAGATAAAATTTCATAAATAAAAATAAAGATTCATAAATAAAATTTTTTAAAATATTTTTTAAATATTTTTCATATTTAAAAAATTATTGATAAATTATAAATACGAGTTTATATTATAAAGTATTATTGTTATTTAACAATTAATGTATAATGATATTTTTAGTGAAATTTTCCAGGCGAATAGAATTTAAAATAATTATTAAAATGCTAAAACTATATTTATAACATATAAAAAAAATTTTGTTATTAAATAACGAAATTTTTACTTATGTAAGATCAAAACTAATGGCATTTTAACAATTTCATGAATTCTAATTTAAACTATATAATTAACTACATAATATAGTTAATACATTAACACAATAATGTATTGTGTTTTATAATACTTAACACAATACAATACACTTATAGTTAATATATGATTAATTATATAACTATATAATTTTATTTTAAAATGAAACAAATTTAAAAAATATAAATTTGATTTAGCACTTTCTTGATTTTGAATAAATATATTAGATATTTATATGTACATAATAGACAATAAAATAAGAAATTTTCAAATTTCATATAATGTAAAAAATTCAATTTATTATAAATTTTAAAAAATTTTATTTTTTGTAAAAAGTTACTTTAATTTATTCTATTGAAATTTACTATAGTATTTTAGTATGGCATTAATACTTTTCCAACAAAATCTAAATTTTGTCTAACAAAATCTAAATCTATTTTTTAATAGTTTTATCTTTAATTTTATAAATAAAAGTTGTGTAAGAAAAAGACAATAATCATATTTATGTATTCAACACGTATTCTAATACATATCACATAAATATTCATTTATTTTAGATATAATCGATGCAATATATTCATTTTTTATTTTAAAATGAATTTATAATAGTTTATTAAAATAAAATGTAACGCTAAATATTCATAATCCAAAATAAACAGTAGCTATGCAACAGGTGTCAAGAGAGTTAGTAGTATAGTGAGAACATATCGATGGATTTATAGTACTATCAATGCATTGAGGGTAATAATGTATCATTAATGCAGCCATGGTATAATATTACTTAATAATGGCGATGCTTATTTTAAATATAGTTACTACCCATGCAACATGCAGATTAGTACTACGTTCCGAATTTCTGTAGCAATTAATACTTTTAAAATAACGCCATGACTAAGACTAAGACCTAAGAGCACAGAAAGAAGTTCGATAGATTTTTTCACAGCTACTCGAAACATTATCTCCGAAAATTCAATATCAACGATAACAATAACACTAGGAATACAATTGGTAAGCAATTAGATTTAAAATTAGCTCATCGAAGTACTACGATTTTTCTTAAGATTTCAAATGCAAGAATACTGATTTAATGACTTAATAGATATTAATTAAAAATTTAAGTAATAAAATTGTAAATTACATAAAATAACAATAATATAAAACCAAGTGATCAATTAAATGAATACAAAGTTATTAATTACTTTAGGAATAAGAATAAATAAAATGAAAATAAGAAAAATTTATTGTCTTAATAAACTTTTCTTTGATAATTATAAATTTTATTGGATAATAGATTTTTTATTTAAACTAATAAACAATATTTAATCAAATATGAAAACATCATTATTTAATTATTTAATATTATCAGGAATGTATAATTATTGTAATTCTAATTAATTTATAATGAATTTAAGAAGAATGAAACACATATTATGAAATTGATTGTATAAAATATCACTACAAATACATGTAATAAAAAAAAATAAACCTGAGATACTTTTTTAGAACTGTTCTTTATATATGGTGAAAGTGATTGTAACAATATGTTTAAGTCGTTCGAACAAAAAATGTATATAATTATAAATATATACTTCATATATGAATCAAATGCTGTAAAATAATACATTTATTCTTTGAAAATATTTTATTCACTAAGTATTAAATTGTTTTAAGATTGAAAGCTGATTTATCAAATAAAATTACTTTTTACTTTTAAAAAATAGTTATATTTGAATACAATATTTAAATAATCAGTCCTTTTAATAAAATGTATTGAAAATATAAATAGTTCAATAATTTTTTCTCATTTTAGTTTGATAGATCATGTTTGTTATTAATATGTAAATAATTGCATTTTTAGGCGGTTTTGAATCAAGAGTATTGTGAATAAATGCGTTTGCATGTGCATAGGTATTGTAATATAAAATAAAATGTAAAGATTTAGTTATTGAAAATCTTGCTTTAACAATTTGTAAACAATAGTTTCAATAATTACTAAAATATTTTCTCAATAAAGCTTATTTTCAATAGTGAATATAAAACCCACTATTTAAAAAATTTACTATTATTTCTTGTTTTTTAGATTATTTTGGTATTCACCTGTATAGTTCTAAATTGTATCAAGGTTTGTATTGAAAAGGTATTACAAATAAATTATTTAATTAGTTTTGAAATAATAATAAAAAATCTGATTTCATCTGAAAATGTTTTTTTATTTCTTTTTGTTAAATTTATTGTTTTCATTAAAAAAAAGATTTCTGGTAACATTATAAATTAATATATAGCTATTTAATTTCCTGATGGAATATACACAGGTCCTTGTTGATAAATGTGGCCATATTCATATACTCAGGAAGTATCTCAATGTAATTCTTTTTCAATTCTTGAAGAATATAATTTGAATCTTATACACATGATGCAAATACAAAAATTTGTGTCTATAAACCTTATTAAAATATTTATTATCATTAATAAATACAAATTTTATTTATAATTAAGAATTATTCATTTCTTTATTGTTTGAATTATTATTAATAAAAGTTATAATTCTATAAAATTAAAATTACAAATATTTTCAAAATTACTTATAATAAAAGTAAGAAATGGAAAGAATTTGTTCAATTACATTTATTTCTTTTGATTAATTTTTTAACTTTCTTTAACGATTTTGCCATTTATATTCGAAATGAACGACTATTAATTATATTTTTGTATTTTTTATGAAATCTAATATTATAAATAATGTGTAACATTAATATGATGTTTTTTATTGATTAATACATTATATACATTATTAATTTATTTATACTATAGATATATTGAAATATTTCAAATGATTTATTTTTATCTAATTTTATAAATTTAATATCATTTACTGATTTTATAAATATGAGTATATATTTTATAATATTTATGGATTGTCCTTAATAAATTCACACGCAATTTCAATAAAATCGATGTGTCAAACTATCCCTTATTATGATAAATTTTATATTTTGACTACTAATTCATTCAATAATTTACATCATCAGTTTTTAATTAAAATTATGAAAAGTCTAATCTTCATAAAATTTATTAATCTTGATAGCATTATTATATATATTAAAATATATTCAAATATATTACATACAGTGCTATTTATTATGGCTGTTTAACTTAATAGTATATTATTTAGTAATATTTTATCTAGCTTAAATAATTTTTCAGATTTATATAATGATTCTTCCCATATATTATTCAAAATATATGATTGAACATCTAAAATTCTCTTTTTATTCAATGATGCTGAAAAAACAAAATTTATGTACTATCAATTATTTGTTAACATAAATCTTAAAAAACGAAGTGTTTTGAAGTGAAAACGCACTTTTTCACTTTAACTATTTGTATTTCCTGCCAACAAATTAACTTTTTTGAATTATAAAGTGGTATATTGCATATCTTTTATATTGATTTTTTTAATGTCCATTTGAATGTTTTAACTTTTCCCTGAAAATGTCTAATGATCATTCTTATTTTACTATATACAATTGAAGTAGATTATGTAGCAGATTAAAGTAAAATATTATATATATCTTTTCAGAATCTACAAAAAAAAATGAACAATACAAAATATTTAGAATATACTTTAGAGTATATTTATGCAATTCCTTGCTCATTTATTTACAATAGATCATATTGTAGCAATAAACACGATAATTATTTAACTAATAGATTATGAAAATTAATTTATTGAAAACGTCTTCTATTAACAAAAGATGCCGAAAATACATTTTCATATACCGTGTGTTCAAGATTCCGAGAATCTCTTGAATGTTATTAATTCCGGGAAAACCCGAACGGCTATCATTTCTGGAAAAACTCCAACGGTTATCATTTCTGTGAAAACCTGAAAAAGAATCATTACTGTAAAAAGTTGGAGGTCCGGAAAAATAAGTGCACAATCATATCCACTTTTTCAAGCACCACAATCGCCTCTTTGTTGTTAGCTGACTAAGCTGCCACGTGGATATTTAAGGTAAGCTTACCACGAGATAGTGCACGAGCTACTCAGGTAATCGCGCTCTCTCACTGAAGCAACTACACGAGGAATTCGGGTTTATTCTCCAGTAACTATCAACAAATTAGCAGTCAAGGGTGCTGACTGCATTAAAAGAAAATATTCGACTACAAGAAGCATGGTATCGAAGTACTATTTATCAGGAAGGTATACCAGCAGTCTCTATTGAGGATAACTATTCACAATTAAGCCGTACTCCCTCCAATTGAGTATGCACAACTCTGTTAATTTTTACAATATTAGCAAAGGCTTCAATTAAATACATAAGCCATACTCAATATATACAAATAACAACTGTTAAAGAAGAGAAAAATTTGTGTGTAAGAATGTGTAGTATATATTAAAAAAAGATAATTCTTCAATAAGCTAATGAGATCTTCATTCTATAATGAGGTAAAAATATTGAATATAAAAGAGAAAAAACCAATTATTTTATTTTAAATCAAAATTAATAAATTTATTAGTAGTATTATTATTAAAATCATAAACTCTAGAGCTCTCGGGCATTAATATAATATAGTATAAACATTCGACTTCAAAAAATATTAACAAGATAAATAAATCTATATTTTGTAATAAAAATAATTGTTTTTACTTTGTAAATAAAGAAAACGAGATACTACGAATGTATTACTAAAATATATGAGCTGCAATTAAAAAATCTAGTTTCTCAATAACTTTGTTTATATACATTTTTCTGATTTTTAATACATTAGCATTTTTATTTAAATTTATTTCTTTAATACGTTTAACATATTACTTTGGTAAAATAGCTTTAATATATTTAATACAGATCTTTTCTTTTAACAAGTGTGTGTGTGTGTGTGTGCGAGTGTGTGTGCGCGCGCGCGTGTGTGTGTATGCATGTGTACTCAAATAATATATTAAATTATAAATAGAAACAGCATCATACTGATAATAAGTTACAATAAAAATTTTAAACTAAAACTTTACTATATTTTAAATTGGTAATAATGAAAGTAAATTACGCATGCGTGCAGTATACATCCATATAGTTTCAGTTATGACTTAATATCTATAGCAAAAATAAGTATTTCTGATTTTATACAAAAAATCAACTTCGCCAACGAATAATTTATTTTGACATTTCAAGTAAGTACAAGAATTACGAAATTTATAAATTCTCAACATATAAATATTTTAAGATTTTTAAGTTTCGTGTTTCATTATTTCAATTTAGGAAAATTAAAATGAAATCGATTTAATTATCAAAAAATGTAATAGATCAATTCATTAATAATTATTAATAAGAATATTCTTATAAACTAGTTATCGATATTACTTACTCAATATTATTTTTATATTCTTTTTTATTTTCTATAAAAAGTAAATTTCTTAAATATTTATTTATTATTTACACGTTATATTTTATGTGTAAATTTTTTATCTGTTAATTACATTACATTGCAATGAAATGCAACAATATTTTTATAATTGAAATAAATATCATTAAATTAGCTTTATCAGTATTGAATGATTTTATTTATTTTGCTATACTTCAATATGATTGGTTTATGAGTTTTATGTTGTGTTTAATATTAACGTAATCTTAAGATCAAGTTAAACTAATTTAATATAACTTACTTTCAGGTAACTATAAATTGTATAAAGTTTTTTAAACTTTTTTTCTCAAGAATGACAACTTCGACAAATGGCAACGGAAATTTGATTGATGAATTCGAAGAAGCATTCCAAGTACATAAATTAACCTAAATATATATATTTTCAAATTTTTATTTAAATAAGTATCTAATTTAGATTATAAATTAAAATAAGATACGTAGTTAAGTATATTTTAGTTCAAATATATAAGTAAATATGTACATCTATTAAGATGACAATATTATGTTAAACTATATTTTTCATTTTTTGTTATATAAAATTCATATTGTACCTTACGGATATTTATTTCATGCCATATATAAATATATACCTCTAATTGTAACAAAATTTGTCAATAGATAGTTTTTATACATTAGAAATATATTTTTATATTTAAACAATTTTATATTTTTTACATTTTTTATACTTAATCAATGTTTACATAAATATTATGGATGTACAATAAAAAGATAATGTAAACTAAACAAATGAAATTAAATTCAATATAGTTCAAATATATAAAATTTTAAATATGATTTTTATAATATGCAACTTATATAATACATCTAACTATAATAAAAATAAAATATAAACATTTTTGTTGTTTAATTTTATTATTTATTTTATTTAGTTTTCATAAATATGCCTAATAAATTAATCATGATCTTATATATTAGAAAAATGTCAATATAAATGATTTTTGTTATTCAGATAACTATAAATACAGGTATATTACAATTTTATTCTAATTGTAATAAAACAAATATGTTATAATTGTAAATTCATTATATCGATATATGCAAAGAATGGTATATTAAATCATTTAATAAAATTATTTTTTTAATTGAATATAAATAATATTACAAAATTGATATCAATATGAAATTATGTAAAATAATACATTATACATATTCTATTTTGAAAAATAGTTATATTTATAAAATTATAATAATGACTTTTATATGACTCTTATGTAATAAAATAATAAATTCATGTTCTTTTAAAATCATAAATTCATATTTTCTTTTTATATTTATAAGGTCTAAATATAGGTTCATAGTTTATAAGGTTTAAATTTTTAATTTAGTTAATGTCTGTTGTCCAAATTATTGTCAAATGTCTTTGTAATCAATATATAGTATTTTATTTAATATTAAATATTAATTTAATATTAATATTTTATTTATATCTATATCTGATAATTTATTTTGTTCCTAATTAACTGTAGTAGTTATATTTTTATTGGCACGCTTTTTTTTGAAATTTCAAAGATTAGATAATGTTATATGTATGGACAAGATTTTGATTGAAATAATTATTATACAGGGACATAAAAATATGAAAAAAAAATACATTCTCTATGTCTAAAAATCCATAAAATGAAGGAATTACAAATAAAATTTGTAAAAATTTAATAATAAAATCAGTATTTTTCATATGAAAATAATAAATAATTTATAGAGAATTATTTATATAAGTATACAAAATTTTCCATTTACTGATTTGCCTGAATAAATTGACTAGGAATTATTGATTAATAGATTATATATAAATACTTTTTAAAATATTTCAAATAGATATTTCAAGTCCTAGAAAGCCTGAAACTTCATTAAATGATTAATATTAACACAGTTTTATAAATAATTTGAACATTAATATAGAGTTCTTAATATATACTCATATTTGCCAAGCGAATAAAATTAAAAAAGAAACTATTTCAAAATATTGTTAATTTAAATCCACAATTAATTTTTTTATTTCTTAGAATTTTTGACATAAAATTTTGTGTAATGAAATATTTATACATAGTTTTAGTAAATTTCCTAAGCACACATCTTTTAAAGTATTTTCGAAATACAATTCTGAAACAATAATTCTTTTTTTAATTAAAAATTAGATTTTGAGTTTAGTAAATATCTTTGCTTAAAAACAAATCATTTTAAACCTTATTTTCCTTTTTTGGTCCTTTTCCTACATAAAATACTTGTTGTTACCATCAATTTATATCATTTATGTTAAAGCGATATTGCAAATTATATATATTTAAAGCCAATAATGTTGCATATATCATAATAATATTTATTATAATCATTCTTAGAAATATAAATTCTGAAATAAGTAACTGTATAAATTGTTTTCATTATATTAATTTTATGTCAAAAATTCTAAGAAATAAAAAGATTAATTGTGGATTTAAATTACCAATATTGAGATTACCAATTCAAATTATGAATATTGAAATTACCAATGAGAATTAAAATATCATTGTCTTCATAAGTCAGTATTCAGTAAGCTCATTCTCTTTGTTTTTTTTTTTAATTGATGATGAGTTCTGAAATTCAAAATAATTAACTACTTTTATATCAATAATATGAATTTTTTGAAAATTTTTTCGTAAAAAAAAACAGTAATTTTAAATTAATAATTATTTTATGTTCCAATCAAATATTGAATAAATTTTTTTTTGTCTATCATTCAACCCTTATCTAAGATTATAAGTTGATATGGTAAACTTCTATTTTTTATTTTTTTTTCTTGTTTTAATTTCTCTTCAGTTTCTTTTATTCAATTTCGTTAATTTTTAATTCAATTTATCTTCTCTCTTATTATTTCTCTGCTTTTCAATTCCTCTTATTATAAGCTCATAAACTATCATTGCTTAAATACTCATATCTTTCTACAACTATAAATATGTTTTAAAAGTCCTTTTAAAAGTTTTTAATACTATTATATGTCCATAACTTGTGTTAGCAATATTGTATACAAAATTTTTAAACGAGTACCGTATGCGGATTTATTTAGTTTTTTTTTCTTAATAACTATGAATAATAAAGACTTTAAGAGAGACTACATCATTAATAGGATATATTATATGTTATATTTTTGTTAAATGAAATTCTTTTAAATTAAAATTATGCAATCTGAAATAAATTCAACATTTTTTTCTAGATTTTTGAGAAATATTACAAAAACAAAAATTTTTTTAGTCCTACATTATTATTAAAAATTCTAATCTCAGAAGTAGCCCTCCTATTTTGTATATCACGGTAATAGCGTATTAACATTATTAATAAAATTATTTAAATAACTACTTCGTATATGAAAAACAAATTTATTATCTAGAAAAATACAAAAAAAATAATATTTCAGTATAACATTGTTGTATATTCCTTTATAATGTTTACGTTTACGAATTAAAATTTTAATTTTTTATATATTTGTGTTTTCATAAAATCTTAATTATCGTACTTATTTATTAATTCTAATTTTTTATATTAATAGTTATTGTACTATCATCTACCCAAATTAAAACTTCTCGGTTTCAAACTTTTTTGCCAAATAAGAATAACATTAAATAGTTAATACATTTAACTTACAACATAAATTTTTAATAGAGTTTTATCAACACTCATTCTAATTGATGAATTGCGGAACAAAAATACATCAATATGTTTATAAACATTCAATTGTGATATGAAGTCTTAATTTTAATGTGTACTGCTGTACAACAGTTCCCTATTAATTTTCTTACTCTTATGTATATACAAATTATTGTTTTATCTTGATTTTTAACCAATATCTAATAATCTCAGTTATCTAAATAAGTGAATATATTCTATATGATACAAGATATGATATATGATATATATATATGAATATATAAAAACTATACATATACTATATATAATATACATAACTATACATATGCATGGAACATAAATATAATAAACATATACATGTGATACAATGTATAATTTAAAGATAAAATTTAATATGATATTGTAATGTTACAGCAATGTTTAAATTTATTTACTAAGGATGACGGATTAGAAAATAACAGTATAGGTTTGACTGTTGACAAGGATGAAACTAAAATAGAAGTTGATCAAATAACTTTCAGATGTATAGATTTAGCACGTCAAGTTGAGGCCTTTTTCTTACAAAAAAGATTTCTTTTATCAGCTCTAAAACCTGAACTTGTAGTAAAGGAAGACATTACAGATTTAAAAGTTGAGTTACTACGTAAAGAAGAACTTATTAAAAGGCATTATGAAAAAATATTAATTTGGCAAAATTTGCTTGCTGAAATGCATGGTTGGGTTCAGCCAAATGGTATAATATAATTTTATCGTGATATATTTTACAAATTTTAAATTAATTACTTTATGTTTTTGATACAAGATTTATACTTAGGTTTTACCCATTCTACTCAAAGTATTCAAAATCAAGGAATAAATAATTCAAATAATTCAACAGTTCAACAACAAATATTGCAACATCAACACATTCAGCAACAGCAACAACAAATGCACTTACAACAACATCAAATTCAGCAATTACATCAGCAACAGGTATTCTATTTTCGAGAATAAATTTTCTTTATATGTATTTATATCATGATGAGTAATAAGCCTTTAAAACATTATTACCTTTTATAAAAATTGAGAAAAATCACGGTTTAATATATTCATTAATCTATATAGTTTTATATCTATAATATCACTTTTTCTTATTATTTTATCATTCTAATTTATATAAATTTTATTCATTCTTTCTTCACAAAAAACTTATCTTTACATTAATGCTTGATATTATTTATTTATTTGATTCCGGTTGGAAGGATCAAATATTGAAAATGTATTTCATTTTCTGGCTCGAACTGCCAAGTTCAATAATTCAATAATTCAATAACAATTAAATACATTTTCAATATATAATCCTTCGAATCGGATCAAATACATAAACTTTCGAACATTTGATAAATGGAGTATGGGATTATTTATATGGTAGCTATTCTCAATAAAGACTGCTGATACCTTCGTTACCGTCCGCCATCATCAATTTTATTGATGATAATTTTTCATCCTCAGGGATAGGCAGCACTACAAGTTTGTGTATTGGTCTCACCACGATGGTAGAAGCTATTTTTAATGTCGCTACTCTGGTCAGTCCATCCGTATCGGGATGCATGTTGATTACTCAAAGAAGGAGAGAAGTGTTTGTCGGTAATCAGTACCAATGAACCAATTTTTATATTATTTCCTGGATGATGCCATTTTGAAATTGATCGTTGCCGTTGCAAATAGTGAGCTGACCATTGCGACCAAAATTGTTGTACACGTAGTAAAAATTACCAGCGACATAGTCCTGATATTAACAGTTTTTTGAGAGACGGTTCTGGAAGATTTGTGAGCGCGCTCCCTATAAGGAAATGTCCTGGGGTGAGTGCTGCAATATCTTCGGGGTCGTCACTCATTAGCTCTAAGGGCTTTGAATTGAGATTGCTTCGATTTGTGTAAGTAATGCAGTGAGCTCTTCAAAGCTGAGCAAAGTTTCTCCGATGGTACATCTTAGCTGATGTTTTACTGATTTTACCACAGCTTCGCACTTGCTTTCCACGGGGGACGTTACAGGTGGATTGAGTTCCTATTGAGTATTATCTTGTACCACAATACATCTGATTTGTTGCTGTTCGAAGGTACCTTGAACGAACACCCCAATAAAGGTCGTACCACAGTCTGAGTACAATGTTTTTGCAATTCCTCGGCGAGCAGTGAATCGTCTATATACGGGAATTAAATCGTTAGTTGTATAGTCGGAGACTGCTTCGAAGTGTACCGTTGATGTGGCGAAACACGCAAAGACACAAATCCAGGCCTTGTAAGTTTTTGTACCTCGCCCCCTCTGGGTTTTCATGATTCATTGTTGTACACGTTTGGCTCACAAATTCGCTCATTGGTACTCATTACCAATGAACGCTTCCTTCCTTGCAAGTGGCCCCTCGCTCGAGTAATCGACATGAATCCCGGTAAGAATGGATTATTGTATTGCAGTCAGCCCTTGACTGGTTGTTAATCGTTGCGCACTGGAGAATTGAATGCGTATTCCTTGCAATGGCTGCACTGAAAGAGCGTGAGTTGTGTGACTTTTTCTGCTGTAGACTTTGGCTTAATAGCGATGACTGACTCGGAGAAATAACTGACACTAAGTAATGAGTAACTGCTGAGTGATAACTACCGCGAGTCTTGATGCGCGCACCCGTAAATATCTGCGCGACAGCTGTAACTAGCTGGCAACAATGCTTAGGTGCTGCTATGCGGAGACTAGCCGGCTTTGGAAGATTCGAGATTTCTGCTTGTCAAATGTTTACAAACATTCAAGGACTAGAAGGCTTGGTGAATTTCCGAGAACCGAAGGCCTATAGTCCGAAGACCGAAGTCATATATTAATAGGTATAAATTTATGTTATAAAACTATAAATAAATAAAATAAAACTACAATTTATCGGATTGTTTCAGTATATGAAAGTAGTAGTTTTTAAAATATAGTTTGTAAGATAATTTTGTATCTATGTTCGAAAATTTATTTAGCTAAATTGTTTTAGGAGATGTTATGTAGGTACGAAAAAGAAAACAAATTATATTTACTAATCTCTTCTTATAAAGCATTGGAACTTCTCACCAGACCTACTGATACCTACCGATAATTTTTTATTCGAGCGGTTATTTTATAAGAATATTAAGATGTAAATTAATAAATTTTTTATATTTAATTTGTTATAATTTTTATCTCTGCATTGCATATAGAAAGCGAAAATCTTTTTTTCTATTTTTTTTAGTTTTACAGTAATAAAACGTCGATGCTTATGCCTCAGGTTTAAATTTTAATATTCTACTCTTCATCTTCATACAGTGCCTATAATTGAAAGATTTTTCAACGAATAAATGAAAACAATCATATTTTATCAAAAATAACAATATAATATGTAATAAATATTATAATATAATATTTCATATTATAATTTATAATACACAATTAAATGAAAATTGGTTGAAAATTAGTAGTGAGAATTAGTTGTACTAGTCTCGAAATATAAGAATAAAATATACAATTATTAAAAATATTATTTTTGGAATTAATAACTTTTTATTTATGACCTTAATAGAAAACTAAAAAGTATTATACGGTGGATTGGTTATATTTCTTTGTGAAATTTTGTGTTTACTTATTGTTTTCCGCGTTATAGGTTATCATTATCTTAAATATATTTTATCAAAGGTCATGATATATAAATATATATCAAAAGTACTAAGAATTCAAACTAATTTATCTTTAGTATTTTACGGATCTTTTATACGATTACAGTCACTTTCATAATATTTATTGGATAGGTGAGTGATATTGGATCCATGTTTTATTCATTATTACGAATTAAAGTGACAATTCATTTTAATTATATTGAATTATTCACATGGTTTGTATTAATAGTTAAAGCTTTTAAAAATCACAGTAATATGACTATTTAGTGAAATAATGATAAGAAATAATATTATTTCATAACTCTGTACATTTTACCACACGTAATATCATATTTTTTGTAGCTTTTGATATATTGGAATACAATTTATTGCTTGCTATCTATTACCATTATAAATTATTTTCGATGCTTTTAAGTATGATTTAAAAATTTCAATCGTTCCCATTTATAAATAGTTTTTAGTTTATATTTTCTATAACTTTTACAATAATTTATTAAAATTTAAATATTCTATTAATACATATTAGTTAAATATTTAACATTGTATCAAATAGTGTATGTATTGGATAAATATTTGTATAAAATAATGAAATATGTGGCGCTTGTTTAACTAACATATTGCTTTAGTATACATTTTTATATTATTATGGATAACAATAGTAAAGTTACTATGATCTAATTAAATAAACGGTTGATATTCAAAGTTTATATATATATATATAATTTTATGTAGATCATGTAATCTTTTCATGTGAAACTAAGAAGAAATGATAGATAATCGTACTTTTAAGAGTATCTAATAGTACGTAGAAAACAGAAGAACAATTTGTCAAAATAATTCTCATTATATATATAAAAATAAATGATTAATTTTATCGATACTACAACTATGTTAATATATTATGAAATATAATTTAAAATATTAATTTAAAAATTTTCGTAAAATATAGTAAATTAATTAAGAAAAAATATTTTATAAATATTTATAAACATGGCAATTGTTATTATAATATTTTTGTTAATACAACTTATGTATGTATATCTGCTATGTAATTGAATTATTATGACTAGTGTCTGATCAAATTCTTGTCATCGCCTGATTATAAGTGTGCAGCGCTTTCATATGTATGTGTATCATATGAGTAGCCACGATGAAAAAATTGCTCCCGTTGCATGTATATATAATGAAACAATATATATACGACTACATACGTGTATACACATGTATGCATTGTGGGTATAGTTATGACGAAACTCGGAGGATCAGAATTTCATGGTGTCTGTTTGTACGACTTCTAGGAAGCGTAAATATAATAAATAAATCCTAATTGTAAAAAAGTCACAGACATTTTTAAACCTTTAATCGTTTTGATATATATAAAGAGAGTGGAAACCCATAATTTTATGAATGCCAGTATCAGACTAGAAAATGAAGTAGCATTTTGATGTGTACATTAAGATTCGCATAACGTAATTAAACGTTATAAGTTGCACCTAAGCATTAATTCAGCGACTTTATTCAATTATCATTCTTGAATATGACTTTCTATGTACACTATTTAAACATTTGTCTATGCATTGCGCATTTACTAAGTACATCAATCTATTAATCAAGCTATTAAGCATATATCTATATGGAGTATGTCGACTACAACTAAATTATGCTTAAAATTCGCAAGTTTTCTAGTCATCAAACTTGTAAATAGATTATATTACTATAATTATTATAATTAAGTATAGTTTTGAACTTATGATTACGAATATTTTTTATTCTTATTTAATAATTTATACAAAATTATAGATTATATAGAATGATTATATATATATAGAATTTATAGAAATTTATAGTTTTTCTTAAATCTATCTATTTCTCTTAAAAATAATCTAAAAGCTGAAATAAATTTAACTTAACTCGAGCTATTTTAGCTAGAGAATTATTCCACAAACAAACATTTACATTTTTTAAAAATAATTCAATAAAACATTAATTTTTATTTTAGGCACAGCAAACATCAGGCTCGTCTTCCATAAACCTACAAGGTACAGGAGTTTCTGTAGGTGCTCAAAGTATATTTTTAAATCAAGGAAACGTTTCTACTAGTAGATCCTCGACATTTCCCGTTGCAAGTGTTAATAGTAGTTCGTTACAAGGGCCACTAGCTTTCCTTGAGAAAACCACAAGCAATATAGGAATGCCTGAAAGAAGAAGTTGACGCGGACGGGGGAGGGGGCGCGGTAGAGGACGTGGTAGAGGTCGAGGAAGAGGAAGAGGAGGCACATTACCACCTCCACCACCTTTACTAGATCCATCAGACCCCTCATCTTATGCTGCTGCTGTTGTAGCTGCTGTAGCGCCCCTTCCCTCTCAACAACAACAACCACCTCCGCCATGTACTTAATGAAAAGGATCATAATATTTTTACGAATAAAATAAAACTAAAAAAAAATGAAAATATATATTAAACCATAAAATGTTTTTTTTCTTCGTTTAATACTGTTAAATTATGAATATTTTTAGGGAAAATATATTTAAATATTTAAAAGAGACTTAATTTATTAATTATTATATCTATATATAAATAATAACTTTACTTATTAACAATTGTAACTTTAAAAGGTCTTAAAATTCATCAAATTTAAATAGTAATTAATTTTATAACGAAGTTTACATATAAATTTGTTATTTATTCAAATATTTCTTTCACTGATTTTCTACTTTTAAATAAATCAAATTTATTCAATATATAATTTTAAATAAAAATTCCTTATTTTAATATTTGTAAAACATAAACTAAATCTCTTTGCTTTGATCATTAGACTTTTCATATTAGTTGGTAATAAAAAATATATTGTTTTAAACTTAAAATTTTATATACATTTTTTTAGAATTCCATTCATCTGATTCGAAGAACCAAAATGTTTAGAATTAGACTAAAACTACCGTTGTAATGGTGGGAGAAAAAGTACGGGCAAGTGGAAGGGGTAGTGCATTAATTCAATATTTAACACATGTTTTACATGTTACACATGCGTTTTACTTTTTGGTTTCACCATTATGATTCTAAGTTAGTGATGAGAATCGTTGAGATCTTACAGTTCCTTGTCGGTTGTCACCTAGCGTCAGCATGCACTACATGCAAAGAGAGGAGGTCGTAAATCTCTTGACACTTCTTCGTGTAGTGCCATGTGGTGATAACTTGTTGCTGATCACCTCCAATCTGTTTGTGGTGTGGAAGGATGAAGAGGTCCTTCCGTAGCGTCTCTGCTTAGGGTAATAGCTGCACTTAGTATAAAAAGGATCTTACGTAGCGTCTCTGATCCTTGAAGTATACTCGTTACTGCATCCTTGGGAACTCTACCCAGAGGAAAGTGACGATGGCACCTTGAGCTGCTATGCGGTCGCATAAGGAGACTTGGCTTCCGACTCTGCTGAGGGAGCTTCCTTCTTCCTTCTTCCTTTTTCCATGGCTTCAGTTCAGACAGACCATATTTTCCGACGTCTTCTGCGGCGTCCCCCGTAAGAGAGAGAGAGAGAGCATGGTGTCTCTTGTAAGAGAGAAGACTTTTCCCATTCTGGGCGATCCACTAGTGAGAGTTTGAATCTTGCGAGCTAGCGAGTGAGTTTGTCTTGTAAGCATCGTCCTTTAATAAATTCCCCTGACCATGGCGGAAAGCTTGACTCGGTTTGGCTGAATGATTCTAGGCTGACTGGCTCATGACCGAGTAGTCGCTATGATCGACTAGCTCATGACTGCTATCTCATGTTGTGCTTGCCTTAAATATCTACGCGGCTGCTTTGTTAGTTGAAGACAGAGGACCGATCATAGCGCTAGAACAATGGGTTCGACTGTGGTGAGAGATACAATGGAGGTCATTGGGCACTCATTTTGGATGTAATCGCTTTTCCGAATCTTCAACAACCGTTGAATAATTTCCTTGAAATGATGACCGTTAAAGTTTTTGTTTAGTCAACGGTCTTGGAAATTGCTTCAGCCCGCCATAAACAATTTCATTAATGATTGTTATCTTCATGAAGAATTGGTAGTACTGCAAGCTTATATATTGGTCTCACCATGGTCGTCGATGCTGTTTTTAATGTGACTACTCTGGTCAGCCCGTCCTTGCGTGGATGAATGTTGATTACTCTAGCGAGAGGCCTTTTACAAGGTGGGAACCGCTCATCAGTGATTAATACCAACGAACCAATCTTAATGTTATTTTGTGGCTAATGCACTTGGAAATTGATTGCTGCCGTTGTAAATAGTGAGCCGACCATTGTAACTAAAATTGTTGTACACATTATTAAATAAATTACCAGCGAGCCAAACCTGACATTGACTATCCCTTGAAAGATAGTTCTGGAATAGTAGTGAGCGATTTCCCTATGAAAAATATCTTTGGTTGAATGTCGAAACAACTTCGGGCTCGTCACTCATCAGCTCTAGAGCCCTGGAGTTTAATTGCCTCAATCTGAGATAGCAAAGTAGTGATTACTTCAAAAGTAAGCAAGGTTTCTCCGATTGTACGTCTCAGATGAAATTTCGTAGTCTTCACGACTGTTTCTCATTTTCCTCCCATGTAAGGCGTGGCGGGTAGATTTCATTTCCACTGAGAGCTTTCATTCGAGATGATTGAAGTTATCTGATGATGTTCTTGAGAACCTTACGTGAACAGTTTTTTGAAAGCAGTTTCCGTTCCAATGAACGTAGACTACAATCAGAGTATAATGTATGCGGAATACTTCTGCGAGTCGAGAATCTTCGATATGCTGCGATGAATCTTGCTGTTGTGTAATCTTTAACCACCTCGAGATGTACAGCACACGTAGCAAAACATACAAAAACGCAAATACAGGTGTGAGATTCTATCAAGAATTCAATACTGTTTACGGGTGTATGTCAGTGTGAGTTGGATCCCTCTATAGAGAGTTCGGAGATGGGTATGAGCAATGATATGATTTGAAAAATTTCGAATATCGTGGCGCTTATTTTCTTGTGTTAATGATGCTCTCATTAGTCTTCCGCCAACTCTAATAATTGGTTGGGTGTCGATGTACGCGGTTAAGTGGTGTAATGCATCAGCAGTTGGCAAGTTTGCTTGATACTACAGGATTTTGAGTTCGTGAGAAAAGTAGGCAGATTGAGTTGCTTTTATCCAAAACATCCTTGAATTTTGCAATTCCTTTTGGGATATTTGATTGATTGGAGATGATTCATGCTTTCTCTTCAAACTTGCAAGAAACCTGATGCATGGAGCAATGATCCTCAATAACTTATTAAGACTTGAATATTTGTAAATAATGTCCCAGTGATAGATCGGCTTGTGAGCTGTTGCTACTAGTGAGATGCCAGGATGTGCTTCGTGATCGCATTGTTTGACGCTATGCGTGGGCTGAGTTGGCCAGAAGTCTGATGAGTATATCCATGGTGGTCCAGTCAACCATAGTGGATGATTTTGGAACTGATTTGTTGTTAGTCCTCGGGAAGCGTAGTCTGCGGGATTTTATGTACCGGGAACGTAATTCTATTGAGCACCTGAAGTAATCTCCAGAATTTGAGTGACCCTGTTTCTCACAATATCTTCCCATTATGATGCGTAAGACTTAATCCATGGAAGTGTTACCCGTGAATGCGTCCACAAGTACGTGCCTTTACCTTTATATTCAGTGTGGTTTTGACGTACAGCATAAGTTTTAACAGCAGTAAAGCTGCTGCCAGCTCTAACCTTGGAATAGTGAGCCACTTTAAAGGGGCTCCCTTAGTCTTCACACACACAAATGCAACTTTAGGCTTATTTGTGTTGTGGATGACAAGATATATAACTGCTGCCATTTCCAATTAAGAGGCATCGAAGAAGCCATGCAATTCTACTGTAGATGTTCTTTCTGTGTAAAACCATCGAGGTGTCGCAATTTTGTTCAACTCTGAAAGATCCTTTCTAATGATACGACACTAATTAGTAATCTGACATGGTAACGGATCGTCCTATTTGAGTGTATGTAACCATAATTCTTGTAAAATCATTTTTGCCTTTATTACGACTGGTGAGACAAAATCTGATGGTTCAAAGATTTTAGCAATGTCTCATAATATTGTGCTTGTGGTGAAACGGTCAGTTTCCATAGACATTCTTATTGAGAAAATAAATCGATCCTCTTGAGGACTCCATTGTAGTCCGATAATTTTGGTTGGGTAATCGTCAAATGCAATTGATAACTCCTGTTTCTAGTCTGCTTTAATAGTGGCGAGGACCTCTCGCACAAGTAAATTTATCAATAGGTTTTAAAATAAAATCAAAATTTTATAGAGTACACAAAATGAAACTACGATGTAATAAGAAAAATAACAGTTTCATAGAAGCTAGTTTACTTGTTTAGATTACTAAATAGTGAATAAGGGATAACACATCAATATAAACAAAAAAACTTTTTTATTTAAAATCCCATGTTGGAATATTTAAAATTTATGTATTCAGTTAAATTATATGTTCTAATATAATATTTATCGTTATTATGACGAACGAACACTAAGTAGGGCTAAAAGGTATATATAATTTTTACAAAATTAAAAAACTGATTGCCACATTAGTTACAGGTTGGTAACAAATTTCGTTAATGTTTATTTTTGAAAAACAAAAAACTAATGATTAGAAAAATTGTTAGATATAGTAAAATAGCCAACAAAGAATAAACATTATTTATATATAATAAATATGTACAACTATCTAATTAATTTTAAAGAACATTTTTACCGAATACCAGATACTTTAATTTATTACATAAAATTCAAAATTAAACATATTATACATAACAATATGCTTGTATCAGCTCCTTCAACAATATTTATTTATTGTAAGTAATGAAACTTTTTTTACAGATATTGTTTGGCTGTAATTGCTAAAAATATTTTTGGGTGTTCATTAAAGTATATTAATGAAAAATTTCAAAAGTTTAAATGTTAAATAAATTTTAATTATCTGATCTTCAAACAAAATTTTTAAATTTATGTAAACAATATTAAGTTACAATGATTGCGAAAATTTAATCAAAAATAAAAATTGTATTAATTATAAAATTAAATTTTATAATATTTATTAACAACATTAATATTAATTTTGCAAAAAAAATATTTGATGAAAAATGATTCCTACGTATTTTATAAATTTGAATATCATTTAAATGTTTAATTATTTTCTATTTGAATCTAAAATTTACATCTTACGTTTTTATAAGAGTACATAGTTGTATGTGTTTTAGAAATTGAATGTTGAATACAAATTATTAAAATTATTTAGCTAAAATTAGTTAATAATTGTCTAATTGAATTTATTTGTATTATATTATTACAGAATTTAAATGTATATAGTATAATATAAAATAGAATTAAAAGTTTTATATAGTCTAAGAAATAGTCAATTCTACATTTAAATACTAAATCATATTTTTCCTTTAATTCTAGAAAAAAAATATAAATAAATATATATATAATATTTATATAAAAAATAGACTGAAATAGAAAGAAGGATGTATCATTAATAATATTATACAAAGTTTTATCCTTTTAGTAACAAAATAAAATACCTTGATATAAAGGAAAACTAATTATATAAATAGTTTTAACATAGAAAATGATAACAAAATAGAAAAAAACATAAAATAGTAAGACTTACGTGTCGATAAAGTAGAAGGCTAATAATTTTCAAATAAAAGTTTAGTTAAAAAAGTTTTTATCAAAATTTTAATATAATTATAAATAATGTAATAACATAGTAACAAGTTATTATTATTATATACAGTTATTAAAAAATACATAATAATTGGGAACTGATACTGAATGATAGAAAATACAAAACGTATTGTAACTTTATCTTAACATAATACTGATATTAAATCAAGATTACGCAAATAGCTTTATTCATACTTACATAGCCAATCGGTCGATGAAAAATGTAAAAAATGTAAAATGTAAAATTAAATACACATATAAACTGTAAACACCTGGTAAAATATCAATTAGCTCGCATGATGAATAATCATACTAGCAATTATAATAATGTAGAACATCATAATATGTATACCATCATAACCATTATAACATATATATATATATATATATATATATATATATGGAGGGGGCGTATGTGTCTGTGATAATAATATAGAATAGTTATTACAGGATAAACTGTAATTAATATTTTATCACGTGCATACAACTGAAGTTTTTAATTTTATAATAAATTTATATATATATATATATATACATATAAACTTATATTAAAAATTTACGTAGCGATCCATTTAAATAAAAATATTAAGAATATTATTTAATCTAAGAGGAATTTTATGAATAATAAAACTATTTAAAAATAAAAAGTTATATATTTTATCGGTGGTACGAAGATTTAGGGCATAATGCTCTAGGAACAAGGAGTTTAGTTTATCAAAAAATATGTATAGATAATATTTTATGTTACAGCATCTAAAATAACATCATCCACATTATCTATATTATCATCATTACTATTCAACTTCACGCTGTAAACTTTTTTTAGTGTAGCATAATAATGAGACGAATTTCTATTATCATTTTCTATATTCCATTTAATATTACTAAGAGTTCCTTTATTAATGGATCTACACCCAAACCACCAATAGCCAGTAGCTCTTGGAAATGCTGGATTAGCAACATCTACCTGAAATAAATTTAAGATAAATTTTAATAAAATATAAAGTATGTATATTTGAAAGTTAATTTATTAAGTAATCCTAACAGAAAATGTTTTATCATTAAATCGATAATATGCTTTATCTTTAAAGAAATACGTGTATCCATGATATTCTAGTGAAGCGTCTATGTTATCAGGTACACCTTCCCAATTTGAAATAAGTTTTGGATATGAACTTTTAACTGGTGGCCTTTGCGATGGATCAAATCTCCAGAACTTTGTTCCTTTGTAAAAATAAATCTTTCCATTACCCGTCCATACAACAGCAGCATCAATATTATCAGGTATACCAGTAAAACCTTCACTAATATCTTTTGGATAATCTCCATCAACATTCTTATTAATATACCTCCAATATTTTGAACCCTAAAAAATATTAATAATTTAATTTTTTTATAATAAAGATAATTTTAAAAACTAGATTAAATATATTGTATGTACGTGCTTTAAAAAAATAAGTTTTTCCATTTTTGTAAGTAAATGCTGCATCAATATTTCCTTGTAAGCCTTTCCAAGAAGATGTAATCAATTTTGGATATCCACTTTCAACTCCATCGGAAGATAATTTCCAGTAATACTCGTCTAATACATAAACCTTTATTATTAGCAATATTTATATTTATGAATGAAATGTAGTAATTTAAAAATTAGAATGTCAATACTTTTGAAACTGTACTTCATTGTTTAATTTCAAAATATTGTGAATTTTAAAATTAAGTAATTATTTTAAAAACAAGTTTAAGGAAATTAAATTTTTTAAAGCTATCTTAATTATTATTGGATCTTATCATTTAAATAAAAAAATTATTAATGATATATATTTATTATTGGATGTTGGATATATATTTTATTAATGGATGAACTATTAATTATTATTTATAGAATATAATTATATTTTTTATTAATGGTTTATTTTTCTTTTTCCTTATTAATTAATTTTATGCTCATTTCAATATTTTTTGACAAAGAAGACAGTTTAAGAAAGTTCACGTACATTCTGTACTCTATCTCTTTATCTTTTTTTTATCTTTTTATATAAAATGATGCTCTTTTGTTAATTTGTTAGTATTCACTATTCAAAAATTAATGCATTTGAATGTAAATAAAAATTGAAGTATAACTACTATTATAAATTACTATATATATATTAATCAAGCTTTTATTTTTTAATAGAATTTCTCTTTAATTTAATCGTATAGGAAATATATTATTATTTAAAATAACAATCAAAGTTTCAATAAGTATTAATATTAATATTTCAGTGGAATTTTGATGATATATTTAAAAATACTCATACAAGCAATTATAATTAATAATTTAATTAAGAGATACACTTTTATAAAGCATTTAAAGCTAATATAAAAATAGATTAATTTTATTTATTCTTTTTTATATTTATATAATTTATATAAAGTCTAATTCTACCATATTAAATAATCTCTTATATAAATCAATCACATCTAAAGATAAATTTAGATATACAATTTTTTGTCAAATAGAGTGAGAATAGAAGTTTGATAGAGAATGATCATTAAAGAAAATTCTGTGGTGAGCAGTGTAAAATACACAGAAATGTAACACGTAATGTAAAAATACACTTAAATTATACCTTTAAAAACTTAAATATTATTTGATAACTTATAAATATGATAATTCAGAATAACGAATAACTTTTTGACTATGATAGACTATTTCACAATTTTTCACATTTTATTTTGTAATAGTTAGTAGCATTAGTAATGTTAAGAATTTATCTACTTAACAAAAGAATCAGTTGTTAAACCTTAAAGTTGAGACTTTATATTCTAAAAATTTGATTTTATTTACAATTTTAACATTAATATCATGAGTAATACAATTTTCTGACAATTAACGTAATCGCAAAAAATGTTTAAATAATACATAAGCAATAGAGATATAATATATTTTCTATTTATTTGTAATTTTGTGTAATTTATAATATATACATCATTTGTACTTGAAACATTTCATTATAAATATATAAAAGTGAAAACCTCTAATTGTATTAATAGTTACAATAACTATAATTAGAGAATACTCATTGTATATTTTTTATATCTTGTAACTATTATGTACTTCTTATTTTACCAGTATGAAATTAATAAATCGATGTTGGTAATCTAAGTTTAGTATGCAATTTGATAGAAAAATATTCTTAAAGTATTAATTGTCTAATATGATATGATCAATGTTTACAAGTACTATATCTACAAAGTTCTAATCGAAACTTTAGAAGCTTCTAAGCAATATTTATAATGAAAATTTTTTATAATAAACACTTTGAATTTAAAAATATTAATCAATGAAAATCTACATAAATTAATTCTAAAACATTTCATATGTTAATTAACTTAAATAATAACATAACGTTGCATTTTAAATTCATAAGATTCTTATGTACTTTTATTACATAAGAAATTATTATTATTATATATGATTCTTAAAAAAATACTTTATTTATTAGAATTTTATATTATGTCAGTTGATTATGAAGAGGCCAACACGTATCAATTAGAAATGCTCATATGCATGCGAAATAATAAAACTACGGTGTTGAATTAATTTTCTTTGGCTTAATGCTTATAAATAATAAGTAATACCTAACGAATTCACCATGATTTCGAATTATAGTGCCTTCAGGTATCAACAAGAACATATATTTATTCATATTTTATTACATATTTACATTATATATCTTTTTAATTAAAGATATATATATATATATATATATATATATATATATATATATAATATTAATGTAGTTGTAAATTCATTCTATCATATATTCTACCATGATATATATCGTAAGATGCATTTTTTCCAAATTTTCTTTATGAACAGGTTGTACCTTTTTTAAGTATATTTTTCTAAATATTTGTTTATGATCAATAATGCTATATTAACAAATAAATTATGTTAATTATTATAAAGATTTACTACGGTTGTAAGTATTAATACTTTAAATAAATAAAGGATTATAAGGATTCATATATATATTACATATTTTTCTACTTGTAATTTTATTTTTAACGTACAATAGATAAAAATATTTTCCATTATAAAAATCAAATTATGATACTATGTAAAAAAAAACTCTTAAAATTTATTTTGTATTAATTGATCCAATAAAGAACAGTTAGAAAACAGAAAAATAAATCAACTTATTCTTAATAAAACATATAAGAATGAATTTTTATTTTTTTAAACTAATATCTAATTATTTTGTCAATAAATTATACAGCCATTTTTATTAATATTAAATAAATAAATGGTTATTTCATAATCGATAAGTACATAAACAAATATATAAAGTAAAATATATATAAATATTAAAAATATATATTGAGTTTAAAATACAAATTAGTTTTTAATTATATCAAATATTATTAATTTAGAATAGTTTCTTTCATAAAAATAAACATTAAATTTTTATTGATAGATATGTCAATATGTACTATTTTAATAGAAACTACCGAATTATGTCCTAGTTTTTTGATACCTTAAAGTTAGTAAGAAGACAAAAAGATTGAAAAAAATTTCGATATTACATTATGTGTAAAAAGATTTATGTTCTTATACATAAATATTATTTATTGTACTTTTAAATTTATTTATTCAATTACCTATTTAATTTTATGTATTACTGCATATAAATTTGATTTATTTTCATAAATAAAAATAATCTCATAGCGTAATTCTAGAATCCTAAAATGAAATCTTCTGTTATATACTTTTTATTATACAAGTTTTTACCTTTGAAAACATATGTATGCCCTTCTGCTGAATTGAATATAGTGTCAATTTTTGAGTCCAGACAAAGTTGTGAATCTTCTTCACCCAGTAGAGGGATATTGGTCGTTCGCTGATAAATATTTGTCCTATCTTTATTTTCAATTTTTGAACCATACAAAGCCTAAACAAAAAATTGTTTCTTAACGTTATTCAATTCTTACTATTATTACTTTATAAAAAATAAACAATTGCCTGTATTCCTTGAATGTCATCATTATCCAGCATAAAATCCGGATCATATCCTCTATAAAATGGCGCCATAAGAGCTGATTTTATGTCACTATGGCTAAGTCCAAGAGAATGACCAAATTCATGAGCGGCTACTTGAAATAAATTCGTACCCCGAAAGCTATTTATTGTCCAATGTTCAGAGTCGTCAAAATGTGCATCACCTCCATACACAGGAAAATAAGCATGGGCTAATGTACCTCCAGGTCCATCAAATGGATCACCATCTCCATGCTCACCTCGCTCAAATCGAATTTCAATGTGAACCTATTAAAAAATATTTAATTCATTATGATATAGAGGTATACGATTAAAAAAACAGTTCTCCATATATTTATTTATGAAGAACCAATATTTAAAAATGTTTTGTAATATATCATTATTAAAATTATTTTTGCAAAATCTAAATAATTTGAGAATTAAATACTTACGTAATCATAATTTTAATAAGTAAAGTGGATATTTGTTTTTTTTATAATTTATTTTATTTTATAATTAATATCATTTCACTAATAATATTTTTAATTCTATAATTTTATTCTAATTAAAATTTTATATATGAATATTTTTTAAAATTCTAATCATGTTTATAAATTGAATAATAAGTTTCCGAAAAATAAATTAATTTCATAAAGAAATCTGAATTCAAAGTATTTGTGTTATACTTTCATTATTTAAGATTTATTAGAATATAAATAAGATAAGATAACATGAATCCTTTATGGCAAGAAGTTATTACTTATTGTTAAGGTGAATTGTAATTAAAGTTACAAGATTTCAGGACATGAAAGTTGATAATTTTATTGTTAAATAAAAAATAATCCATAATTATTATTTCATTCGGTAATTTTATTAGTACATATTAAAATCTAAAGTTAATTTAAAACTCTATCTGACTTTTAAATAAATTGATTTATTTAATAATCTTTAATAAAGTAACATGAATAATTTACAAAATTAATGCATAATTATAATAGTATTTTTTGGAGAACATTTTGTTCAGGATTGTATTAATTATTTTTTTAATTTTATTAATACTTCTCTATACATACACTCTTGGCAATAATTAATTATATTTTAATTATATACATAAATTGCATTTTAATAATGTCGATAAAACATACAAAGATAAATATTCTTCACATGATAGACTTTTTCATATTATTCATATTTCTAAAATAAAATCTTCTTGAATAAAAATTACAAATTTTTTCAATATAATAGTGTAATTTATAATATCTAAACAAAATGTAGCCAATTAATTTATATTTAATGTATATTTAAGGTAATTAACTGCACATACATGCACCCACACAAATATTATGTATCTTATACTCCTCATCTGTGTATTTGGTAAAGCTCATTAATTATATAAAATAATATCAATTTTCAAATTTATGCAATGATATATAAATAATATATAATATAAATTATATATGTGGGTCCTTTTTAATTATAATAATAATTATCATTTATTTTACAAGTTATTTTATCAAATGGTTTCAACAAATTTGTTTATCATACAAAGAAAATCACAATAAGTGAGTAGATATATACTAACGATAGTAGAATACATTATAATAAATGTAATAGTATAGAAAATATTTTATCTAAATCTAAAAGCTGAAGAAGTTGTCTTTTGCATACATATTTGACGCTTACTACTTAGAAATATTAATGTAAGCATCAGTTGATTTATATTAAAAAAAATTCATTAATTGAAAATAATAAAAGTGAAAATAATTCAAATGAAAAATTGAATTTATATAATGATAAAGTAATAATATAGATTTTTTTAAATTACGAATTGAAAAATTAAATATCAATTATAAGAAATTATAATATTAGATGACTTTTTAAGAAACTTAATTATTAAATATTTGAAAATTATATACATAATTTTAAAATCTATAATACAGATCCTCTATGATCGAAGTAATATAAAAAATAGATAGGAACTTGCCATCACGTTAAACTATATTTTCATCAAAAACACTTAATTACTGGCGTTCATATACTTGCTTTACATTTTTCTTCATTTATCCATTACATCATGCTAACAACTTTATTGATTAATGAATAACTGAAAAAAATTATAAATTAAATAAATTATAAAGAAGCTATATCAACTTCATTTTATTCTTTCAAGCCTAATTCGATTTTTTTCTCCATGTTAAGGATCAATCAACAATTACTTTGACGTTTCTCTTTTCTTTTCTACTCAATTAATAAATATATTGTTCAAATCGGCAATAAATTTTCTAAATTTTGATTAAAAATAAATTAGTTTTAGTATATTTTATATATTTCAGTAACTTTTTGTAAATTTCATAATTTTTATTTATGAATTTTTATTATAAAACATAAAAAATTTTTTATTTTACAAATTATTTAATTGCTTTGAAATTTTTTTTAAGAGTAAAATTTTATAAATAATCAAATAGAAAAAATAAATTTACCATTTTATTAATGCTTGTTGCATAATTTACGCACTAATACTGTACAAAATATTGCAAGTGGTTCAAGAATATTACAAGAAAAGGAATATAAAAATGATTTATCAAAATTTTGTAACACAAACTTATTATAATAAATAATTTAAGGGCGAATAAAATATACATATTTATTAATTTTTTAAATAATTTATTATGTAAATATAAATTAATAAAACCAATTAAGTCGTGATATTGGATATACGTAAAAAATAATACGTACATATATATGTATAGAAACGTAATGCCTACATATATACACATATTGTTTAAAATCTTAAAAGTATTACAACTTTTATTGTATTTGAAATTTTTTTTAATTAATCAAAACTTCATTTGATAACATTTTTTCAGATTAGTCTAAATAAAAAAGTTTTTATAACTGAACTTATATACATAAGATATATACAAATTTTTTATTATTTATTCGAAAGGTTGATGTTTATTTACATTAAATGCCTGTTGTATATTGAAAATTAGTTTATTAATAATGTATGTTCATTAATATTGTTACCTGTAGTTGTATTGGTTTTCCTGAATAATATTAGTTTTATGTAGAATTTTATTACTAACTTATGAATAATAATTTATAATATTTGGGAATAGATTTCTAGGTTAGTGATTATTTGTATTTTTGATTGGATTATAATTTAGCGTTTTCTATATTCAAGAAAAATATATAAGGAAGATATATATATCCTAACAATTATTAAATAGTATATATCATTTTATGTTAATGAGTAATATGAGTTCGAAAAGAGTTTATTATATAAAATTATATAGTTAATTTATTTGTGTAATGATTTAAAATATTTTTATATCAAAAAGTTTATACGGATTAATTTTATTATATTGAATTTGATAATCTTTTTCGAATATTGATACATTATGTGTACAATTGAATCACGCAAACAGCGATTGCCTTCTCATGTAAACTATTAATTTTATTGTATACAAATATAAGTTGCTTGCTTGCATTACTTGCATTATATGTACTTTTTATTTTGATTACCAATTAATTATTATTAATTTCTTCTTAGGAAATAAGAATAACCTTTATTCTGATATTTACATTATTCTTTCTATTTTATTAATAATATTTTTGTTATTTGATTTTCTGATCGAATTTCTCAAGATTGAATGCAGATTTGATTTATTAATGCTGAAAATATGTAAATTTAAAATAAAAAAATAAAAAAAACTATTTCAAATGAAAAGCATTTAAATTAATAGTTTCAATACATAAATTAATTTATTTCATAATAATTAAAAAATTACAAAAATATAATAAGATGAGAGTTGATTATTAATTTGTTGACTTCAATATAAAATACATGATAATTTAGTGAACTAAATATCAAACATGGTTATTATAATATTTAATTTTAGTTTTAATCTTTTATTATATGTATTTTTAATTTAACGTATTTGTGCATTCGATCTCGTATATTCTGTAGAATAAACGTGCTTATAGCTAGCGTATTTGAGCATAATTTGAAGACATAAACAATTCATTTCACATTTATTTCTTAGGCATAATATGCTTGCAGATTCAGAAAAATATGTCGGACAGTATGTTAAATGGAAAATAAATAATGGAAAGGTATGTTTATGGAAATTTAAAAATTTTTTATAATTACATAATGTATTTAAAACTTCTAAACTGTAATAGTGAAGCATATCCGGTATACATTAAGTATTAAGTACAAATCAAATTTAAAATATTTCATGTTTTATATTATAAATATTACTAATCACTTACTTGTCCGGATTTTTTAGAAGTGAATGTAAGATCAGTATAAATAGACCACACGGAAAAAGCCTTAGCAACTTCTTTATCAACAGCTCCTTTTTCTAAACCTCGTGGATATTTACTAATTTTGTATGTAAGTTTTTTAACTCGCCATCTAGAACCTTTAGTTAAATAAACAATTATAAAATAAATTTTATATCTGATTCAAACTTATTATAACAAAATTTATTTCGTTTATTAATAATTTTATTCTTAATTAATTTTCGAAAAACATAATAATTATTATTATTAAGAATGAGATTTTTTACCTTCTTAATATTATACAAAACTGACTAAAAATTATTTTCTAAATAATAAAAATAAGAACTTTCTAAGTCATAATATAAGCATAAAATTAGCATTATAAAATTAGCTATTTATATATATATATATTTATATTTATAATTGTTAATAATTTAGAAATAATTTTGGATATTCTAGTATGAATTTTTAACATTACTTTTTTTATATATGTATTAAAGCTATATATTTATTTAAATGTATTATAACAAAGATTTATAATTAGATGTATAAATTATAACGTTCTCTTTTTGTGTAATGAATGCAAACAAGATACTAAGCCAAAACTGTGGTCAATCTTGAAATACTAAAAGTTCATTATCTTCTCATATATTTGTTATAATAGAATAAATTTGTAATAAATACAGTCATTACAATATATAATATATATTCATATTAAAATATTTGATACTTAATAGTGTGGTAGTTATGGAGATATTAATAATCTTAAAAATTAAAATGGTAAGAGTTTGTATAAAGAAACAGAATAAATAATTAATTACATTGGAAATTAAAAATTATTTGTTATCAATTATGTAATACTAAACTATAAAATTTGATATAATATTAATTAATTTCACATTCGATTCTATATGAATAACAAATTTTTACTACTGCCTGTAATAATTTATATTTACAATTGATATACTTATACAATTTTATTCTTAGTTTATATACACAACATTTGATACTATTATGTTTCGACGTAATTACATTAATTAATTGATACGTTTTATGTAATTTCTATATTATTTACTAATATGCATATTACAACATTTAAAAGCAGTAAAACATCCATGATACTATCTATAAGTATCTGATTGTATATTTTGTTATCTCATCATGTTATTTCTTGTTTCTATTCCCATTAAATATCTGGTGCTCATTGAAAATTCTTGAAGAGACTATATTGAATTCTCACACATGTATCTGACGTTTCTTAAAGATTTATTATATATTTAATTTAAAAAAAATCAAATTACGAAAATTTCTATTAAACATTTTTAACAATATGATTTTATGTGTCTCATTACATTTTACATTTCATTTCAAGATATCATTTTTTATTATATATTTTTAATCTATATGTGTCTATTTACCTTGAAGTGCATATCTTTTAGATCGACTATTTAAACTGGGAACTATGACGTCTTTAACTCCACATCTCGGAATTGACATAAAAGTCATCGTTTCATTGTCTAAAACTCCTAAAATATATTAAATGAATTATTAAATTACGAATACAAATAAAATTATTGTTATTAGTTTAGTAGAAATTTAATTTATACATGTCCTTTTTAAATAAGTGTTTAAGCGTTCACGTATAAACTTTACAATTACACTATATAATATTTATATAATATTTTTCAAATTTATATTAAAACTTCCATTAGATTATGTATTAACTGCATACATAAATTGTTAAGCCAATTAGGATAAGTATGTGAATATAAAAAAAAAGAAATAAAGTCTGGATAATAAATTACATGAAAAATCGAAAATAGATATTTATTTATTAATTTGCAATTATTTTATTCGTTAATTCCATTATTAGTAAACATTTATTTTAATTATTAAATAAATAATTTCGATAAGATCTTGATCTTATATAGTTATTACATGATATTACTTAAGAGTTTTTTATAAACTTTCCTTGCGTCTAAAATTTTGTTTCCATTCATAAAATAAATGTGTTTTATTTTGACAAATAATAGTATAGATTAAAAGATCTTTAATAAAATATATGTCATATTGTATAATTAAACATAAATAAAATCTGTGTTTTGTTTATAGATATAATGTAAATGAATATATTTTTAAACAATTTTGTAGATCATTTCAAATTTACATAATCTAGTCTAAAAAGAAACAGTATATATATTTTGAAGGTATATGGAAATGTAGAATGCAATCAACATAAAATTGAATAATATCTCATATAAATTAATGAACAAAATAAATAAAATAAACGGAGTCATATTTAGCATACTATTATTACAAATAGTAAACTATGACTATAATAAATGTTTAATTAAAACTATCCGAAATGTTTGTTGTCTTTTCAAGTAAAAAATAGTCGATACGTTATGTAATACTTTTAATTAATTGATTCTGTAATTTTTCAATTCATGTAATAAATTATCAATAATATTATTTAATATATTGTTTAATGAATAAATTATTTTTATTTAATACTAGAGTAACAAATAAAAAATCTACTTAGCCATTTAATAATGTTGTATTTAAGAACTATTTACTTATTTATAATTTTTTAACATTACCATACTAATCATTTATTTATAGATCTATATTTTTTAATAATTTATTTTATACAGCTATTTATTAATTATTTTAATTAATAAATTTTAATTAATTATTTCTTAATTTATTAATGAATTAACCAACCTGTAGATATCCGTTTCTCTCTTTCAAGTATGTACATTCAACTAATTAATGTGTTTAATTGATAAAAAATAGTATTCTGTTGAAATCATCAAGCATATTTCCATTCAACTAAGGTATTAATTTCAATTGCATGCATATATAAATAATATACAAATAAAAAGTTGTTTAAATATTAAATATTACCTGTAACACCAATACCAGCAAAGGCTTGAAATTCAGCAATAGCTCGATGTATGGTCTGTTCTGAAATGATCCCACTACTTATTGGATTTGATGGTGGTAAGTAACCATATTGTGATAAGTATCTCTAAAACAATATTTACAAATTAGAAAAAAATAACAAATCAAATTAAATGTATAAATTATAAAATTAATTTCAAAAAACTTTAAAACTTTCATGAGATACATTTATTACATCTGTTACTTAAAAATAAAAGAGAATAGAAAAAATTCGTGCATGTTTATGTATTGGGAATATTGGCCTTTTATTGAAAACATTGTCTTGGGCAGAATTTACATTGCAGAATATAAAGATTATGATATTTTATTTAATTAAATATAAATTTTATTTCATAATATACATATAGTTCTCAGAATTAGTAAATTTTATTTAACATAATATTTAAATATCCCTAATAATGATAATAATAATATTTAAATATTGTAAATTATATTATCGTTAAAAAATTTACATTGTATTCTCTGAAAACAGTTCTACGTGAGAAAATACGTTTCAACATCTAAATTTTCATATTTTTAAGATGACTTTGTAAATCTCAAAAAATTTCCTTGCTACATATTTAATTTTTATTTATTAAAATACGATTGATTACATTTATGATGACTTATAAATACATCAAATATTAGAAAAAAATATTAATCCTATTGTTAGTTATTGCTATAAAAAATTATAGATTTAAAAATTGTTAATTTAATTGATATTTTGTATGATATAGAAACGCGCGATGGCTTTCGCTTATACTATTTGTGAATTGTTTAAGTACCGACATAATTAGATTCGATATAAAGTATATACACAATCAAACAATATAATCATTTATAATGCATAAGTATACTGAAGTCAACTTGATCCAAATTCTAACCATTCTTCTGATATTGTATTCTTTTTCATATCTTATTTTATTGTCTACCCACTTTCCTGTATTTTTCATAAAGATAATATACCTGAATTATCTAAAATTCTAATCTAATGTTTAGTTTTATAATCTTACATTGTTATTGTTTAGTTTTATTATGCAGTTTCGTTTGATAATTGATTTCAATACGTTCCTGAAATAGTCATATTATATCAAAAGTAATATTATATTTTCCTCAATAATAAATATATTATACTTTTTCACATACAATATATAATTTATAAAAGTAAATCATTGTCATACATATTAAGATATAAGAAAATTGTTTTCCAAATATTGTAATATTTAAAACAGATTGAGAACAAATGAGAGAAATTAACATTTTTAAGAAATCTATATATATATATATATGTGTGTGTGTGTGTGTGTGTATGTGTGTGTGCGTGCGTTCACGCGCGCGCATGTGTATGTGTGCATGTGCATGCAAAATTTCAATAATAATAAATGATGGCGAAACAAATACACAAAAATTAATTTATGTAAATGTAGCATAATTACATCTTGAATAAAATAAAATCGTGGATTAAAATTATTTAAAACTGTGATTTAAAAAAAATCACATATTGTTAACATTTTTATTTGTTTTCTATATCTATTATGAAATTTTTTTAAAGGAACTATAATTATTAAATAATAATATTAAATATCGAAATGATTTAGTTTCTTGTATACAAAAATTATATGCTAAAAAATTAAAATTGCATCAATTAGAATTTGTCTAATAAAAAAAACTTAGTACTATATTATCTTTATAATAATATGTACTCTTTCTAAATTAAAGAAGAATGGAATTTATAAATAATAAATAAAAAATATATTTTATTAATTGTGTTTAATATATAATTGGAAATCATAATAATTATGTTCAATTTTGAATAAATTGCATTAAAAATAAATACATAAGAATTTAGCAAGTACTTTTAATTACTTACGCATTTTGAGAAAAAAATATTAATATTCAAGTAGTTAAAAAAAAAAATTATTTTATAAAATTTTTTAACAAAACAAAATCAAATAATTAAAACTTATTAGATAATCAAAAAAAAATATCAAAAATTTAATGAAGCGACAATTAAAAAAAGAACTTTTCAAATTCCTAATAAATATGATGAAGTAAAAATTATGCAGTATTAGCATTTCTTACTAGCATTATGATGTTCTTTCAGTTACAAAACGTAATTCTTCACATAGAAGGCACTTTGATTGTAAACAGTTTTTACTTTAGTTGGGTAAACTGCTTGTGACTTTGAATTGAAGGCGATCAACCTGTAATAAAACGAATAATATTGCTGGAATTAAAGTCTAATGTGAAAGTTTTAATATTAAGGGTTTAAGAAGTAATTTTAAATTTAAATGTAATGTATGGCTAGCCAAATTTTTGAGTATGCAGCTACGTGATTTATGATACAAAAATTAATAATGAATTTAAAAGTGATTCGAATATACTCATGAGTAAAAAGAAAAATATACGTGAATAAATTTATTAAAATTAAATTACTCTATAATTAGAGAAACTTTTTAATTTAAATTTTTGTAATAGCGGATATTGACTAAATTATACAACTATAAATACTTATTTGACTTTTATTCAGATAATTTAATTAATTAGTTATAAGTTTATCTGTATCTAGGTAACATATGCATTATTGTTAATTGATTTTTTAATTCAGATTATTTTCTATTTAAAACACTATATTAATATACGAATTTCGTTATTCCAATTATTGCTCCTTATTCTTTTATTTTATATACTTACATTTAGTTAATTCAATTGTGTCTATATTATAAAGATTCAAAGAAATGCTAATATTTTCATATTTTCTTAAAAAATAGAAATTTTATTAAAACAATTAAAAGAACTACTCAAGCTCTAGTCAAGTTTAAGAAATATAGAATTCTAAAATTCTAATGATATAGTTTTCCACTAATTTATATTATTTATAATAAGAAATTAAAAAATCTCTAAAAACTGAAATACATAATATTAATTAAAAACTAACATCAGATTATAGAATATTTTATTTTAAAAAGTTCGTAATTGATATCACATTATTAGTAGATTCTTTTGCGATTCGATTTGAATGTAAATGAACAGCCAAATGATTAAAGACGTTACATTTAGTACTTAAAGATGTACATAACACCTACGATACAGTTATATCGAAAAAAAAAGCTGAATGAAAAATATGAAACTATGTACTGAAGAAATATAGTATCTATATTGTAGATAATTTTATATAAATCTTTTATATTTCAATTGAAATATAAAATTCTAATTGAAAGTAAAAAGAAACTAAATATAATAAAAAATAATAAACTGAAAAAAGGATAAGCTGAATTAATGCATAATTATCACACACACGCGCGCGCGCGCACACACACATATCAATATATTAGATATTTAACAACAAAACTTATGTAGCTGTTATAATTAAGTATTGTAACTTTTACAAAATTAAATCGTTACAAATACTATTCAGAAGATGGGCAAGTGATTAAAATATGAAATATAGCTATCGTTTTAGCGACAAATATTTCCTGGTGAAACTAAATATCAAAAGAACCTTTGATACCATGAGTATGACTAATGAACTAAAAGTAACAGTGAAGAATTTAATGTATTTTATTTTCTTCTCTATAAAATAAAAGAATATTAGATATAATATTTAATTTTGTGTGATATAAACTGTTATATTAGCAAGTGCTTAGAATAATAAAAGTTATAATACTAAGTGAATTTAACCTTTTGCCAGAATATTATACTAGATAAGTTTTAAAATAATACATAGATAATAGATTGTTATAGCTCCAAAGAAATAATTATGATACTTACAGCGACCAGTTTACGTCATAATATTTTTACTGTATTTATCATTAAGATTAAAAGTAGTAATGTTAACTAAATAAAACCAAAATTATTCTCATTTTAGATAAAAATGTTTTAAATTTAATCAGACAAAACAGAAGGGGTATAATGAATTACATTAATATAGTCGTTAAATACTTTGAATCAATAATATATATAAAGTTGAATTTCTAAAAACGGATAAAGAAATTTTGAATAATATAATTTGAATCAATAATAAAGCATACCATAGGCATATAATTATAATACAGTATATAGTAATGTTTTCTGTATTTAATTTAACATTACATGACCCAAAAAACAAGAGTATATTTTGCAAAGATATTTCTAATAAATTTTTGTACTTTAACAAAAAAAGTTCTTGATCAAAATTATTGTTCATTTTTTAATAAACCTTATTGCTTTAGCAACTTCATGAATTGTTAAAATATAAACTTTTGTATGAATAAATTAAAAATATTTAAAATAAAAGAATTTTTAGCATGAATAAATAAATTTATCCTCGCTTACATTTTTACGAATTACAGCTACTTTTATATGTATCTATTAAAAATTAATTTGTATCAACTTAAAATATACAATACAAAAAATTAATTATAACAATGTTTATATATTTATATCACTAATGTATTTCATTATATTATTAATATTTATTATAATATACATAACAACATACGTAATTTAATAAATAGCGAAAGACATATCAAAACAGATATATACATATATATATAATTAATTATAATTATTACTGAGTGCACTATAATTTAAATCAGGTAAATTATTTATTTATCATCTCTTATAACTACATTTGAATTAAATTTGAATTATTAATTAAAAAATTAAAAGTCCGTACATCCAAAATATTTTTCATAAAAAATTGAAAAAATGAATCTATACTATATTAACACAATAGAAAAAATGACAAAGACACATCATATGTACAACGAATGAGATTCGTTTGTCTGATTTATCTATAAACTATATAAAGCCAATATTAACAAATAAATAGTTAAAATTAAAATTATTATAATAATTAATAAGTTTTTAATGATACAGTAATAATAGTAAGAATTTATATGCTTAATCATGGTTAATTTTTAATTTAATAGCAATCAGTATAATTGAATTGATATATTACTTTATCCATTTTTCATTACTAAATCATCAACATTTTATGAAACCAGATTTTTGTTATTATAAAATTTAGTATATTTAAAAATTAATTATCATTGTTATTATTAACATCGAATGAATTATAATGCTATTAGTCAACCAACTAAATTATATTAACCTTGTTGGAATACAGGTGGTTCTGTCAATGATGCTGGGAATACAAAGAATAAAATTGACTTAGATAGTGACCTAAATAAATCTTTAGTAATTAATAAATGTTAATAAAATTAACAGACAATACAACTGTTATAGAAAACAGAAAAATAGCTAATTACAATATCTAATATACAAAATTGAAATAATAGCTTCATTAATACATCGTTGAAACTGGTTGTTTTCTTATCATCGATAATTTCTAAACATTTGCAGCTATTGTCTCTAATATATACTATATTAGTTATTAAACTTTGTATTTTCATTTATCTCTTGACATTTTGCTACATATGATATTTCTAGATATTGTTTCCAGCACAATTATAAAACATTATTCAACTATTTATTTGGCTATTATTTAACCATAACTCAGGATATATCTTGACATATTGTAATATTGTGCGATAACTGATAATTAATAAAGTCAAAAACTGATGATCAAGTATTTCTATGAAAAAAGTATCCATTGCTGAGTGAAAGAACCATTGATGAGCTATACTTAGTTTTGCTTTTAATGAATTGCTTTTAATAAATTTCGTTCATTAATTAATACTTAAATAATAAATTAATAACAATAGTATCAAATATATGGTAGTAGATCCTAATGGCAGATATTTTAATAAATCAAATTGCAGTTTACAGTCAGTAATAAAAACTTGATAATCACGTTTTACATTCACGATTATAATCAAAGTACAAATATTTTTATAATATATTTGTACATATATTATAGAATTAAATATTAATCAATTTTTGTAATTTTAAAATACAGCGAGAACGCTTGTTGATTGCACATATTTCAAAGATTAGTAACATAATATAATAATTGATAACAAGCAAACAAATATTATCTTTGTACATTATAATTAAGGTGCGTTACAAATAAAACTATAATTTTCATTAATTTACTTAAATTAATTTTGAAAATAGATCAGCTAATAAATGTATAAAAAAGGTATTTTAATGAAAAAATAAATCTCATTAATTTACGGTTAAATAGACAATATCAATTCATAGTTAATACTTTCATTTTTATTAATTTACAGTGAAAGAAATTTTCAGAACGTATTATTAGCCAAACAAAATAATGCGATTAGCTATATTTTTAAAAATTCAGGTGTAAAGTTATTAATAATTTATGGTATATATTTGATCTACTTTAATTTAATGATATTAATCCTTGTTTAGGGTCTCTATTACTTATTCAAATAAATTTATTGTCATGAATAAAAATGCTCAGCCTTTATAATGCGTATACTTTTGAAATAGACCGTAAGTAATCTTATTGTATTTTATCGCATTGAATATCATGCTATTTTAATTTCAAGATGCGCGAATAAAAAGAAACTTTATATGATGAAAAATGTTAAATAAAATCGTCAAATAATTATAGAAAAGTGTAACGTAAAAGCAGAAGATAAAAACAATATTGAGCAAATGTTTCCTATATTTATTAAGGAATCATTATAATAAAATAAAGATATTTAATATAATAATTGACTTATTTGTTAATATTGAATATTATTATCATAAAAAAAATAAAACTCATAAATAAAATCAAACGCTAAAACCTTGTAACTATATATTAATTAAAATTAGTAAAAATTAAAATATAATTGAAAATACCAGAATATTTTTCATTCAAAATACTTAGCTCTTTCCTTGTATTTCACGAATATACACTTCTAATTAATATTCTCTACATAATATTTTCATTTTTATAAAATGAAATATAAAAAAGTAATTATATAGAATAGTGTACATTTTAAAAAACCCTATTAACCCCAAAGATTCCAATTATTTTACAAAAGAAAAAGAAAATTAAAGAACATATATGAATAATTTCCAGAAGATAAGAAAACTTTGATAATCGCTTAATATTAACAATTGCATTAAATAAATAACAATAATTCTACATGCCATTTGATAAAAAATAGAATGGAATATTTAAATTATTAAATATATTTATAATTCTAATTCTAATTTTATTAAAAAACAATTCATTATATTAATTACTTCCTTATTTTGAAATAGAATAGTAGCATTAATCAAATGAATAATATCTAACGAACGCTTTCAATTTTATAAACTTGATCTTAATAGATGTAGGGAATAAAATAATTTTATTTATAAACAATCAAATGTTTTATAAATACATATGTCATATTATTATCCATATTGTGATAGGCATATTGTAGAGAATTGTTACATTGGTATCTATCTATACGCATCAATATTGTGATTGTCACACTGTAAAGAACTGTTATATTGATCTAGTACAGATGTTTTCTAGGGAAATGGATAAGGTCTCAAATTAATACCCCAATATTAATATAATATCAACAAAAATAAATTTGAATGAAAATACTGTAACGATTTTCTAGGAACAATCATTTTAATTTTTAATTTTCTATAATTATCTACAATTTTTGTAATAATTCTCACATTTATTTTAGGCTGTTGCCATTGACTTGACACACTTGAGCATTCATACATATATTATTAATATAATTTATTATGTTACAAATTTATATATTATCGCTAAATTTTCATTTATAAAAAAATTACATTAATATTTTCACATAGCAAATAATATATATTTTTTTTTATTTTTATATTCAGTTTCCGATGATATGTTAAATAACAATAACAATAGTAAATTTTAATATAAGCGTTTTAAATATTAAATTTAATTTAATTTTGAAAATCATTTGATTAATTATTTGAATTATTAACATTATTTTAATATGTGTAACAATATTACTTATTACGTTATTTGTTTATTATATCACTCTTAGTATAAAAATTTCTCATAAAAATAGCAATTAATTCCCAGAGTGTTAAACAATAATTTACTTTAAATTAAAAATTTAATAATTAGTCAATTTACTACATAGATAACAAATTTATATATTGTTATATATTGATTAACAATAACTATAATTTCCATAGAAAAAAATTAAATACTTAAATATTATAATGGGCTCAATTTTATTTAACTTTTTTTATTTATGAATTAATTTGGTGTTTACTTGTTTTAAAGTTAATTTTTTTATGTAGATAATTTCAATATCATTTATAATATGTAATAAAAGTATTAAAAAGATAATTATAACTCAATGTAAATTACTTATAAATACATAAAAAAAACCTAAATTTTATAAATTTATAATAATAATTTAGGTAATTTATATATATATATCTTCTAAATTCTTCAATTAAACGAAAATAGGATAAATTAACTTTTTCTAAAAACATTTAAAATACTGAGGTGTTATGAATTAGGATTCATATTAATTGAGTATGTATTACCTTTCATAAAATAAAAGTAAATAATAAAAGTGATTGCAATATTACATTATGTATCAAATTTTTTACACGCTTTATTTTCAAGATGATTATTTAAGGAACCATCAAAATTGATTTCACTAGAATATATGATAGTACAATTTTTGTAATCAAGAAAATAAACTTATTATATAAATATGGACTGTGGCAACTCAATATGCTTATTATGATAATGTATATGAGAATATACAAATAGTAATAAAGTAAATTGAAACAATTAAATTATATTATATTAAAACTATAAAATTTGGCTTATCCATATATTTTAATATTATTTGAAATCAATCTTTGCTTTTATTACAAAGTAATGTAGATATGTATTCGCGTTGAGCAACTTTAAAAAATAGTGAGATGATACAAAGCCTTGACTGAAAGCAAGAAAAACGGCTTTATATGCAAAGCGTGCTCGGAAGAAGTTGCGAGGGCGTAGAATACCGATGCGCCAGCATTATAAAGACTTATTCAAGGTCAAATTGAAAGAATCACTTCTCCTCTGATTGTCAGTGCACTGGCCCCAAATCGACATAACCGGGTACGAATACAAAATTAATAAGTAATTTTTACATACGTTTCTTATGAAAATCGAGCATTTATAATAAAATATATATAATCGAATCCTGTTTATACATTTATGATAATCATTGTAGAAGTTAAATCTTGAATAACCATTAAAAATAAAAAATAGCTTATATTTAAATGTAATAAAAAAGAAATACGTAAATGAGTTTTTTCAATATTATTTGTTGTATTTATTAAGTTTAATTTATGTTTATTATATTTAAAAAGAAAGATGTTAAATTGTTAAAGTAAATTATATTCATGTAAAGAAGAAAGGCAAAAAATACGGAAGTAATGGAAATTATGTACTCAAATGAAAAATTAATTTCAATTAATATCAATAAACACGACACAAAAATTCCATTCAGATACAAACCTACAAAATCATTGTTACATGAATAAATTAAAATATTCAAATTTTAGTATACCGATATAACTGTGTTATTTGTAGAGAATTCAATATAATACAAAACTGAACATAACAAAACCATATTTCTATCACTTTTAAATAAGAAATATTTATATAGCTTTGTCTATCTGTAGTTAGTGAGTATTAAAGATAAACTATATTTTAAAAAATAAAGAAAATATAAGAAAATATATCTATAAAACGTTAAGATTTAAAAATATGGTCTATTTACGGAAAATAAAAATTATGACGTTACATGCGGAAGAGTGCGTAACTGCGTGAAACTGCACGGGAAAGACTACGAAGGTCACAGTGCTACAATCTGGTGAATATTTCTACGACCTCGTCAATAGACATTCATTATATTATTTTTCGTAGTACAATTAAGTTGAGGTATTCAAATATCAAAAAAGTGGATGAACAAAAATACAATCTTTTATTGCTCTTTGGAAAATATTGTATAATTTTAAATTTTTAATTTAGTAGAATTACTATTTATTAGAATACTGCAAACCCTTATTAAATGATAAAAACTATTATATTAATAAAAATCTTAATTTTAGCATTACTTCTATAATATTACTTATAGGAACATATGATTACAATATTTAATTATCATACTAGAACATAATTAATGTGAGGAAGAACATAAAATATATTTACTTATTTTATATTAATATTAACAACTTAATTTTGTCTACAGATTTGATTTATTACAATTTATTTTTAATTACAGAGTTATAAGATGTTATATTTTATTTTCATTAATAATTGTAAAACCGATTTCGAAATTTTCATATTCAAAGTTATAAATAACAATATATATTTTTCAAATAGCAATTAAATAAAATAGGTTTTATTATAAGAGTAACATTATATAACTTTATAATATTTTCATTTTTAATTATTTATATAATATTACAATAATAAATTACATAAATTGATAAAAATTAGGAAAATAAATTTAATCGGTACGTGTACTTTTATTCTATTTATTTATATATTACCTTAATTGAGTATAATATTTTCGACATCGCACTGCTTATTTATTTTAAAATAATAAATGGAACAAAGAATGGATAATCTTAATTTCAATTGTCATGAAATTATGTTGTAATAAATTAACAACACTTTAATTTTAATAAATAAATACATACATAATTATTATATTTTAATTAAATCATATTTTATATGTGCTAATTTATTATAAAAAATATATATATATTATAATATTTATTAAAAGTATATTATTATAAGTATAATGTATAAACAATGATTTACTTGATTAAAAATACAATAGATATCTATATCTAATACAATAGACAATTTTATAGAACTCAGTCAAGCATATTACCGCAAGTATACTTACGCGAGATTCGTACACAAAAACTTAAAAATAATGTCACAAAAAATAAAAAGATAATTTCGTATATTAAAATAGAAAGAGAAAAATAAAATAAATTGACTTACCATGGCTTTGATTGCAGAGAAATCTGATGATGCAGTCACTATCATCCCATAACAAGTAATTACAAACAGTAGCCCTAACGACCCATTTGCGGCCATGAAACTATGATTTAATAATAACTTTATAATTAAAGGCATTTTGATTTTTAAATTTTAATTCTTCCAAGTATATCACTATATAATCACTAACTATTATCACAGAAATCATGTATTTTACAACTCTATCATATATTTAATTTACAGATTTATTAATGAGTTATAATTACTACTTTTGAAATTAAAAATTTAAATTTCATGATAAGTTTACTTCATTTAAAATTAAGTAAAAGATAGTGAAATATTGTATCATGCAATAATTATGAAATAGTTCAATTTTCATGCCTATTTAGTACCTATAGTAACAGAACAACTTTAAATTCAATTTCACTACAAGGAAATACTGAAAAGCAAGAAAAAAGTATGTCGTTGCGTACTAGTTCGCTGACCACTGACACTCTGACTCACAATCACGTTGCCACTCGGTTTTATTAGTCTCCCACCATTGTAGTTATATCGCCTGCAACTTAGTAAAGACTTTGTTTTTTTTGTCTTAATTAAAAAAATCGAATTATGAAAAATCAATTCAGCTTTCTATATTGATTTTTACACAATCGTAACTCAGTTTCTTAAATGATCAATCATTAAAAATAAACATTATTAAATAATAAGTTTTTAACTACGCTAAAGTTATAACATTTCATTACAATCGTTTAATAATTTATATATTTACTATTAATATATAATTGTATTTTATTGAAATTAGTTCGTCGGTTATAATTTTATATAATAGATAAATTTTAAATAAATGTGTATGTTTATCAAAAGTACTGCTTTGTATTACACATGTTTAATTTCAAAATATGCTTCATCTTATTTTAAAATATATATTTTTATATTATACACAATACTTGCATACACACACACACACACACAAAATTAGAAAAAGAAATTTAGTTTATTGTTATATATATTTCTCCATTATTACATTGCTACTACATCTAAACTAGCCTAAGTATAATTTAAGCATATTTCAGAAAGTAAATATAAAATTTGTATTTACTTTAAAAATCTGAATATTTAAGTATTAGTTTATATTTAATAATAACAAATTGAATATTTTTTGTATTAGTGTTAGAATAAATAATCGTTTTATTGTAAGTCATTTTAATTTTTTTTATACTAAATAGAATCTATTAAACTAGATATAGATATACATTCAGGTACATGTTATTAATAATTAAATATAATTTTCATAAATTCAATATAATAGTTTATGAAGATATTTCCGCGCATAACCATCATTCGCTTAAAGTGAATTTTTAAAAACTTTTAATAATGATTTTAAAACACTTTGATTATTATTAATATTAAATATAACATACACTCACACACTTCTCATTTACTTTCTCGCTCACTCATTCATACACACGCACGCGCGCGCGCGCACACACACACACACGCAGATGCATACATACATACACACACAAAAATATTTACATATTGAAAAAAATTATCAGGTCAAAATTTTATTATATATGATTTACCTAAATACAACTATTGGAAATATAGTATTTATATTTATATTAATTTTTACATGTTTATTATATTTCTAGTAAAGTTATCAAAATTATATTTCATTAAAATATTTTTAAAATATAATTTATAGTAATAGTGCAATGGCAGAATAATGAATAAGAAAATTATGAAAATAAAACAAGACTGAATTTTTTTATATTATGAAGATAAAATGAATAATAACAGATGAATTTTAATGTGTCTAATTCAATATGTTTAAGTTAATCGATTTATTATTACAATAATTCCTTAAATTTATTAAATAAATTCATTAGATAATAATTTACGTATTAATATAAATTCATTTAATCATATGGTCTCGATTTATATATTATTAAGAGGAAATTTTGTATATTGTACATTATACAATGAAACGAAAAATAGAATATTTATCAGTTAAGTTACTAAATATTTACTATATTTTTAATTAATTATTATTGAATAATAATTGTCAAATATTCTTGTAATTTTTAACAGATACACAACCTGTATATTTATTTTAACAAATTATTTTATTTTAATATTTTATAATTAAAACACAAATTTATGAATTATTGATTTCGATCTGTACATGCGTGTTCGAGACTATCAAATAAATGTGAAAAACATATTAAATATCTTAATAAAGACATAATTTTATATATTTTATAAGCTAATTTTTTCACTTTTATATTTGATATTATTTTTACTTCAGCGAGTAAAAATCTTTTTTTTTATGTTATATTTCTATTATATTTAATAAGTCAATTCAAGCATAAATACAAAATTACATTGATTTCAAAGAAAATTTTTTTTATAAATCTAAAAAATTAAAAATTTTTGATATTTTAAAATTATATTTGATATTAATACAAAAATTCCATAGATATAGAATTATATTTTACTAGTTTATGTTTTTCTAAAAATTATTAAAAAATAATTTTTACAAACATGCTTTTTTATTGTAATATATTTAAAAAATATAATACTCGACAAAAATTTTATGTTAATAAAAATACTATTTAATTTTAATAAATTGCACTATATTTTATATTGAAATCGAAATGTTATATAGAAAGTTTCACACGAAACTTATAATGAAAAACGATAAATAAATAAAAAAAAAATTAAACTATAATAATAATCAGAAATTAAGCCAAGTATTAGTTGGTATACATAAATTTTAAAGTAATAAATATATGTGTGGTTATAGAATAAAATTGATAATGATATTAATTATAAGCAATAATTATAATAAAATAAACACATTATTAAATACACTCGCACATACATATAATATATTAATTATTAAATATACTTATTATCTTTTGTACTTATAATATCAGAATTATTACTCTTGAATTGTACTAAAGTCTATGCGATTTTTTTTGTTTGGAGTATGATAAAATGACATAAATGTATATTTTTGTTTAAAAAAATGCACTATATAATTTAATAAAGTTTATAACTTTACCATTGTTTTATTTAGTTTGCTTTAAAGATTCATTTTTCTTTCGATGAGATATATCATTCTGACGTTTTTTATGTACTAAGTTTAGAAGCAGAATTACGCGAACATAAATAATTAAATAAAATTCCTCTAAGATATCCCGAATTATCTTGATGCCCACTCCTTAAACTTGATCATACTAAGTTTAGTGAAATCATAAGAAAATCTATAAGTAGTATAAGCAGAACTATATTATTCAATGAAATATACTTCTCATAATTCAGTTCAAATAGATTAACTCCACATAACATAACATGGTAGACTTGTAAACCAAAAAATTAATAATTAGAATAAAATTAGGCATATATCAATAGGTACTAGTTGAAAAATTACTCTTTCTAAATTCTGCTTATTCTTTTATGTTAATAGAATTTTTATGAAATTGTGCAGAAATCTTGTAAAGAACTCACGCATGCCATCAATCTACCACATATTTATGTCTTCTATATTTCTACATAAATCATTTCTGCATCCATTTTGTATTATTCTGTTTTTTTTTACATTCCCGAACAACGTTTCATAATCAATAAAACAACGTTGATAAAAATTCCAATAAATTAAAATGTCTATAATTAAGGACTTTAAGTAAATAATTATTAAAATTCATTTATATGGTATATAGTACAAAATATATAATTACAAATACATTATATTAATATAACAACACTAAATTTGTTTATAATATTACGTTTAATTTAGCGAGACATTAGATGTTTTTGAAACAAATTAAACTAGTCAGTTAAAATTATTATAAAATTAAATTAAATTTAACAAAATTAAATTGAACTTTATTAAGATCACTTAAATAATATAATAAGTTATGTTAATCAAATATTTTTTGCATACAAATAGAGAATTAATATTACTCATCTATGAATCTAAAAATAATTTAATTTAATTTCTACAATACTAATTTTAAATCGATTGTAATTTAAAATAGAAGCTACGGACGATTTGTCCTAAATAATTTGATTATCATATATTCTAACTTTATAAATTCTTGAAAAATTAAATATTGTATAATAAACAGTTAATTTACATAGAAGCTTGTGTCCTTCCTTTTATCATCGAAAAACAAATATTATTGCACGATATTGTACATTGTTTTCCAATTATATATAAGTAGACATTTATTATCTCTTCAATTTCATTAGTCTTATAACTTTTCTTCCTCCGTAGACGATTATTATTGAAATAATTGTAAAATAAATTATAATTTTCAACCATTTTAGAATGAATATTAGAACCAAATACATTTTATCCTAGTATAAACTTAGGTATTAATATTCACCGTCTTCAGAACGAATATACGCTGTTAACCTTACCTGCTTTTCTTAAAGTACCTCTGTTTATTTCTCAACATTATTGTATCAGAAACTACCATCGTGAAAGAGCACCAGTTCTATAGCATTTCTTCAATATAATTTATAAAATACATTTAAAAAAGTACCTCGATATAATTAATAAAGAAAATTGTCTTATGATTTAATATCCATTTATTCTTATATCAAATATACAATTGAATATAGTTAAAAGTAGTCAAGCACCTGAATTTATTAACTGTAAAAGATACAAGAAAATAAAAATTTTTCATTCATAAATCTATTTTCCAAAATTTTATACAATTTTTATCAGTTGTTCTAACTTTGAAAAGCAATTTATAGTAGCAAATGGCAAATGAAAGTTATTCAAACGAATAAATAATCTTGTTTATTAAATAAATATTAAATATATTATTTAACTACAAAATAATAAAATAACTGAATTTAAACATGCATCAAACACATACTACATTGGATATTTAAGATTCGAAGCTACCACCAATCTGGTATTAATTACATTGGGTACGGCATTGTACCGTTCAACTATACAAGTGGCACTTGAATTACTTGAGATACCAGTATAGTATTAAATCGGTAAAATTTTGAATAAATGAAATAAAAATTTAAAATAGATTGTAAACTATCTCGTGTAATTTTAAAGTAGCATTCATTTTTTTAATATTTAAGATTTTAACTAATTTCATAACATGTTTAACTTTAAAATTCCATATATATCTGCTAATAAAATGAAATTATTTCTAACCTTTCGATCAAATTATCTCACTTTTCTCAATTTTTATCTTGTATTTAATTTGTATATTCTATATTTATATATTCACTTTTTATATATTCACCTAATAATAAATATAGTCTGTTACAATTTTAACTGTATACTTAATTCATGGCTTAATTCTCTTCAATGCATTCTCCTCAAGCATTAACGTTAGTAGCAACTTCACGTACATCCTTTAAAAACGGTTTTATTATAGTCCAAGATACTTAATTTTCTTATAGGTATATGATATACAATCTTCATCTAAATGTGAGTCTCAATTCTTACATACGTTAGAAAAAAGAATAACGTGGCTACCATATACTCGTACATCTTCCTACATACATCTAAATATTTCAATAGTCCTCCTCGTGGTAGAAGGTAACTCCTGGACTGATTTAATATCAACTCTTTAATTTACAATAATTCTTTATTATTATTTCGTTCTATTATTTATTTAGCAGTTTTCAAAGCTATGCAAGAACTCATTGATTTCCTTGTATCGACATCATGTACAGTATGTTTGTCTCATCTTTCAATCTAACACATACTCTATTCTATTCTATTTTTAAATTATATCTATTGAATGTGTACATCTATTTTAAGTATATATTATATATTTATTTGTTTATTTATTTATTCACTTATAAAAACTTAAATATTTCAGGACAAATTTAATAAAGAAATGAGAGGTGTATATATTATTTAATCAAATTCTATAGCGATTTGTCATAAAATTAATTTTTTATTATTTATAAGTTAAACACTACAAATTTAATGAATTTATTATTAATTAAATAAATTGAAATCAATATATTTCATTGGTTTAATTTAAAATATTATTCTGTTCAATGAAATTTAAATAATTTACAAAATATTTTGATAAAAGCAGTCAAGAGTGCTGATTGCAGTTCATGAGTGAATATTAAATAAGAAGCGCACCACCTACGTACTCGTTACACAAGTGGGGAAGACATTGAAACTTCTGTATTAAAACTTGAAAACTTCTGTGTTGAAACCTGAAACTTGAAACTTGAAACTTCTGTGTTGAAATTTGAAACTTCTATAATTAATCATCGCTGTATTCGGAGATGTTCCCTGGATTCAAACACGAAGACGTTACTGATCGGAGCTGTACTGTGGATTAAAGGTTATACGTTGCACTATACAAGGAGTGTCAAGGATTTACGCCTTTGCACTTCTCAGTGTGGTAATTTCCATCAAGCACGCTTCACCAAAAGGATCTGGAGCTTTACAACTTCCAACCTCGGATTGCAGTGTACACTATCTCTATGTGAATCCCACCAGGGAACGGAAAATCTCACAGATTTTCAACAAAATCTTAGAATCATATTTATTGTGTAGTCTGTAAATAAATAAATAAAGAGAAAAGATGCCAAGAGACGCTATGTGTTAAATATTGAATAAACACGCCATCCGCTTCCACTTGTCAGCAATCCTCCCAACGAAAACCACTGGGAGTTGTTAGGTCTAATCCTAGACATTTTAGTGAATTATTTTTCTCTTCTATCTAATTTCAATTGTTAAACTTTCTGTTGCCTTAGCTATTGAACCAAAAATGTACCAATTATTTTTAAGATAATATATTTGCACTGACCAAAGTTATCTTCTCCGAATCTGTGCTTTTCAGGAAATATGGAAACCAAAAGAAAATAAATTCTAGGTTGTAAATGAAATTGATTCATATTGAAATATTAATATTAACATTCATAGAATGATATATAATGTACTAATAATATATACTTTATTTTTTATTTTTTATCGTTTATTTTATTTTTTAATTTATTAAAATGTAAAAATTTGAATAATTTAAATAATAATTAAAACTTGTAAACTATATGACAAAAATAATAATAATAATATAAATATTTAATGATGCACTTGACAATAGAAATAAAATACGTGTAATATAAAATGCATCCGCAAATGCATACATATATGTATTATATATATATATTGTTTTTTTCTATTTTTTTTTTTTTATATATATAAGAATATCTAAAGGACAGGTCATTTTTAAGAATAGGTTATACAAATTTATATTATATAAACTTGTTTTATGAATAATAATAAATAGTAATAAATATAAATAGAAATAATAAATAATAATAAATGGGTGATAATAAATTAATATCATACCATTCAAATATTTCGTCCATTTTCATGAATATATTTATATATTTTTATTTTATTATTAAGGAATTAGTGCTTTCGTTTACGATTAAATATATTTGAGTCACAATATTTCATTATAATAAGTTTATTAAATATAAAAATGAATTTTTAGAATAAAGATATCTTTTTCTTATATTTCTACTTCTTAAAATATATTTTGTCATAGTTATGCATACATACATAACTAGAATTTCATATTATGCACTTCTTTAAGGACCAATAAACTTATATCTCTATTGCGCATGCTTATAAAAATGCATTCTATATTTTCATTGTATAGTAAAGGCCTCTAATATATTGGAAAAGTTAAAGAGAAGGTAGTTACTTATAGGTTGTAACTTCATTCTGTTACATATCGTATACGAGATGATTAATTTGCATTATTTTGTAAGATGATCAACTATGTTGATCAGTCGTGTCATGTAAGTCTTCATTGAAACGCAATAGTTTGATTTAGATTATTTTTGTGTAGAGTGTTATGGGTTGAGGAGAAGTAAATAAGTTTAAGCCGTCAGGCGCGGCAAATTTTCATCCTACTATTTTTATAGTTATAAGTTTTAAACAACATGGCCACGGATAAAATAAAAGTTGCTGTGAGGGTTCGACCCTTTAATCGTAGAGGTCAGTTTTTTAATCATTACATTTTCATATTGTTCAATTCTTACTACTTAAAAATGCTTTTAAAAATGTTGATCTCATTTATAAATAAATTGAATATATTTATCATCAATTAAATGTTATAGTCATTGAATGTTCACTTTATCGATCTCGTAAAATTTACCGAGTTCTCAAAAAAAATCACATGCTTGAATTTAGGCCAAGGATTTCAGGATACAGTTATTCAAGAACTTTAAAAAATGTTTAAATATAATTAAAAATTTATTATAAATTCTATAACTATTTTTATACTTTTCTTATATTGTTTAATATGTATTAAATATAAATTTTAAAAATGTATTAACCAAGTATTTATTAAATAAAAGAAAAAAAGTAAATTCTGTTATTTTCTTAAAAATTATTAAAAATTTAATTGAATGTACTTATATTTAGTGCTGTATATATATATATATATATATATATATATATATATATATATGCATGATGCATGCATATATGCTTGAATGCATGTATGAATAAAACTATTATAAAGTTGTTCAAATTTTTTAGATTATTTTTAATATAATTATTTTACACATACGTATAATTAAAATATTATACAGTAGATCCAGTAAATAATTTTAGGAATTTTTTATTTCATCTTCTAGAAAATCATGATTTTATATTTTATTGATTTTGCTGCAAAAATCATTTGTGTACCAGATAGAATAAAGATATATTATATTTATTAAATCTTATTAATCTCCTTACTTGTAATAAAAATATTGAATTCTATTAAATATAAACATAAAATTAATTTTATTGCAGTAATAAAATGTCATATTCAATTGGTTCGAAAAATAAATTTGATAAATAAAATGTAAAAATATTATTATTATTATTATTATTACGGTATTTTGTCTGGAATTTATAAACTTTAAAATTATCTCAATTAATATGTATTTGTATAGCTAATGATTTAGCTTCAACTCTAACTTGTAAATTCAAAAAGTTTAAATTTAAGATTGTTTTGTTATTGTATTAAATTTCATACAAATAAAATATTTGAATTATTAAAAATTATTTGTATGAAATATAAACAAAATTAATTTTATTTTAATATATATTTTTTTATGATATTGCTATTATTATTATTATTAAGTTTATCTTTATTTTTTTAATTATTTTTTCTAATGATCAATTGAATACTTCTAATTGTATAGCATGTAATAAATACAAGGCTTTATTGTAAAGATGATTTTTAAGTCACCTTCATGGTTTAATCAGAGATTGAATTCATCTTTATAGTTTTGAAAATAGTTTAAATATATTTTTTTAATCATTTATAATACTCTTCTATATAACTTTATATTTGTCTCTGCATCTAGTTTATTTATTTATTGAATAGCATATTCAACAACATGAAATTCAATTTTTCATTACTGCTTTTACACATTCCTTTTCTCTGAAACTTATATCTTCATATACTAAAGAATATTTTAATTTAATTTTAATCATTAATTTTTTATTCTATTTATATATTTGTAAATCTTTATTCTTCAAGCTAGAAATATTTAATATGGTAAAAATAGTAAATGTCATCCTTTGACATTTGTCATCCTTTCAATTATTGTGATTGAGTCTATATGTACTTAGGAATGTAAATCTTTTAACTTATCCTGATTGCCTTGATAGTCCTTCTAAGCTAAATTTTGTTTTTTTTTTATGTAATTTTGTAATTTTTTTATGTATTCTAATTATAACTTTTCTTTGTAGTATTATAAAATATTATATATATATATATATATATATATATATATATATATATATATCATTATAGTATTTTATTGTTAATTTTTAACATGAAAATTTATAATAATTATAAATAATATGAGATTAAAGTGTTTTTGTATATATTATTATGTATTTTGAATATTATTATTCAACTATTCTAAACATATAGAGGAATACATATGTCTTAAACAACCTCTTGCTAATATTTCACATAATAATCTCGATAATTTGTTTTATTAACTTTATTAAATTGTAATTTTAATTGAAACAAATATTTTTCAAAACTTGTAAAAGACTAATTTTATACGATAAAAATTTGATGTAATATATTTTATCATTTAAACCCATTTGTACAAATATTTATACTTTTATAAAGAAATATTTATTTTAATTTTTCCTGAAACTCAAGTTTCATAATACATATTTCGGTTGATTGGATCACTTAGTGTATAACTATAAAGTATTTTATTAAAGGCTAATATTTAACGATACTGAAAAAATTGTTGATTAATTATATATTTTCAAACAAATTTTAAGTAAAAATACAATTTGAAAATTTTATTATTTTAAATATTATGTATTCTTTATATATAGCAAAATAAATCTTTTATAAATTACAAATATTATTGCTTATGGATAAAGTTATAATTTTGTTTATATTAAAATAAATAAGTACATACACATAGTATTGTTACATTAAAGAGAATATTTTCATTATTTTGTGTTTTTGTCAAATGCATGAATTCCTTTAAGAATGAAAGAAATTCGTTAGACAGCATTAGATAATTATTTATACAAATCCTTATAAATGAACTCAAACATAAAATGGAATTTTATTAACAACTGTATGTATTTCATAAATGAACTGTAAAATTAAAATAAAAAAGAATAAAAACTAATTTGAGTATCAGAGAACGGGGTATCCCAATTACAATAGAAACAAATTAAAGAGTTGTTCTGTTGAAAAAATACAAAGTAACAAGTGAAAGAGAAGGTACTGAAAAGAGAGAAAGTATAAGAACAAAAAGTACAATACTGTATTAATTTTTTATTATTGTACACTAAATCAATTCGTGGTAAAATTTACAAGTATTTATGACTATTGACTATTTGTCTCATAATGTATACTAAATAAGGACAAATATTTAACTGTATATTTGAAGTGAATAAAATATTTGTTAAAAAACTAATGTACCTCTATTACTATGAACTTGCTACAATATCCATAACTTTATGTATAGCAACAGAAACATCATATATATTAGAAAATATTATAAATACCTTTGTTAATATAACAAAAGAAAAAATTATATACTACAATGGAATTTTGTAAATCAAAGACAACAATACAAAATAGTATATTGTACTATGAATAATTTTTTATCAGAAATTGATTATTTTAGGCTATTAATAGTTATTTATTTAATTAAAAGTACTTTTGTATTTTGATATTTATTAAATTGTTATTTTGGTATTTTAGAATTGGAACTTGGTACAGAATGTATTGTAGAAATGACGAAGAATCAAACTCTTCTCTATTATCCTGCATGTTTGGAAAAAGTAGAACGGTAAGTTTATTGTAAATTTTATTATATTTGTTTGCAATACTTTTTTTCAAGATATTAAAATAAGTTAAAAATAATATTTTGTTCTTCTAAAAAATCTATCTTTATTAGTTTCTTATTATATATTACAATATAAAGAATAAATATAATTTAGTAATTATAATAATATTTTAAATATGAACATAATTTTTAATGCACTCGTTAATAGGTAAATAGTTGTTAAACATAATTATCATTCATAACTGGCTTTGATTACATCCAATTCATTTTATAATTTATTTTTTTAGATTTGTGTTAAATATATATTTTTAATGTTTTTTTTTATAATCTCTCTTATTATAAAAACCGACTTCTTTTCTAATATTTTATTAAAAACATATTTTTACTATTGCTTTATTATTTCAATGAAATAATAGTATAAAATTTATGTAGTTTTAAACTTAGGTCAACATCAATATAAAATTGAATTTTAAATGGGTTGTTTCCATGGTCATAGTTGGGTCAAGGTCATAGTTATACCAATACCCTTATATCTAAGGATATTTTATTTTTGTGTAAATAATTGTATGTTATATTTTGAGAAGGTGTGATATACTAAATTTAATTTAACAGTTTCATAATTAACCAATGATTGCGAATATCTTTAAGTCACTACAATAAAAAAAACCTGATAAATAATAATGATTGCAAGAATATTACACGGAAAATTTTAGTTTATGTAACGTGGCCACTTCGATTGAGATCTTCTCAATTAAAAATACAATATAGATTTATGCTTTGCATCTAGAATAATGGCAAATACACGTATCAGTACAATATTACTGTATAAATATTGCTGATATCTTTACGATTACAAACAGCGTCAGGAATTTGAAAAGAGGAAAAGCTGTAACGAGTAAAATAATAATGAAAATTTCGCTTCGTTTATAAGCATTGTGCGTGTTCATATTAAAACGATAATAAGTATAAAATCAAAGAGAATGCAACGAAAATAATTTTTAAATAAACATGATAATCGTAATTCGAATGAATAAACAACAAGTAACTGAATAAGTAAATAAAATTTTATAAGAAGCTTCTGTGTTTTCTTATATAATTGTTACAATTTGGAGATCCTAAGATATATATCTATAGTTTGAAAATAGAAAAAATATTTCCGTATAGGTCACAAAGTACTACTGTTTTATTACTTTTTTAATATTAAATACACACTTCGAAAAAATAATTTTTGTAAAATATTAAAAGTTAAATTAAAAATTAAAGATTAATGTGCATTAGAAAACTAAATCAAATTTTATTTTATTTTATTATTTCTAGTTACCCTTACTGGCGATACATTTTATATAATTAATATAACAATTATATAGGTTCTATATTATCATCACTATTATATTATATTCACATCTTTGTAAAAGTTTTTTTTTTTTTTTAATACTATTTCATATATACTTAATTCGGTGTTAGGAATTAAAAATGTTATGTACTATGGTTAAACGTGAACTCTGTAAATTACTGTAGAATAAACACGCATCCATACCTTTTGTTTTTTATAATAGAGAACATATTTAAATATAAATATAAAAGGCGTAGATTTAATGAGAAAAACAAAAGAATACGATAATTCATCTAAGTAATCATAATTGATAATAGTTTAAAGTACCTATTGCTCTTAATTCGAACATAATGGTAAAATTAAGAATTATATTTTAAAATAAATTTACAATATTTAGATGTCTCTTTTAATTTTTCAATAAATTAATATACTATTATATCCTAAGCAAAAAATACTTAATCTTAAAATAATATCAGATAAAGCCTACTGCTTGAAACATTACTATACTGATGTAGTTTATGAATTATATTAAGGATAATACATAATTATTTGGCAACACAATTTTTTCTATTTAATAAATAGCGAATTTATGTCTAGGTTTGTAATAATAGAAATTTTAGTATTACTTGAATTTTTCTTAAATACACGACCTAGGTGATATATTATGAAAGATTGAATTGCCAGCAAATTATAATTTGTTGAGGTGTGAATGTGTGGAAAAGGCAATATATTTAAATGTTCATTTATTTAATGAGCTTCATTACATTGTATATTATAAAAGCGGTGTAAAATACAGTAAATTATCATTTTTATTATATATTCGATATTGCTTAAATTTATAAATTATCATGCAAAGTTGAGTAGACTCCTAAGCTATTTTTACCACGATATTTGTTATGAATAGATACTTTGAAAAAAGTCTGTTGTACATTGACTATGAAGTAACTTGATTATTTATTCTGATTATATATTTTTTATAATATATTGTATATAACTTACCATTATTCTGATTTTTATCTTTGTAAATATTTATTGCAATAGTTGACAAAATGAAACTAATATAATCACCAACTTATTAAAAACGGATAACAGTACAAATTTACAAAATATTTTATTAACACTACGTACTATTTGTCTATAGTTCTCTAGATACATTGTTTTATAAGAGGTTGCTGTGCTAAACCAAACAATGTCTTTAGAAGTTTGTAGTGCTACATCGAATTAAGATTTTTCAATTGAAAATTTTTAATCATTTCTATCATCAAATCATAAATTCATACATTCGATTAAGAAGTACTTAATTCTGTAACATTTAAAGCGTTTAGAAATTACTATAATTCTCACAGATTAATAAATAATTATTAATAGTAAATATTAAAAATTTACAAATATTTGTTACTTTTTATTAGATCGAAAATATTATTAAATTTATATTAGATTTAATTAATATAGTAATAATAACAAAATTATATAAAAATAAAAATCTTTTAATACTCTTTATCATTATTGAATTATATTATTATTCTACTTTATTTGTAAAATAAATTAGGTTTGGTGACTTGTATAATATGAATATATAACTATTAATGTTAATTCAATTTAAATTTATTTGTCATTAAAAAATAAATAAGATTAAAAAAATTTATAATTCTTTTAGTTAATTTGACTAATATTTATAGATATTCATTCTTTTATATGAATATTATAAACATTATATAATACTCTACAATACAAACATGTATATACGTCTAGTATCATTGAATATATTAATAGAACCACAATTTTATTACAGAATTAAGGGCAAGTCATTTGCATTTGATCATTGCTTTTATTCTGTGAATCCATTAACGGAAAATTTTGCTAGCCAAGATATAGTTTTTGAAGCTTTAGGTCTGGATATTTTAGATAATGCATTTCAAGGATATAATGCATGCATTTTTGCATATGGACAGACAGGTTCTAACATTGTTTGAATTTTATGAATATTTATAGTTATTAATATAGATATATTCAATCAATATGAATTAATTTACAGGTTCCGGAAAATCTTATACGATGATGGGAAATAGAGAAAATTTAGGTATAATTCCACGATTATGTGGGCATCTCTTCGATATGATTTCTAAACAGGAGAGTTCAGAGCTTACATATAAAGTAGAAGTTTCATATATGGAAATTTACAATGAAAAAGTACACGATCTTCTTGATCCTAAACCGAATAAACAATCGTTAAAAGTTCGAGAGCATAATGTTCTCGGCCCTTATGTTGATGGTCTCAGTCAACTTGCTGTTACAGATTTTCAGGTCAGTGAATATATAATTACAAACATGACTTATCTACGATATAATGCACTGTAATATTATTAATTTTGAAATACGCAGGATATAGACAATCTTATGGTTGAAGGAAATAAATCCAGAACAGTAGCTGCTACCAATATGAATTCAGAAAGTTCACGATCTCATGCTGTATTTTCTGTTATACTTACACAAACACTAACTGATTCAAAAACTGGTGTCAGCGGTGAAAAAGTTTCACGTATGAGCCTTGTTGATCTTGCTGGTAGTGAAAGAGCTGTTAAAACTGGAGCTGTTGGAGAAAGATTAAAAGAAGGAAGCAATATCAATAAGTAAAGTTTTCTAAATGTTTGATTAAATGGAGTTTAAACATGAACAAGGCGTTGCTAAGTTTTTCATTTATCATTTTATCTTTATTTATATTAGATCCTTAACAACACTAGGTCTAGTCATTTCAAAACTGGCAGATCAAAATTCAAGTGGAAAAAATCGAGATAAATTTGTACCATATAGAGATTCTGTTCTTACATGGCTGTTAAAGGTATTCAAATTAATGTTTTTGTGTTCAATTGATGATTTATAAATATTCTAATTTATATAAAAATTTTAGATAAAAGCTTATATCATTAGTTCAAGTATAATTTTTTTTAATTTGATTGCAAAATTTTACATTTAATCAAATAAAAACATTCGAATAATTTGTAAATAATGATGTGAATATAAAAAATTTGGCAAAAATGAAATAATTATAAAAATCTTCATATTGATGAATATATTTTCGGACTAACGTAACTTCATACATTTTATATTTGCAATTCAATCACAATTTCATAAAAGCAATCTATGAGTAGTGTACATAATTTTTTTTGTATTATTTACCCTATCCATTTATATTACAGTTTTATAATTTAACATATCAAAAGTTAGATATATATGAATTCCTAAAACTACAAAGATATTAAAATAGATCTGACAATCCAAAAGTTGTTGAATGGAAAACAAATTGTATAAACCTTATAATAAAAAAATTTTATGTGCGTGTTTTAATAATCAAAAAAGAAGAAAAATGGTGTCATGACGTAAACTTAAATAATTTAACGACCTTGATAAAGCAATGCCGCACATTACGTGAATGATGATTAATAGTTTTAAACTAGTGAAGCAATTCAGACATCAAAAAATTAAAAATCTTAGTAAGATCTGAAACAATAAATTTTAATTGTTTTATTAACTACCAAAATTCATTCGACACTTTCATTCTGTAATTATTAATTCTTTACAAAATACAATATTGAATAGAAAATTTATACTTGTCTATGTTAAAGAAGTCGATGAAGTCCTTTCGATATAGATACATTTTTTAACCATTGTTTGAGCTTTAAAACTAATTTCAATTTTTTTATTATTTATCAATATCATTACATCAGACTTAGATATAAACCAAAATTATGTTATGATTCAAACATCAATATTAAAGTACATTAATATTTTTAAATTATAATTTTAGGAAAAAATGGTTTTTGCAATTTGATAATGTGAAATATTTCCTAATGTCACTTAATGCTATATGCATTTTTTATACTATTTGTTAGAGACTATGTTAATTATAAATATATTCAGATAAAACAATTCCCTGATGTTTTTTATTAACTAATATAGTATTTTTGAAGTTATTTATCTGTATTATAATTTTAACTTTTTGTTAGTTTCGTAACTATGATGTTTTTTCTCATAATTTGTTTTTATTTCACGTATGATTTCATTAGTTTGTAATTTTTTTAAATCAAAGAATTATCCTAAACAAGCTTAGTATTTTATTTAATTATTGTTCTCTTACTATTAAATATGTGATATTATATAAGTAGTTATTAACATTTGATTAATTGCCCATTAAATTGGGTAATTTCTAAACTAGCAGATCAAAATTCTAAAATAAATTTGTCATAGAAATTGTCTTATGGTTACTGAAAATATTCAAATATTTGTTTTATAAATTAAAAGTAGATTAGTACAAGATTATAATAAATAAATATACAAAGATTTTCTAATCTTTGTTGACATTAGGCTGTTCGCAAACCGAATACAACTTTATTTTTATATTTGTCATTCTCGATAGTATAACTTTTACTTTAATCATTTTCATTTTTTTATCACTATAATTTTCACATTTTAATCATCAACCTTTTTGAACACATAATAAAATATCACTATTATTTATCAATGCGACTCCATTTATGTGATATACAAAGAGAATAATAAATTCAGCTTCTAGTTAAATTACTATATGACCTATTCAAAATGAAAATATAATTTAAATGGATAAATCCTAAAAATGTAGTAAATGTATAATGTATTATGAAAAGTCTATTAGTTAATAATTCTATTATATCATTGAAGTGTTATGTATTTCTCCATGATACTGATTTGATCAATGATTAATGAAATTTAAATAAATCTTAAAATATGAAAAAAATAGATTTGAATATTACATTTTAATCAGTTTAATGAGAGCAAAATTTTGCTTATAGAACAGTTACTGATTAAAATAAATACACTTATATATAAATGTAACAAATCCTTTATTTAGCTAATTAAATTAAACAATAAACTAAATAGGTACATCTAATTAATAAAAACATTTTTTAATTATTTGTTCCTGTAACGATTTATTTTCTTTCCATAAAACTAGATGTCAACATTAGTGCATTTTTGTTTATTATAAAATAATTGTTACTATGAATGTGAAAATTTATAATTTAGAAGATATCCATTCATTAGTGTTGTTGAATACAGTGTATAAAAATGAACTAATATGCACGAAGTAAAATGACTGAAAAAGGATTATTATTAAAAAACATAACAATTAATTTCATAACAGATTATTACGCCAAAAGGTTTAAAGTGAGATATATATATATATATATATATATACTTATAAATATACTTATAAATATGCAATTTCTACTTATTGTGGTAACATCCAGCTTTTTGTAAATAGTTTTGCAAGAAACAATAAGTAAATAAATGAATATTTTGTATTTAATAAAGACAAGCACTAATATTTATTAATATATTTTCAATGAGAAAAATAAATAAAGAAAGAAAACTATTATTGAATAATAAACATGATCAACCTAAAATATACATGTGTTCTATTTGCTACTTAATGTATTTATGGTCCTAAATAAGTAGTTAAATATTTCAAATGATTATTTCCTAAACAATTTTGTCAATGATTAGTTTATCTTATATCGATATGCAATAATATTGATTGTTAATAATTTCTGGTGCTTGTGCTAACAATTAGTATAATATAATAATTAATGAATATGTAATATATTTGTTTAATTTTGTTTTAACGAATTGTTTATTTCTAATATTTTCATAACTGTTTTTTTTTTTATATATAAAAATGTTGTCTTCCAACGATTTCATTTTTCTTGAAATTACCTATATAATCTGTAGATAAAACAATCTCTGGAATATAGAAAAAAATCAATAAACAAATATACTTTGTTTAAATGATATTCTTTTAAATTTCATGTATTTAAAATTTTTCTAATTGATTTGCAGGATAATCTTGGAGGTAATAGTAAAACAGTTATGGTTGCTACAATATCACCCGCAGCTGATAATTATGAAGAAACATTGTCTACATTGCGCTATGCCGATAGAGCAAAACGTATCGTAAATTACGCTATTGTTAATGAAGATCCAAATGCGAGAATCATCAGAGAATTACGTCAGGAAGTTGAAACGCTAAAGGAAATGCTTCTTCATGCAACGGTATATTTATCTTCGAATTTTTTTTTACTTGTACATTATTATTATAAAAACATTTCCTATCATTGAAAGTTTTTTACAGTTTTAAATATATACTATGCAGTTGTATTATTCTATCTATTATCCATTTACCACATTTCAGTAATTAGTTATAATTCAAAAAAGTTTGTGTAATAAATGTTAATTTGTTTTTACACTAGAATTTAAATTATATATAATAAATATGAAAAATACCATTATATATTCATTTATAAAATCTAATTACTAAAAAATTCACAATTTCCGCCTTTTTATTTATTTTATATCTATTTATTAATTAATCAGTTTTCCGAATTTATTAAAATATTTTTTGCCATTTTATTCTAATTTGTTTAATATATAGAGAATTTTGTTACCAAACTAAGATTTATAGGATTATTTATATTTAATTAAGTCTATTCAATAAATCAACTCGTATCTTGTAACAATTTCTTAAATAAAGTACTAAACAGTTAGCTGAGTACAATAATAGAATAAAAATCTTTCAATATTAATAAAATTTTACAATATGCATTATTCTCTGTATTACATTCTGAATTAGTTAAGGACAATTGAAATACGTAAATTCATATAATCTGCATTTGTTTGAACGTACAATTAAAAACAAAGTTGTTGCAGTCTATATAATATTATTATAATATGTACGTTACGCTACGTTAACGCTATATAGTTATTACAATATGTAATTTGAATGTAAAATTCTGTATCTTCAGTACAGTAAAAGCATATTTATCCACATGTATGGATAATTAAAATTACAATTTTTAGCTTAAAAATAGATTATTTATATTTTTCAGTTTATTAATTAAATAACAGTATGTACCTTAAAAGCCATTAAAATTTTAAAGTCAAATGTAACAAGAATATTAATATTTAGGTGACGAAAATATTATAGACTTCCAAGATAAAATAGTAAAATATAATTGTATTTTATTCGTAAAAAAATCATCGATACGAATTTTAAATTAATTTAAATCTTGTTAAGATATTATGCTTAAGATTATCAAGAATCTGATAAATTTATATTTTATGGTTCAAAATTTAATAATACAATTACTATAAAGTATAACTATTTATTTATTCATTTAAACTATTTATTCCTTCCAGTAAATTTAATATTAAATGTAAAGTTTTCCATCACATTATTATTATTTTTTTTTAATAACTTTATTGTAAAATAATAATATTTTTATCGATAAGGGTCAAGGTTCTGTATTGGGTCAGCAAAGAACAGATATCACAGAAAAAATTACTGAGTCAGAAAAACTTATGAAAGAAATGTCACAAACCTGGGAAGAAAAACTTGTTAAAACCGAAAGATTACAGCACGAAAGACAACAAGCATTAGAAAAAATGGGAATTAGTGTTCAAGCTTCAGGAATACAAGTTCAAAAAAATAAATATTATTTGGTTAACCTTAATGATGATCCTAGTTTAAATGAGCTTTTAGTATATTATTTGAAGGTATGCATTTTTATTAATATTATAATAGTTGGTACAGTTAATTTTATTATTGTTTAGGAGAAAACGTTAGTTGGTGGTCGTTCATCAAAAATTGAACAAGATATTCAATTACATGGGCTTGGTATTTTACCAGAACATTGTATTATTACTATCGAAGAAAATGGACTTTATATGATACCACTTTTAAGTGCTAGATGTTTTGTAAACGGTACACAAGTGATTGAAAAAACGTTACTTCAGCATGGTGATAGGATTGTTTGGGGTAATCATCATTTTTTTCGAGTTAATTGTCCAAGAAGTACTCAGACACATACTACCGATCCTCAAACACCTGCTCCTAATATAGATTATAATTTTGCTCGAGAAGAATTAATGTTAAATGAATTATCTAATGATCCTATACAAAGAGCTATAGCAAGATTAGAAAAACAACATGAAGAAGATAAGCAGGTTAGTCAAAAGAAAATTTATTCTATAACATGAAAAAATTTTTAAATTATTTATAAAATGTAATGATGTCCAAGCACTATCATATTTTTAAATTCTTACAAAATTTATGAAAATTGATATTTACTATTATAGTTTTTTTTAAGAAGTAAAAATTACATTATGATTGTTAAACAAGTATGAATAATTTTGAAATATAAATTCATTTTACATTCAATATGATTTATAAAATTGTGATCGATTGGTTAACATCCTTATATAAATTTACATTCTTTTACACATATGTATATACATTATTCCAAACATTTTAGTAATAAATCTTAATTTTTTAATTTGTATTTACCATTTTACATTTTTTATGATTATTTATTACGAGTGTTTCTATTGTAACATATTCACTATTAAATATATATCCGACTAATCTGATATTAAAGTGAAAAATCAATTTAAGATTATAAATAATTGTAAATCTCTTAAGAAAATGTTTTTATCACGATCATGATTAATGTTGTAAATGATATATTTCAAAAATATATTAATAGTTTAAAAATAATATATACTGCCAAATATATAAAAATTTTACGTATATTTATAAATATGTTTCTGGGAAGTATTTATTTTTTTAGTAAAATTAGGGCTTAGTTATTATTCTATAAATTTTCACATGTTTATGAATACAAAATTATGTATTTGAAATTGACTGAAGTTTATAAGTCAATGGACTTATAAATATATAAAATAGCTTTCAAAAAATTTTTATTTAATAAACATATTAATACTTCATTTTGAAATACAGAATTAACAAAAATCACTCTTCTAGTTAAATTTTTACTCCATCGTTTATTATATTATATATTACTCTCTTCCCTTTATATAGTACTACCTATCACTTACATTTTATCACATTATTGCAATACAATAATTGAAATATTAATAAAGCTTATTAGTATAATAATAAAGGTTATATAATTAATAATATGGTAAAAGAAAAATAATACATGAAAATTATAAATATAATAAATTATATTACCATGTATTTCTATACATTTTGTTTTAATAAGTTTTGTATCCTGTTGCTCAAATAATTAAAATAATAAATTATTTTTTATAATTACTTTAATATTTAAATGTTAATATAACTATAAATGTATAATGAATTTAATTATTTTAAGGTCGCTTTAGAAAAACAAAGATTGGAATATGAAAGACAATTCCAACAGCTTAGAAATATTCTTTCACCTTCTACTCCGTACATGCCATATTTTCCGTGCGATTCAATTCGTGGAAATCAAGGAAGTAAAATATTACCTTGCACTCCTACAACACAAATGAGAGTAGAAAAATGGGCACATGAACGTGATGAAATGTTTAAACGTAGCCTTGGCCAATTAAAAGCAGACATTTTAAAAGCTAATGCTCTTGTTCAAGAGGCAAATTTTCTTGCAGAAGAAATGAATAAACAAACTAAATTTAGTGTTACATTACGGATTCCACCGAATAATCTTAGTCCAAATAGAAAAGTAAGTTTTTTTTTTTAATATCATAGTTATAAATTATTTATTTTCTAAATTATCACTATTTCTGAATAACCAGTTAACAAAACATTTTAAAAAAAAATTTCAAATTCCATTGTTTAGTTCTAATTATTTTCAATGTTTCTCAATTTTGTATTAAATAATTGGTTGAATGACTTACATATTTGATAATCGATAACATAATGGTTAAAAAAAACTCAAAACAACTCATATGAAATTACTTAAATAAAATTTTTCGTTCAAGCAATGCTTTTATAAAAGAACAATCAAAGAATAAATATAATATTAAAATTATTTTATTTTATCTTATAAAAAAATAAAATTGTATAATTTGAACAAATTGAATAATTTTCGTATACAATGATAAAAACATTTATGGCTAAATCAGACGTATATATAAACAATGTACATAGTGTTACATAAAAACTATTATTCAAATAATGTATTATATATTAACTGTATTTTACTCTCATATATAAGATTAATAAGATGAGAAGGCGGTTAATTTATAGCTAATAATTCGATTTTTCTGATAAATCCATAACAATTAAAATATGTTTCCGATGTTCCCTAATTCTTCATTATCATAAAAAATATATTACTAGTTAACAAATAGCCTTCTATAGAAATGATTAATTATTACATAATGCTTTAGATTTTATTTTTAAAAGTATATATTTTATAAATATATACTTTTAAAAATCTTACAAAAACATTTGTATTTATTAATTGAAAGAATTTGATAAATAGTTTTTAAAATAAATTTATTAAAGTTTAAATTTTTTAACGTCGTATGTCAAATGGTACAATATGCGATTTGTTTATATAATATTCATAGCGACATATAACAATTTATTACAGAGCAAATGAAATAACATATGGTATTTAAAGGCAATAAATAATTTCCTTCTTTGGGCGTTTATTGGCCATAATGGTTCTACTTTAATTTACATACTTTAATCTATCCATATTTATTTCTAATTACTTATTGAAAATTGGGCTTCAATTTTTTATTAGACAATCAACAAATTAAGAAATAATTTGAATAATCTATATATTTGCTAAACAAATTAAAACACATTGATTCCATTAAAATAGTTATCGAAAATTTTTTTCATATTTTAGTACATTATAAAGTACATAGAATTACCGTTGTTTTCTGCATTTATAGTAAAAATAATTTATAAATCAGGATAAAATAAAATAAACCACATTCGCTAAAAAGATTAATCATAATGTTTTTGACATAAATGAAGCATTTGAATAAGAATTCTATATGTATACATATAATATTATACGTTTCTAATACTCCTAGATTACAGTTTTCGAAGATTCAATTCATTGATTCGATTCAGTTTATATGTTTCTTAATATTAATGGATTAAATATCTTTTGTACAATAGTCCATATCATCTTATGATACATATATGTAATTATAAGTTTTTAACAGTAATTTATTTATATATTCTATACGATCAATACAGTTTCAGTACTAATTTCTGAATTTATATATATATATTTCATTTTTATAATTTAATTTTAAATTATTATTTGAATATAATGTCTTGAAAGAATTTATTGTATTTTTAATTTTAAAATAATGTAAAAAATTTTGTTTTAACTGATATATACATATAAAGTATTTTTTTTCAGCGTGGAGCTTTTGTCAGTGAACCAGCGATTCTTGTAAAAAGAGTAAATATGGGTAGTCAAGTATGGTCGATGGAAAAACTTGAAAATAAATTAGTAGATATGCGTGATATGTTTGAAGAACGAAAAGATTCGAACTGCTCCCGTTCAGCGATTAAGGTACAAATGTAATTTTAACGTATGATAAAATAATTTAATTTAAATACATAATAAATTAAATTATTTAAGTAAAATATATTATGATACAGGATGAAGGAATTGGTAAAATACAAGATCCTTTCTACGAATCTCAAGAAAGTCATAATTTGATAGGTGTAGCAAATGTATTCTTAGAAATTCTTTTTCACGATGTTAGACTTGATTATCATACACCAATTATTAGTCAGCAAGGTGAAGTTGCTGGTCGACTACAAATAGAAATAAGTCGTATATCAGGACAATTTCCACAAGATCGTATATGTGAAGCTACATCGGAGTCTTCTAGCGATTCAACTTCATCAGAAATAGAAGATTATTCAAGTACAAGACATATCGCATGTCGTGTAACAATTAAACAAGCTAGTGGATTACCACTTTCTCTTAGTCATTTTGTTTTCTGTCAATATATGTTCTGGGGTCATCCTGAACCAATAGTTGTCCCACCTATAATCAATACTGAATTTCCATTATTAAATTCCATCAATAATCAAAAAGATTCACTTGCGTTCAAATTTAACCATACTAACGATTTTACTGTACCAATAACCGAAGAATTTATGGAACATTGTTCTGGTAAGTTGAAAAATACTTCAAATAATTATTTATTATAATTGTTATTAATAAGTAATAAAAAAATTTGTTTTATTGTGAACAATTAGAAGGTGCTTTAAGTATAGAAGTTTGGGGTCATAGAAGTGCTGGTTTTTCTAAAAGTAAACCTGGTTGGGATGTAGAACAAAAGCAATTAGCTAAAGCACGATCGCTTGCTGATCGATGGTCAGAACTAACTAGAAAAATTGAACTGTGGGTAGAAATACAAGAACTTAATGAACAAGGCGAATATTCACCAGTAGAAGTATTAATGAAACCTGATATGTTAAGTGGTTAGTGCTAATAATTAGTTTAATGACATAATATTTTCATTATAAAGTAATTTTTTAGTAAACTAAAAATTGTTTTAGGTGGGATTTATCAATTACGCCAAGGGCAACAACGACGAATACAAGTACGAATAAAACCTGTGCAAAACTCTGGCACACTGCCAATTATTTGTCAGTCGATTATAAGTATTGCTGTAGGTAGTGTTGTCGGTAGAAGTCGACTTCAAACTCCTATGGATAGTTATCAGGACGAAGATCTACATGTGCTTCGAGAAAAATGGAGCGATGCTTTAATGCGAAGAAGACAATATTTAGATGAACAAATACAAAAAATTATTAATAAAAAAGGTAAAACTCGTTTCAATAGCTATAAAATTATTGAATATAAAAACTTTAACTAAATTAATTAATTTTAATACCAATAAATCAAATATTTTTTAAGTAAAATCTCAAAATTATATATTAATTTATTATCACAATTAACATATTTAGCTCGTAGACACAAAGTTTTTAATGTTTATTTTATTTTTATTTTTTTCGAAAAGAATGTTTATGTATAGAATTTCACGAATGTGTGTGTATCTAACGGATACTATACATGTCTTTTCAAGATATTACAAGATAAAATATATCAAATAATACAAGCAATTCATTTTATAAAAAATCTACAAAGAATTCCATAAGGTTTATGTAGAATACTTATAGGACTAACAAGTGACACAATAACAATGAATGCAATACAATCACATTTTTCTACCATAATAATTAAAATTAAATTTCATTTTAAACATGAATATACTATACTGACCAAAATATGTTCTATAATAAACTATAATAGTAAATGTAATATTAATTATTCAATAAAATATTAAGCAAATTAAGATAAATATATACTTTTTGTTCAATTATTAAATTAGTTATGACTTATACGTAATATTTTGAAAGATTATTTCTCAACAATAAAGTCATTTCAAGTTAGTAATTAAATAAAATATACTGACTCGAATTCATTATAATATATAGATTGAAGCATTCAAGTATTAACTTTAATATTTATACTACTAATCCCAATTAAAAATTTCTTCTTATATTTGAATGGCATTTAAATTATTGTTTAATAATGTCGCAAACAAACATTTAATATATCATATATACATTATTATGAATATTATTATACTTAAATACGATTTTATACATCATATATAAATTTAAATATACTTCTATAATATATTATTACACAATAAATGATTTTAATAAGAAATATATTGATGGAAATTTTTTCCAGATAAAACAGAGCAAGATCTTGAACGTGAACAGAGTTTAGTTGATCAATGGGTGTGTCTTACAGAAGAAAGAAATGCTGTTCTAGTGCCAGCAGCTGGATCTGGGTTTCCAGGAGCTCCTGCTGATTGGAATCCACCTCCTGGAATGGAACAACATGTTCCGGTATTGTTTCTTGATCTTAATGCTGATGATTTATCTACTCATCAATTGGGCGAAGAAGTAACAATTGCAGGACTAAATTCTATTTTACCTAAAGAACATGGTCATAAATTTTATAATTTACCCGTTATTAAACATTTGGATAAAGATGTATGTGCTATTGCTGCTTGGGACTCAAGTATACACGATGATATAAATTTAAATAAAATTACAGATGGTAAAAAAATATGATTTTATTTAATTTGTTTTAATTATATAGCAATTTAATATATATATATATATATACATTTAGCTAATGAAAGGGTGTACCTGATACTCAAATCAACCGTGCGTTTGTCTCATCCTGTTACTATGGATCTTGTATTAAGGAAAAGATTAGCTATTAATATTTATAAAAGACAGAGTATTACAAACAGAATATTAAAAAAAATTGTACGAATAGATTTAATTACACAAACTGGAGTTACATATGAAGTAGTTTCTAATATACCAAAAGCTAGTGAAGAATTGGAAGATCGAGAAAGTCTTGCACAGATTGCAGCTAGTGGAGAAGACTGCAGTTTATGTGATGGAGAAACATATATTGGTTCGTAAAATTTCCAAGAAATGTAATATATATATATATCTGTGTATAATACTAATATCTATGATGCTATATGTAAATCTTGTATTTTAAACTATTAAGATCATTTCTTGAGATATAATAAATAATTTGCAAATGTCACTTCATTGTTTATTATGGTTTTTTTTTTTAATATAAAATGGATAAGTTTGTGAATATATAATGGCAAATCAAATACATATTGGTTATAAAAATGAAATTTGTATAATTTAAAGGAAATATTAAACTTGAAAATATTTTAAAAAAATGCAGTGTACATTTTAAATATAAATAATGTACATAATGTTTTATGCAAATTATGTTCGTGAATTTTAAAAATATATTAAAAACAATTTTCTTTAAATTTTAATTTCAAAATACAACTAAATGTATGAATATAAATGTATAACTTAAACAATTAATGTGTTTGTTAATGTGCATATTTTTATACGCGCGCATATATATATATATATATATATATATATATAAATATAATAAAAAATAATTTACTATTATATCATCATGTGCAGCACACATATATATTAATTAAATTATCTTTAATTTTTAACAGAAAAATATACACGTGGTGTTTCCGCTGTTGATAATATTTTAACTTTGGATCGATTAAGACAAAATGTTGCAGTAAAAGAATTATTACAAGCACAGGGTCAGCCCTCAATAAGAAAAACTGCTAGCGTTCCTAATTTTTCACAGGTATTGCTTTATCGAAACTTGTAAGTGTTTAAATAATATTTAAATTTAAATATTAAAAGTAAAAAGATATATATTTGTTTCTGAAACGATATAAATAAGTAAATTTATTATGAGAATTAAATTAAGTAAATATTCAACTATGTATATATGTATAAGTACCTATATATTGTTTTGTTTCTTGTCCTTTAGATAATGCGATTCGATAGTTCAATAGACTCATTAAAAGTTACGCGTTCAGAAAGTGTCGCTGATCTAAACTCTGATTTGAATAATTTGCCTAATTATATCCATAGATCAAACATTAATCACTTAAGATCCGAAGAAAATTTTCTTGCATCTCAGCCTAAACCTCTTGGAATAGGTAAATATATAAATACAAAATAAAATTTCATTAAATAAATTTATCATAAATTTTATAAGAATGTAACGAAATATAAATATTTCTTACGAAAAACAGGATTTTATTTATCTAAGTTTATCGAAACACTCAATAATGTAGAACAGTTTGAGATTCTTATTTGTTTTGTATGACATAAAAAATTTAAAGTTATCTTTCTTTTAAAAATTTGTTTTCTTTCAATCTCAATTATTGCTTATTTCCTCAACCGATATTTATATTTTAGTTTATGCACTGTAATACGATTAGATACTGATTCCGTTTATCACCAATGTTTGTGCCATCTTCAACATGATATCATTTGTCTTGTTATCAGTACACAATCGTTTATAATCCACTATCTTAGAGACAGTTAATTAATTAATACTGCTGATAATAAATTATCTGTATATAATAGAAATTTTGGGGAAATACATATTTTTTTTAGAAATATCTTTTAAATTATTTCTTATTTATCTTGAAAAATCGAGTATCTATACATATTTACTTCAATTTCTTTACGATCCACGTATCGATGCATTACACTATTCAATTAGCAATTGCTGCCATTCGAGTGTAGTAAAATTTTCGTTATCACTTTTCAACTTATTTATATTAAAATTTAAGCAGGTCAGGAATATTTAAAAAGATAATGTGTACTAGAAATTTCACAACTAGAAAATACAAAAATGGCTAATACCTATAAATTTTAGTGTGATTGAATTCGTGGTATTTTTTCACATAATAGAAATAAGATAGATCGCAATATATTTATTGTACATATTAACTATTACCATTTACTGTATCATTATAACCCATTTCTTTATGGATGATAAATCTTAAATGCAATCTACTTTAACATATAAAAGTTGAATAAGAGCAATATTTATGTATTGCAGAACAATCATTAAATTAAGATAAATTATCCATATGATCGTTCAACAAACAAGCATCCTAAATAAATATTTCAATAATATAATGTTATAATTTCTACCTATTCAATCTATAACAATCAAAAGAAAAATTAATGACCTACATCTTGTAACTTTTAATAATTAAATTTTCTCAAACTTTTCAATAGTAACCAATCTAGTAAAAAATTAATATTGAAAAATATTTATTGTTTGTTAAAAAACTAATCTTGTTAAAATATTTATCAATTTTTTACACCTTTATAATTAAAAAAAAAAGACTTGCTATTTAAGACATACATTTTAAAGATCTAAACTTCTTAAAATTTAAAAACTATATAAAGTAGATTTTTATATGAAACAGACAAAATCAGTAATAAACAAAAATTATAAATAACTCAGAACATTATTTGTTACATACTAATGGTGATGAAACTATAGAAACTCTTATTATTTGTATACTTAAAATGAAATACTTAAAAAATAATATTAGTAACATAAAGAAATACTTCAAATCAATTTATTTCATCTGTAACATTATTATGTATTTACTTAAAATATTTGTAGCAATATAAGACTTAAATTGATGGTTTATTATTCTCGCATGATAAAAAGAATAGAAGTTCTAGTATGACACTATGATAAAAGAATACTATTTAATTACGTTTACAAATTTCAATATTAATTCACCATAATGGTAATATAATTTTGATTAATACTACTTTATATTTTAGTAAAAGAAATTTTTTACTTTATAGATAAATTTGTAAAAATATTAATATTGGACAAAATTCTATTGATCTAAGCATAAATATAAATTTAGTTATTAATAACAATATTATAACAAATAATGATATATGAGATCGTAATGAATATTCCCTTGTTTCAGCCAGACCAACATTTCTGAATCTGAATCTCAATCTCAACTCATTGGCTCGTTTACAACAGTCTACAAATGTGAAATGTATGTATATGTAATATGAACTTACTATTTTACAAATTAATTACTATTCGAATATTAAGTATTTTAAAATCTTCAAATTACAAAACTTTAAAAATAACATACTTTGATTATGAACATATTATGATAAACAGTATTTATCATTTAAATTTAACAAATATTTCAAATTAATGTTTAACTTATTTATGAAATACATAAATACCTGACTATTACTTTTAAATGCATGTAAAAATATTCATTAGACATAAGATATTTGATATATACATAAATTACTACATTCTTTTTATGCAAATTTCTTGAAATCTCTCTGGTTCGTAGCATGAAAAGCAAAGAAATGTCTAGAAAACCGCCCCTTAAAAAATATTTTTAATTTTATGTTTGAAAAATCAAATGTATAATTTAATGATAAAAATAAATTAATATTTCTTGTTTTTTAATCAATTCAATGCTAATTAAAAAAATAATACTTGGGATTAAATAATTAAAATCAAAATTAAATCTAGAATTTCAAAATATAATAAATATTAAGTATTTTATTTTTATAAAATTTCCAAAATATTTATTTTATTTTGGAAAAAATTCATTTATAATTTGACTTTATTATGTAATTTTTGTATGTTTATATTTTTTAAACTGTTACGGCAATTGTATGTATAATTTATTTATCCTTTTTTATTAATATATTTTTGTCATTTTTAAATTTTGCTTAAGAATTTGAAATTCTTGGGGTATGTGTAATGTACTTTTACATAATTTTAGTATCGCCAAATGTAGTAACTGGAAAAATAAGCTTAAGAATGAGTACTCTACACGAAGAAACGTCTAATATATCAAATAACTCACCTAGCAGTAATCAAAAAGATAAAAAAGAAGGTGACTGTTATAATTATGAATCTTATCAGGTAAGATTTATGTTTAGACTTCATTTACGTGTACATATGTGTGTAAGTTGTTGTTTTTTTGTATTTTTTTAATTTTTATATTGTGTAAAAATTTACAATTATTTATCCCATATATTAGGGAATATAATTGTAAACATTTATACCTTATAAATATAATTACCATTACTTTATAAAAAACAATTTAACTAAATTATGTAACAAAATTATTAAATTCAAATAAATCATCATACAAGTATGAAATAGTTTTGGTCATAAATTAATATTAGATAAAACTTTATTTATTGAATAAATTACAGATTTTGCAAAAATGTGTATTATTTTTATTTTATATAAATATGGACAACATTATTTAGATATTGATTTTAAGGTTAATTTTTTTTTTAGTAAATATATTTGATACAAGCAGTGCTATGATTTTATAAGAATTAAAAAATGGGTACTTTGGTCCTCATAGTACAATCTATCACTATCGGTAAAAGCTTAAATTCAGTCAAATTTCTCTTACAACTGGTGATGAGAGAATACAACTAACTTCTATATTACTAAATTTTATTTCTTTTAATTATATATACCCATACTTTTTTTGTAGAATATTTGTGTGAATGCACGTAAGCATTGCTTCAGACTACTACGACGATGTTATAATCTTTGCTATTATATTTTACACGAATGTAATATTAAATTTTGTTTGCTAAAAACTAAATCGAATTTTTCGTATGGTATATAATTAAACATAATGAAAAACAAGCAAATATTTATATTTAAAAAGAAAATGTTTATTTACACGAGATAATATTTGTTATAGTTGCATATGTTTAAATATTGTTAGGGAATTATAAGAGTTATAGTACATACAAAATAAATAAAACGCAGACATCATTCGTTTAATTTATAAATGGATATATTTATAAATTTGTTTTATTGATTATTATATTTATATACATGTAATATAAGTAATAATATTTATTTTTACTATAATATCAATACTTCAATATAAACAGTTACGATCAAACATTATTGTATAAATAGTATTAATTTTTTTAAAGTTATTTAAAATTAAGCTTTATATTAATTCCAATTTTTTAACTTTAATTGCATCATTAACTATTATACTGTTTAATTTTTGACAAATATTTTTAATGTAAATAATGTTTATAAAACTAAATAATATTTTCTATTTTTATGTTTTTAAATATAAATAATACTAATAATTTATGCATATTTATAATTATTATATAAATTATTAATGATATTTTGATTAAATAATTGAACTTCGTGAAAACAAATTTTCTAGAGGATATATATATTTATGGCTCATTAAAAATTATAATATTTATATAGATTAAAAATTAATAATTTAATCTTTCATTGAAATTGTATTCAACACATATTTTTATCATTAAGTTATAATCTTTGTTTATTTTTTCTACAATTGTTAAATCTTCTAAAATATGAAGTCTCGCGAGCAAGTTTAATTTCCATTAATGGTAAAAAAAACTACTAATAAAATATAAAAAAAGATGTAATTTCAGATACGATGACATCCTGAACATTAACGAATTATTTATAAATTTAAAAAAATTATATATAAAATAATTATAATTACAAAATTCCACATTTTTATGATGTAGTTGAAAGCTAATATTATTTTATTTTAAAAATATATAAAATTGTAATTAAGCTATTAAATATTTATAAAATTCAATCAATACAAAATAACAGAATGTTTACGTCATTTAAAAAACATGAAAGAAAATAGTAAATTATTAGTTTTTGAACGCAATGAAACGCAATGAAAAATATATTTTTTTAAATCCTCATGTATTTCATATCTAGTAAAGAATAGACGAGAATGATTTTTAAGTATTGAATTATATATTGTTATTTATTAGAATATTATTGTGTCTTGTTCTATTTATTATTTTTCTTTTAAGCAAATACTGAAGAAACTAATTTTCTTAACATCAGTACTAATGCTTTCCTTTATTATAATTTTGATACAAAAATTATATATTTTACTACAAAAACATATATCGACTTTCCTTTTTGTTAACGTAAATAACTATTTTTTAATCAACATAAAACACTATATAACTCTGATGCCATTTATTGAGGATTCAATCAATGTTTTTATTTAAACGGCAATCATTTGTAGTGTTTATGTAATCATAATTTAAGTAAAATCATTGAAAATATATTTATTGTTTATGTATAAATATTAATTTTTAGATTTCATCTATGCCAATGAAGTCATTAACTGCTTCACGAACTTTAGATTCACTCGTTGAATTACAATCAACAAAAATGAATACACCAAGTATGAGTAGCAGTGGCTATGGATCTCAAGCTGTATCTACAACTAACTTAACTTCTGATGATTGCATTTCGGTAAAATCAATTAGTGTAGATGAAACGCCAGATTTAGAATACAAATATCTAATGGATAGTAGAAAATGTGAAAAACAGGATACCTCTTTAATCGAAGAAACTTTTAAAGATTACTTACAAAATGCAAACTCAAATGCAGAAAGTATACTGATAACTCAAGATGCATGTTCAAAGAAGAATAATCAAAAAATCAATATTTCAGAATTTATAGAAAATTACAATATTAATTTACCAAAAATTGAAGCTACTAATAATCAAAATTTAGAATCAAGTTTCAAATTACAGGATAAATCATTTTTTGAATTAAACAATTATAAAAAATATCAAACAACATTTAGTCAGGTAACAAATTCAGTTGATGAGCATTCTTTTGACGATTCCTCATGTACTTTTAGTAAACATTCATCTGAAAAGGTATATAAGTCCATAAATATCAACTTCAACATTTAATTTATTTAAACCAATTAATATGTTGTTTTAGATTATTCGAAGAAAAAAATCATTACTTGGGACAACATATAGAAATTCTAATTCTCAATACAGAGCATCTTTTCCCATTATACGTTCACATGTATCAGATACAATAATGAATAATACTTCAGATACATTGATACAACGGTCTGCATCCTTTGAGAAAAATAGAACAAACTCTTTAGAAAGATTTAATGGTATGTATAATATGTAGATATGTGCTTCTTTAATTAAAGTACATAAATTTGCATACAAATTTATTTATATTTACTTTATTTTTAAATGATATAACAATAATCGGAACAACAGTTAATCAGGAATCTTTAACTATTATAAATTATCAAAATTGTAGGGTCGAGTTTTAAAAGCTACTTTTTCTCTACTTCAACATTCAATTACATTAATCAATTTCTTACTATAAATTATCCAGCTTATTAATTATTATTATGGTGTAATTATTTAGTAGTGTTCTTCTTGTCTAATAATCTAGTAATCTTTACGCATTAAAAACATTTGGCTAAAGTCTACGATATTCTTCAGTTTTTAATTTTGAATTCATAAATGGCTTGATTTCGAAATTTGAAATTGTAAGGAAACAGATTGTGGAATAAATCTATATTTTATAATGAATGAATACCATCAAAATAAAATTTAGCTTATTATAATTCCAACAATGGATTAAAATCAATGTTATCTGGAGCATGTGTAAATAAATAATCACAATAAATTTCAATATTTTTATTATAATTTACACTATTAATATATCAAGTTACGTAAAAAGAATAGTTTTAGATTTAATTAAATTATTTTATTTAAAAGGTAATAAATGTACAAAATTACGTAAATCAATCGATGCGTAAGGTATTTCGTTAACACGTAATGAAATTTGAGCTCTTAAACTTCATTACAAAATCAAGTAAATTAAAAAATATTCAAATAGCCTTTTCAATATTTTTGTTATCAATGTGTTTAATATTAAAATATGAAATATAAATTAAAATTATAAGATCATGTTATATCATTGAAATAAATTTGTTTCTTTAAAAAAAATTTTGTATACAATTATTTAGATATTTATATTTTTAACATTAGTCCAGCTCAAAGCTCAATATTTAATTATCTAGGTCAATTTAATTTGACTAATTAAACAATAAATTAATAAGATATCGTCAATATCTTTTTCTAAATTACATTGCTTCTTAAACATAATTATAGACACTATTGACCATTTTAAAAAATGATATATTAATACTACGAGCTATTGAATGGTAATATTCAAATTTAAAAGTGGAGAAAATTTATATAAATTTTACATTGTTTTTTTAAATAATTGTTAGTTATATTCCTTAAATTCTTTAAATGAAAACAATTTTTAATACGTTTTAAATTAGAAATTAAATAATTATTAATTTAAAACAATAAATTCTAAGCTTTCTGAATTTAGTAATACGTTTTATTGTATTTTGTTAATTTTATTTTTTTAATTATGTAAAAGATACAAAAGTTTTTATTTAATTTAGTAATTTAATAAAATTTAGTAATTTGATTATAAATTCATGATAAATAGTAATTTTTACATTTTTGTGAATTAATTTGAAAGTTGAAGTTGAAAGAATTAATTTAAGAGTATAGCATGTTTATTACATAATACGTAAAAATAAGATAAATTTTATTTTAATATCGCAAATTTAAATATAAATCTATTTAATAATTCATTAATTATACTTATAACAATAAATTATATTCCCATCGCATAATTATTATAATTGCAAATGCTAGAATTTACTTAGATTATAAATATGAATGCCATTCAAATTTAAACATACAGTAAAATTAAATAATATATATATATATGTGGGGGGGGGGTAATTTTAATTATTTATAATTATAGAAACTATAAGCGATCATATTTTATTGCAGACGATGTCAGCAACAAATGTTCAAATTTTGTCTTGAAATCTGATTTGATGAAAATTGAGATAGGCGAGTCAGTTTTAGTTAGACCGTATAGTTACTCTGGAGTTGTTGCGTATATTGGACCTACAGAATTTGCAACAGGTATTTGGATAGGAGTAGAGCTTGATACACCAACTGGTAATTTACTATAATTTATTATACAAATAATTTTTTGAATGATTTATTAAATTCTCATTAAAAAATATAAAATTTTGTAGGAAAAAATGATGGAACAATTAACGGTCGTCGATATTTTTCATGTCCTAATAAATGTGGAATATTCGTAAAAATTGATAAATTGATTCAAGATAGACGTGGTCGAACTTTAAGAAATTATACAAAACATGAAAATTTACCCTTGCCTTCTACAATAGTTCATAGAAGTACAAGTAAAGGTATATTAAATTTTTAATTTAATAAAATATTTGATATTTACAGATAAATATTTTATTTTAGGAGAAGATCTTCAGTCACTACATCGTAATCGACATCGTTGAGAAGACCTTCCAATCAATGGAATACGATTTATGTTTAAGATTAAGTAAAAATTATATAGATAATAGTTACCTTAATTCGATTTTAAAAATGTCTATTGTCATGTACTAACATTTTTAACAGTCCTTTAGCATTTAGAACAGTTATTAATTGTTCATGCATATAATTACAGTTGCAGGATTTTGAAGTTAATATAATATATATATCTTAGTGTTATACTTCGAAAAATAAAAAATGTGCTTATAAATCGATAAAGGGTAATGAAATATAGGGAAGAAATATGCCACAAAACACTTCGTATGCATTCTGTAATCTATTTTAGTTGAATGACAAATGAGTGAGTGCTTAGTTTGTTTATTGTAGGAATTAGTTTTCTTAATTTTTAAACTTTTCCTGTTTAGACAATCAAAATTTAATTTCTTCAAGTATATATTAGCAATATTTTAGAATTGTTGATTTTTAGTAATATCTAACATTCTTATAATACTACTAATATATAATTTACATGTATATTACAAAAACATTCCATTTAAAAATTTTGTTTTAAATTAATTTTTTTATATTGTATTTTTGAATCTTAGATATCATTATAAAATATTTATATTGTATTATTATTTTTGTATTAATTATTTGAACATGCAATAATAACAATTTTATCTTTTATTATTTAAATAAACTCTTTAAATTATTATTAGTGATATTACATTATGAAAGATTATATAATTACCATGTAATATAAGTAAATTATAGATATTGATATAAATTAGATATATTTTTATGAATATATGTATTGTACAATTATATTTTAAACTACTCTGTACCCGTTCTGTACACAAGGCCATAAGACAAATTGCATATTGCTTATTTTTGTTTATAATTATTTTATTATATGTTCACTTGATACTTATTCCAATACATATAAGTAATTTTTATTAACAGACATGTTTGTTTGACATATCAGTTTTTTTATTATAGTCTAAAAGACTAGATTTGTATATATTTTTATTTTTAGAGAATAATTCTATATTTAATATACTAAATTATTTGCTGTATATATATATATATATATATATATATATGTGTGTGTGTATATACTGCAAATGATTAAATAAATATTTATGAAAATGTTTTTTAATATGATATGACATTTGATTATAAAATTTAAATAGATTGTAGTATTAATTTTTTATATAATATCTTTTATATAAAAACAATATATTTTTAAAATTAGTATATTCAAAAATAAAATGTATAGTAAGCATATAACTTCAAATCTATAATCAATGTCAGTTTTTACATTACAACTTTCATTAAGTCTGAAATTTAGTTGTCAGTACAATTATTTTAAAATGTCAACAAATTATAGAATTTTACTCTAATTTTGATGCTGTAATTAATTCTGATTGTTATTTAACTTTTGAAAATACAAATGGATTTGAGAATTGTAATTCGATGATATTCTATATCAACATAACAATTTTAAAGTTATGTAAATTGCATTATTAAATTGTATATTACAATACATTGATAAAAAATTACATTTTCACTTATTCATATTTATAGCAGTATATTTAACTATATTTCTTTTTATTTGTATTTTCCTGCATTATCTTTTATCTACTTTTTCAAATACATAAATTATTTGTTTTGTTTTCAGTTATATAAAAAATATGGTGTTTTTACAATTTTCTAAATTACTGTTTGATAATCTTTTAGTATATAAAGTTATATGAATTTAACGTTTATAATAAAGTTAAATGAAATTTAAATAAAATTTAAGTAACTCTTATCTATAACTAATATATGCTGAATATACATTTTACAAGTTTATACATAAATAATTCATTACACTTTGATCAATTTTGTTTTAAGTATTAAAAGATTAAAAAAAAATATTATTTACATATATGAAATTAATAATAATTTAATTAAAATATGTAAAATATATTCATATTTTAAGCTATTTAAAATTTTATCAAATGTACATATTTTACTAAATTAAATATGATAGATCAATATTCAAAAATATATTAAATTTGTCATAGGATTTTCCATATTTACATGGTATTCATACTAATGTTATAATCGTTTACTTGTATTTTAATTATATATAATATATAATATTACATATTACCAGTGTATTAAATTATATTATTAATGTACATTAAATTTTTCGTCTATGTTACACATAATATATACTTTCAATTTCTATTGAAACTGTAAAATTAATTTATTGTTATAAAAAATGTAGTCTTAAAAATATAATTTTAATAATTGATTTTAAATTTCAATAAATTGTATTATCTTGTAAATCATTGACCTTCAATATACTTCCTTATTCGTTACTAATTTCTTAAAATGTGCAGTGATATTAACTCAAACTAGCATGTTACAAGGTCAGTTATACATTATAATATAAACAGAACTTAATTTTGGAAATAACATCCAGAAAGTAGCATAAAGAGAGAAACATTTGATTAAATTATCTATTGTACTTTGTTTATTATGATATAAATAATGAATATATTATAAAATAATCACAAAATATAAGTAAGTAAAATAACTGACTTTTTTATTATTGATCGATATTAAAAGATTATTTTCAATAGTTGTGTTTATATTTTTTATAAAATACCTGATAAATATTTTTAAATATCTTTAATTGAATCAATGAATCTTCAATATTTTAATTTAAAAAATATGTAAAAAAATCATTTTTTTCGTGTAACTGTTTGGTACCATATTACATAAATTTATCATAATTATCGTATTAAAGAATTAATAACCTTAAAAAAATTAAGTATCAAATAATTTTAGATATGTTCATGTCGAAAATTTATAAGTTATTATATTTATTATCATTAATTTTATATTTTATGATACATTCATTATAATCTTAATAAAAAATATTTTGTTACACATAATAGTTAAAACCATTTTTAAAGTCATTCTAGCACTAGCATAGGAAACCAACAAAATGAGAATACTTGGGAAAAAGATTCATATTTAAAAGTCCCTAAAATAAGTTTTATATGAGAAATGGAATCAACATTTAATTTTGTATATTATCTGGTGTTCTATGAATAAGGACAATAATCAAATTAATTAAATATCATTACACTCGATTAGTTAATTAATGTTATCAATTATAATAATAATTTTAGTAATAACAATGATTTAAAATTGTAAGGTATATGATGGCCATAATTTAAACATCTAGTGCATAATTCATATTATTATATTACATAATACTTATATTCATAAACATTTTTAATATATAGAATTCATGTATACATGAAAAATTCCAATATAAAATTATATATTTTTATATATATAATACACTTTCTAAGTATGTCCACCATAAAATTATTAATAAAATTAATAAAAACCTTATTAATACTTATTAACTTAAAACTTGTCAAAAAATATTTATATCTTCAAGTCTAAAATTTTATTGTAACTGGGTGTATTTGATCACAATGATCTCAAACTATTCAAAATAAAAAGGCAAATTGAACTTAATATTTCATTTCATAGAATCATTTGCTAAATTTATTGTAAAGTGACTAAATATTTTTTATTAAATTAATTAAACTAGCCTGCAGAATGTAAAAGTAAAATTAGGTAATAGAAATTGATCATTATTATTATAGATTACTATAGAAATTGATTATTACGTAAGAAAAGCTAAAAAACTATTAACCTTATCAGATTAGATTTAAATTAACATAGACAGTCCATATTCATATTCAATTTTCGAACTGAATAACCAATTGAAAATTATTGGTCACAAAATACTAAATTTGAAAGAAATTTTATTTTTTAAATATTTATTTTAATAGTTAACAAATTCCATTTGAAATAAGCAAACTAAGTTTACTTGCTTTTTCTACTAAAAATTCTACTAAAATAAATACTTTATTTTACAGAAATTAATATAGTTAATAATCTATGATAAATATAAAGTATGTCAAGAGATATAGTTGTGTAAGAATGTATCAATTATGGAAGTGGTTCATGCGTGGAGTGATACACAATTCTATCTCTCCTCTCAGCTCCTTTCGTGTTTGTGGTATATACCACTGAAAATATGGTCAAAAACTACTACTGTACAAGTCCGTCTTCTCATTGACACAGGCTGTGAACTTTCATTCGTCAACGAGAACTTCATCAGATAACTCAACATCCTTAGAAAACGTTCCATCATTTACATTCATTGAATTGGGGGAGCTTAAGTAACTCAGACAAAAGGTGTTGCTGTACAGGCTCATATTCTTAAGATATTAACATCGGTAATTCCTTCTTTCGAACCAACTTTACATGATTGGCTACACTTGAAAAACTTAACATTGGTCGATCCGAAATATCTTACACCTCGATCAGTAGACATTATTCTTGGAGTAGAAATGTATGGGCAGATCATTAAGCTCCACGTCATCACTCGTTGTCCATCCATGCCAATGACGCAACTATCCATTTTTGGATGGCTCCTGCTAGGATCTGTCAATTCGGAAGTTTTTGGTTTAGGAAGAAGTACAATAAGCGATGCTCACAAGTATATACTTGAAGAACAGCAGTGCGAGGAACACTTCAAGAGCACTCACTCACGTGATTAAACCAGGAAGCACATGGTTCGGATTTCTCTAAACACATCTAACAACCGCCTCGGCAATTCACTAAACACTGACCGTCGTTGCTTATAGAGCCTATTAAGAAAATTTTCGACAGACGAGGAATATCACCGCCAATATCAACAGTTCATGAAGGAATATGAGGATCTTGACCACACGACGAAGGAATTAGTGTCCAAGCATCAAATTCAATATTGTCTGCCACATCACGGTATGCTTAAACCAGATAGCATGACAACCAAATTAAGAGTGGTATTTAATAGCTCCAATACATCAACATCAGGTCTGTCAATCAACGACTTCATGCATGCTGGACCCAATCTGAATAAAAAAATATCTGACGTCTTAATTTGGATTAGAAGGCAAAGGCATTTGTTTGCCACCGACATAACAAAAATGTATAGGGAGGTAAAAATCCACAAAGATGATTGGGAACTTCAGACAACCCTGTAGATAGACGAACAACAGGCAAAAGTGCCATACCATTTGACAACAGTCACCTATGGAACAAAGGCTGCCACGTTTCTGGCAGTCAGAACATTACTGCAACTAGTGGAGGATAAGTAAACCAAATTTCTTCTTGCCGTTTCATCCATCGCCTATGGCAAATAGTTCGACGACATCTTCGGAAGTTCTCGACACCTCAGAACAGCTACTAATGTCGCACTCCAATTACGAGACCTCTGTATGGCGGGTCGTTTTCCGGTGGCAAAATGATATGTAACACATCCAGACGTTATCACCGTACTCAACGCGGATCAAAATAACACCTCAATCAAGTTCGACGATTGCCCTACCAAAATACTTGAATGTTAACATGGCCTTCGAAGCAAGACAAATTCACATTCACGACAGGAAAGAATTCGGTGGAAATTAATAATTTTACTAATAACTCATTTTATCTGATGTAGCTCAGATATTCATGCAAGAGCTGTGGTTACACATGCTCCAATGGGACGAGGCACTGCCATCGCAGATTTCATCATAATGGTTAATCATCAGAAAAGATCTCGTCAACTTGATCGAAATATCAATACCACGTTAACTCAATACTAAGATGACCTCATCCATAGAGCTACATGGGTTTTCTGATGCATCCCAATTAGCCATATCAACAGTCATATACATCTCCGTCCATGAATCAGATAGCATTATGACCTCCTTGGTCTGCTCTAAAACTAAGGTGGTGCTCCTCAAATCATTATACCAAGTTTGGAACTAGTTGCATCATTACTCCTATCAAAACTAATGCATTACATCTGTAACACATCTGTGGACAGAGTCACGGGTAACACACACATGGATAATATCCCATCCATCAAGATGGAAGGAATTTGTGAAACCAGGACTTCAATCATTTAGCATCTCACTCCAGATGCTGCCTGGAGATATGTTCCTGGCACATCGAACCCAGTGGATCACGCCTCACGAGGCACAAATGCATCCCAACTTCAAGAACATTCATACAATGGTACTTGTTCGAGAATGCGAGAACGTTTTCTTGCTACGACTTCCCACGGTCGCTGGACATTCGAAATGGTCAATACATCTGGAAAACTCAAGCTTATTTATTCTTGCTTATCTAAAAACGTGCTCATGCCTTTCCTGTGCAGTAAAAACTAATATGTTGTGTACTGTTAAGAAGACGTAGATTCTGATAGAGTATCAGATATACGTAAAAGTACCGATTACTTACAGTTCCTAAAATTCGCTGCAACCCAAAACCCCGCACGTGCGCACACGGCTTTTTAAGACAATGCTTGCTTTGTTCTTAACTATGCCGCATCTAGTCGATCGCAATGGAAGATCGACCACGCCGAATAGGACCCTTCGTCTACCCAAGTCCCAGAGAAGGGAGAGGCTACCAAAGAGAGGTGACCAAGAGTAAAACCTCCCCACTTTCCCGATTAGTATATTCGGGACTGAGCCCGGATGGAAATGGAAATGAAGGCGTGCATAATCCATTGTGCTGCCCAAGGTCAACCTCTGATTGGATAATTAAAAGAAGAAGGAATCCCAAGTGGAATTGGGTCAGTGAACTATTTAAGACGGGCAATGTAATGTACCACCACTTATTCTTATTCTTACTCATTCTTCTTACTCTTCTCTTGATTGAATTGGATAAGTCACGACTTACTCTCACGGAGGAGGACCACAGACAAAGTCGTTCAGCTGAGTCTAGTAAAAGTTCTTTCTACGACTGTGAATCAATATATATTCAACATTGATCTCATCAAGATTAGATTGCATAGGATAGGCCTTTGTAATCTCACTTGGAGACAAGGAAGGAACTTAAGAGCTACAATTATTGAAAGGGAACTTCACATCAAGCCAACGAAGAGAGACTGGAAAATTCACGATCCACTGCAAGTAAGTCCTTACCGCTAGTATTGTGGAAGAATCACGCTACATTGCAAGTAAGTCATTACTGCTAGTACCGATTTTATATCTCTCGGGTTTACTCTGAAAACGGACGGCTGAAGTCCGATTAGTGAAGATTCCTAAACATAGTCTAAAAAAAAGACCAGCAATAGACGCCACACTGTGGCTTTTCATTTCCTCCAACAAACAGCTATTCGCGCCACGCTGTAACGGCACATCGTCAACAACGATCAGTTGTTGACGCCACAGGTGGCCCACAGCATCGCATAAACTCTAATCTTAGGTTCTTACAGGACTCATTGTTTAGAGGCAACTGCACACGTGTTAGGTCAAAACATAATAAAATTGTAGTGTTCGTTCAGGGCACTACAAGGATCATAACCTGAGAAAGTGATAATATTCAATAGATTATAACATATTTCTTTTTACAGTAAATCATAATCTCACCGGTATATGCAGAGAATAAGAAATTGATTATCCTCTAGTTCTCCAATAAAGGGATATATCTCAAGCCAGAAGAGTATTAAGAAATATAAGGGTCATTTGTAATTTCATCATGGTTAATGATTCCAACTTGGAATTAAAGTAAAATAAATGGAATAAACAGCAATAATAAAGATATGTTGATAATTATTGAATCGGTTCATTAACCCTTTACTTGCCCAACAATCCCACACAACATCAGGTGGTTTTTTTGTTCTAAGTTGATTTTGCACTTTTGGCTGACGAGTCAGATCTGCGGAATTATTTTTTGAACAGGTAGCATGTACTACATGTCCACATAGCAGGTTGTAAATCTATGGATCCTTTTGATGTAATGCGATTGGTGGTGGGTTACTATACTGAGAAGTGAGAGGTCGTAAATTTTGTTATACCTCTTAGTGTTGTGCTACTTGGTGGTGTCTTGTTGCGAGGCTTTTCTTGATGTATTGTGGAGTGGTCTGGTTCAACCAATGGCTTCATATTATACATACAAACGATTCACAGCTCTTCGAGGAATTACTAACACATTGTATTCGGATTGTGGTACGACCTACATAGGGGCTGATACAGTGCTGAAAAGACTATTCGCTCAAGGTACCCTCGAACATCAACAGATAGTAAATATGCTCTCACAAGAAATTTGTATAAACAGTAAAAAAACAGTGATGGATTGGCAATCTTTGCTTATCTAATTCATTGCATTTTTTTACTGTTAGATTCCTAGAAGCTGAGTACAAATTAGATTCTACTTATACTTCTATTTATGCATTGAGTGACAATTTCTTATTGGGCCCTTCTATATTTTTCTATATTCATCTAAAGACAGACATGCTGAAAATGTAAATAAGAATAAATACTTAAATTTCCAATACATAATTGGATACAAATATGAATTTCCGTAAACCAATGCTTAATTATTGTTAAAAAATGTTTATTTTCAGGATTCAAAATAGAATAATCCTGAAAAAAACTTATAATTTGATATTTTATACTAAAAACTAATATACAATATTAAATGGTTTGAATTAATCAGTAATATATATTTTAATTATCAGAATTTAACATTTGTCAATGTTATTCTCCTATGGTATTTGATGTTTATATCTTATAATTTTAAGGTATAAATTTTATAATCTTATAACATTAGAAATAGTACTTTTAGCAGTATGAGATCAAATGCAATGATATGAAAATAATAGTTTAATGTTTAAATTAAAAATGTAATAATAATGCATAAATTGCAATTTGTATTATTTATATAATTTTTTAGGCATTTAATAAGCGATGTTTTGACTTTTATTATAACTTTATTACGGAATTTCCTCATTCCTCGGAAGTAAAATAAATTAAGATACTTATAATTTTGTATGCCTGGCTTTTTGTTAATACACGTACTTGTTCTACAGAAATTTGTATACGAAATTTTACTTTTACTAATTAATAGAAATAGCCTTTTTTAATAAATGATAAGTATATTTAATGTAATAAGATTTAAAAGATATCAATTTTCTTATCGATAATGTTAAAGATGAAGTAATAAAATTAAATAATACAACAAAATATTTAAGTCAGATGAAATTTGGCAAAATCCTGATTTCATACAATATTTATTTAGTAGATTTGTTAGATAGCAATAATTAAATATTTTCTACAACTAAAGTGATGTGCCTTAAAAAGTAAGAAGTCCGTAAGTCATATTTTATATAGATCATATTTTATATGGATTTATATAAATTTTTATAAACACGTGTATAAATTATATTTTATTTGTATAATGTTAATAATTACCGTTTTTTAAATGTATTAATTACAATATAAATTATAATATATTTACTTCTTCTGAGTGCATGTGTGTAAGATGTAATATTAGTAATATAAAATCCGAACTCAACTAATAAAATAAAATATAATTATAATTATCTATTTATTGGAAATCTTGTAATTTAAAATAGATTAATTAAAATATTTTTAAATCAAATAACACACAAATAATAATAATAATATTCAAAGATACTTATACAAAATATATACACGAAAGTAACAAATATATTATATTTATGTGATTTTAATTTAATTCAAATAAAAAATAATTCGAGAATATTAATTAAAATATGATCTTAAAAATTAATTCAAAACGTGTTTTTATTATATTACATAATGTATTATTAAACAATATGGTTTCAAATAATAAAAATAATCAATATATAAATATTGATTATTGTAGATATATAATATATAATAATATACTATGCATATAGACATAGAATTATATTAATATACATTGTATTTTGATTATTAAAAGTATATTAGTAATACTGCATAAAATATTAACTTTATGTTATAGTTTATATATTTCTAAAATAATTAATACAATATTTTATTATAAATTTTAAATGAAATATTTGACACATTGATTCAATGACATTTAAATTGAATTTTGTTTGAAAGACTATTTTTTATGCTTGTTAGAACATTATATAAAACTTCATATTAAAATTCGTGCATTTGTAGAAGCTAAGAAGCTTAAATAGTTATTTCGCATACTTTAAATTTGTTATCTTTAGTTTCGTTTGTACGAATTGAACGTGGGAAGAGTTAAAATATACTCCACTTAATGCACTCCCAGGATTGTGAATTACTGGGCACCTATAGATATACAGATGCGTGTGCGTGTGCGCGCGCGTATATCAGAAAATGAACAATTTTGTTAAATAGTATATTCATTATGAGAAATATTATTTCATAACATTTTATTTGTGATAATAGGTAACTAAAATAACATTATTAATTTGAAATAATAATTATTGTATATTACAGTTTTATTATTAAAAGTGCACAATTTTATCAATGATAAATAACCTTTATTGCAATATTCAAAAACAAGAACGAAAAACATTCATATACTTTGTAATCATTCCCTAATTATAACAAAGTATATTTAATTTCACGTATAATTTATTTGTGATATAATAGCTAAACTGATATATTAAATAAATTCGTAATTAATTGTGATATAAATGATATGGTAAATTATTAAAATTATGTTTTACATTTTATATTCATCTTTTCATAATATGTAAAAGATAACAATACATAATTAGGTAAAACTAAGTTCACAATATATGCATTATTTACATTTTGTATAGTAGACTCAAACAATTTACAAAAATAAAAGTGAAATCATTTAAAAATATTTTATTAAATTAGTAAAAATGGTATTCAACTATATAGAAGTCATATTTGATATACTTTGAATAACTTTCTAACAAAAATTGGTTTATAATTCTAAATTCTATGTTACATAAGCTATTATAGAAAATTATATGGAAAAATATTTCCATATAAATTTGTTTTATAAATTTGTTTTCTAAATTTACTTTATATACAATTTATTATATTTTAATTTACTTTAATTTATAAAATAAATTAATAAAAGTTTTGATTTTTTAATATATATTTATTTGTATAAAATATTTTAACGAATGTATGGAAAATATATGAAATATAATAAAATTATCCTTGTAATTAAGTAAGGAATTATTATTATATGATATGTATAAAATATACATTAAAAATAAATAAATCTATATTGAAAGTTATTAAATAGTTAAGTTAAATACATTTATTTGATCGAAAAGAATTTAAATAAATAATTTCATATAAACCAATAGTGATACATTATTAATAAATCAAGCAAAATTTTATAATTAAATTTATTTATATTTCTACATACAGTATTTGTTACTCGATATATCTGGATCATTAAAAGTATTTAATAAAATATTTAAATGCATATTGGAATATATTCTTATAAAATAAAGATAATAGTAATTAATAATATTATAATAACTGGAGCTAATATTATTTAGTTTTACAAAAAACAATGATAGAGGTGAAATTTATATTAAATTGATATTAAATTACAAAATGAAAATAAACTTGCGTTTTTTTATAGTATTCTAAATAAGTAACGATAAGTTAGTTCATTAAGAAACGTTATAAGGAATGTAATCCATATTACATATAAATATATATAAATACATATAAAGAAATAAATATTAATTAGTATAAATTATATATAATATGCAAATAACATAAATAATTTGTTTTATATATATAAACAAAAAGCGATTGTAGTTAACAATAGTTAACAAACAAACAACAGTAAAGGAACAAAATGCAAAATTATAAACGGTTTATAATGTAATCACATCACCCTATTTTTCAGTAGTACTAGTTATTGCTTGTTACTTTTAGATTAAATAGTTATCATTTGATGACATCAATATAACTTCAATCAATTATTAATGTTTAAGAGACTTTTAAAAATATTTATTAAGCATTCCAATTAATATATAAAAAAATAGTGTCCAACCAATAAACATTTAGTATTCAATTTGAAGCTCTATTAAAAAAGAATAGTTGTAAAATTGAAAATGCAACTTATTTTTCAATATATAATACTTTTCTTTAATTTTAATATTACTTATTTTTACTAATACCTGCATAATTAATTTTTTAATATAATATTATTGTATTAAGTTATACTCCATTTATTAATAAATATAATATTAACTAATTTAAAGATTAAGCTGTAATATTAATTGAAAGTTCTTTTAAATACAATTATTATTTATTACCATTCATTTAAATAAATTAATTTTAAATTTCAGAATGTATGAAATATGTCTTTCTCAAACAAAAATTCAGTTAAGGTTACAAAAAAACTTGATCATTTAAACCCAATTAACCAAATACTATTTGAATCAAATATATTGGAAGTCGATTTAGTTCCTGATCGAGATATGTTTGAGTCCATTCAAAGAGAATATTTTGATGTAGTAGGAAAATTTGATATATGTGGACTTGAGCTAAGCAAAATACCTAAATCATTTAACTCAAATGATATAACTGAACATTGCAAACATTTAATACAACAGCATTATATTGTATCAAAGAAAGTCTTGTTACTTGTTTTACAAAAACAGTCAAAATGTAAAGAAATATTTGATAAAATTGTAGAAATAGAAAAATATTTAACAAATACTGTCAAAATATGTAAAATGTGCAGAAATGATTTAAATTTAGCCACTCATCAATTTATATCTTCAAGTTTACACATTTTATATCATTTTAGAAAACAAAAAATTCTTGAAAGCATATTAAATGTGCTATACAGTATTAAAACATTGGTAAGTATTTATAATGAAACAGTTTTATTCAATTGTTTTATTTGAAATTTGTTTAATCATAAAACTTATTAATTTAAAATACATTATATATAGTATCAAACAAAAGACAGACTTCAACAATTTCTTAATGAAGAAAATTATCCAAAAGTAATTTCATTAATATCAGAATGTCAAAAAGCTGCTATAACTTACAACAAGTATCACTGTGTTATTTCCTTGTATAGTAATTTAAGTGATATTCTTGAGCAAGTTGAAGAAAATCTAGATTTATCATTGTCTAAAATTTGCACCAATTTTGATATTAATAATTATTCGTCTATTCAAGTTGCATATAATTTTTTGGGTAAATCACAAACAGCAATGGACCAATTACATATGCATTTTACTGCTGCAGTTCATAATACAGCTTTTAATTCAATTCTTAAATATTCCCAAGAAAATGAAAAAAAACAGTATAATTACATATGCAACTCTATTTCATTATCTAATTTTTTACCTTGTTTGATAGAGCTTTGTAGATCATTATTAGTTATTTTACAGTCTTATTATCTTATTGTAAATTGGCATAATAAAAAATGTATTCAAGCTAATGGAAATAAACAAATGATAATAAATTATGAACAACAATATATTTTAGATAAACTTAGAAATGGTATTATAAAAGTGTTTAATGAAGTAGAAAATAAAATAACAGTATATCTTGATGGATTTGATTTAATTCCACTTAAATTTGAAGAGTTTATAGAAGCTCTGGGTATAATTGATAGGTATTGGAATGTTTTTTTAAATATACAAAACTTTAGTAACAATATAATATATTTGTATATTTTAGGGTGTCAGCAATAGGAAATAAAATTTTTGAAAGGAATATGACAAAATTATATATTTGTATCAAAGACAAATTTATAAATTATTTCAATTTTTATCATACTTCTAGATTAGATGAATTAAAAATATTTTTAGAAAATGATGGATGGAAATTATGTCCTGTTAAATCTAATTTTAATATTACACAACTATTAGAATTTAAAACATTTAAATATATTTTCAATTCATCCGAAGGTAATAAAAATATACTTGAAAATTTAATGGAATATACAAATTATGAAACAAATGTATGGACTCAAGATTTTATTAATGGTATTGCATTACCTTTTAATGTAATTATGGATGAATCTACAAAAGAAGATTTTCTTCAAACTACGGGAGTAAGTTAATTTATTTAAAATAAACTAGGTTTCAGTTATAATTATACAACTAAAAATGATCATGCATCAAATATGAGAATATGACATCTTACATCACTACATATATGCTAAAGATTTCATCTAGTCAAATATTTTCTTCAATTTTATTATTTTTTACTCAATTGATCTAATTAATCCTATAGTTATCACTTTTAAGAACTAGTTTAGTAACTCAATCATATAGAAAAATTGGTGTGTGTATGCTTTAAAATGTTTCATACTTTTTTATAGAAGTAGATGATAAATTTGTACAGTATTATAAATTATCAAAAGAGAAAATCTTAGTGATACCTTAAATATTTTACTATTATTACATTCTTATACATTAAAATATGTATCTTACAATAATTTAATCTACAAAACAAATTCTCGGTAGAAATTAAAAAATATTAATGAAATTATAAAAATATTTTTGACAATTTTTTTTTTAATCTGGATGTTTTTATTCATCATTTTACAACGAATAATATCAAAATTTCAACAAAATTCTATAATTTACATTTTCTTATTCAGTTTACATAATTAATAATTAAAAAATCTTTTAATTTAATAACAAATATGTTCATTATGGACAATAATATTAAGCATTGTATTTTCTCACCTTAAATAGTATTTGAAGAATAAAAATATTTGTTCAAGAAAACTAGAAATCTATTAATTAAGAAAATATTTCATATATCTTCAAATATCTTAATAAGAATAGTCTACTATGTGGATTGTATATTATTACAAAAATTTAAAAACTTGATAGATTCTTAATACCATCGCGATTTTTGTATTTAAAAGTAAAAATTTTTATTTTATTTTAGTATAAATATAAGGTTAAATATATATTTAATTGTTGAATATAATTTAATGAATATTTTATTATTTTTAAATGCGTATATTCTATAATCTATAAAAAAAATGTTTCAATGAAAAAGCTTTTATAATTATATGATTTTTTCTATATAAGTAATTTTATTTAAAATTAGTAATAAATTGTAAATATAAATTTCATACATTATAAATATATTATTATATAGAATAGTACCCAATTTTATCAATAAAATTTGTAATACTAATAATTGTTTGAAAAAGATATGAAAGGATAATTTGATATGAAATTAATAAAAATAATATTTGTTCCTTTTAATTAACAAATTGAAATAAAAATTATTAAAAATTTTGTTATAAATTCAATATAAATTTAATTATTGTTTTATTTGTTAATATTTATTTGTAGCTTTTCATTTTATAAATCTACAATAAAAGAAACGATTATTTTAAATTCCAATAGATTGAACAAAACTATATACCTAATACAGAATACTATAAACAAATTAGAGATCAATGAAACAGGAATTGCTGCGTTGCAATACATTATATAATATAATTATGAGATACGAATTACAAATAATAATTTAATGATCTAAAAATTTTGATTAAGATGATGCAAGTAATAGATTGGATTAATGCAAATAATATTGTAATTTAATTGGAATAATTGATCAAATATATTATCAAGTTATATATTTTTCAATTCAAATGTCTTGTATTTATTATTTATTATCCACTTTATTTAAAATAATAATTCTAATAATTAATATAAGGAATAACATTTAAAATACAATAGAAATCACATGTATTTATCTATGTTTGCAAGATAGTAATTAATTATATCACTTTTAAAAGTATAATTAAAAGGAATTCTTAAGATTTACCTATTCCTTTAAATGATAATATAATTTATAATAAATTTATAATTAATTTATAATTATTCACTGTTAAATTTACTAAAAAATGGTAAATTATAATTGCTTTGAAATTGAATATTTTTTGTTAAATGTCTATGATAAGTAAATATTTATGAAATATAATATCAGGTTTAAATTAATTTTAATGTAAAATAAAATTAAATAACGTAAAAGTTCTTGAACATTTTATTTTCAAAACATATCTATGATTTAAAAATATGTACATATAGTATTATTAGAATAAATTTTGTATTTTTCGTATAATCATTATTTCAGGATTGTCCTTTAAAAGATTTGTTCGAATATTCAGATGATGACGAGATCCCTGAGGAATTAAAGTATGATTTTGTAGATGAAATAAATAAGGAAAGTACTATAAAAAAAAAAAGGAAACATATTGGTCCTATTATAACCAATACAACATTGAGTGTTCTTAGAATTTGTGGAAAATATTTACAAGTTACAAGACTTTTTAAAGATGAAACTAAAATCGTTATTCAATATATGATTCAAATGTTTGAGTTGTATTTATATGCAGTGTATAGTTTTTTTGCTACTGACCTTGTAAGTACATTTTAGATATAATTAATAATTTTGTGTATAAAATATTAAATTTTCACTAATGATTTATATTATATATATTATATAATAACGTATTATATTATGTTGAATATATAATGAAAGTACAGATATAGATAATAAAACGGTTAAAAAGAACATATTTAATTTTTATATAATTCAATATAAAATGTTCTTATATTAATTAATATACTCATATTTTCAAAATTTACCTAATTTTTAAAAAAATATTTACCTTTCGTTTAAATGTTTTATGTTCTATGTTTCAGAGTATAGGTGTTTTTAATATTTATCTTTCTGTTATTATTTAGAATTTAATAAATACATTGAAATAAACAATTTATTTAAAATATATTAATCTCATTCATGTTATGAACTTTAAAGAAATGAACTAATAATAAGAAATTCCACATGAATACAATTATTGATATAAAATAAGATATAAGTAAGCACAGTATTATGGTAGGAATAAAAGGTAAAGCAAATTCAAAGTAGATGATTTAGTAAAGAAAAAAATATCAATTACTATAAATATTGTGTATATTAAAAATATATCACTAAATAGAACATAATTTTGTAACCAAAGTATAAAGATAACTAAAAAATAAATTAATTATTTTAAAAATATGTCACGTAGAAATTAATGCTAAATAAATAAAAAAAGATAAATCATGTGAATAATTAAAAAAATTAGAATAACCATAGAAAACAAGAGCAAAATATACAAATGAAATTAGAGAAATATATTGAAAAAAATATAGATTATTAACACTTATATACTTTATGCAAAAAGTAAAAATCGAAAGGTTATAAAGATTAAAGCTAATTAAAAAAATAGAGAATATTAAAAATTTCTAAAATTGTGAGTTTCGGAAACGTGGGAAAAAAAACAGAAGAAAAAATAAATGTAGCTATGTCATAACAAGAAGAACGCAATAATAAGATATTCAATAAACAATATATTTAAAGTATTGAACAAAGGATGAAAAATAAGTTTTATACTAGAAACATTTAAAAAAATTAAAAATAAACGTTACCTTATTAATAAATATTTATCAGTTGCTAGTTAAAATATAGGTAACATAATAAATAATAACATAATAATAAAAAAATTTTATTTCTTATTTTTTCACTATATTTAGTGTAAATATTTTTTATATTTTTCATTTTTAAAATATTCAATTTTGTTAATTTTTTTACATATTTTAAATAGCTATAAATAAAATAATTATAATATTTTAATAATTGATATGAATTAAGTCAATGCATTTGATTTATTATAATTTAATAAATAACTGTAATTATTTTAATGCATTACAATTAATAATATACATAACGAGGTTTTTATAATGATATGCTAATATTCTTATATTAGTTTAATTATAATTGAATTATTATATAATGTAATTAAAAAATATTTAAAAATACTAATCAATATTAAGGCAGGTGCATTATATTATTTTATTTAACATTTAAAATTGTGTATATAATTTTTAATTTATCTAATATAATATTACTGTATAATACATTCTAACATTGTGTGTATTTCTACAGCAAGTAAGCAGCGATTTTGGTGCAATGTACGGTACTAACTTAAAACGAACGATTTCACGTATAAAAGATAGTTTAATTATTGATACTACAGATATTTCAAGCGATGTGTTTTCTGATCGAAAAATTCATCAACCATATTTGTCATCTATCATTGATTTGAATGATTCGAGTAAACTATTTTGTATGCTCGAACGGTTTGTCGCAGTAGAATCTTTAATATTTTTAGGGCAACAATATGAATCCTTTAAATTTTATTTGGATTCTATTATATTTCATAAAGAAGATCAAAGATATTTAAATCAATTTTATCTTCAGACTGTTACATCAACTACAGCATTAAGAAAACCTGTTTACATGGCAGCAATTTCTAAAGCTTTTGATGTGTCCAATATTTTAATTTTAATGAATAAAGTAGATTGGGAACTGAAGGATGTTATATCTCAACATAGTGAATATATTGATTATACCATACAAGTGAAAATCCTTTATACATAATTTATAGTATGAAATAATTTTTAACTTATCTAAAAAATTTTATCATTTATAGGAGATTGTTTCGATTAAAACAAAATTTTTGGAAATTCAGAATCATGTACCTTTATCTAAAGATGTTTATCAATCATTATGGGAAAGTATAGCTCATTTGATTACTCATACATTTGTTGAAGGGTAAGTATTGATATTAACACTATGAAAAGCATTTTATTATTTTTTTTTGTAATACCTATAGATTTTCTAATGCTAAGAAGTGTTCAAATGGCGGTAGAGCTCTAATGCAACTTGATTTTACCCAATTAATTTCAAAATTTGAAACGATAACCTCATTAAGGCCTATGCCTTATCAAGAATATGTAGCATCATATATTAAGGCATATTATTTACCAGAATCCGGTATGGAGGCATGGATAAAAACACATACCGTAAGTGACATCTATTTGACATTTACATTGATCAATTTTTATGAAATAATTAATAAAACAAAAATAAAAATATTTATCAGCAGTGTTTTCAAGAGATAAATGAATTAATACATGTATTGCAATTAATAACTAGCATTTAATAATTATAATAAGTGTTTTGTACCAAGTTATTTTAGGTGTCCAATAACAGATTTTATTCTTCGTAAATTCAGTTGTTTTTTTTTTAACTACATACAAACACGTATTATGAATGTAATTCACGTACAATTTAAATACGATTTGATTTCATTAAAGACCAAATACGAAGTGCAGACTCAAGTTAAGACGTTCGATTAAGTCTTTGTCTATAGATTGATTGTTAATTCGTTAAACTTAATTGGGATTTCTTAGAAAAAATAATGTGAATATTTAGAATTTATTATCACGTAATAAATATAAAATTGATATTTCACATAGATATGATTTTGTGAACACTACACAGTGATCAATAATTTTAATATTGGATTTAAGTAATACCAATAATTCTATCAAAAGATCGAAGAATTATAATTAATTACTAATTATTATCTGAATTGAGTAAGAAGAATGTCTATTTTGCAGTAACGTAGGGGATAGTAAATAATTACCTAATCATATCTTATCGTACATTGTGATTATACATATGTAGTATTCGTATATTATTATGATTATAATATAATTAACTGGATTTGACATATTCCAGAGTTATATCATATCTACATTGAAGGAAATTTTAAAGATCAATAGATTTGTATTAAACATAGATTAATATACGCGCCCTCATGCACAAACACACACATAAAATACATATATACTGAAATCGTATATTTCATAAAAGTCTGCTGTCTAATATTTTATCTATACTGTTTTATACATTTATACATCCTGAGAGTTGAACGTAAATATATATATATGCAACGTAAGTTAAACAACCGAATGGATTATCTGCTGAATTATATTATTATCAATACATATTCTGCTTCTGCGCTCGTATGAAGTCTACTAGAAGCTTGATAATAATCGACATGTTTATGCCAGACCAGTTTCCAACCAAAAATTCGAAATTATAGCTATTAATGATTATGCAATACAAGCTTTAGTCATATGTTGTAATACACAGTATAATATCCGTTTCGTTAAGAAATTATAATTTAATAATGATGCAGTTTTTTTGTACTACATTGTTAGATAATTTTTTTTTTTAAATAAATTAATTCAAATAAAATTTTTATGAAAAAAAGCTTAATGAAAAACCGCCATAATTTAAAAAAACTACTTTGAGCTTTTTTAGATTTAATTTAGAAGTTCTATTTGTTCATATCTATTTTTTTTCCTATAAATCATTACTTTAGTGTATTCTGCATGTAAGATTGTAATATGTATTTTGATATATATCGAAAAGTTCACCGAAAGAATATTGTCATTACCATGTATTAGCATATATATATATATATTTATCATATTTAAATTTATTCTAATTTTTATTAAACTTTTATTTCAGGAGTATTCTGCTAAACATGTTATTGGATTAATCTCATGTATGTATCAAAATAGAAAAGTAAAACAAAGATTATTGACCTTTATTGAAGATCAACGCCTTACTAGATAATGTGCCTATCCAACGATTCATTAACAAAGGAAAACGATATAATTTCAAATGATTTTTATATTCAATATAATATAATGTTTATAATAGTTTCAGAATTTTAATATAATTTTTAATTGTAATTTATTAATTTTTGTACATAGATTTTTTAAATTTCTAACTTGTATAAATTCTCTGATAAATCTTTTAAATCAATTTCAAATATAACAATGCGTATTTATTTTTATTATTTTTGCTTTATTCATTTATTTGATATTTTGAAATTAAAATAAAATAATACAATAATCTCTTTAAGTTTGTAACTGCTACAATTTATTCAATGATTATTCTTAGCAGTCATTTTCAAGTCATGTTTTCTGTTATATTCAGACCATGATCTCCACCAAAATATATCTGACTGTATAATTAGTTTATTCAATTATTCTATCAATAATTAAAGTTATTTATGTAATAATCATTTATAGTTAATAATACAATTTTATAATTTATACAAATTTAATGTTTGTTAGAATTTTAAATATTTCTTTCACTTAATTTTATCCAGTTAATAAATCAACACCTAGGATCAAAAATAAATATAGACTGAAATCTTACATGTTGCAAAATGATCTAAATATAAAACAAAATTATTAAATTATTTTTATTAATTTTTATATCTGTTTTAGCTTTTTAAATAATTAGTCATTCAGATTAAGTTTAAAAAATAACAGTTTATATGTAATTTTGCAACTTTACATTTTAATGCTTTAATAATTACAGTATTTATAAATTATAATCAAGTAATAATTTTAATACAAATAATGTATGATAGTTAATTAGTTATTATCATTAATGAAAGTACATTCTAACAAAGATTTTAGAAGTACAAGACTGACTATACATTCCACATTTATAACCCATTTTTTAAAAATTGTTTTGATGTAAATTACTTATTTTATAACATATTTAATTAATAGAATGTTACATATTTATAGTATTGTCATAAAAGCATTATATGTTTTTAAACTAGTCAAAACATTTATATTTTGTATTATTTATATTGAATATGATTACAATCTTGATGCCTATATTTTTTCCTGCTTAGCCAAGATGAAAAATGAATGAGGCTTCATTAAGTTAAAGATATTTTTTAATAAAAATATTAGTGTTAATATATAACAATATTTTTAAAACCATTTTTTCTAAACAGTTGCATAATATGTGCAAATAAAATGGAGTATGTTACACTTATGCAATATTATTAATCTTACTAAAAATAGAAAGTGATTAAATGCTTAGAATACTTAATTGGAATTTACCGAATTAAAAAACACAGTATTTATAAATGGAATATTTTATTTATAATTATATAACTATAACTGAATAGTGATATACTACTATTTTCCATATTTACAGATATTTTGATGAAATTTTTCTAAATAAATTGTTTGGAAACAAAAGTAAATTAGCTGTACAGTAATTATTATCATTGAGAATGATTAAAATGATCTTTAAAAAGTATAAAAACCATTATTTTAATAAATGTGTTGATATATATGTATCTTCTGTAAACATACACTTATAAAGTAAACAAGTGTTGTCTTATAAAGATGAATTCTTTTTAGAAACTGGTGGCAAAAGTTTTTCTACTTTTTGTCGAAATTCTAGAACAGAAATGATTCCAGACATTTTCCAAATACCATAAAATAAAATACTACAAGTTGTAATAGAATAAAAGGTACCCCATCCCAGTGCCCTTAATGCTAATTCCATTCCTGTATCATTATACTTGTTATTTACTGTTGAAGATTTCATAAATAATTTTGGACTTTTTTTCTTCAAAGTCGATAATGCACTGCCAAACCCACTAAGCAGAAAGATTCCTGCTATTCCAGTAAGATAAACTGCACCTGAAAAATATGCAATGAGAACATTGATAAAAGAAAATGAGTAAATAAATATTATATTAAAAAATTAAAATGAGTTATCAATTTAATTTAAAAAATTTCTTTCTAACTTATGTAAAAATAATATCTAAAATTCTATGATAAATTTTTCAAAATGAATTTATTTTAAATTTTTATATTAAATTAGAGATTGATAATATGATTAATTTATATTTAGAAATTATTATTTTTTGAAGTATGAACATTCTTATGATGAACAAAAATTCTTTTTTAATTTAAATTATGGTTGAATTTCAATATTTGAACCTCATCAATATATTATTAGCAAAATATAATTGACGATGAAATAAATACAATTAGTTAAGTTGCATTGAAAGTATTTTATTTATTGATATGTAAATTATTCATAAATTTGGTATATATAATATTAGGATACACTGGAAGACTAGGATGCATATTTAAAAACCTTATGTATCCTAATTATTGAGTATACTATTATCCAGCATATAAATAAAAAAATTAAAAAATATTTTTGATCACAATTTTTATTTATATATTAGTTTTAAGTAATTCAATAAATATATATTTTAATTAATACTTTTATAATATTATGATAAAATTATCAATTCAAATTTATATAATAATTTATCATATTTATTCTATCAAATATAGAAATATAATTTATAAATATAATGATTAAACAATGATTTTATAACATTTAACAATGAAATCTAAAGACTTATATCAATTTAGTATTATATATAAAATTGAACCATTGAATAAAATCATAGTCAACAGTTTTTAAACAAATAATATAATCAAACTATTGATATAAATTATATAATACTCTAGAAATAGAATATTATTTCCTATTGTGATACAAAAATAAAACTATATACAGTTCTGGAAGATTACACCATATTATATATAATTATAAATTAAAAACGAACCTTTTAATTTTGTATTTATATCTCTGTTATATCCATTTTTTATTGTAGCTCTATCTGCAGGATTTTCACAAGTATCGATTACCATTGTATATTGTAATTATCAAGCTTATTTAATTGACATAAAATCAGTTTTTAGATTTATTTTTTTATTAATTACTTTATATTATGGCGTACAAAAATAAGTTTGCCCTCATCTTAGGCATGCTTAATACAAGATAGACTTCAATTTAGCTCTTTTAAATACGTAACATTTCAATATGTCGCATTATTTAAACAATTACAAATGATACTAGTACATTATTTGAAGAAAAATAAATTTTGCATTATTTCTAAGTTTATTAATATACAAAATATTTTTAATATTTAATGATTAAATCTAAAAAAAACTAATATTCTCTAAAAATAATTATTAGTTCTATGTAATTGTTTTAATATTTTTCCATAAACATGGAACTCATTAATATCATTATTTTTAGTTAAATATAATTTAAACTGTACTTTATATTATAACATGTACAACAAAGTTTTTCATGTTATATCTGTACTACGTACATTCAATACACCAATAAGAATTGATATACTTAAAATTTGTTTATTCCAAAATAAAAGTATATCAAATATCTAAATAAATATAAATATAAAAATATAAAACAGGTAATATAAATATAATATAAATATTACAAATAAACAACATAAATATAAAATAAGAAATATAAATATAAAATAAATATTATCAATAAACAATATATATATCTATATTTACGTACATATTTATAATCAATTTATCTATCTAAATGTAATTACTATCGCATGCGCAATAGCGTATTATGTTTGCTGATATAATAGGATTGACAAACATTTCAATATATTTGAATAAGGATTATAACTACTTCTCAATAATTAGATAATTCTTTTTTTTAAAAAAACTAAAACAATTACTTCAAAATGTTTTTACCTATATTATTATTTTATAAATATAACAATATTTAAGTATTCTTGCAAATACTTTAAAATTAAATTTGTCAGATTGTCATATGTTTCACTACTAGTACCTGTCACATCCTGTATGAACTTTGAATATTTGAATGTATATCAATTGTTATAGTACAGCTGGAATAATTATTCATTGTGGACTGATAATTTTTATTCAATTCATATACATCTGTTACCTTTTTAAACCAAATTAATAAGTAACTCATAAAGTATTGTTATCTTTAGCAGAAACTTTATAAATCTCAATGTTATTCAGAAAACTTTCAACTTTTATATCTTAAATCATTTCAAATTATACTACAATTTTTCAGTCTCTGTTACGATGAGGTTATTATAGAAAATCATTAGGCAATACATTTTTAACGAATCTATCCAAAAAAGATAATATTTTTAAAAATGTTTATAAAATATTTTGAAACTGTTAAAGATAGGATTATTTCAAGGAAATAAAGATACAATTAATACGATAATATTTTTAGTTATAGGTATTATTTCTATAAATATTGACCGAATGAACGTATTATTGAAACACTAGATAAGCATATGTTTGTTCACATTGAAATTTTATATTGTTTTTTTTATTTTATATACTATTTGTTTAGTCTAAAGTTTAATATTTATCTAGATTTTCTATTCATTACATACATTTTTTCATAATATTACATTGAAAATGAAAAAGGTAGAACAAGGAATCCCCTAACGAGAAACACTATTTTTAACACTTTGAAAATGTTGTTACTTATTTATTATCATGTATTAAATGTATGACTTTATTTTACCAACCGATGCTAATAGTAAATAGCTACAGTAATTCCTTCGCAAAAATTAAAGAAGAAAAAATACTTTATAATAAAATGTATAAAATACTTTATAATAAGATTTATCATATATTCAAATAATTACTAAAAATAGTTAACTAATATGGTTGTTTGATAAGTTAGTCTATTAAATAATATTAATAAGAATATGAGATGAAATATAAAGAAAGAATTAAGAATATATTCTCTAATAGCATTTAAAAGTAAAGGAAAGTTCTCAGAGCCTTAGGTAATTTTATTTATAATTTATGGTATATAGATTTGCTTTTAGAATTACTATAAATAAGTTGTGCAAAAACAAATAAATAAATAAAGACAGTAATTGTTAAAATGTTCCTTATAATAAATCAATTAAACTACAATTTATATTAGCAGATTTAAGTAACACAAATATAAAACGAGAAAACTTCCAAATAATCCACGTTAGTATAATTTACGATATTACAGTATGATATAATATCAGTTTATATATAATATTAATTTACATGCATAATATAATGATATATTATAATATTAATTATAAAAAGAAAAATATTTTCATTGAATCTCCTTTTACAGATGTCAAAAAATTTGAATTTAGCGCTGTTTAAAAAAATAGATATACTTACGTTTATTTTTCGACGTTCCTTTAATTTCTGACAGAAATGTAAACCTTAATAAACCTTCGACCAGTGTCATTTACCTAATATTAATTTATTGTACTAACATCTGATTATAATATGAACTTACAGGAATATAAGTTTACAAAGATGATTTCCGTACCAATGACATTTTATATTTAAATAAATTTGAATTTTTGTTTATAGCTTTTATTATTGACGTAAATATAATTATGAGAATTTTAAGCAGATTATGTGAAAGGTATTCAAATTAGAAATAAATTTATGACAGTTATGTGAAAGACGATAATAAATTTATGTTTGCAATTCTTAGCCTTGATAATTTAAAATTTTGTTTTTCCATGCTTCAGTTTTATGCATGAATTACGTACGCTAAAAATACTTAAAATTGTGATATTAATTTTATATTATTTGAATTTTTAAATTTAGCTTATAATTGAATAAATTGTAATATGATTTAAGCAACAGTTATTTAAAAAGATTTTCGTGATTATATATCAGTCATTTCATTTAATTCAGAAAAATATATCATTGATAATACTATCATATTTTAATTTACTATTAATTGTTTCTTACAACTACATGAAATTTAATAAATCTACAATAAAAACAACATTTGTAATTTGAACAATTTATTAGTTAATCAATTACTTATGATTTATATATTTACCAAATATAATATATTTTTTTAGTATTATATTGTTTATATTATTCTTATATAGAATTAAATAATTCATTAGCTGAAAGTATATAAAATAAAATTATATTCAAAGAATATAAACTTGATCAATCATTTTTTTAATTGTCATTATCAATGTAATATTAAATTAAAAAATTTCCTTTATATTTAACTTAAAATTTATAATATTTTTTATGGTTCGTATTATAAAATTAGGTAAGTTATATTTTTCAATTTGTTTATTCAATGTTTACATTTATAATGAAAAAGTTTTTGCTTTTTAGATTTAAACATTTTTATGCAATTTACAATAACTTTATGATAAAGTATTATCCAAAAGATTATTTTCAATTGAAATTTTTTAAATTCTATTTACATTTATAAAGTTATTGCTTTTACTAGTCATTAATTTTTAAAATAAAATCTTTAATAAACAATTTTAATATTTATTTTTATGTACAATTTAAATTAAATAATGATATTAGATTAATATTTAATATGCTCTTATTACGCATATTACCAAATTATTTTAGGTAAATTTTATGTATTTATTAGTATATTAATTATAATCTCTTGGGTAATAATAAAAAATTACTTTTTTTTTTAATTTTTATTGGATAAACTAAATCTAGACATTTAATAATGTAAGAAATCATTTTCTTTTGTACAAATATATATATTTAATGTAGTCTTGAATGATAGAAACATTCATTATTATTTTATTGTTGAAGCAACTATATTTACAAAATGTTGAAGTTCATAATATACTTTTATCAAATATGAATAAATATATGTAGTATGATATTTTACTTGTTATATGATAAAAAATTTTTTATATCAATGTACTTATTCACAAGTATGAGTTGTAATTTCATAAAAAAAAGTATAAGTTGACATATTAATTTTAATAAAAAAATAATATATTATGTGTTGCAAATACTTTAAATTAATGAAATTTAGTATTAATAAAGTTATTCTGATAAAGTAATTATGATCCGATAGTATGCATCTTATTAATTCTAATTAATAGGGATTCTAATTTAATAAATTTAAATAATGAAATTCGATATTTGATGTGTATGTATACATATAAATATAATTTATGAAATGAAGTATTCTATGTATGGTTACGTAAAATTTTATTTTTTTCAAAAAACATTACCTATATTATATTGCTTTTATTAGGCAGTTTATAATAATTTTAATGTAGTAACAATTTTTTTAGTAGTATATTTTATGAAAAAAATTATTCCTGCTAAATTACAATAAACTGCTTAATTTTGGGAATCTCTTGAAGCATATTTTATTAATATTTTTATTGATATATTTTTATTCTTCATGTCAATAATGTATTTAAATAAATATGTTCTTAATTTATTCAAATTATTAATTTACTAATATGCATGCGCTAATATGTGTGCATATATTATACATGTACAAAATAAATGTTTAAATGTATAAATATACTATTTTAAAAACTATATTTTTAACACTAGCAATATAAATACTTATATAGTATAATATAAATGAAACAAACAATTAAATATATAAATATGTAAATGTAAATTAAATTTTTTTAGAAGATTATAAATGTAGTATTAATATTGGTTTTTAATAAAAAATAAAATAATATTTAATAACTACATATTATATTTCAAATGAAAAAATTTAATTTGTAAAATGCATTGTTTAATTAAATATTTAATTACATTGTTTAAAATTAATTTATAATGGGTAAAAATTGAGTTAAAGAAGTTATACTTTTGTTTATCTCACAAACAATACATCTGTACTTTCTAAAGAACTAAAACTTCATGTTATAATTTAAAAATAAAGTCATCCCATGGTTTGTAATATATTTCATGTTTGTGTTTAAATATATAAATAAAAAAAGTACTAATTCAGTAACAACTAAGATATTTTTTATTTTATAAGTTCCATATATTAGTTATATAGTAATAATATATTCTGTATAGTTGTTCTTCATAACTATTTTTATTTATAAATATTTTATTTATGAATAGAAAATTTTGAGAAAATAACAATATTTGTCTTCAAATTTTCATATACATAAATATATAATATTTCTATCCAATTTTTAATTTTACAATTGTATAAATTATTATATAAGTTGTAAATTGTTTCGTAAATTAGACATGTCAACAGTAAAACATATTCTAGAAACTGAACTTATACATAAATTATATCGCTGACTTAGTAAATAACATTGATAGATAGAATGCTGCTTTTTAAAAATATTTTTAAATTATTAAAATTATGCCATTATTTTAAGTAAAAAATTTAACAAAAGTTTATTTAATTTATTATTAATTTTATTTTTAATTACAGAATTATTGAACGGAATTAAAATATTTTAATATTGTAAATATTTATAATTATTTGGTATCGATTTAATTAACTAAAAGTTTTTTATTTAAACATACACAATATTGTGATTATGTTTATTACAATAATGTGAAAATAAACGTTAAAGGTTAAATATTAGTCTTAATATAATAGTTATTACGGTATTTCTTTTTACAATTAATTAACATAAATTATATAATATTATTCTATGATAAATTACATTGAAATATAAACATCATAATAAAAGTTAGTATAAAAAAATGATAAGCTTTTATAGTATTAATAATTTACACTATTTATTTGAAAGTAACAGTGCTACTTTTATACAAATCTGTGTACTACATATTTGTCTGCATTCTGAATAATACTTAAATCAAGAAATTTATTATTTTATATATGCCATATTTATTGAAAATTTTAACAAATAGATTCAGCAACAATTAGAATTAGTATATAATTTTAGAATTTTCATATTGAGAAATTAAAAGCTAAATATCATTATCCTAAATAATAGTAAGATATTAATTTACGTTTAAATAAAATGTTTTATGTCTCAAATGAAATTGGTAATTTAAATGACTATCGATTATTTTTTTGAGTTATAATTTAACCTAATCTAACATGATTTACCCAAGTTCTAATATTTTACTATATATTTTAATTTTTTAAATCAAATCTTTATCCAATTAAGATAACTTTGATTTTGCAAATTATGCAATAGTACATCAATATTTTCAAATAAATTATCATTAAACAAAATAAAAAATAAAATTTTAAATTAATCTAATAAAACTAGAATAAGAAGTTTATGCTGCAGTATGCAGAAATGCTTTATATATAACACGATTGAAAGTTTTCTCATTAATTTAAATATAAAATTCAACTCTTAAACTAAGTAAGTTTTAAATTCTATAGTATATTTCATCATATAATGAACACTAATTATTTTTCAATCAAAATTACTTTGGATTTTCACCATTTTACACAAAATTAAAATTTAGTAAAATACTTAGTAATTAATCTAATGTTTTGTTAGATAATTCTGGTATATGTGGTCTTGATAAAAATTATTAAAAAAATATATTAAAGTACTAAACTCATTTATGCTAATATTGACATAAAATATTTAAATATTTTTAATATAAATTATTTTAAATGAATATGTAACTTTTGGTTATTCAAATCTAGATTAATTTATCTAATTTTCACTTGCATCTAGATAAAAAATATCGACAGTTGTTTATATTATTGAGTTTAATTACAATGAATATAATTCATAAATAAAAAAAGTATGGTTGAAATTCATGTGTATATATTACAGATTTTTTTAATTATGTGATTTAGGTACACTATTCGGATTCAAATCAATTCTCTCACCTTCAAAATATTGATAATATATGATTTTTATTTGTTTATATTATAATTAATAATATAAAATAATAGTTATTAAACGGTTTAAAAACGTTATTTTAATAATTTAGATATTTAAATTTTACGTATTACGATGTGATCACTTTATGATTTTATTATAATAAGTACAAATTTCATTTTTTGTAAATTTTGTTTTTTTTTATTATTGAACATGTTCAGTCTTTTAAAAAAATATTCATGATTATCATTAATCCAGTATGGATTTAATAATTGCATAAAAAATATTTTTTGTCTTTCCCATCTGATTAAATCCAAATTCTTATAATAAATAAAATAATTTTTTGATATTATATTGCATATTTTTAATATAATAATTATTATAAAATTTATAATATTTAATCAATTTATATATATTAATATTTATTCAATGAAATTAGTTTGGTAATTAAATTGCACATTTACTATTTTTTTAAAAATTTTTTATAATAAACAGATCGTCTGATTTTAAAATATATAAATAAAATATAAATATTGTTTTAAAATATATTTTTCTGATTCATATGTTTCTTGATATATATTACGTTGTAATTCATAATTATTTGTAAATAAACATTATTTTGTCCTCAGTCTGTTATACAGTAAATTAATGTCAGTCTCTTTGTAATAAAAGATTATAATTTTTAAATTATAATAAGAAAATATAATTAAATATAATTCAAATAATTTCATATTTAGTGATTAAAGTGACTACCCAACATTTGTGATTTCAGAAATTTGTTAAAAAATATAGGAAATAAATCGCTATATTATATAAAAACATTGGGTGTGCTAGAAATTTTACAAAACGTCGATAAAACACATCCACATTTTATATGAATACTATTTGTAAGTAAAACTTTTACTTGATGTTGGGTTGTTACATCATTATCGATCGTAAGTTTTTGCAACTATTACTAACTAGTATTTTTATAAAAACCTACATATACAACAAAATAAAATAATTGATGAAAAGGCTAAAGCAGATATTGAAGTAATTGCAAAGATGGCTTTCATTATTTTATAATTATATATCTTATATTTTATTTAATTATTTGAAAATATGGTATTGGAGATAGTTATTTTAAAAATGAAGAAATTAATGGCAGTAATAATATTATAATATTAATAGCAATTATAATTAAAAAAAAGTTTTAATAAAATTCGAAATATAAAATTTTAATCGTGCACATTTGAATGTGGATCATTTATAATATCAAATAATAGATAAAACTTGTGTTTAGGAGAAGATAATTTAAATTATTATAAATCACCGTATAATTTTATAATGATAATTGCATAATTGATGACGCTATACAACAGTGGATAAAAGTAGTTAGTAATTCCAATAATTTTTTTTATAATAAACAAAATTAATGTGCTTTACATAATTTATTGTTTTATTTAATAATTCTTTCTCATAACACATAATATTGAATTAGCTTTGTTTTATTTCATACCAAATATGAATGTAACTTGAAACAAATTTATAGATATTATAATCAACATCATTGAAGTATAATTAACATATATTATTTAAAATTCTATTTAAAATTAGACGATATAATATTTTCAGTGATAATAAAATTGCAAAAGATTTTATACGTATTAATTATTTAGTATTTTAATTAAATTCTTATTTTACTAAAACTATTTAAAATAAAGAAATTATTTACATATCTTTCAACAAACTATTTCTAGATGTTTAAATATTTTATAGATCTTTCTAATTCAATATTTGAATATAATTATTTTATTTTAATAATTTTGTAAAAAAACATTTTATTGAAGATTATAACAAATTATTTATTAAATCATATTATGTGATTAGTTTCTTATATAAAGTTGTTTGACATATAGGATGTAATATTTTTAACTAATATACAGACAAACTTTTTTAGTCAAATACTATTTTATTATTTCTTTACTGTAATTTAATTATCATCAAATTTCAGCTTTTTATTATAAAAGTAGTATAAACAATTAAAATGTATATTTATCACCCTATCTGTTTTGTATTTATCATAAATTATAGCAATATATTTATATTAATAGTTAGAAAGTATGTATTGAAAAAATAGTATAACTGAACGGAATCTACACCTTATTGAATTCGTACCAAATATTGTACTAGTTGAGCTATTGATAATTTTTCTCTTTTTTTAGTATTATTAATATAATTTTTTTCTATATTTAGTAATATTTGTAATACTATTATTTATACTATCTATAATGTTTTTCGTCCATGCAATTTCGATAATGAACACAGCGCATAAACTATTCTTAAAATATTACGGTATTTATAAATGCAAATTTATCATGATTTTATAATTATCATTTGAATAAAGATGAAGTAAATATAATTACAGTTTAGACTTTATCCATTACCAGCTACATAATAAATAATTCATAGAATTATTGTTAAAAAATAAATGTTGTTTGTTTTTTTCGTATCACAGTAGTGAAAACGAACTAGATTTATATGCAATGAATTATCTTTTTTAAAGCTTTTAATTATGTGAATCATTAATGTCCAATATATTGAAAAATCTACAATTTATAAAATACTTAATCACTAATATGAAGTGTATTATTTTTTTCATTAATTCAATTTTATTATTTCAAAGATTTATATATAATAGTATCGTCTATATTTTAAATCTAGGATTATTTAAGATAAATTAATTAAAAAAAATTTATTTTAGAGTTTTCAATTTATAAAATTATTCTCTAAGAAATATTTATAATAATAATTATTATATATCACAGTATATAAGGTATTATATGTTTAGTACTATAAATGTATCTTCTAATACAATATATTATATATGCAGTAATTAAAATCGCTTATAAACAGAAAATATAAGTATAACATTTAATATTACATATTAAACAAATATATGTAATGTGACCTAACCTATCAAAGGAATACGACAAATTTAGGAGTTTTACTACGATATGTTAAAAAAAATTTATTGGTACATTTGTAATTGTATACGAATACTGTTTAATTGTAAAAATTTCAATTTTTTTAATGACGATAAATAATTTTATATTTACAGATTCATCATAAATAAAAATGCACTTATATTTGAAATATATTATTAAAAACTATTACTGTTATAAATAACTTACATAGATAAATAATATGTGATGAAGGATAATGTAATATGAAGTTTATAAACCAAAATATCCTATACTAAATAAAATAGTTAATAATTATTATTAATATTAACCAGGAAATAGCTTTACACCTAAAAGATCTGTTATTAACTTCAAAAGGTATTCATAATTCAAGTATATGATTTCATTTTTAAATTAGTTTTACTATAAAAAATTATTAATATAATATTTAAATGTTATTTTAATTTTAAATTTATTCTCCTAAAAATATTCATTATAATTAATAATATAATAATGCTTAGTTTTACTTATTTAATTAATTTTATTGTGCATAATGATAATATAGAATCCAAGATTTAATTAAAAACAAATATTTGCAAGGAGATAATTCGTAGTGTCTCACGTAATAGTAACACAACAGATTCTTAAAATTACGGCAAATTAAAAGTAATTAAAACCTAGTAGTTCCAATCATAATTTATTAATAAGAGAATAAAAGAATTATTTTTGCAAAACACGCTTATCTTTATTTTATACCTTTTCTCTACACCCGTATTGTTTACTTACAAATATTACGAGATTAATATTAATATTCACATTTATGTTTTATTTATATATTCTATTTATATTCCTATTCTTATCATACATCTTTATCTGTATTCATTTGAAATTTTTAAGAGAATACATATGGAACACTTGAGAATATTAGAAAACTTCAAATATAAATTATAAAATATTTTAAAAAGCAATTGTGTGATTTTAACTTTTGTAGAACGAACCTTTATTTGCAATTTATGAAAATATATCGGCTGGATTAACTTAATCAATGTATATTCTTCTTTATTGCATGAACTAATTAATTATTAATGATTGGCTTAAAATTTTCTTTAAAATAATGATTGATTTGTATTGAATCACTTGTACAATTATAGTGTTGTTTAAATTTAGCAATGCTGTTTACGTGAACCTATACCATCTTTTAAAACAAATATTATATATTGTCATTTATATGCTGCAATACATATTATAAAGTATTATCACTATTTATAGTAGAGTATATAGAAAATTTACTTTTACATGGGCTTTAATGTATTCCACTGTAATGTAGACATTTCTGTGTTTAATTTTATTCTCTTCGGGTACTATTTCATTTTTTATGTCGTATTTAAATTTTATTTAGAGATATTCGTTTTTATATTCTTATCTCTTATAATTCTTTTTATTAACTTTTCCATTTCATTTTTTATTCAATTATTTCCATTGTATCTTTTTAGGTTTTTAATTATCCCTTAACCACAATCTTCTTATATTTTTTTATTGACCATACATTTTGCGCAATTTTAACTCGGTGTACCTATTTTCATTATCGTGTATTTTTACACAATTTCGCAGACCATTATTTCAATGAAAGCTCGAATATTGTAATATATATTTATATATTAAAATAATTTAAAAATTATATATTATTGAAATCTCAATTTAATGTAATAGAAATAAAAATAAAAGCCCAAAATAACTGTTAATTAACATAAGTAATTATTTTATATAAACTGACTTATTAAAATTATATGAGAACTAGTATTACTAATCTAGTAGAACAAAAAAAATTACTCAAAAGAAAGCTAAATGAGAAAACTAAACCATTAATAAAACATACATCCCACATTTCAATTTTTAAAAAAGTATTTTTGTTTGAATGTCAATTTGATCAAATTTAAGATATATTAAATACTATTAGAAGACCTTTACATAATTACCCAGCACATCTCATTTTGATATAATGCTAAGAGATGAGGCACGATGATAACAAAATTTAAAATAAATATGATTAGGTAACTACCAGATTATCGGATTTTATCTTAAATCTATGTCAATTTTGATTACTGTATAATTATTAAAGTGCAAATATTAAATAAAATTGTTAAACCAATTTTATCTATGTGAGAACTAGAAGTTTGTTCAATTCATATTTTCTTTTCATACTGATGTAGATAACTTGTCTATAACAGGATAATATTAAACATTCTTCCATACAATAAATTCAAATAAAATAAAAATTTATGAAGAATTTATGTCACATATAAAATTAAAAAATTATTTAATTTAACATACTGTATTTGTAGCTTACCCAAAATTTTGCTATAAATATGCATAGAAAATTTTTTACAAATAAATAACTATAACTGTACAAAATTAAATAAAAAACAATCCTTAAATAGCACTTTCTGATATATTTATTAATATTTTTAGCCCCGTATTATATCATAATTATTTTTAAAGTAATTTATTAGTTATAATAGCATTTATTAAAGAAATACCAATAATTTTCGTTTAGAGAGTATCATATAAAATCATATATATATATATATATATATATATCTTAGTTTATGTAATGTTGTATCTATTCATAGATAATTATATTGCTATTGAATTAATTTTTTTTAATATTCTGTTATATTATCAACTACCATTTTGGAGATTTGATCTTTTGAGATTGTATTTAAAAAAATTTCAATTATACTCGTTTTTGTAAGTTCCGTTGAATATTTGTACGCATATCTGAGATAGTTGTAAATTTGCTTATATCGTTCACTGATAGTAACTTGCAGATTGTTTTTCTAATTTATCATGGCCCATATATTTATTGAGAAACAGATATTTAATTTAAAGTTTTCTTGGCCAGTATGGATATATTAAACATATTCAGGTTTATTCGAAAGTAATTATCGTCAATAATTGATAGAAAAGTATTTTTTTAATGTAAGTAAATATAATAAAAACATGCACTTGTATATTTGACCTCAGTTTTAATTTGTAAATGTATTTTAAATAATATTATTTTAGAAAGCAAAATGAATAAAAATAGCTACGATGGAAAAATAGCTGGATTATATGATTTAGAAGAAACATTGGGGAGAGGACACTTTGCTGTAGTGAAATTAGCCCGTCATGTATTTACTGGAGAAAAAGTAGCAGTTAAGGTTATTGATAAGAGTAAACTTGACGATACCTCAAGAGCACATCTTTTTCAAGAGGTATGAGTTTTTAATACAAAATTTTATATTACAAATTTTTTTTTGGCCTGTTCCACTTACCTTTATTATATAATTTAAATATATTCGATATATTATGCAAAATTGAAAATCATTTTCATGGGGCAAATCGTAAGTTGCCTGAATGTAAATACCTAATGCTACATGTATACATCGGTGTTAGAGTAATATGCTGTCTCACTGGCGATATATAACTATTGGCTTTTATTATTGATGGTTCGCGTGCGCGATTGTAGTGTCGGCTGCTTAATGATCATGTAATTTTAACGTATAACAGCTCATGGAGTTTTCAAAAAGATTTTGTTGCACTTCTCTTTTTTAGTGTATTGAAATGTGTTATAGAGTAAAAACGGCAGGTAAATATGATTTCAGGTAAGTTAATTAGAGCTTTGTTCTTAAGTCGTGTATTAGCTACTTATGATCCACTTGATAGCATTATTTTTTGTTCATATTTTTTTTAATTCTTTTGTTTCCTTCTTTTTGCTTTCACTCTACTTTTTCATGTCTCCTATAAATAAATAAATAAATATATATATATATATATATTAATATATAGTTTGCTTTCATTAATAATATAATCAATTTTATTGTCAACTGAATGAAACAGAAATTTTTTCTATTATTTACAGTAAATTTGATAGTAATTATATACTATTGAACATGATTATTTATGTTCCTGTTCAATTCATCATAGCGGAAGTTCGATATTCCTTGATGAGTGATGGATTGGTATGTTCTAATAGTTGACTAAAATGATGATTATGTTAAATTATTCATTGATAATGAGTCTGGGAGAATATTAGTATCTAACTCAGCAATTTCGCGTTGATTCTATTATATTCTCATAACCCAAATAAGGAGTTTTTCGAAGTAATATTTTTAGAATGAGCAGTCGTGATCACGATGTTGATATCTCTGTTCCTTTTTTATTCTTGTTCATCTTATTTTATTGTGATTTATCAGCTTACTTACTATGTATTGAACTGAATAATATGACATGCAATAGAAATAGAATATTAATACCTAAAATGTCAAGATTCTTATAATAATTCTCTTAAGATATTTTTAAAGTATTATAAATAATGACCAACTAAGTTTATGTAAACTCTATATATATAGCATCATCTGTACTTGAATATCCAGATAATAATGGGTATTTTATTATATAAGACCTCTTTTTTATACATTGGTTTAACAAATTATTGGTATATTGTATTGCTATCAAGATTTGTTCAAGATTTCTTTTTCTAACATAGCTCACGTAATAACGTGTTGTATAATACATATCTCATTTAATTTTAGCTGATGAATGTAGTTTATTTTTCTCGAAAATTTACAATCTTACCCCACAATTCTATTATTTATGTAGTATATCTACTAAGAAGAATTTATACTTTTAATTTAAACTACTAATTTCAATCAAACTAATTAGCATCACGAATAGAAATATTGGATCTGTTTATTTTTAATAATTTATCTTTTCACTCACATAGCTCTTATTGTAATTATCATAAATTTATTGATACAATTACTATAATTTTATTATTAGATAATAATAAACGTAATAATCAATAGATGAACACAATGCAGTATGTATCAGTTTATTCTGCATGTAAATGACGCTTTTGGTGAAGGTAAAATTGGAAAGCTTATCTATCATTTGTTATTTAAATATTTTAAATCTCATCAGTTTACAGTTATAAATTAAATAGGGATGTAAGTATATCTTTAATAATAAATGGATCTCATTATATGTAAAAACTAACTTGCTATAGTTTTAAAATTTCTCTGGATTTTAGACAATCGTACATTTTAATCATTAACAAGAATAAATTATAGCTTTTTTAATCTAAATTATTTTTTTATTATCTTGATGCAACGTAAAATAAATTTTGCTAAAAATTACTCTATTCTGTTTCAATGGGTTAATCAAAGAGTCATCTATTTTTATCATCAATTTTAGTTTTGATAGTACGTGATTCTTTTTCTTGGTAATAAAATAATTCTACTTTATATTTAAAATTTTATTAATATAATCAATTGTTATATTTTTCTAATTATTTTGAAATACGACTTATAAATTTTTATTGCTGAGAATTTTATTTAAGGTAAAAAAATGCATCATAAAATATGATTCTTGTTGCATTTTATACTACTTTTGTTTCATATTTTACAAAGCACCTTATTACCGGAAGCAGTAATGATGGTTACGTTTGAAATAAAATGTTTATTTCAATAGGATATAATTTGTTGAATAAGCAGAGCTCTCTGACTTTTATCAGTGATTTTATTGCGCACATAGCGGTAATATTATTCAGGTCGGTATAAATAAATCACTAATTCTTGATAGAATTTTTCAAGCATATTAAATATTGTTTGCATCGGCATCTTTTCTAGTTTTATTGCAACATGACTTTTCAGAATAGTACTTCCTGTATGAATTGTAGTTAATATCAAATGTTCACTGTGCCAACTAAATTACCATTCAAATAGTACGAGTTGCGTGAATTAAGAACAGGAATAATAACCTAAATGATTACGCTACAGAGCATCAGTGTTGAATATATTTTCACACGAATCACAACAAAATAGATACGACCGCAACCACGGTAAGTTGATTAGAAGCTTACCTCTTTTAATTAGTGATATCACCTAACTAATTTTATATTCGATTTTATATTAATATAAGGGGCCTGACAACAAATTTTATCTAGATTTATTATAATCTAGTTTAATTTATAGAGTTCTACATAAAAATTTTTTTTTTACTAGACTTATTAACCAATTTTATAAGCGGAATCATAGTTTAGATCCTTCTTTATCTAAATCTTGGCCATATATTATATAATTTTGTACTCTGTTTATTGAATGTTTTTATTTTGTATGATCAAGGTAAACCTCTGTTGAAGTTATCGGGAATTATTTATTTAATAGAATAATTTTAAGCATAACTTTTCAAATAATTCATTTATAATTGAATCTGTCTCTTCAACGCTTTCACAATATTTAGTAAGTAATATATACACATGTTGTTTTCATTTGCTATCCAGTACTTAAGTTATTAATTTGATTTGATTACCATGGATGCTAGATGTTAATTATTATGAATTGGTTATTTGCTTATCATAGCTTTGATATACATTAGTTATATACATATGAACAATTTATTGTTTTCATTTGTTCAAAATTATTATTGAAAATAAAAGCTTTGATTAGCCAACTATTTTTATATTAATGTCGGATGAATACATTAGCGACAATTCATGGCTGTCTAGTGCAAATATATTTTCTTTTCGATTTTAGAGATATTTTTCAGTGGCGTATTCAAAGTTGAATAGATTTTAATTTAATCAAGTCAACTCACTCGAACTTGTACATTTATGTAATATATACTTTAGATAAACTGTAATTAATAGTTCACTAAAGTTATTTATTTCATTTTATTTAAATTTTATATATTATATTTCTATAAAAGTAAAGAAGTTTCTAACTTTGTTTATGTTATATTTTTAGTTGAATATTTCGTTTTATTATTTCTTTTTGGTTAATTTTCCTACGGCCTTTATTCAGATATATAATAATGCATTTTACTAAATCAATAAAAATTTAATTATTTTCTAGGCATCTGAAATAAAGAAGACTGTTAAAAAAACTTTCAGTAATATAGAATAATAAATTGGAAAGAATTAAAATTTTTAAAAAAGAATGGTATCCTTTTTATTGAATAAAATCAAAACAAAATATAAGAAAGATCGATTAATTATATAAGTAATACGAAATAACTCATATAAAAATATAGAAAGAATTGTTATAAATAAAAATTAGTTTAGTGACTCATATAGAAGTAATGTGGTATAAAGTATGATTATGAACTTCCGAATAATTTAATTGTATTTCTGTTTCATCAAATAATGATGTTGCAATGGTGAAATAAAAAATAGCAGTATGAAGGGAAAAATATTTTTAGTAATAGACTGTAGTTTCAGACTAAATTGAAGAATTATTAGATATGATTAGATATGATGATTATTTCGGTATTTGAGATATATGAAAGTACTGACAATAACCCTAGCATTAATAATATTTACAATTTTAGGCGTTCGTATCGTTATCGATATTCTATTTGTATTATTGATTGCATAGCATTCATATACTCATACTTTTAATATTTTTATAAAGTTTTCCAAAAATCTATTGCAATTACAATGATTAAAATCAATATTATTAAAATATATTATGAATATTATGAAACTATTACTATTCATATAATTAAAAAACTATAACGAAGTCAGTATCTTCAATTAAATGTTTGCCTAGCTGTGACTATTGAGCCTTCTGAAAAAGTTATAAAAGATTCGCATGTCATTAGAAAATTTATGAATAATAACCACTATATCGCAATTATAAAGTTAACTTACTTTATGTAAATAATCGTTATAATGCCACTGACTATCCAGTATATAGCTGTTGATTTGATTATATTAAAATTATTCATTGATTTCAACGGATATCCTTATTCAAAGAAAAAAAGTGAAAAATTGAATGAATAAAAAATCAATGGTACCATTATACTACTCATTATTTAAATGGGTATTAGAATAAATAAGCAAAATATATAAACATTGTAAATTCCTTCAATTACTCCAAAAGCCTTATATCGCTGCATAGATAAAATATTACATAAGTTAAATTTATCATAAGATATTTATTAATTTCAAATAATTTAAATTATATTTTTAAAAGATTTTTATAAACAGTAGAAATTAGTATAAAGTATATATAGGTATTCATAGATATATTTTTAAAGGATTAACCTGAAATATTAAATCTCTAATATTTATTTATAATATACTTCAATAGAATTAAGATATTGTAATCGTTTTAAAAGATTACTATATTCTATTGCATAAATAATTTACAAAATAGATACTTATATAATTTAGTAAGAATCAATTTACACAGACTAAGAAAATATTGAGAAGTTTTTGTCAAACATCTTGATAAGATATTGCAACTATTTATCGGATTGAAAATTATACTTGATAAGTGTCTGGGTTCAGACTAAATGCCCTCTTTTTGATGTTGGGTGGAGGTGTTGCTAGCAAGTGGAAGGGGCAATGCAATTATTGAATACTACATGCGGTGTTTCTTCTCTTTCCTTTATTAAATATAATAACATAATAACTAATTAATAATCATAAAGTTAATTAATCAAGGCGTGAGCGAATATTTGGGGAAGTTTCTTCAATAATTTTACGTGCTGAGGACAGTGTGTATGCTCTCCGTGATGTGAGGAGTGACTCCTTCCCTTCCGAGAAGTGCCGCTGTAGTAATATGCGTGAGAGCCGCCGCTGTCGTATCGATACTGCCTAAGTGAAACTGGGTCGCTCCTGCTTTAGTGTCGATGCATAAGAGCTGCCACTGTCGCACCGAAGCTTTCTAAAGGAGGACCGTTTTGCTGCTATCTTAGTGCGGTGTGATCCGTTAATATATGTAGTATGATTTGATAATTTCACTCTCGATTATGTTATTACTAGCGCGTTATTCGTTTAAGTTTGATTAATGGATTCTGATAATGTGGCTTCACTATTGTATTGTTAGATTGCTTACTGTTTGAGCATTACGTACGTGTATATCTACAGTGAGTGATGACTATAGAAAGAAGCTTGAAGACTGAATAGTGAGCTCGTTGTGTTACTGCGTAATCGTTATTACGTTAAGCTGAGACAAAGACTGACTGGCGCGTGGCAAGCGCAGCCCTTAAATATTCTCGTGATAATTTTTAGGCGCCGGTAGCGATCAGGTATCTGTTGCTATGCCGTATTTGTCGTGACGTCAATAAGGCATAGTTTTTTGGAAATTTCATTGTTATAATTCTTCGGAATTATAGTCGTATATTCGGGTTTGCTGCGTAGAAACATTATTCGAGTCGTTGGCTAGTGTTTATAAACAACTGTTCGCGCGCTCATACCTCTCCCACTTTTGTATTCCACTTTCAACTGTTTCAATCTGTAACAATAAGTAATAAAAGTAATAATATAACATTACTGTAGTTCAAAAGATAAATCAAATTTCCGCAAATAAATGAATAACTAGATGTAAATCTTTTTAGTGTTTTTGTCAATAAAATGAGACAGCAATAGCTATGCATCTGTTTAATGATGATCTGTTGTTTACAGCATTGAAGAATAGATCCAAGAATATCTGCTAAATGGTACGATATAAATAACCATAAGATATAAAATTTAAACTTTTATATTTGAAGTATTAACTTAGATCGAGCTCTCTTCATGTGCATTATCTTCCTTTTTCAGATACAAACATTGATCCGGTTACGTTTTACACCCTCTCCATCTTTTATATGTTCTATTCCTCGATTAGACCATTATCTACAATTATAATGTTTACATTCTGTATAATTGAATAATTATATCGATAGTAATCTACGTTTTAATACATTATTTGTACTACATGCATACATATATACATACATGGTAAAAGTATAGAAACTACTTGTTGATAATTAGATCTTCGACAAGTTATAATATTATCGTATTAAAATATACGATTAATCTAATATATTTTTATTAAATAAATATATTTATTAAATCATATATTTAATCGTATGATAAATACAAATGGTCGAATTCATCTACAGATCAAGTATAAATTCATTTCCATTTATATATATGGATTAGCTGTAATCTCTATTATACATTCTTTATTTTATATAGGATATTATATATAACGATAAACTGGGATCAAACTTGATTTTAATAATAAGATACTTGAAAGATTCGATTATGCATATTTTAATATAAATTTATATACAAGATATAATATCATATGGAAAATCCATAGAAAAAATATTTCTTGTTGCATTATTCTTTGCCTTAGTTTTTTAAAGTAATTTTTTATTATCTTGTAAAAATCTAATAAAAATGTTCATATATCGTATCATTTTATATTTGCTTTAATTTTTAAATATTATATGGAATATTATTATTTTTAATTAAATTTTTTACTTATACGAGAATTTAATAAACTAATTTTAATCAATATGCAGACATGTGGAAATTATGTTTTATTCAGTGAAAATATATAATTGAACAAATTTATATCAAAAGTATAATAATTAATATTATTTTGAAATGTAAAGTATAAATTATGAAAAATAATTGTTAGACTAGGTTAAGTACGATGTTGAGTTTTTAAAAAATAATTTTTTTAAAATTTTGCAATTTTAGATCTTGATCTGATATTCTAATGCTACATATTCTAATTTCAAAGTATAGTATGTTTTATTATTTTAGGTTAGATGTATGAAATTAGTTCAGCATCCTAATGTAGTAAGATTGTATGAAGTTATTGACACAAATACAAAATTATATTTAATATTGGAACTTGGTGATGGAGGTGATTTATACGATTATATAATGCGACATGAAGATGGTCTAACAGAAGAGGTAAAGTTTATTTTAAATTCACAAAAATAAAACTATATAAATTAAACTTAAACAGTTTAACCAATTTTTATTATGAAATTTTATAATTATTTGAAAGATAGACCTATATTCTTATGATTTTTATCGTTATTTTATTGACTAGAATTAACTATTCATATAGAAAATATATAAATACATCGTACTCCAAGACTGTATGATGCATAATACATTCTTATAAACATTTTTAATGATTAATCAATGTTAATCAGTCCTATTACTATCAACGATTTTTTGATAATTACTTTTATAATCTTAATTTGTAGATAATTGAGGAATATATTGTATACGAAAAAATAAACCTTTTTTTATAATTAGCTTAAGGATTATACCTCTTGTACTAGATAACGATTCTGCAAATAGTATTTACATTTGTAATGATCATTATTGTTAATGAATACATTTTATAGTATTTACAGATATTCTAGACACGTTTCAAAATTCAGGTAAAAAAAAATTGAAATGAATATTCATTATTAAAAAAAAGAGCTGATGTAAAATAATGGTTATTAATTCGATTATCTATTTTTTATTTTTTTTATATTCCAAATATTAAAAGTTATACAAAAATGTTGTAGTTTAAATCATCTGTAAAATATGTAATTTAATTAATCTTAGCGAAGAAGTATTTTTAGATATCATTCACATAGACAAATTGAATATTATAAAACAGTATTTATATAAGTTGAAGAAACTAAATAGTCTATTATGTTAATTACAATTACAATTTCGATCATCCAATATGACTTTTTCCTGTTTAGATGTTAATATTTTAGTTTTGTCATTATGCAATTTGATTATAATCATGTTATTGTAAAACATATTCATTCACTATGCATTCTATTTTAGTAACATCATATACATTTTCCTTTTAAGTAAAATCAATTATATAGGTGTATTAATAAAAGTGATATGAAAAGAGATAATGGTAAAAAAATTATAGTAGATGAACAAAGTTACGAACTACAATGGAGTAATAAAAATCGCTTATAATTAAGGTTTCCTTACTTTTCCTCCAGAAGTATATCAGAAGTGTGTCTATGTAATCCGATGAATATAAATATGAGTAAAACTTTTTAAAGATTGAATATGAAATACATATATAAGTTACTAGTTCATATTTAGTTAAAACTATGTATATTTTTTAAATTATATTTTCATAGAAGTATATTTTGATTTCATATAATATGACTATCCAAAAGATTTATTTGAATATATTAAAATGATTAAACTGTATGTTGTAGTAACTTTAAGTATTACTTATTTATTTGTCACTTGTTTTATAATACTACCACCTACATTAAAAGCATATTCTAATTAATACCATGTATTTCAAGCAAATATAAAAGTAAATTGAATAAATATATTTAATATTACATAAGAAATGTGCTGCACTTGATAGTTTATAAAAATCAAATTTTTTATTTTTTATTTTAGAAATATATTTAATGGTAATATAATTTTATATTGAAAATACTTGATTTCAAACTGCTTTATTTAATATTTTTTTCATATTATAGAAAATTCGACAGATCATAGTTTCTATGCAAGATTTTTTAAAGGTTCTGAAAGAAAATCAAATAAAATTTGTATAACAATAAAGTCTTCTTTGTAAATATTATTTCAAATTGATAAGTAATGTTTATATTATTGAATAAAATATCAATATATAAATAGGCCATTTATAAATTAAAAAATACAATAAATATTATTTTGAAATTCAATTACAATATAAGTGTTTTGGTACGCATAATCAAATTTAGAGTTTCATTAACAGTAACTTAACTATAGAACATCGATTTGTTATTACACCAAAGAAACCCCTATACTATACTAGATACTATAACTGGGTAACTATTGAAAAGTGATCATATTATTAAAAATTAGTTAATCTATTTATTTATTTATCTACTTAACTGTCTACAAACACCTATTTTAGTACTGTCTAAGGATTGTAATAGGGTCTCATTATTCGAACATATACGTTTCTTTCAGTATCTCACAAGTATTAATATATTCTACCCTATACGCTCTTATTTGAAAGTTAATAAAGTATAAGGTTAGCGTATGTGTCTTTCTATAAATTATCCTGTTCATATTTTACCACGTCATTTTTATAGTAATCTTTATAATATATAAACACTTCATTTTAACGAGTTATGGATTTTCTACCACTTTCTTTTTGAATTATATTAACTATAGTTATCACATATTATTTCTTAGATTTAATAATCTATTCTAATTAGTACCAACTTTTACTTAAATATCTAATTTGATTAGCCAAAATTTGGATGAATACATTTTCGCAAGACTAAGAATTAATTATTTAAGAAAATCGTCGTCTTCAATTCTGTATTACATCTGTAAAAATTTGAAGCTCTGCTCTGTTGGTAAAAATCAATGAAATGTATAATAATTAAAAATTACTCTTAGTTTTCATATTAATAAATTAAAATATTGAGTTATTATTTATGAACCACGTATATGTATTAAGAATACATTATTTAGTGAAATTACATTATTAAATGAACTTCTACATTAACCAAATAAAGGAGCATTAATTTAGTATTTTATTTAAAAAATTCTTCAATTTAAATTACTATGTAAATATAACTTAAATTCTTTTTGCAATCATTTTACTTTAGGAAATATAAATTTTATTAACATACATGTTTAACATAGCATAGAATATTAGTCCAAAATTTTTAAAGAAAAGTATGTAACTTTCGTAAATTATGATAAATAATTTTTAATGAACTCCATACAAGCAAAATTAATTATTAAATTAACTTTCTATTAAGATAATGTGTTCATAAAATTTGAATGATTATCACCGATTTTCAATTTCTGTGAAACACGTACGAAGGAGATTGAATTATTTTTTAATGGAGTTTGTAGATTACAGGGCCTAAAAATTATATATTTCATAATTAATATTTACTTTTATAAAATATTTAATTGTTTGTTTATATATATAATGGTTTTATTTGTCTTTTAGGTTGCACGGATATATTTTCGACAAATAGTAACAGCCATTTCTTATTGTCATCATCTTCATGTAGTGCATCGTGATTTAAAACCTGAGAATGTTGTATTCTTTGAAAAATTAAGTATTGTTAAACTTACGGACTTTGGATTTAGTAATCATTTTTGCCCTGGACAGAAACTTGAAACATCTTGCGGATCATTAGCATACTCGGCACCTGAAATTTTATTAGGAGATAGTTATGATGCTCCTGCTGTTGGTAAATACTGTTTATTATTAAAACATATATTTACGTTATTTTTACTAAGGATAATATATATATATATATATATATATATATATGCGTATAATATAAATAGTGAATTCTATATATTTATTTTAACTTAATTGAATCACAATTAATAGTTATTTTATTAAAAATGTAGAAATTAATGTTATTAATTTCAATTTTATTTAGTTGCGAACATAATTATGTAGAGTAAAGTAGAAATTATATAATATCATACTAATAAAAATAAAAAAAACTTGATAAAAAATATTAATTATATATTATATTGTTTAAAAGAAATTCATTTAAGACTTTATTTTATATTAGGTAATTAGTAATAATAATGGTAAATAATTACTTATATTATAAGAGTAATTAAATAAATAAAAATTTCTGATAAGATCACACATAAATTATATAATTTTTTGCATTCATTCGTAAATTAAATTTTAGTTTGCTAGATATAAAATTTTCCTATAAAATATTAAATATGTTTTCAATAAGAAATTGTTTTACATAAAGATATTTTAAATTCTGTTCGTCAAAAACTATAGATAATCGTCTAAAACTTTACTAAAGATGTTGGTTTTGAAATATATAACATTAAGAATATGTCGATCTTGATTAAATATATAGAAACTTTCAAATATATATTTTGTATGATAACATTAGATGTAAATTATCGAAATCATTTTACAAAATTATTCCGAAGAATCAGTAGAAGTAAATACAATTTAATGTATTTATTAATAAAATATTACAGTGAATAAATACTTTGGATATAGCAATGAATCATACTAACTGTTATGAGTAAGATGACAACGAAAAAAATTATATGAATAAAAATACAGTGCATGTTCTTGTAGAGAAGAAAAACGAATTAAATTAAAATTTTTAAAACATAAATTATATCGATTTTATATAAAATGTATATTCTATACAGAATTATAATATTTGTAAATATACATAAAGAAATATATATGTATATATTTAAATTTATAGACAATGTACAAAAAAACTATACATATTACTTCCTTCTTTCGTACTCTATCAACAAAAGTAAAATCATTTAACTAACATATAATTGTAGATACACAAAATAAGAAAATGATTAATTATGTTTAAAATTGAATGTGATAAATAATATAATTGAATAAAGTAGAAAACTGTTTTTTTAATGTTTAGTAATAATTTACTAAAATATACATTGAATATATTATTGCTACCTCTATGGTAAAGAATTGAAGTTACAGTTACATGTTATTCAGCTTTCGAAATCGTATTTATTTAGTTATATTACAAAAATATTTTTTATTTTCTTTGCATTCTTTTTTATGATTATATATTTTTTCATAAATTGCTCCATATAAAATAGAACACTTTTTGTATGCCACATATTTTTCAAACCTCTTTTCTATCCCGCTTTTATTCTCGCCATCCATGCAAGTTTTAATGTTAAACACTTTTAAGAACTTAAACTTTCATTTAAAAATTTATAGTAGTAATTCTAAATATAACTGAAATTGTATAAAAATATGTGCACAGATTTTTTTCTTTACAAATTATGTATCTTCCTTAGTTTATATTATGTACAGTAAACTATATTTATAAAAGCATAATTTCAATTTTCATTAAAAACATTATTTAATTATGTTTAACATACCTTTATTATATGAAGTTTATATAAGTAATATTAGACATATTATATTATTAATTTTTTCTTTATAAATCTAACTAACATGTTTGCTATTTAGAGAAAAAAACTGTTAATTTATTTATTAAATAGCAAATAGCAATAATACTCTAATAAAAATGTTTATATCGTTACAAATTGAAAATTTTAAAAGCCATTAGTGTATATAATGATTTGTATAAACAAACTTCTCACTAGCTATGTGAAAAAGTATAAGTAATATAACAACATTTTAAATGCTAATAATTAAAAATATCGTATAATTACAATTAGTAATAATATGAATAGGATTAGTTCTAAATAGTTGTAATAATTTTTCATAATTAATTAAATGAGTACAAATTAAATGAATCGTTTAATTTTTCTGAAATGAGTAATACATACTCTGCATTTCTTAAAATAGTTTCTGTACAATTACAGCTTTTTACTTAATGAGTTCGTAGAAAAATTTGTACATCAAATTTTAACGTTCTAAAATCTGTAATATATAATAAAATATTATTTAAAATCCTACATATAACATAACATTTTTTATTTAATCAATTGAAATCATATTTCAATTAATTGACTAAATTAATAATTTTGGAATTGTCTAATATTTATAATTGGTATGTCCTTTAAAATTATGTTTTTAAGTACATGCGTTGGTGTTTAAAAAATTAATAATGCGCTTGAAAAATTGTATATAATGTAAAAAATTAATTTACGTGAAATTTTATATCTATGTAAAATTATGATAGTAATAATATATTAGAATAAAATTGATCGCAAAATATTCTTTACGAAAAAGTAGTTTCTTTTTCAATAATAAATCTAAAAAAATATTCGTGAATATTATTCAATTTAGCAGTATCAAGAATTATTGACGAGTAGAATTTAAATATATGAACATTTTAGGGATTAAAAAAAAAGAATTTCCTTTATTACACGTATCGATAACATTTATGAGTGATATTATTAAAAATAAAAATATTGTACATGTAATTCATGCAGTTATATTTTCTATAATTTATATTTTGTAGATTTTATTTGATTCTTAATAAATTATATATATATATATATATATCTATCTATATATTTATAAATCATAAAGTATATAAACTTGTAGTTTCCGCAAAATTATTTTTAGATGTTTGGTCATTAGGAGTTATTTTATATATGCTTGTATGTGGTCATGCTCCATTTCAAGAAGCAAATGATAGTGAGACTTTAACAATGATAATGGATTGTAAATATTCTATGCCAAAACACATATCAGACGATTGTAAATCATTGATTGCCAAGATGCTTATTAAAGAACCTAGGAAAAGAGCTTCACTAGAAGAAATAGCAAAAGATAAATGGTTGTTATTTAAATCAACTCAGGACAATCTTGAGACTATACCTTTAGTATCTCGTGAACAAGTAACAGAAGATAATCATAATCTTATTATATCTAAAATGGTTAATGGTAATATAGCAACTAAAGAAGAAATTCTTGAGTAAGTAAAATATAGTTGATCCAAATTTAATAAAAAATAGATAAAAATTTTTTTTGAAAATATAAAACCCCGATAAATTTAAAGTTGAAAAAATTTTTATTATTTTCAGATTCATATTTATTTATATTTCCAAATCTAAAAATTATGTTTATTTGTAACTACATTTATTTGTTAATTAATTACGTTAATTATAATTTGCAGGGCCTTAGATAAAAATGAGTATAATCATATTACAGCAACATATTTCTTACTGGCGGAAAGCAAGTTACGAGCACAGCGACAAGATTTTTTTGTTAGCACTGGTACAAGTGTGTACACAGCTTCAAGGTACCTTAAGATAGCAATCATAGCTCATAAAGAAATCATTATTGATAATTTTTAGTGATTTTATATTTAAGAGCCTTAATATTTTTTATTTTATTGTCAATCATAAATGGCCTCTATTTAAAACAACAATACAACACTCGAAATGATTTGAATATATTCTGAAAATTTTGACGTAATATATTCGATGCGTTCATTTAAAAAAAGATTTCATTGAAGTGTAATATGATAGATTTAAATAATAATAAAATAAAAATTTTAAAGTATTTTTATAAATAGCAAATTTGCTAAACGTTCTAAAAATATTATAAAAATATAAAAGAAGTTATTTTTTATTAAAAAGAATGTAAGAGGTACTGTAAATTAAATTAATGAAATTAAAGCAAATATTTATATGAATAAATATAGACTATACGCAACAACAAAGTTAACTAAAATATATTTTAATGTTCTATGATGATTTAAAACATTTGTCTACATCGGAATAGCGATGCAAAGGAAAACCATTTTTATTTATTTTTTTTCAAACAAGAAGGATATTATATTCATAACAAAATGGTATAGGTAATGTTTATTTTACTAGATAAAAAGTTTTTTTATTTATTTTTTTTTTAATATAAAAGATACTTCAATTAAAAGCCATCTTTTCACATGATTTTGATCAATTACTTATATTAAAGTATAAGGAGCTTTAATATTATTTATTTTTTATTTATTTATTTCCACTTACACTAGATAGTATATGAATCATAAATTTATTTACAGGGTTGAATCAATTCTCTTTTATTATAAATTTTAACTTTAAATTAATATTTTATTTTAGCTACACGAGATTCCTGGCATTACATTTGATCTATATCAGTATGTGAGCAAAAATGCAAAAATGATTTATAAATTATATGCTTCAAATCGATTTATTAATTCTATGAAATAATTTACTACATTGTTTGATATGTCAAGATTTTGTCTAAGATTTTACTAATACTAATTAATTTATCGACTTTTAATGTATCGTTATATTTTGATTTTATCTTCGTGTTTTAGATGATTTTATTACCGTGTTTTAGATGAAATTAGTTACATATCAAAACTACTTGGAAATAATGCTTCGGATATTAAAGTTTTAGATAAACTGTTTTATAATAAGCCATTTAAGTTCAAAAAATAATTCCGCAGATCTGACTCGTCAGCCAAAAGTGCAAAATCAACTTAGAACAAAAAAACCACCTGATGTTGTGTGGGATTGTTGGGCAAGTAAAGGGTTAATGAACCGATTCAATAATTATCAACATATCTTTATTATTGCTGTTTATTCCATTTATTTTACTTTAATTCCAAGTTGGAATCATTAACCATGATGAAATTACAAATGACCCTTATATTTCTTAATACTCTTCTGGCTTGAGATATATCCCTTTATTGGAGAACTAGAGGATAATCAATTTCTTATTCTCTGCATATACCGGTGAGATTATGATTTACTGTAAAAAGAAATATGTTATAATCTATTGAATATTATCACTTTCTCAGGTTATGATCCTTGTAGTGCCCTGAACGAACACTACAATTTTATTATGTTTTGACCTAACACGTGTGCAGTTGCCTCTAAACAATGAGTCCTGTAAGAACCTAAGATTAGAGTTTATGCGATGCTGTGGGCCACCTGTGGCGTCAACAACTGATCGTTGTTGACGATGTGCCGTTACAGCGTGACGCGAATAGCTGTTTGTTGGAGGAAATGAAAAGCCACAGTGTGGCGTCTATTGCTGGTCTTTTTTTTAGACTATGTTTAGGAATCTTCACTAATCGGACTTCAGCCGTCCGTTTTCAGAGTAAACCCGAGAGATATAAAATCGGTACTAGCAGTAATGACTTACTTGCAATGTAGCGTGATTCTTCCACAATACTAGCGGTAAGGACTTACTTGCAGTGGATCGTGAATTTTCCAGTCTCTCTTCGTTGGCTTGATGTGAAGTTCCCTTTCAATAATTGTAGCTCTTAAGTTCCTTCCTTGTCTCCAAGTGAGATTACAAAGGCCTATCCTATGCAATCTAATCTTGATGAGATCAATGTTGAATATATATTGATTCACAGTCGTAGAAAGAACTTTTACTAGACTCAGCTGAACGACTTTGTCTGTGGTCCTCCTCCGTGAGAGTAAGTCGTGACTTATCCAATTCAATCAAGAGAAGAGTAAGAAGAATGAGTAAGAATAAGAATAAGTGGTGGTACATTACATTGCCCGTCTTAAATAGTTCACTGACCCAATTCCACTTGGGATTCCTTCTTCTTTTAATTATCCAATCAGAGGTTGACCTTGGGCAGCACAATGGATTATGCACGCCTTCATTTCCATTTCCATCCGGGCTCAGTCCCGAATATACTAATCGGGAAAGTGGGGAGGTTTTACTCTTGGTCACCTCTCTTTGGTAGCCTCTCCCTTCTCTGGGACTTGGGTAGACGAAGGGTCCTATTCGGCGTGGTCGATCTTCCATTGCGATCGACTAGATGCGGCATAGTTAAGAACAAAGCAAGCATTGTCTTAAAAAGCCGTGTGCGCACGTGCGGGGTTTTGGGTTGCAGCGAATTTTAGGAACTGTAAGTAATCGGTACTTTTACGTATATCTGATACTCTATCAGAATCTACGTCTTCTTAACAGTACACAACATATTAGTTTTTACTGCACAGGAAAGGCATGAGCACGTTTTTAGATAAGCAAGAATAAATAAGCTTGAGTTTTCCAGATGTATTGACCATTTCGAATGTCCAGCGACCGTGGGAAGTCGTGGCAAGAAAACGTTCTCGCATTCTCGAACAAGTACCATTGTAACAAATATTTTTTAAACAATTAAAAAAATATAAAGTTTAAAATTTCTTTAGTTTAATTTTTATGCAAAGTATAAATAAATAAAAATTTTATATTAAAACAATCGAAGGTAATAGTTTATAAGAATGTGTGATGACAATGAAAGTTATATTTATTAATTTTCATTCGGATAATTATGATAGTATAGTAAATATAGTAAATATCATATACATTTAATAATAAACTTAGAACAGAGATAATAAATTTTTTTTTAATAAATATTATATAACATTATTTTAGCAAGAAAAAATTTAGAAATTGAGACAAAAATGAATTATTTAAGAACAAAATATTATTAGAAAATTAAGAAACAACAAAAATGAAATTGATGCGACTTTATGTAACGATCTTTAAGTAAATCATTGTTTAATTCCATCATTAAATATAACCTTGATGAAGTCATACTTTCATATCTTTTATTCCAACTCTGAAGCTCAAACGCTGCAAATTATTTATTTTTGAAATATAGTACTGTTTATAACCGTCACAGAAAATATTTAGACATTCAAGACTTATGAAATGTAGATTCTTATAGATTTTAGTTGATTAAAATATGTTATTTTAATGTATAAATAATTTATTTATAGAGTAATAATATATGCCATTAATGATTATAAATAGTAATTAAACGTAAATTAGTATGTTTCATTAAATTATTTTGAATGAACATAATAGGTATAAAATTAAGTTCGATGGAAACATTTTTCAAAACTTGACAGTTATTGTAAGTCTTTTTAAAATAGTAAAGGTAATGATATTAACTCGAGTATAAATTTTTTAAGTATTAATTTTATGTATATTTAACATCTGATTTATAGTAAACTTAATACATGTTTTTCCTTCATTTCTAAATTGAAAAATAAAAATAAAAAATGAATAAGTATACTATTTAATTTGGGATCTTATATTAGCTTCTCTGTATAATATTGGTCACTTGTAGGTTTTAAAATACTATAAAATTTATATTGAATATATATATTAATTTATTAACTTTTCAGATGCAAGATATTACCGAAATCCGTAGTAATAAGGTCGTAAAACTCATATGGCTAAGATGATTACAATCTTGAATGTATTATTGATCTACAGGCACGATAAAAATATGTAATTTTATAGTTAACATAAAAATTGATAACCATCATTCTTATATATTGAAAATTATAAAAGATCAACTACAAAAGTAGTTTTAAAAGGTCCTATGAGGGGTTAAATTTTTAAAAAAGTATATTATGCATTATTAACGAGAACATAAACCAAATAAGTGCCTTACATATGCTTTACAGTTAAATTATTAAAATATGAAAATATAATTACAAATGTAATCGAAAGAGACTCTTATCTAACGCTTTATTGGCATAAGATTATTACAACGGTGTAATAAAGCTACTAATGTGATTTATAATACTTAATTCTTAAATATAGTACCTTGATTTTTTTGAAAATACCAATAAAATTAAGATAGAAGCATCAAATATAAACAAAATTTTTTAAATAGGTTTATACAAATTAATTAAGTACGTTGACTAGAATTACCGGTGATACAATGTTTCAATTAGATTTAGATACCACATAAAACAGTTTATAAATTAAATCTTTAAAAATTCAACAAATAATATGGAAAGATTTTAAAAACAAAATTTTACAACAGTAAATTTTAAATATCGCCAAAGGTTATTCTGATGGTCTTCAAGATAATCACTGAGTTTAAAAGAATAGATTCAAGAGAGATATGAAAAATGAACGACTTATATGATGACTGTAGATAATCTATTAATAGAATAAGATCACCAAAATAAAAACTGTTGTTTTAATCATTTTTTAACATGTTATTATATTTGACAAAATTGTACATTATACCGTTAAATGACAGAAATACTTTTATTTTAGACTGACGTAAATCCTTTAGGATAAAATTCATAATTTTATAATTAATACAAAAGATTTGTGTCTTTTCTTAAATAAATTAAGAAAATTTATGTTTTGAAGTATATCTGAAATAGATTTTACAAAGTTATAAATATTACATTTAAATAAAGTGCAAACTTATTGGTGAAGATAAAGGATTCTCCTTTAACATTATAATATTAATTAACAATAATGTATATAATCTACTTCAAAGTGAACAATGATGTTAATAGTACATAGATAGTAAAGGTTTATTTAATGATCTTAAATATTGTTAATATGTTTAGGTATAATTTTTTAATGAAAAATTATAACACATTAACACTAATATGTAGCAAATCATTTTTGTATAATGATATAAGGTGAAAAGCTAGTCTAATACTAAATTAGAATAGATACTATTTCTCGAGATAAATGCTTGTGCAAAAGTGCAAAAATGTAATACTGATGTGCAATATAATAGCCCTACAGTTAATTTCTTTGCCTTGAAATATATGAAAAAATCTTAATGAATAATTTGATTTTAAAAACAACAATGGTAAATATTCTTTACATTTTATTTTTTAATTGCAATATAGGTTCCTGAATTCATTACTTTCGAACAGAACGAGTGTAAAATGAAGTTTTTCATATAAACTAATTCTATGACGGTGTTGAATGATAATACGTAATGGTAGTAATGAGGATGATTGGTAGATAGAATAATTTGTATATATTTATCGAAAAAAATTGTTATTTTCCTGCTTAAAACAAGACAATTTCACAAAACACGTGAATTGTTGAACTGAATTGTTCTAGAATCAATGAATATTCTATGAAAAGTGTTGTCAAAGATTTAAAAAAATGATTTGCAAGATATTCAACATTTAGGGCTACAAAACTGATAAATTTTATAATTGTTTTAAATTTTTAATCAAAACAGAGAATATATTAACATATTTATGTATAGACTAAAAATAAAAATCTTTTTATATGAAAATTAAATAAGGTATTTTTTCTAGGTAATTCATATTGATCTACTACTAAAGTATTTATTTGATAAATAGTCTATATGATGTTATACCGTGTTATTTAATACAATATTAAATCATATCATTTTATTATTAGATTCTGATATTTTCGTTATAAAAATGTATTATATTTAAAAATATATGTAATTGAATTCTTATTTCCAAATTTCATAAGTTGGAAATTTATTTGTAGATATATTAATTTGCAGATTTTTTATATTATATACATATAAATTATAAAAGCATTTTTTCCTTAGTGAAATGAAGTCAAGTAATATGAATGAGTCATTCTTAAAAGTACCCTGTTATTCTGGACATTTATTACAAGTTAGTATAATTTACATTTTCCATTCTTTATTAAAATGGTATTTTATTGCTAAAACTTTTTTTAGAATACACGTTCTCGAAAATGTAGTATTGTACGAGAAGAAGAAGATGAAGATACGTCATCTGGAAAAGATGATAAGTGTAATAGTGCTTTTGTAAACGCACTTGGTCGACGTGGTTCACGTTCAGAAGGAAAATTATCTCGTATTTTTCAAGATAGATTGGCGCAATTATCAGGTGAAGATTTGGAATTAAAATCTATGCGAAACGCGCACGAAGATTCATCGATAGAATGTAAGGAATTACCTTTATATCAAATGAAAAAAAAACCAGGTAATGTTTATTTTATTGTCCCGAGGTTATATATAATATACGATTTCAGTATAAAATTGAGTAAATATGGAAAAATTGTAGTAATAACTATTATTATATATTCAGATGCCATATACATTATATACATTTTTTAATCAAACAAATCAATCAATTGTGAAAGAAAAAAAAATGTAAACTAGTTTTATTAGTTAAGAATAAGTAACATAAAACTTTTATTCCATTATAATTAAGTGATATTTATGCTAGAATATTAAAATAGAATATAATGGCATGTGCAGAATCATTTTCTATTAATGTTTCAAATAATAAACTTGAATCAATTTTAACTTAATGTGAGTAATAAAATGAACTCTATGCACAATGGAGCAAATTTCCATTGCAGATAAACGAATTTTAATTTAATTCGTCATCATAATAGAGGTCTTTAAAGCTCCATTAAATTCTTTTAATTAAAGAGTATTATAAAAATGATGGCAAGTAAAAACATGATTAAAATCGTATTAGAACTATATTAGGTACATACAATTATATTTTTCACGATTATATAACATATTGACTACTATTGCTTCAATGAATAGGATAATTGCAACTGTACACAGATCGAACGTATTATATAACAATCTAATGAAAAAAATGAAGCTTAAATTTAATTCAATTTGATTAGTATTAGATATACATGTTTTAATAAAATAAATTCATATCTAAAAACCGATTAGTGACAGTGAAAGTACATATAATAGAATACTATTCATGAAAGAACTGTTTTGTGCTAAATTCTAGAATATACACTTTATAGATATTTTATATAAATTAATAAAATTTATTTATATATCATTTATTATACTTTATAATAAATTTTTCATACGAACAAATAAACCAGTAATAATTTTAAAATTAATTTATTAACGTAACAATTGTAAAATTATTGTAAAACTGATAACTCAACTCTGCATTTTTGTAGAATGAAATAAAAATTTATTTATAACGTTGTGCAAATGATTGGAACAAATGATTTTTGGCACTTAGGAATAATAAAAAATTTGCAGAATCTAACTATATAACATAGCAAAAATACTAATGCAAAAAATTAAAACAGAAAAATACATTATCATATAAAATAAAAAATTATAATAGATTTAAAAAATAAAATGCTACTTATAATTCTAGAAAACTGATAAAAATAAAAGTACCTTAAGAAATATTAAAGTTATTATTAAAAAAAAAAATACAGTTCATAATGAACTCTAGATTTATATTTTAAGGTTATTAAACAATCATAATTTTATAATTCAATGCATAACTAAATTTTTAACGATCAATCTGTGATATTAATACTAGAGAAGAAAAATGTTAAAATTACCTGAAAATTTAGTGTTTCATTTTATAATTCTTTTCTCACAACTACTTACTAAATATAAATATTATTCTTATTTTACCAAATAGATTATAAATTTACTATTATATCTATTATTTCTAATAATCATTTATCATCTTTTATTCATTTGAATTTCGTTTCACTGATTAAATTTTAAGTAAACCCTTATTCCCTACAGATTACATATTTAAAAACTAGAAATTCTTATATCATGGATATACATTAATCCATATAAATAAGCAAAGATATGAGTAATTTAAATTAATAAATAGAAAATATGTGATCGATAAAATATACTTTTTCTAAACATGCACTTGCACAAAATAAATAGAGTTTTCAGAAAAATTACTTTGAGGCATAGTTACATTTTCATTATTGGAATATAGTTTTGTACGGAATCTTTAACAAATTATTTTCTAATTTTTAATATTATAATGGTTGCCTATTATTCAGAATTTTAATGATTAAATATAAATTATTAAAATTATATAAAAATGCAATTAAATTAATATTAAAAAAATATATTTTCAGGTACTCGATATTTTGCATATCGTTCTGTTTAATATCAAATGATATTAAACTTATAATATCGTAATTCGTAATATTAAACTTATGATATATTTTATACTTGTACCAGTTATTTAATAGAAAAATTCCCAAGAATCCTTAGAAACAAAGGCACGAGCATGTTAAAAAAAATAAGAAATTCCCTAATTATGGTAATTTATTTATAATTTTAGCATTTAGAGATTTGTAAAATAAAATATAATTTAATTAACAATATTTTTATTAATTACTTAATTTACTTAATATTAGTTTCTTAAAACTATATAAAACAATTGGTATTATGTATTCGTTGTGTTAATATTCTTATATTAAAAAGTATATATCAACAAATTATCAGAATATATGATACAGGTGCCAATGAATTCTTAGTATTTGCTTTAATTGAAAGAAATCAATTCAACGTAATTTATAAATCACTTTAGATAATTGAATTCATATATTTCTTAATTTATAATAATACGAAAAAAGAAAAAGATAAATGTATTAATTAATGGAAAACGTAAATATGATAAGATAAATATATAAAGAAAATCAATTATAACATTAAGGTAAATATTTTAATAAAATCAATTATAACAGTGAGACATTCAATATAAAAATAATTTTGTATAGGAAATAATAATTTAGTTCATTGCTAAAATAAAGGATTCTCATACTAATTATATAGATATCTATTGTTCATACACTAGTTTGTGCTCCAAATTCATTTGCAGAAGTTACTTTTTATATTGATTTAATGCAATTCAATCACAAGCACATGAATTTGAGTAATATATATGTATATAAAAAAAAGTCAACATTTTTTATTATTAATAATGTAATAACCCTTATCACATTTTGGGATTTCTAGTAAATTCAAGTAATTCTGTTCTTTAGTAAAACTGTTTTGTCTTCATTTTTATTTTATTTTTTTTTTTTCATAAATTTTAGTTTATATTAATTATGAACAAAATACAATAAATAAATATGTCATAAAATTAATTGGATTATTATTATTATGAACAATATTCCTTTAATAAGTTTCATATATACTTTTCAAAATTTCATAGACAGAAATATCTCATAAAAACATACGAGTAAATGATATAATTTTTTATGTTAGAGGGGGATGCTTATAATTTATATAGATTATATTAAATATAATATATTCAGTTAATACTACACGCTTTCAAATAGCAAACAATTGATTAAATATTCAATAATTTTTTTTATTATATACATGGATACGTGAGAATTGTACAATATAATATAAATATAAATTATAGTATTAGAACATAAATTTATTATAAAATTAAATAAAGAGAGCAAGGAAGGTGTGGATACAGTCTAGCAAAATATTGAAATAATAAATAAAACAAAGTTATATTTATATTTTTTAGCATTTAACATGACAAGCCTTAATAGTTTATTATGTTTGTCTTATAATGTCTTCTTCCAGGAAAGATGAACACAATTATTTTTTTAAAGAAATTAAGGCAAAGAAATAAATATCTTCAATAATCCAAACGGTGACAAGCTATACTCTTATATTTATTAATAAGTGTATTGTTTATAGTATATACTGACATATTTATGGAAAAAAAATTATTTAAAATACTTGAGTAATAAACATTGAATATAACTATAGCAATTGCAAAATTTACGTTTGCATAGTGTATTCATTGTATATATAAGTGTGCAGTGTGCTGACATAATATACAGTAAGAATAATGCAATTAATTATTATATTAAGGTAAGTATTGTACAAAATTTTCAGTATAAAACAATTAATGCGCAATTACATAATTACAATATTAACTTTTATAGTTTGAGTATTCACGCTCAGGAAGCAGAACGTAGGAGGACATGGAGAATTTTTGCAATTAACACAGAAAAACAGCTGAGATTCGACATATCTAATTAAACTATGATATGGTGTATTGTGCATTAGTATCTTTGTCTTCAAAAAATAAAAGACATGCAGTAAATTTTAAAATTCAACCAGAATTGTAAAATCAATACATTTAGTTTTATTAGCATCATATCTATTATGTACATTCATTCCAAGCTCCTGCCAGCAACTATACATATAAGCCCAAAGAACATTGTAAATGAATGTAATTATCGAATTAATTATAAAATGATAATAAATTTATTCGTTGAAACATATATTTAATATCCTTAATTTATTCGTCAAATATAAATTTTTGTTATAAGAATAAAATTAATATATGCTTAAAAAATATTATATAATAAAAAATAAATTTTTTTATTAAAAAACTGAAAAAAATTTAGAATTTCAATTCATATAAATACTTTTTAAATATGATTTCTTTATATACTGATTATATTATGTGATAAAATTAGAACGCAAAAACTATTAATGTAAAAAAAATTGAAGTTTTTATGAAGATTATCAGTGACTGCTTACAAATTTCATTTTTATTTGCTATATGATAATCATCTCTCCTTTTATTTCACACACACACACATACTTATATTATATAAAGATATAATTACATGAATAATAAAATTAACAAGTATGTTAATGTAAGAAATATGACGTGGTCCAGAATAACAGAAGTAAAAAATAAGTGAAATACAAAAGCTTATAAAAAATTATGCTGGCTTTTATAATTGTGCTTCTTTCGATAGGATACATACTTAATTATGAACTGTAAATCATTTATAAAGTTAATCAGAAGTTTATTTAACTGTGTATATCATATTGAATAAACATTTTATCCAAATAAAAAATTTAGAGATTTTTGCTACCGATTAACAGAATTCATAAACATTATTGCCTATTATATTATTTTATTCTTATTAAAACATATTAAATATTTTCGTTTCTTTTTGCTATAAGCTTCACCACAAAACTATCATCTGATAGTATCGAAAATATTTAAATAATAAAATAAAATGAGATAAAAATTTACAGAAAATCTTAAATTTTGTAAAAATTCTAAAACATTTGATAAATAGTAGTAAAGTATAAATTAAAACAATTAATGATATTTCTTTTAAATGTTATTTATATTCGTATTATCATGCATATATTTTGTTATTAATAAAATAAATATTGATCCAATTTTTTTTTTATAAATATAACTCACTAATGTAGTTAATTAAATATAATGAACTATATATGCAAACTATATATATAATTTACTAAATATACAATAATGTTTATAATTGTTAAAAAATGAATGTAAGAAATATATGATTTAATTATAGCAATAACGATTTGACATAAGAAGTACTTTTATCTTCTATAATTAAATAATTTTGATTATAAAATTAATAATAATAAAATGAATAATGTAATAAAATAACAAATAAAGCAGTTATTAAATTAAATTAAAAGATATAAAAAGGTGCTCTATTTACTAATGTAAAATTAAATACAGAATATTTAACAAAATGTTTTTTCAGAATTATATTTATCTTGTATGTATGGGGTTTGATTACATAGATAGAAAAAGAATGAGTTGTTAGATCTTCTCAAATCAAATGTTGCCCAATTATTTAATTAATTCGTATTCTAATACTTCAATTAAAATAAATCTATATTGCATCATTTACACAATGTGTTTTTTTCTTTTTTAAAGATATGTTATTTTTAAATATTCTGATCTTAAAAAACAAATTTATTTGAATAAAAATTCAGTTAATATTTGAGTAACTAATTATTTTTAGTTAAATCAAATTCGTAATCGTTGAATCGCAGATATCTAGTATTTTATGACAGAAACTTTCATTTAATGTGCAGAAGTGTATCAATATATCTATTTTTTACTATTTTGCATACTTATCACATTATTTGTTGCTATATATATAGAGCCAATGATTTAAATTCCTATCATTATTATTGTAACATTGGTAATTGTTTGTGTGAACCATAATTAAAAAAAGAAATACAAGATATTAAAAATTTTATAAAGAATTTTAATTTATGTAAAAATTAATTTTAAAGTAATACAATAAAATGAATACTACCCGAACAACAGATTAAGGTATTATAATAAATCAATGAGGCAATGTAAAATTAAATATCAATAGACATAATAAATGAATCACAATGAAATTAACTTTGAAACGTAGTTAAAAAACATTAATGCAAGAAATTTGAGAATTGAATATTAAATCTATTTTAAAATAGAATGTTTAATCAAATGTAATATGTAATGTAATTTAATGCTTTTGAGTTTGTACCACTTGAAAGTATCAATGAACATGGCAAGCTTCTCATTTAATATGTTAATAATAAATTTTGTAAAATAAATATTAAGAAGATAATACACACTAAGAAGATACATACTAAAGATGCATTTGAACAATTTATTGTCATTTATTTAAAAATCGTATGAATAACAGAAATATAGTTTTCATATCGGACGTATAAATTGTATACATTTAATCTTAAAAAATAAATTGTTGGTATAGGCATAAATATTTCAAAAATACATGCATACTGAAAAATCTTATGGTGATAAATACAATAGTGTTATATATTAAATTGAATGATTCGATTCAGTAAATGTACCATTTTTGAAAGGCGTACTTATATATGGATGTTTCAATACACATGTGTGAACTATGAATATAGTTATTCAACATTTCTAGATTAATAAACAAGGATTCATGATACATATGTCCAATAAAAAAGTAATAAAATGTGAATCGAATTCTAGCTTATGAAAATGGTGATAAATTTTCTGATAAATCGTAGATTAGCTTTTCAAAATTTTATCATTATAAAAACAAGGTTGAAGGGGTGACCTATGATAAAAAGTTAAATAGATGAAATTTTTATATTATTGAAATTTTAATGTTCTTTCTTACTGAAATATATAAAAAAAAATTTATATAGATTTTTACAGCGCCTAAAACTGTATGAATGATGTATCAAACTACAATTAAATTTCTTATAAAAAAGAAATAAATACAAAAAATCTGATTGAATAACAATAATGATTTTATTGTTTTTTTTCTTTGCAGGTAGCTATGGGTAAAATCAAAACGGCAGACGAAGTAGTATACTTACAGTGACTACTCTGCAAAATGCAGAATCACAACTTCTACGTTCGTTATTAGGGAATTAGCCAAGCAAAATCGCTGATTATTAATAAACAGCATTAGTGAAGTTTGCCATCAAGCTAACTTAAAAAGAAAATAATTTTATAAATAAGAACCTGCGTAAAAACTCTTGAAATTTATGTCACTATAGTGAAATACAAGTAAACAATCTATGACAAAAAAATGCAAATAAATCAAAAGTGAAAAATATCAGGATAAATAAATAAATTCTTTTTTCAAGCAAGTACGTGGAGTTATTTCATATTTAGAGTATAAACTATGACTAAAACTTATTGCATTAATTAACAAATTTTTCTAGTCTCATTTTTTTTAAATACACCTAAAATGTCAAACTGGACACTACAGATTTGGATTTCCATCTTTCTCCTAACTCTGTGATGTAGCTTTTTATAGTATCAGGACTTTCAATAAATTTAAATATATTTAAACTTTCTCGAGAATTTCGAGCTCCCGAATTATATTACAAGTATAGAGAACGAGGGAGAAATTATAACTCTGATCAACTTTATCTTTAATTTTGCTGACTTTAACGTTAACTTTAATGACGTTTTGCTGCTTCATCACAATAACTTTATTCCCATTGGTTGGCATTTACGATGTTATTCAAATATGTACAAATTTCTAATGTATTACCGTGCCTTAATTACATTATATTTTACTTCTAAAAATATATGTGCATGTTTATAATATTATTAGTAAATTTATTTATTCGATAATACAAATGCGTACGTAGTGGCGCTACTATTGAGTACGAGTTTTTGTGATACCGCTTGTTTTTATTTGATATATGTTATAAGTTAACAGCTTATTATATAAATCACAATAAATCAATTATGTAAGTATATTAGATTATATCGTGCATGTATTGAAACCGATATCTGTCATTGTCATATAAAATACATATTATGCCCATTATTTATATTTACTGTCCTTTAATAAAGAGAATAATAAAATTGTCAGTTTAGTTGTATTCGACATTTTACTTATAAATAATTTAGTAGCAATGTAATAATTAAGCTATGTATTATTTTAAACAATCTTCTGTATAAATAATTAATAATAAATTATTTCATTTTGATCAATACCTTATTTTTATTGTTCTATATTTAGCTAATGTACTGTACGTGTTATATTGAATTTAATGTAACTGTTTCTTTTAATAAGTATTATTATCATTAAAGATAATTTCTCATTCATTCATTATAATTTATCATTATGTATTTCGTTCTTAATTCACCATATGAATTTACTATACGTACGTACTATAATAGTTTACAAGTTAAACTATGTATAAATAATTTGCAGTTGAATCATTCTTTACATATAGATTTTGTGTCCGTCGCACTATTATAATATTGAACATTATAATAAGTATAATTAAATTATTCATCAATAAACCATAAAATAGCAGTTAAAAATTATCACAGTTTAAAGGTGTACATTTATTTCATTTAAAACTAAATATATTACAAATTATCAATTCACCATTATTCAGTTAAATAAAAAAAAGAATATTTCGAAATAAAATAAATAATTAAGCATGTAATTTTAAGTGAAAATAATTGATTAGAGTTATAATAGAAATATATAAATATTTAAAATTAGTTAAATTAATTTATTACTTTCATATTTTTTAATTTCGAATTTTTTAGTTTTCATATTTGATTTTTATTGAAAATAATTCAAAATATATTTATTAGAAACATTAATAAATACGAATAATTAAAGTTTAATGTGACTTTATTATGAAATTCAAGTAATAAATTGTTAAAATAATATATTGATAACTGAAGAAATAAGATTTGAATGGCTTTTTAGCTTAGTCGGTAAATATGATATTCTTGATTCCCGTTTCAGAATCAATCGTAATTTTACGTCACAGATATTTCAACTATTATACTCTTCAATTGTAGTGAGTGTATATTAATTAGTTATTAATTATTGATCCATTTTTGATTTATTGTTACAGTATATTTATTACAAGAAAGAATAATAAACTACAAAGTAAAAAATATATTTTGCTAGTGTTTTTATGTTTATTCATATTCCGTACTTATAAGCATAAACATATTACATATCTTATTGACTATTTAATTATTGATTCAAACCACAAAATTTTGTTATAAAATTAAAACAATTTAATAATTATTATACAATACTGAATAATATAATTAATGATTTCAAATTATTTCATTGTTTGGTAACAAATTTATTTAAAATATGTTAACCACTAGCATTTTATTTTTAAATATTTTGATGTAAATTTAATTTTGGATACTAAGTATATTTATATGAAAGAAGCAAAATATTCCTAATATTATCCTCAATATACCATCTTTTCATAGACTTTGATTATTCATTCTTGAACAATCAGGTTAAATATTTTGTTTTAAATTTTGTAAGTTTTTTTTAATTGGATTAAATATTTAATTTACCATATACTTTCACATATTTAAAATTATTTCAAAAATATTCTTGTATATAAAATTTCATTTTATATACAAGATATATAATTCAAAATATCAGTATTTCTAGTTTATCATTAATATCAGCTTATTTAAATAATATTTTAAAAATATTGTGTATTATAGATTAAAGTATAATTAAAATTTTTTGTCTATCTAAATCTAAAGTAATTTATTTTTTATATTATATTTAGAAATAATCATTTAATATCACAAATTCCAGATGAATAAAATAATGATATAATGTGTTAAGAATATTAAATATATTTAGTATACCTGTTTATCTAACAGATATCAAAATTTTAATTCCAGATTAATATATTCATATTTCATTTATATTTGTAAAAACTTTGTCTTGCATTATGAGAATTAAAATTTTTTTTAGAACCTCATTGAATTTAAACGTTCTCTGTAAAAAATAATAGTATTAAAAAATTATAATTTAAAATAGAAGTTTTTATTATTTCTTATTTATATCGTTGAGTAAATTCCTAATTAGTAATAAATATTCTGCTAATTAGATACTTTCTTTTTGGAGTTTAAATAACCGTAAGTTAGTATAATTTATGTAATGCAATTATTATACTACATAATATAAATATAAAATATTTTTAATATTATAATTTTATGTATAGTTGTATATAATAACAATACAGAAAAATAATAAAATTTATATTATTGAAAAATGTATTTAAAAAAATACTGCAGTATATAAATTTAATATTTTGGTTAACAATAAAGTTTTTTTAATAAAATAATATTGTTTGACTAAAAGTATTTAAGTTATAAGTATTAAGATTATCATTCTTATTCAAAAGATCGAAAAATTTATAAATCAAATAGATTATTAGAAAATTTTATAAACCGTAAAAAGATTATTGAAAAATTTAAATCAACTGTAAATAGATTTTTCAAAATTCTATGCATAACAGTAGTTAAAATTTATTTTATTGTTTTTTTCAGCAAAAAACTAAGATTGTAATTTATGAACTAATGCCACAATTTTGATTAATGCCTAAACTTTTTTTACTGAACAATGAAGTTGAAGCAGTAGTAATCATTTTATTATTAGTAATATATTGAATATATTGAAACTCTTCAAAAATGTGTAATTATTTTCTAAATTTTTTCTAAATACTCCACATATATATTCTACATATATTGACTTAATACCTTTTTACGTTATGCTTTACTTATTTTTTACAGTGTTTTGTATAATTTTTGTAACTCTAATTTTATAATTTTGTATCTTGTTTACATTTTTACTATTAAAACCAAATATATTAAAAATTTCGGAAGCCTTTTACATATTTCCTAAAAAGTAATATATCCTATCCAATTAAAAACAATAATATCTATTTCATATTTAACACACAATTGTTTTATATAAAGATGATTTTAAATACTTAAAGGATCTATGAAAATAATATATATGTATGTGGAACTCAGCCACAGTATTGAAACTCCTAAAATTCATCCTAAAATTTTCATTATTTGTTAAAAAAATTTGTTAGTTAACTGTTTATTTTTCTTTAATAACATGTGACTATATTTGTATTTAATTCAAATCTGATATAAAGGTAAAGATCAAATATAAAGTTTGCTTAAATTCATTACAAAATTAATCTTTACTAATGTAAAAATGAAAAAATAGAATTATTTATTGTTATGATATTTGATTTTAAATCGTAAACCAGTTTTATTATTATGAAGAATTATTAAATTAAAAAATTTGAAAATTTTTAGGTTTATGTATGTAACACAGGTTGAATCAAAGAGTTTTTCTCTTACATATGATCTATTTGTGCGTTACAATTCTCAAGTACAGTGAAATGAGTATTCTATTTATATTTATATTCTTTATTTATGTATTATATCATTCATTGTCATATAATATACAATAATTATATTAGTAATATAATTATCTGTCATTGTTCAAAGTATAAGAAAAATTTTATTTTAAATTCATTTCAATATTTTGATTTTTATTTTGCATATATGTTAGCAGTTTTATTATTTGCCCTATTTAGTATAATCAATTTTTCGGTAACAATTATTAGAAAATGTTTAATAATATACAAGTATATTTTTTAATATAGTTTTTATTTTTAATTACTTAATTTAATGTATATGATAAGAATGCTTATTTTGCAGATATATTATAAATAATTAATAGACATTGGATTCAACTAAAATTCATAACTATTAAAGATAGTATACAATTTGTGTGTATTACAAGTAAATCGGAGAAAAACGATAAAATCCATCTCCTAAACCGATTATTGCCCACTGCATTTATGAAATAATATAGTTTTCTTCTTTAAATTCCTGATAGATAAATTCAAAAAGAAAATTTATCATTATTTCAGATTATTAAAAATTCTTTTATTAACTTTAACAAAATGATTTTGTTATTCACATTTGGGTTATATTCTCTATCTTTTATTAGATGAAATTAACATTTATGGTTTGTGGATTATTCACTCTTAGGCATAATTAAAAAATTTATGAGTGTATATAATTTGATATTCTTTTGATAAAAACAATTTTACACATTATCAACTAAATACAATCCAAAATAATACAAAATCATTTTTATAAACTATTAATTACTACTAATTAATATTTCGATCAACTATTTATATTTATATCATTTACGATTAATAGTTTATATAATAAAGAAATTATTCATAGATTTAATCAATACTACATGCTCAAATGTTTTTATTAATTAACTCAATACATTTTTATTTATCAATTTTATAAGTGTTATTTTATATGCTTAATTATGTAACAAATATTTTCCATTGGGATAATGATGGGTTCTCAATAATAGTATTATTATTAACATTCATAAGAAGATATGTCACAATAAGAAGATTCAATTATACCATTAGAATAATGAAAATTGTTATCCGAATAATCCTGATGTCTCTGCACTATATCGTTACTGATTTTATAACATGGATTATTGGAATAGTCATTTAAATATTATCTTTATTTAATTATTTAACTTTTTCGTTTTCATTATAATTGCTATTTATGCAAATGATGTTTTATTGCAGTCTTATTATAATAATTCTATAAAAGTGTTATTAATATTTAACATTTCGTAATTTAAATCACCATTTTCGAAATATAATATGCTACATTAGGACAGGCCTATAGTTGGTGATTTATTATGAAGTTGATATTATGTTTGTATGTAATCTAATTGTAAATTTAATAATTTGAATAATTTTATTAAATTAAGAAATAGAATAACAAATAATATATATAGTACCTCTTTCTATAATAACTTATCTTCTTTATCCATATTATAATATAACAATTATATTATGAGTTTAGTTATCTGTACAGAAATTAAGTAAATTGTTTCTTTATGCGAAATTTTAATATCATCTCATGTTTAGATTTGTTTTATTTAAAGTATAATATGCAATATCCTAAATTGTTTACAAAATGATAAAACTATGAATCTGACGATGTATCTAAAATAAACTATATTTTGAAGTCTAATATTTTATATTATTTTATTTCATAAAATTTAATATCTCAGAATATCATTCCAATGTGCGTAGTAACAGAACTAAGAAATTTAGTGAACAGTTTCTAGTTTAGGTAAAGACACGAAGCATATTCAAAACCTACTACTCTACTATTTCTTCCTTGAAACACATTTAATTATATAACAACAGAAAGATTAATTTAAATTGAATTTTCGTACAAAAATTAAAATAAAAAATAAAAATTAAGTAAAGATATTTTTATCCTAAAATATTGACAGAGTTCTCAAACTTCTAACAAAACATAAACAGCATAATTTATTTTTTAATTAAATACTTTTAATTTTAATTAATTTAGAATTGTAAAAAATAAAATTTCTAATAAAAAATTATACAGTTGAATTAAATGTATAATAAAAAAAATAATAATTTATTAATTACAATTGTTTAAACCTATTTTTAAACAACTAAGAAACTTATAATGAAAATTTATAATTAAATAATTATCAAAACAAGCCACATTTAGTATAAATTTGGTTATTTATAAAATGTGTACTTCGATTACATATTGTAGTCAAGCTATGTTAAGATTATAATATTACATTGAAAATGTTAATTACCTATTATTAGATATGAGCTTATTTCTTATTCTGCCTATAAGATTAGAAGAACAACACATTTATTTTAAGAAGATACTGTCAGCATATTATTTACAATTTTACAAAAGTAGCTTTATAGTTATAGTAAATATTTTAATATGAAATTTTTTAATTTTACTACTTGAAAATCTATTAATTATAATACGTTATAAATTTTTAATGTATCTATAATATATTTTAAATCTTATAAAATAAAATTCTCAATAAATAAAATTTTTATTCCAGGTACTTATTTGTAGTATAAAATAGCTAATTAGAATTTAATAAAATATATAATTAATAAAATGCTTCAGTCAACGTTATATAATCAACATAGAATAGGTAATTATTCCATTTAAATTGATTATAATCGATAATTAAAAAATATATATATATTTGTTAAATGTCTTTAAAAATTGTAATTAAAAGGAAAATATTCCCCAATATATAAATATTTTTTAAATTTTAATATTTATTATCTAGTTATAATTATAATTTTTACATAATAAGTTAAAATAAAAGTGAAATTTTCTTGCCGAAAATAGAAGAAAACAAATTATGCGACTTATTATTTTTATCAAAAATCATATTTCAAAATATATACTCAATCCGTATGTATTTCTCTAAACATTAATACAGAATAAGTATCAAAAAATTTTAATTATATTTTATAACAAGGTTTATTATGGATTTTGTATATATACAGCTCAAATTTTAGATACGCAACACATGAAGTTATGCAAGACGTTAATAGTCTGTTGCGACAAGCACCAATTATTAAAATAATATTAGAGAAATAGAAGTAGAGTATATAGAAGAAGCTAGTGTATAAGCGATTATAGTTATATAATACATTGTCTTTCAATTGAATAAACTATTTTAAATAAAGCACTGTTGATTTCATCATAATAGCTATTTTGTTGCTAACAAAATAATACTATTTTTTTTCTAATTATAATTCTGAAATACTTGCTTCCAATTCACAGTTTATTAATAAAATTACAATAAAATAAATAAATATCTCGTCATCGTGTTTGTTCAATATATTTATAACATATATCTATTGACCTAATAGTATTATTATTTATATTTGTAAAAATGTATTAGTACTAATATTTGTGTAATTGTTATTCGTATCTTTTCATTTCTTTGTCAGATAACAAATGTAATAATTATATAATATAAAGCTACGAGAATCTATAAAAATTTCGAAAATAAATTTTTTTTACAATAACGAGAATAACCATATCATAGCGGATTACGATCCTACCAAAAATAATATAAGCCAACCATAGATATTTTACAAATAAAAAATTAAAATTCATAAAATAAAACTTATTATTTAATAATGTTTTTATTAAATTTAAATCTTTAATCTAGGAACTTAACTCTAGTTAAAGGATGAATCGTTTGGATTAAATTGATTTCTGTAAATAATATACTTATATTTATTGTAATTTAAAGTATTTTACAAATTCGTATGAACCTCCGTAAGGAATTTCAACTAACCGTTATAACTAACTGTCTATAATCATGTACTTGGAAATAATTAATTTTTTATTTGAGTTTCTATCTGCTTGAATGAGTATTCTACTATATATAGAATAATAATAAGATATATATTATATTTATAGATTTATATATATATATATATATATATATATATATATAAATTCAGAATTTGTATATAAATTTTATGTTATTATTGTCTAGAAAAAAATACATTTATTATTTCATTACAATTATTAATAAAGAATAATTAGTATCGAATAATGTGTGAATAATAAATGTGGATGTTTTTTAATTTGAATTTTAAATTATATTTACTGATAATTTCATTAATTTTTACGTATACAATATATTTTATAAAAAATAATATTTATTAATCCTTATTGAAATTTCATATTTCAATATTTTATATTATTTTAATTTGATATATTGTTTCATATAATGAACTAAAAATGATTTATAGAAACACATAGAGCTTTAGAACTTCTGGGAGATTATTATGCAAAATTAACAAAAACGCACGAAAAACAACTAACTCTGGAAATAGAACGATTGATTCGAGTACTTAAAAGTAGATTTTTCCAAGCTCTAATAGGTAAGTCATTATTTCTTAAATTATATTCTTAAATAAGAATTTAATGTATCTATTTTATATTATGAAATTACTTCAATTAACTTAAAATATACTTTTTCTCTTTTTAACACTATATTTAAGAACGGATAGTTCAATAATATATTTGATAAAAATTATTTTTGTGCTAGTTTCTATTAGTAGGAGTTTATTACTTAATTATTTAATGCATAAATAATGTAGATTTTTTTATATTTAATGCAATCTAAATTATCATGATTTATATCGTGTTTTTATTTAGGGGCGTTACTTTTCGATATATTTCTGGTGTATTAAGGTGTATTAAAGTGTATTGAAACTTCTTAAACTTTTTATCTATCTATATTATTATATTATACTATTTTGTATATACATGGATACTTATAAAACTATCGAGATTATCTAAGTAAAACTAATGAGATAATTAAGATTAATTAGAAAACTGTCTAAACCTGAGAATTTTTATAAATTTATCTTTGCTATGGCTCCGGAGAATTTCTAAATCTTCTTTACCGGATCAACCGATAAGATAGTTATTTTCGATTATATTTAATTTTATAAATCGGATTTGTTAATTGACTGAATTTTTTACTCTCTTTGTCTCAGATATTTGGAGTTCACTATTTTCATTTAATAGTAACTTTCTTCGCTAAAAACTTCCAGCTCATATTATGTCATCGATTAACTCATGCTTTATATTATTTTTTTACTTTTATTTAGAATTCTGATACTCCCTTTATATAATTCACATTTGATTTATTATTATAAGTATGTTCGAGAATGCGAGAACATTTTTCCTTTTTTGTCAGTGCAATAAAACATCTGGCAAGTAACATCGTAAAATTTGTATTCAAAATTCTCACGCATTAGTGTCATAAAACGTCTGGAAAAACAATACCATAAACACAGGAAAACCTATAGTTTAGACATCTGCATTTTCGTTCCGCTCGGCAACTACATCAAGCATTACTGCAAGCGGACCTTCCTTCCCCTTCCCGCTGTCTACAAATTGCAATGCTGTCACCAGATGTGTCAACGATGCCCCCTCTTTCCGCTGCCAACATGCTGTCGCATGCGGCAGCAGTAATGAGAAATCTGCTCATCATAAAGACCCAGAGACGACTAGGCCCTTAATTAACTCCGAAGCCAAAAGAGGCGCTGCCCTCGCACTATAAGGGAGGAGTCTCTGATTGGACAGAAAATAAGGGAAGGGGTTCAAGTAAAATTCATGGTCAGCAAATGTATTTAAGGGGCGCAATTTGCAATACTTATTTACTGTTGATACTTAACTCTCTTAATACTTATCACTCGTGATATTTAACTGTCTTGATATTTACTCTTGATACTTTTCAGTTAGTAGTATTTTCGTGATATTACTCCTTTTTTTGATATCTCTATTTTAGTAATACTCTCTCAATATATTAAACCCTTGAAACATTTCATACTCAGTTAAGTTTAGTGATAGTCAATTTAACGCTATTTCGGGAACGACTTACACTTCTTCGGATTGTCCATTAACACTGTTACTGGAACAGTAATTACTGCCCCGGAAGAACTACGACATAAACCCGTATGTCCACTAACGCAGTTCAAGAAACCGTAGTTACTTATTCCAAGGGAGCTACGACAAGCAGCCTATCAAAGTCCGAAGACGAGTCAACTATTAGTCTTTGTAAGTAGTATCTACTACAATAATACATATATATTGAGATTCAAAGTATTACATCGACAAGCACTAAGGACGAGGAAGCTTCTCTTAAAACGACAGTGCGGAATAAATACCAGTACGCGTCGTCAAGTTTCGCGCCCTCCAGGGGCGTCTCATTTAGTAACCCTCATCTTAGTTCAAGTTCGGAAGCTTACGAAAGTAAGCAAAACCCAGCGCAAGTGTCGACAATCCAGTTTCGCGCCACTTTGCGATATCTTTCAATCCTAAAGCCGCATTCATAACCTCAACCACACACGTGCTCGTTCAAAAGGCGCTAGTGTCGACGAACGAAACGTCGCGCAATTCACCATTCGTATTCAACAATCAAGCTGCATAGATTATGGTACAGTTGTCTCCGCAACGCATCACTTCAATCCAAGAATTTAGTTCTACAAGTAATAATAGTAATACTAGTCAACCTTGTCATTAATAAATAACAATAAATAGCATACTTCAGCCATATCTTTATTGTGTTATTATAATATCCCTTCCACTTGTGACCTGCCATCGCTACTACAAACACAACACCCGTGGTCTCTGAGTTATCAACGGCATCAAATTGTATCCGTCGAACCGGCCTTGATAAAACAAGTCTGAACGACGAGTTGCATTTTGTACAAAGTATTTAAGTTTATTACTTTACACAATAATCGTTATGTATGTATTTCAAAGTAGTACCGTCAAATTTTTGTCGCTTCCATCGATATTATAATTTTTTTTATTTCGAACTCTAAATAAACTTCTACATTTGCTATTGTATATATATTAAAAGACAAAAAGGATAGCCTAATATTATGTTTTTTATATTTTTACGAAACCTAGTTCTTTCAAGTTGTACATTTAAGACCATGTTGGTTCGTTATTATTATTGGGATGATTTTCATTCCTATTTGTCAGTCTGTCAACTAATATAAATTAACAATTTATATTATACTATTACTATTTATCATTGATATTAGTTTTTCAGAACACTTTAGTACTGAAAACTACTAAATATATATGGTCTATTTTCAATCAGATATTGTTAATGCATTTAAAGTACTGCAAAGTAATTTTATTCGAACTTTCATATAGTACATACCGGTTCTCATATAATGATCTGTGCTCTAATATGCCTTATACAAGTGCTTAACAATCATTTTTTTAAATTATATGATTCTGATTATAAGGCAGCCAAAGCCTTGATTATTGTTATACATAAGATAGCATAAAATATTTTTATGCGGTGTATCATTTTATCTCTTAAAGAGAGAAAGAGAGAGAGAATGAGAGAGATTTTTATTTCTTATTTTTAACCAATGAGCTGGTGACTTATTAACTCGTAGATTCACACGAATGCCCATTTACTTTACATCAATGATATTAATATTTTGAAACCTTTAAAAAGTATGGAATAAAATGCTCACCCTTTCAGTACAGAGAATTTTTAGCGATATTTTGAAATAATTCAAGGTAATGAGTCCATTCTTTTCATACAATGTTTTCTGGATAATTATGAATCCACTGTTTGTTTTTGTTTGTTTTAGACAATCAATCAAATCCCAACGCACAACCTATATTATAGAAAGAAAGTTAAAATAAATCTAGTCTGTTCAAAAATTGAATAAAATAATAATTAATCCAGCCACTATTCTATACAAATAAGGTATTTAGTATATTTATAATAATAGCTGTTCATTATAAGCTACTACAATAAAACAGAATCACTATGTTTCCTAGTAAAGTTTTTAAACAAGTATATAAATATACCTCTAGGTTTAAATGTGTAATTTATAATTTGAATGTAATTTATTATTTTTTTCTTATTAAAATTTTTTAAATATATTTGAATAAATATTATAATTAGGATAAATATAGAAATTCATAACACAATGGCAAGGACGTTATATATATATATATATATATATATATATATATATATTCCCAAATTCAAGTATTTGATCTTGCAAATCTTATAAATAAAATTGTCTTTATTAAATATTCAGAAACTTTGAAACATTTTAAATGTAAGATACACGATTTTGCTCGATAATCTTTGATATTTTTATAAAAAAGATTAAATTGAAATTTAAAGATCAAATAATCAGATCAACTTTATTCGATACTTTATCATATACCAATCAGAGATAGTAAAGTCGGTGAAATGGATTACAATTATAGCCGATGAAAATATTAAATCTGACGACTTCTTCGATGCCTTTGTATCTGAAAAATAATAATTTGCAGCATCTAATAGTGCTAAAGGCAAATAGTTATTATCTTGAAAATAATTGATTACATTTTATGCAATGTTTTCAACTTTATATTTTATCGCTTATCATGAAATACTTTCATTTTACCTAAATTTAATCTAATTTTTTCATGATTAAATATAGGTTTCATTATGAATTATGTATAATAGGTTAGTTAAAAGTATATATTTGTATATCTTATAATATTTTAAAATATTTTATATAAATTATTTATAAATTTATAATTTTAATTGTTTATTAACTTTTTCTTATTATAATAAAATTTGTTCTTGAACAAGTAATATAATAAAAAATTAGTAATCCAATAAAATTTAAATCATTTTTATCATTTAGAGACACACACAAGCATATTTATTAATTTATTCGAAGAACGAAAAAAATCATAAAAACTTCAAACAATTATAAAATAATATTAAAAGTTAAATAATCTCAATATTTTATATGAACTATAATTGAATGAAACATATCCAACAAAAAAATTAAAATATAAGGTAGTTACAACTTTAAATAATTTTTTTAGTACAAAAAAATAAAAATTTTCTTGATGTAATATTTTTCTTTAAAAGCGGTCTAACAATCGTATTTTGAACAGTTGTTTTTAAATAAAAATATTTTAAATGAATTTTTAATATGATAACGTCTATTCCAATATTTCATTTATAATTTCATAACAAAGATTGAAAACTATAAAACTAATTATAAATGTAAGAATTATAAAATTTGATATTATCTTAATTTTGACCATTCATTTCAATTGTTGATACTGTAATCAAATAAATCATAAAAGTTGACAAGATTTATTAATTCAATCGAAATACTCCGGGGTACCAACTTTAATCGTGGTCTACTTCATTTCAAGGTCTCATTAAAGTTGTTAAATCATGGTCATAATATTATATAAGATGAAAACTTGAATTTAATACTAAACACTATGGGACGATGCTTATTTCTAAATACATGGTATATTAAATTTGTTAAATATAAAATATAATTATATTTATATTTAAGCTTAACAAACTAAATGACATAAATACAAAATGAAAATATAATAATGAAAAAAAAGAATAATTATGAAATAATATGTAATAAAATAAAAATAATAAATAATTAAAATAATTAATATCCATTAATTTTCAATGTTTCAGATATTCAAGAGTTTTATGAAATAAGTTTATTAGATATAATAAGAACAAATAACATAATCTCGACAAACAATTCTATTTCCTTAAAAACATGGAATAATTATAATAAAGATATAAGTTTCTCTTCGTCTTTTTCTAGTCCTGACACAAATTTATGTGTAAGTAGCTTTGTATTGCAAAAATGATGTGATATTTGTTCGAATCTGTTTAAAATTTGTTATATTATTTAATAAGTAGTTTTATCCAACTGTTTGGTTTGAAAATAAAAGTTTTTCTTCTCTTAATAATATTTTATTAAATAATGATTTTTTATAGTAAAATATATGTAAAATATGTAAACAAATATACTTTCTAAAAATCTTAATTTTCAGTTTAAATTTATAACTGAAATTTTTACATACATGTTATGTATTTTAAATTTTAAAACAATTTAATAAATATCTAAATTCAGCTATACTTTTAAAACAATTAACTCTAAATAATTATTTGACTTGACGTACTTAAATACACTTAATTATTTAATTCTCACATTTTTATCTTCTACACCTATCTTATTACAACTCTTAGCTTATTATAATTTAAAAATTTAAATAAAAATTCTTTATATTCTATTTATAAAATTTCTTTTAATATTTTAATAATCTAAGAAAAAGAGTAAAAAAATTAGAGACCTAAGAACACTTATTTTTGTTTTTACTAATATTATTTCAATTTAAATAAGATTATTTAACTTCAACATGAATTTAATACCGAGCAAAGTTGTTATCTTAAATCAATCTAAGATATCAGAGAGAATACAAATGAAAAAATAAAATTACAAAAAAATTAATTTTCTTTTAATTGGAAATAGTTTTATCCAGCACGATACAAGCAAATATTCGTCAGTTTTACACTTAAGAATAATTTTTTGATAATATTAAACGATTACACTACATAAAGCGAAATTCCAAAGAATCCATCATGATGCTATGATGATTTAAACTTCTATTATAATAACCTGAACATGTATGTTTGTTGATCCACGCGTGCTATTTCAAAGAGATAACGTAAATTTATACTTTTCAAAGCTTTAAAATAATTTAAAGACATAATATTAGAAGTTGTACAGCTTTTGCAGTTCCTTAAGTAACTGAATACTTAGATAAGACATTTCTAAGAATTTTTAGAAAAAATCAGAGTCCTATTATTTAAAAATTATTATATTTTTTTCTAAAATACATAATTAAATAATAAGCATTAACATAAATAATATATATATATATATCACCCATTATAAAAAAGGCTTAAAAACGTATTAAACAAATTCAATACGGAAAAAAAATGTTATAATAAACCTTTCTATCATCACATTTTTTATACTTCGTTTCATTTATGTAATATTTAATAGATTAATATATAATATATACTTAAATCTCTCAAACCTTTAATCTCTCTTATAATGTAGATAGTATAATAAAAAATTGGAAATTTATAATAAAGCATATATAATTATTATTCTAAGCTACAAGAAATACTATATCTAATAGTATATTTAATAAATGTACAGTTATTTTTAACATATTAACTTTACTAGCTTACATCAATATTATGTCTTATATATTATATTTTTTAATATAATATAATTATAGAATATATTATATATATATATATATATATATATATATA